GAAGGTGAGGCAAATGCAAGGATAGTCAACAAGGCCTCAACGCCTCATTACGGTCAATATCCGTCAGGTACTGGCACGGCACAATGCGTTAGTGGTCGGTATGGTGACGGTGAGTGGGTGCTGCTGGGTGCATCCCATCGTCATCGGCTGGGAATCTGCTTCGCTGGACTGGGGGTTTCGGCGCGGAAAGAGTCAAAGACAGAGCGAAACCAAGCCTGGGTGGTGACTGGGCCGCAGCGATCACCCAGCAGATCGGATGATGGGCACAGTCCACCGACACAGACTGTCCCATGCCCTTTGCAGTCGGGATCGCAGGTAACGGGCGTGACCAGGGGTCGCCCCTCTGGACTGCCATTCGCCGAGGCCCGAAATAAGCAGAGGCCGGTGGTTAAAGGCGGGAGGGAGAGGCAGCGAGACAGGCTCGCAAAGACACAGAGGGCAGAGGAGCCACAGTGGTGGCCGTGGTGCCAGGGGGTGCTTTGGTGTGCGTGTGGGCGAGTCTTGCAAAGGCCAAGTCTGGTCCTGGTTTGGCCTGGTTTGATCTGGTCTGGTCTGGTCCGTGGTCTGGGCTGGGCTGCCTGACACGCCCCCGGGATGAGATGCGTAAGAAAATGGGGACCAAGGCGATGCAGGCGGGGTGGAGGATGGAGCTGCGAAGGCGGTCAGCGGCCAAGCAAGCACCAAAGTGTCATGGAAGAGGGATATTGAGAAGAGGAAAAAGGTACCAGTCAGGTTGCCTCGGTGCGGCGGGTTGATGCGAGTACCAGCTCTACTCACGACAAACAGCCTCCTTGACCCATATGCAAGGTACAGGCGACTGGCACAAATTGCACAAGGCTAGCCCAATACTCTCCAGTACATCTAGAAGCCTCGGGAGACTGGGTCATCCCAACTGCTAGAGAACGCTAGAGCCGAACCGCCATTAACGATTCTTATTTTTTTCTTTTCTTGAGGGCCGGATGACTTGCTGGCTTTTGTTTCCCTGAGACGCCCAGGCGTGGGCGGCAGGGATATGGTAGGTGTTGGAATGGGGTGCCAGTTGTTCGTTGGGAGGCGTCCATAACACAATGCTGTCGCCGCAGGTAGACTAAACGCATCCTATTACCTACATGAATGCTGTATCCATGTTTTGTTCTGCCGTGTGGTTGGATGATGACTGGAGATGAAGATGAGGACTCAAATTGCGGGCGAGGGCGAGGACTCCGTGCAGGATGTACTCCGGGCAATGGCATTGAGCTGTCCTTGTTGTTACTGTGTCGACCTCTGTCAGCTTTGCTTTTCTGCGTGGTGGCCGCCCCCATCAACTTGTCGTCTGTGATTCACCAGACTTGCAGTATTCTCCGGGTCCCCGCCGTTGCCACGATGGACAATTGGTTCGTGTTGAGCAGACAGCGCAGACAGCGTATCCGTATGGCACGTCAGGCTGAAGTCCGTCGTCACTGTTGTCCTCGACGGGCCGGGTCGATCTCAGTCTCACACTCATCTAGCTGTGCCGGTATTGATTCTCCGGTGTGTTTTTGGGTGTGTTGTGGTCGCGTTTTAGCGCTGGTTTTACTCGACCGACACCCGACCAATCAGACTCTCACGCCGACTGTGCCCAAGGACCCATACCGAACTCTTTAATTGGAGGATGGTGGGCCAGGGAAATCGGACAAGAAGGGAAAGGCAGCGCACCAGGACCAGCACCTCGCAAAGGCAGGAGCACTGGCCAGAGTGAACAGAAACAGCAACAGCAGCAGCGCCTGCACCAGGACAGACACCGGCAGCGCTCCTGCAGCGCTAGGGTGCAGGTGCCATGCTGCAGGTGTTGTCCACCCCCTGCCCTCCTGCTGCTCCTGCCTCCTGCTAGTGCCTCCTGTCTTCCGCTTCTTTGTGCTCCTTCCTGCTGGTCGGCACCTGCTCCTCCTTTGTCTACCGCGCCTGCCTGCCTGCCCGCCTCTCTAGATACGGAGATGGCTCCTGCTCCTGCTACTGCCTCCTGCTGTTCCCGAGCACTCGCTTTCTCACATTGATACACACCCTCAGGTCGGAGTTGTATCGGCGAGTGAAGTAAGAACGTCTCCCCGTCCGCGAGGTGTCCGATGCAGCAACCTGGACCGAATACCAAGGGTAGCATAATACCAAGAGTGAGGTAGGTGCCTGACCCTTTGCGTGCGTCATGTCATGTCGTGTCGTGTCGGTGCTCGTGTTGCCTGCTAAAGTTCCTTTCCATTCACCGGCGGCCACCCACATCCACCGGCTCATCCATCCACCCATCCAACCAACCAACCAACTAGCCATCCACACCCAAAACTGCTAAGTGAGGTAAGTTCCATGAATCCAATGCCAGTGTGAGCGTGTGCGCCGGCGTTGACCTCGAAGGTCCACCCACCCAGCAGCACCTGCCACGAACCATCACACTCAGCAGAGCCAATGAGCGACAAGCCCCCAGTCTCCCATTTTTCGCTTTTTCGTAGTACATAGTACATAGTAGAAGCGGTGTCGAAGAGTGGGGACGAGGGAAAGGAAGGGGGAAGAAACGCCCCCCCTTCCCTCTTTGACGACGTCCAATCTGAGGACGCTGGATTGAAACCCACGCACTCAATCCTCAATTATCCACCATTTTCTCAGTCCAGTGTCCCGCCCTGTCCTAAAACGGGTCCGCAGTACGTTCCTTTCCCGATGACGAAGTATCTCCGTACCGTCTTTTAGCGCGTGGTCCCGTCGGAGCCAGTCACCCTCTCGTCTCCACGTCCAGTTCCAGGCGCAGGACCCGCCTGTCCTTTTTTTATTCGATTTTCCATTGTATTTTTTTCTTTCCCTTGCCCACCCTCCCCTTTCACTTCCCTTGGCTCTGGGACATGCTTCCAATGTCCCCAAAGTGCCAGTTCCAAGCCAACGCCGCCGACCCGGCCGAAGCAAGCTGGGGGGTGCGACGACAACTGCCAGTCAGACCCGACATGTTGCACCAGTCGCCCCGTCCCATCCGTCCCAGTTCCAGTTCCAGTTCCAGTCCCAGCAGCCAGTGTGCGTCCAAAGTTAGTCCAGGCCAGGAAGAAACCATCCCGCCCAGGGCACATGGGTGAATCGTTCCATCTCCGTCTCGCTGGTGATTGATTCGTGAAATACCTCTGGAGAGACAGGGACATCGGGTACCCGGTACGAGAAGGCAGTGCTGCTTAAGGTAACCTCTATGTTATTTGACTTGTTTTGTATTGGTCATTCTCCCCCCTGGTGCCCGAACGATGGTGCTGCAGTGTGAGAGGAGTCGAGGTATTTTTTTCACTTTCTTTCTCCCACTCATCTGTTACCGGGTCGGGTCCCTTCCCTTCTGGTCTCCGTCCCCAAGTTCCCGAGCAGAAGGAGCCCACTTTCCCATCGGGCTATCCTGTCCAGCCTGTCACTGCCACCGTGCTTCCCCAAAGTACCGACCTCTCCTTTTTTTGTGCCGCAAGGTACTTGGCTTGCGCGGAAGGAACCTGGCTCGCTACTTTTGCCAACCCGCCCGCTACGAACCGCTGTACTACCATACCCTCCCACCCATTTCCTCACTCCGCCCTCCCGGTCTCCTCCTCTCGCCTCCATTCACACGCACGCCGCCATCATTCCTCTCTCCACTTTACATCCTCACCCCCATCCCCATTCTCTCCCCATCTCCATCCCATCCATCCCAACCCGTCCCATCCATTTCACTCCTCGAAATTCTTCTTTTCCGACTTTATTCCTCTCCCTTTCTCCCCTCCCCCAAAACCTCTCTTCTCTCCGTACCCAACCCCTCGAATCCGCCGTATCCCGACGAAATTCATCGTCCTCGACTTTCACAACTCCCATCCAAGTCGTCGACAACCTAGGATTCAGGTTCTCGCCCTCCTTCTTCCTCGCGACGTCCAGCCGATTCGATTCGACTACCGTTGTCAAACTCAGCAAACCCGACCACATCAGGTCGAGTGGTTCCTTTATTCGTTTTACCCAGAATCACCGCCATCACCGCGCGTGCGCTCCTACCTAAACAACCATCGCGCAACACCGTCCTTTTACCTTCGCGTACCTGACGATTTTCTTGTGTTTTTCTTTCTCGAGGTAAGCTTGCTTTCTTTCCTCAAGGCCCAAACCCGACCGCGGGTTGTTCCTTGAGTCTGGTACACGAGCTTCAGTCGACTGTTTCTCTCCCCGATACTCGCCCCAAACCACGAGCGATGCCGAACAGCACATGGCCGGACCTTGACGCGATGCACCCATGTCCACGATTGAATCAGCAGCTCAGCCTTTCGTCACCCAACTTGTCTGCATTGCCAACGCCAACACCAAGCAGTGTTTGGTTGTTTCCTCGGCGCCCGGTGTGCTGGAACAACCTGGTACAAGTTGCATTAGGTTTCCACAGGGGACACCCTTCTCGGGAGCCATTGCCCTTGTCGCCTCCCAGCAATTTCTCACTCCAACACCGGCCCGCCACTACATGACGCATCATTCGACGAAGCTTGTGTGTCAGACTCAGGCACAGACAGTCAAAGTTTTTGATCCCAGGACACTCTTGCTGACCATTTACCAGCTAAGATACAGCTGCCGCCTTTCTTCCCTTCACACGACTTTCTTCGTCCCGTGTCCAGCGGTCCTTGGATCTTCTCTGACGCCTCGACGACCATCCTCCGTGCAAGCATCCGTTTTTGAGCCGGCCATCGTCGTACTGTCTTCTACGTGAAGAAACATTATTTTCCCGGAGGGTTTTCGAGCGATCATTAAACCGCCGACGCGTAACGCATTCTTTGATCCCGACTCATTCTCTAGACGCCCGCTTTCCGCAGTCGACACGATTACACTTGATGGCTATTCGCAGTTACTAAGGGCTCGTCACTAACCCTCTCACCAACCCGACATCTTGTCTCCTTCGGTCTTGGACATCACCGCTAGCACACTGCGGCTCTCTTCCCACTGCTAAGTGTTCCCTCCGCGTGCCTCGAGCAATTTCTCCTCCCCGACAAAGGTCCTCTCACGGTCTTCGTCGGACTCTCAATACCGCCATCATGCCTGGAGGTGTCTGTGCTGTCCTTGACTACGAGGTCGACCAAATGGCCGAGTTCGTTGCCGAGATGGCAACCCGTGTGGTCATGCCCTTGTCGACCACCGCTGTCACGCCCCCTTTCCGCAAGTTTGTCTCGCAGATCCTGTCTTCCACGAGACTGCCCAAGAGCACCATCCTCCTCGGAATGAACTACCTTGCGAAGCGGGTCAATACGCTCAAGCAGAACAACCCTTCGTACACGGTACCTGAGGGCCAGGTTTGGCGGATGTTGACGGTGTCTCTGTTGCTTGGCAGCAAGTTTTTGGACGACAACACCTTTCAGAACCGCTCTTGGTCTGAGGTAAGCGGTATTCCCGTCGCCGAGCTCAACGCTCTGGAACATGAGTGGCTAGAGCAGTCTGGTTGGTGCCTATACGTCAACCTAGACTACAGCGCGGATTACAAGGCTTGGCTCACCAGCTGGGATGACTGGAAGGTCCTCAAGGACCAGGCCACTGCCAGAGCCAACCGGGAGAGACTTGTGCCTGCCATCGATACCAACATGAATCGTTATGGTGGACGGTCCGCATACCATACGTTTGTTCAGCAGCAGGCGGCTGAATATGAGCGCTACGAGGCCATCAAGCGCAACGAGCTTGCCCACCAGCAGGCCTACGGCAACTGGAACTGGCAGTCCGCCCCGCTCACTCCACCGGATTCTGGTTACGGCACCCCCGAGTACATCAACTCGGCTACCTCGGCCAACGCCCGGTACAATGACTGGTTTTCCCAGGCAGCTGCTAGCGCCCAGTGGAACACCCGTTACCAACAGCCATCTCACAACTATTACGGTCATCGCCACAACCAGCAGACCTTCTCTGGACATTACAGCTACCCGCAAAACATATGGGAGCATGGTGTTGCCGAGTGTAGTTGTGCGAATTGCGTCGGGCCCACTGTCAAGCCGCCCGCCTATTTTGCGCACCCCGGCTTCGGTCAGCCTGTCATGGGCTGAGTTCATCGCGATACCTGGCGGCGTCATCACCGCCCTACGAAACTGGAAGGGAATTTTGTTATCGGAAAAGTTTGGGAGGTCTAGCGTCACCGGAGACGCAGGCTTTGTTTTTTTTCTCGCATGACGATACATTTGCATTCTTCAGATACCCTCTCACGACGAGAAACCGAAAGAAGCGGTTATTTGACCGAATGGTCCCACGTCGGCATTCGACTTTACGACACACGGGCCCACGGGCTGGCTTCGATCCAACCGTCTTGCCGTACGCACTCTGTCTCGGCAATCCTTTCCAGGATCTCGAACTTGGTTGTGTGGCAGACGGTCGATCGATCCTGCAGCCGCGGCCCTTAATGACATATTTCTTTAATTCTTTCCCCCTTGGTATACGGATAAATTTCATCATCGGCGTTTCAAGGTCGACACTTGCGATTCCCATGGAGTTTTCGATAGATTCCGCGGCGGTGTGTTCTGGTGAGGCTGTGGGTGGGAGTGCCCTGTGTTTCCGCCTGTCTCTTCGTTCGTGCGCCAAACGTCCGACAAACAGCCACGACACAGCATGTCTGCAGCTCCGAATAATCTAGACATTCGGGGCTTTCGACCATGGGCCTGACTGGCAGACACAAACACTCGACAAACCCCACCAACCGACCTCAGCCATTTCTTTTGTGGCACGTCACGGAATCGCTGGTTTTTTTTTTGTTTTTTTGTAACTACACCTCGTTCTCGGCACAACCCTGGTCGGCCTTCTCAATCAAGAGTAGGACCTGATGCGGTCTGACTGCCCGACAAGCTCGACATATGCCAAAAAGTCATTGGTCTGCTGCGTCGGCGGGAAGAAAAAAGGGACAACTTGCATGATACCTCAGCGAAGGCTACATACGGATCATGTTATCGGCTGACTATGTGCGGGCAACTGTTTTGTTTCGCGAGAATGGAAAAAAAAAACTGGACTCACACGGAGAGGTGTTCTGCATTGAGTTGATTGGTTAAAAGGGAGGCACTTCTTCCAAGAATGGCTTGGAGTTTTCTTCTTCACTTTGTTATTATGCATTCCTTGTTTGGCTGGCATGCGTCTTTGCGCTTTTACCGTTAGCGGTCAAGAGAGTGAGTCGCCATGCTCAGTCGCTTTTCACTGTTCACGACATTCTTAGACGTTTATTTTTCTTTTCTTTTCGTGTCAACTTGGCATTCACTAGAGCGTTATGGCTAGGAGTTGAGACGACGATGGAGGAGAAGGATAATGCGGATTTCACTCCTCAGCGGTTGGCGACGGATTGTGGTTTTACATGGTTACGACGAGAAAGGGTCTTTATTTTTTTGGGGGGGAATTGGCGCAAGCCTTTACGACCGTACAGCAGCGGCTGGCATGGAAGCACATGGCCATGCAAAGGGGCTTGTAACCCGTCAATCAAAAGGTCGGTTGGTTTGGGTCCAGGGAGAATGAGACTGGAGGAAAAGTAAGGATACAAACGGCATGCTCATAAGGCGACTGACGGCACATGCGCAGCCCTATCAAGTACTGGGAAAGGTGGCAATCCTAGAATAACCAGACAAAAAATACACAAAACACATGAGGAACGATCTACTTGACAATTGGCAGTGATATGATCCTGACAGAAGGTGTGATGGCTTTGTATCTAGGGTGTACTTGTATTGTGATGAGTAGACTGCTACTGAGCAACTACTCTGTATGGTCAGCGACGATTGAACTGGAGCGGCAACGATTACGAGGTAAAGCCACCACCAGCGCTTTCTGTCCTGGGGTTGAAGGTGGGTGCTCAGATCTAGCGGGGTCAATCCCTTGGAGCACGCAATGTGATTCGTCCGGATTTCAACGTTCGTCCTACACTTCTACTCAACCAAGCCCGCGGTCCTCACTCAACGCATCTTGTGCACCTAGCCACTGGAAACTAGCTAACGACATCTCATCATTGAGGTGTGGCCCACCAGACCTCGGACATCTGCGTTGTAAAACTGCGCAAGGAGACGGGGAACGAAAGAAAAGGATAGAGGGTGTATCTGTATACGTGTGAAGTCGAGCGAGTCCTTTGCCTTGGCCAGCGCGCGCGTCTCGACGGTCTGTCTCCCCTTTTCTATTTTCCTGGGAGACGCCGAGAACCGAGCCTCAACTCTGCAGAAGCAGGAGAAAAGAGGTGCCTATTGACGATTTTGTTTTCTTTCTTTCTTCTTTCTTATTCCAAGCGCAAAGGGGGCTAGGAGCAGAGCACGAGGCTTTGGGAAAAAGATGTCGCGATTCGTGTCGGCGGGCGCGATCAACGCCGAGACGGGCGAGGCTGTTGCCGCCGAGGAGGCCAAGAAGGGGGACGACGCGACCGCGGCGGTCGCTGCCGAGCCGAAGAAGAACGCCGAGTGGGAGATTGTGCAGAGGGAGCTCGAGGCCGAGCGGAAGAGGAGGGAGGAGGCGCGGATCAAGAGCGTCGAGGGCGGAGAGAGGAGCCTTTACGATGTCTTGCAGGCGAACAAGGGTGAGTTTCTTCTCTCTCTCTCTCTCTCCCGCTGTTCAGATGTTTGAGTGGCGATGCGAGAGAGCGTGTACCGCCAGGCTGACAGCGCGCCGATAGCCGCGAAACAGGCCGCGTTCGAGGAGGCCAACAAGATCAGGAACCAGTTCCGCGCGCTCGACGACGACGAGATTGACTTCCTTGACGATGTGCGCGAGTCCAAGCGCGCCGAGGAGGAGCGGGTGAGGCGGGAGACGGAGGAGGGGCTCGCGGCGTTCCGCAGGGCGCAGAACCAGAAGAGGCCCGTCGACGACGACGGCGACGGTGCCGCCGCGGCCGGAGGGGCGGGGACGCTGCAGCGGTCGCGTCCGGCGGGGCAGGGAGCGCGCGGGGGACGGCGCGGGCGCCGAGGAGGAGTGGACTGTCGGGCCGAGGAAGCGGAGGAAGAGGGAGAGGGGGTTCGGGGTGAAGCGGGAGAAGTCTGGGGAGGGGGCGCCGGGCGAGGGTGCGAAGAAGACTGAGGAGAAGGGGGTGGAGAAGGCTGCGGCGGCTACGACGCGCCAGGGGGGCGAGCAGGAGGAGGCCGCGAAGGGCAGCCCGCCTGCGCCGGTGAAGGGGAAGTTGAGTCTCGTGGCGTATGGTTCGGACTCGGACGATGATTGAGGGGACTGGAGATGAGGAGTCCATGTGTGCCGTTCCTGGAGAATGGGATCTCTGCGCGAGGGGCGGGCTGAGGCCCATAGCACGGACGGATGGGTCGATGGGATTCGGACGATACATGATGAACGAAAAGAGGAGTGTACGGTAATATTCGTATCAAGCGGAGGTTGAGTGAGCTTTTGCTCGACGAACCTGGTCTATAATGCCCCTCCCTCCACGCGCCCCGTCCATGCAGCACACAATCAAACTACAAGCTAGAATTACAATATGTTTTGAGCCCGCCGCGTCACCGGCGGCCGGGGTATAGTTATACAGCCCTCCTCGCGTCTCTCTCTTCTCCCGGACGGAAGCCTTCGATGACACACTCACTCATCAATGTCGCCGACGTTGGGGCCCTTGCGCTGGTCCCCCCTGACGGCATCCCACCCCCAGCGGCCCAGCGCCCTCAGGCTGCCCTTGATCCACCCCTCGACCTCCTCCTCCGGCACGACGATCTGCCTCGCGCGCTCCTCGTCCTCGGGGCGGATCTCGAACCGGCGCATGCGCGTCGCGATGCGCGGGTCGATGACGACGGGCGACGTCCAGATGCGCTCCTTTGTCCGCTCCGCCTCGTCCGCTGACTCGGGCGCCTCGGCGGCCTCCTTCCACACGCTCTTAACCCAGTTGTGCTCCTCGTGCTCGAGGGCGCGCTGCTGCTCGTACGGCTGGTCCGGGTGTTCGGACGGCTCCTCGCGCCACTCGCGCGACGCGGCGAAGCAGGCGGCGGCGACCTGGCGGCCGATATCGTCGGCGAGGCGGCGGCGGTTGAGGAAGCGCTGCATGCGGGTGAAAGTGCCGGCGAAGCCGAGGAGGTGCGGGAAGGGAATGGCGTCTGAGGGGGAGAACTCGGCGGGGATGTGGAGGGGGAGGTGCGAGGTCGGGTAGTCGAGGGGAGTGTTGTGGGGTACCGGCTGGGGCGGGCGGTCGGACTTCTTTTCTTCCTTGGGGGGTTCTTCGTCCTTCTTTTCTTCGGTGCCGGCGGCGGCGGCGGCGCCCTCCGCTGCTGTCGTCTCGGGGCCCTCGGTCATTTGGGCGGTCTCGGGTTTAGGGGGCTCCTCGGGCTTGGGCGGGGGTCGAGGGGGCCGAGCCAGCCCTCGTGCACGCCGCGGACGTACTCCTTCCACGTGTGCCGCCCGATGACGATGTCGCCGGCGGGGCCCTCGTACTCGGGGATGCCGTTCTTCTGGCGCATGGCGTCGCGGATGTTCTCCTCGGTCAGCAGCAGCTCGACGTCAGGCCTCTCCTCACGGCTCCTGCGGCGGCGGATCTTCTCGGCCACGGCGGCGCGGACGTCGCCCTGTTGGCGTCCCTGGACGAATTCCCAGTCCAGTCCGGAGGCGGCAAGGATCGGCTTGATGTACTCGAGGAAGTGGTCCTGGGCGACGCGCAGGCCGTCGCCGGGGGGCGCCTCGAGTAGGACGGTGAGCTTGCGCGGCAGCTGGGACGGGTGGCCGATGGGTTCCTGGGCGAGGGGCGCGACGGCACGGGCCCAGCGGGCGGTGGCGCGGTTCTTCTCGCGCTTGTCGTAGATGATGGCGGCGGAGATGGCGCCCGTCACGGAGAGGAAGATCATCCAGTTGCGCGAGGGGAGGCGCTTGGGGGGCCCGCGGAGGCCCATCATCTGCCAGACCGGGTTCGGTTTCGCGGCTTTGTAGCCCTCAGCAGCGGAGGCGGGGGCTGAGGGTGTCGGCTTCGGGGCTGCGGCCGCCTAGGAAGGGTGTTGTTAGTTCTGAGAGGGGAAGGTAACTTTGACGGTATCGCGGTTTTACTCACCTCGGGCGGCGTGGGCTTGGAGTCCGCCATGGTTCGGGTGTGGACCAGGCAGGTAGGTATTAGTTGGTATAAAGAGTCGGCAGGCGTCAATGGGGCATCACAGAGAGGATGCGCTCGAGAAGGTGGTTGCTCGCAATGCCTCCTATCGTACACCTTGAGGCCGGGTCGGGAATGAGGTTTTTGGAAATTTTACCTCTTGGTCGCGATAAGAGCTTCGCCGAATTATCGGATCTAGCCGTCCCTAAACGGCATGGCGCGGCTTATCGCCCGACCGCTTTCCCCATATGGTCTGAGATCCGTGCGTAGCGAGACCTTCAACATCAGCGACTTTTTTTTTAAATCTTTTGTTTACTTTTGTTCCGATGGCCAGATGAATGTACAGGAAATACAGCCATGTCAGGTGTTGATGAAGCTAGATGAGCTTGGAGCAGTATCCCTTCTCAAATTTTCAATCCTCGAGAAGCCTGCCGGAGGAGTTTCAAGCACAAGCAATCCGTCCCTGTGTCTGGACCCGACTCTCCGCCGAGATCCACGCGGCAGCGTCTAGCGTGAATTCGATGGCCTGGCGATCCCCAGAGTTGACGGCAGATCTGGGTGCATGATCGACTCATTGGCAGAACGACAAACAAAAAGTCGCGATGGCAGGCAGTTGCATCATGAAATGGGTGCTTGTCCTGTGTTTGCCATTGGGCGGCGATGGCAACGAGTATGGGGCTGTCCGTGGATCACTGGGCAAAATCTGATACAGGCACAGGGCGTCCTTTGAGCCGAACGCCGTCTTGAACCGCGAGCCTCGTCATCGAGCTGAAAAGCATTGTGTGGCGGTGGCCTGTGGTCTTTTCCCGTCACGAGTACCCGCCGTACGAGCTCGAGGTGAGTTGCTTGTGGCATCTTGTGGGCCTCAACCTGGAAGTGTGTGCTCTCGGTGCTTGTTATTGATGGGCAAATGCAGCTGAACGGATCGGGATGCCGGTAAGCTGCAACCTGCCACAACATCGAGAATTCAGAATGCTATGCAGAGGGCCAAGCGTGTAGCGTTGCCATGTGCCACGGATGAGCTTGGAAGCCTCGTGCCGTGACGGGTGTAACGACCGTATTCAGCGGGTACGGCGTGCTTAGCATGAAGGGCTACTTATTCCAAGTGCATATCTCACGGCGGCTGTCTATGGCCGACGATATCTCGCGCGCAAGGGGCGCCAGGTTGCTGGGTACAGTTGCCTCTCAGGCTTCTGGCTGTGTAGAGAGAAGGGGAGTAGAACGAGCCAGTAGCACCTCCGGCAGCGACTGAAGCCTTTTCAACGCGGTCGGGTGAAACCCTGTCACCGGGACGAAGTGACGTGCGGTCAAGGGCGAGACGAGACGGCAATGGGAGAGATGAACGTGGGGGAAGGGATAGCCATGCTTGGGGCGGGCCCGCAGGCTGCGTAAGTGATGCGACCGCTCAAGCGCTTTGAGGGGTGTTTGCAACGGTCTGAAGTCGCCTGTGGTGGACGGCCAGTTGGGAGGAGGAATCCGGCAGCATGTTGAGACGACGTTATACAGAAAGGGCAAGCGATAGAGACGGTTGAAAAGCCAATCGCGAAGACGGAGGATGGAGCTATCAAAGTAGTTGTTGCATCTGTCGAGTTCTCGGTCTCAGGTGGACGGATGAATGCGGCTTCATCGTCCGAGCAAGGCGACTTGTAGCCGCGAGACACGGCAGTCGACCCAGGGTTCTTGGAGTGGCCGAGTTCACCGTCCATGGTTTGTGTCGTTTCGCCAGTGGCTGAGAAGGGCGTTGGGGGTGGGTTGAATTAGAGCTCGGTGACTAAGACGCAATCGAGATTCTGGCTAAACTGTCGGTGAAGAGGGGCCGCTGAGCAAAGGTAGCTGGAAGAGCCGGGCTAAGCGAGTTCCAAGGGGGAAAAGTCCCTGAACAACGAAGCACCTGCCTACATCCCTTTCTCTCTCTCTCTCTCTCTCTCCCCCTCCCTCTCTCTCTCTCGCTCTTGCAGTTGCCGGTGCTTAGCATTGTCGTCCCCGCCCCTCCTTCCTCGGTGTCTGCCGCCCCGCACATGATGTGGGTCCGACCGGGCAGCAGCGACGACCGAGAAGCAGAAAAAGGAAAGACTGCCTTGCGTTGCGTGTTGAAGAATGTCCAGTCACCTGCAACAACAGCCATGTTATCCCCAAGAGAAAAAAAACTAGGCGTGATAACTCAGCTGCACAGTCGGTAGTCAAGAACCATGTTTTGTGCCCTGCTCCCCTCGTAGGGCCAGGTCGTCAAGAACTTCAGGTGGAGGAGAAGAGAAGCGGCGGAGGGAATCCCAGCAGATGAGTGGATGCGACTCCGACCCCACCTCGACAACATCCAGCCACTCGCAGCTCGTCCTTTCTCGAATCTCAGGGGTAGTTGGGGTCCAGCAAGGCCCCCTCCAAGGCCACCCAGATCCACGTCTCTGCTTCAGCGTGCCAGCGTCTCCTGAACCGGCCCAGTCCCTGGATTCCCAATGTCAAGTCTCCGTCTGGTCTCTGCTGGTCTCTGCTGGCCTCATGCCCTCCGGCAGTGCCTTGGCTTAGGCTCTGACTTGGGAGGGCAGACGTCTGCAGCAGTGTGTGTAGCCCTGACACGGCCTCGACACATCGAGGACGGACTGACTGAATGACACTGAACCCAGTTGCGTTGACCCGTCGAGAGGTACAGAGGTACATCGGTACTTTGGCCGTTGGACAGCTACCCTCCGCCCCACGGCCGACCCTTTCGCCTCTGCACCTCTCCTAATTATTTTGTGGCTCCCTCGCAGACACCCCCGCCAACAAGTCACAAATCTCCTCAGACCGACCCCAAGTCGTGAGTGCTGAGTCCCAAGTCCCAAAGGCCTGGCCGAATATTCTCCCACTCAACTCGACACAAGCATCGGATTGGCCTGGACCGACTACCCCTCGACCGCCTCCTATTCCGCCATCCGTCAACGGCGAGTGTCTTGTCGTCAACCAGACCAGCACCACCGCATCAGACTAGCACAAGCCGGTCTCGTGACCTCGACTTCTCCCTTCTCTACGGAGACCTTGCCTCAACTTCAGCTTTGCCCTTTCCCCCCCACGCCTCGCTCAAGCCAAGAGGTACCTCGTTTGGCCGCCTCAGATCCCGATTACCTGACAGACAGCTAGCTACCTTTGCTAGTACCCTACCTAGCTTCGTCCCGACAGTACTAGTCCGTCCTTTACTCATAGTTGGCACCCGGGGAGAATCACCCCTTAGAGCCTTGAGCCCCTCTCCGCCACCTTTGCGCCTTATCGACAGTTCCTCCCCCTTTCGTCAACTGAGGAAAACAACCACCAGCCATTTCCCCCCATTCGCCCCTTGACACCACAAGGTACGAACCGTTGTCCACGACTTTCCTATCCCGTTGTCCCCAGCCCTTGACCTCTGCTCATCTCACGAGGGTACGCACTTACGCTTCCTCATCAAGCCTCAGTGGGTTGCGAGGACCTCCCATCCACCCACCCGCCCACCGCAATCTATTCTTCCTCGACAACCGCACCGGGGGACGCCCCCAATCCATCCAACCACCCGCCTTGTCCCTGCGCACTGCGGCTGCAACCTTCCCTCCTCCATTGCAGCCTCCCCGCCGTCTAGCTTGTAGCCGCAATAGCACTCGAGCCGCTGCCTCACTTCGACGATCCCCTTGGCCATAGCACGCTGTCAATTAAACCGCCATATTGCTAGTCGCGCCCGCACAGCCCGCGCAGCCCCCTACCCGCACACGCCGTGCCCCCGAGTCAAGACGAAACCTTCGACATGGAGGGCAATAATAACCGCCTCTACCTCAACATTGGGAACAACAACGACCGTTTGGCTCCTGGCGGCGACCGACAGTATCCCACCACGCCCTCCACCTTCCCCCAGCCCGTCTTCCCTCACCAAGGCCAGCATCAGCAGCAGGCCGGCATGCAGCATCAGCAGCAGCAGCAGCCGCCTCAGCAGCAGCAACAGCCGTACGCCGCCGGTTACGCTCCCTCTGGCTACTTCATGCAGAACCAGCAGCAGGGCCAGTACCCTCCTCAGGGCCACGGAGACTACAATGCTGCCTACCAGCCTCGGTCCAACACGCCCGGCACCAACGATCCCAATGTCGGTCTCGCTCACCAATTCTCCCATCAGAATCTAGGCGGCGCTGCCCGGGCATCACCATATGGCTCTCGCGGTCCCTCGCCTGCTCAGCGACCTCGCACTGCCGGGGCCCCAGGGCAGGCGCCGTCTGGTTATGGACACTATGCGACGCCCCCGATGCCCACCCAGTCGGCAGCGCCTGTCGAGGCCTTCGCCCCGGCTCCTGAGCGCCTCTACGAGAAGTACGGCCCGAACGCCAACAACAACCAGAAGAAATGCACCCAATTGGCCTCCGACTTCTTCAAGGACAGCGTGAAGCGCGCCAGAGAACGCAACCAGAGGTGAGCACCGAGGTCCGCCGTGACGATGTAACATACTGACCGTGCCGGCACACAGACAAAGCGAGATGGAGGCCAAGCTCTCCGAGCCCGGCCAGAGCCAGCAAAGACGTGAGCAGATCTGGTCCACGGCTGGCCGCAAGGAGGGTCAGTACCTGCGATTCCTGCGGACCAAGGACAAGCCCGAAAACTACAATACCATCAAGATCATTGGCAAGGGCGCTTTCGGTGAGGTCAAGTTAGTGCAGAAGAAGAATGACGGCAAGGTCTACGCCATGAAGTCCCTAATCAAGACGGAGATGTTCAAGAAGGACCAGCTCGCCCACGTCCGTTCCGAGAGAGATATTCTGGCCGAGTCTGACAGTCCCTGGGTGGTCAAGCTCTACACCACTTTCCAGGACTCGTACTTCCTGTACATGCTGATGGAGTTCTTGCCTGGAGGTGACTTGATGACGATGCTGATCAAGTACGAAATCTTTTCCGAGGACATTACGCGGTTTTACATTGCCGAAATCGTTCTTGCGATCGAGGCCGTTCACAAGCTGGGCTTCATCCATCGGTAGGTTCAATGTCTTGACAGGCTATGAGTTCCTGAAGCTGACACCCTAAGTGACATCAAACCCGACAACATTCTCTTGGATCGCGGAGGTCACGTCAAGCTGACCGATTTCGGTCTGTCCACCGGTTTCAACCGCCTTCACGACAACAATTACTACCAACAACTGCTGCAAGGTCGATCCAACAGACCGCGTGACCGTAACTCTGTCGCCATTGACCAGATCAACCTTACCGTCAGCAACCGATCCCAGATCAACGACTGGCGTCGGTCGAGGAGATTGATGGCGTATTCCACCGTCGGAACGCCCGACTACATTGCCCCTGAGATCTTCACGGGACATGGCTACACTTTCGACTGCGATTGGTGGTCACTGGGTACCATCATGTTCGAGTGCTTGGTCGGATGGCCTCCTTTCTGCGCCGAAGACAGCCACGACACGTACCGCAAGATTGTCAACTGGAGACAGACGCTGTACTTCCCTGATGACATCCAGCTCGGTGTGGAGGCTGAAAATCTGATCAGAAGGTAATTCACGCGCCCCATTGTTTTGCTCTTTAACTGACAAAGATGCAGCTTGATCTGCAACACGGAGAACCGTCTGGGTCGCGGAGGCGCGCACGAGATCAAGCAGCACTCGTTCTTCAGGGGCGTCGAGTTTGACAGCCTGCGTCGCATCAGAGCACCCTTCGAGCCTCGCCTGACTTCCGCCATTGATACCACCTACTTCCCGACCGACGAGATTGACCAGACCGATAACGCGACCATTCTCAAGGCGCAAGCCGTCCAGCAAGCCCGCCAGGGTGTACCTGCGGTGGTCGAGGAGTCTCCCGAGATGAGCTTGCCCTTTATCGGCTACACCTTCAAGCGTTTCGACAACAACTTCCGATAAGCGTCATATTCACATCACTGGTGGTCCGCTCAGTGTTACAGTCTCCTCGTTTTTGGGGATCATCTGTTTCGTTGAGCAAAGCGAAGAGGAGCGGGGGAGCACAAGGCAATGTCTTGCTGGTCACTGCATTTTGCTTACTACCGATCCAATACACCGGATTCTTGTCATGAAGACTTGCATTTACCGTTTTTGTTTTTTTCAATTACTGCATAAAGGGCGTTGATGCGCATCAAGACACAAAAATCGCACACATCATGTAGATGGAAGAGGCGGACTGGGATGTGCCTCTGGAGGCTTTCATCGAGATGGGCTGCGGATGCCTAGAGCATACATTCTCACGAGACGCATGAGTAGGAGTCGGAAGATGGGAGACGAGCGGGAGGCGTCAGATCTAGTGGAAATGCAGGATCTACATACAAGTCATGGACGCTGTTGTGAAATTCAGGAGACACGAGGACGACTGGCAACAGTAGTGGAAAGATAGATGCAATCGAGATGATGCATTTGAGAACAAAACCGACTACCCTAGTATTTTGACTGGACTGTGTGCAACTTTTGAGGTTCGTGTTAGCCCGTCTGTACCCCTCGAAGGTTTAATGAGCATCCTTACATTTCCCATGACCTACGCCGTACGCCGTGATATCTTGATGAAGCTGCCTTCTGCTTTATCCGCCCTACAACGTTCCACTGAGTAATTCGGACGCCTGCGAGCCCGGATGTTTGCTGAGCTTTGGTCGGGACACCGTCGCATGTCAAGATCTGCCATGATCTCCGCCGGATTCCCACACAGCAGATCTTCGCCTCAACCATACGCCAGCACGCACCCCAATTATACAAATCCCCAAAATTCCAATTTAACAAACCTCCCCTGCCTCATCTCCTCGTACCCGGCGCCGCGACGTACCTCTCCTCGCGCTCCGACATGAACATGACCTGCAGCCAGTACTCCTTCGCATCGGGGTCCCAGAAGCTGAACTGCTTGTCGTCGCGCTTGTCGAGCTCGCGGGCGGGGATCTTGAAGCCGCATGTCTCGTAGGGCTCGGCGGCGACGAGGAGGTACTGGAAGTTCTTGTCGGGCTCCTCGACGCGCTGCGTGAAGGCGTTCATGACCTGCCACTTTGGCTCGACGTCGGGCGCGATGTCGGGGTACTGCAGCTGGAACAGCAGGCCCTGCTGGCGCGTGACGGGGTCGCGGATCTTTGTGATCTTGTAGCCGGGGCGGCCGATCTTGATGATGTTGCGGCGGGCGCCGGCGCCGAAACCAGCGCCGACGACGCCCATGGGCAGGCCCGTGGCCGGGTCGATGTTCTGCTTGCCCTCCTTCTGCTCGCGGGCGGCGCGGCGGGCGAGATTGGTCTGGTGCTTCTTGCCCTGGGTGTGGGCGAGATAGGAACCGTCGTTCTGGTGGACCGTCAGACAGAGGCGGCATTCGAAGGAGCCGACGTGGTTCTTGAAGAAGTAGGGGTCCTTGTCGAGGTCGATGGTCTCGAGCGCGAGCTTGCGCAGGCGCTCGCGGCGGTCGGCGTTGGTCGCGGAGAAGGAGGCGACGCCGCCGCCGCCGAACTTGGAGCCGGCGCGGTTCTGGTAGTCCATTTTGGGAGGTTGTTTGCTTCTTTTTGTCGTTAATCGAAGAGGTCTGTTGCTTTTTGGGACCGGTTTGTCTTGAAGGAGGAAAGTTGCGCGGTGGTCCGAGGGAAAGAGACCTCGTTTCGGTGGGAGAGGAAGGGGCGGGAGGTCGGGTGTTGGAGGTTGGAGGCGGCGCTGGATGGAAAATGCGACGGAAGCTTGGAGTCGCGAAATGCAAGGTTCACCTCGGTGAAGGACCGCCCGGCGGCAAAATCTTCCGGCAACATGGGCCGTGCACCACCCACCGCTCCTCGGTGAGTTCGGTCAGCCCCGTTTGTTCACGACTTCACACACTTGCTTCCTGACCAACACGCAGCGACTGCACGCCTCTGTCACATCGTCAAACAGCCTGTCCACGCCCTGAGAAGCTTTCATCCGGCTCTCTCTTTCTCTTCATTCGATCGGGAGGCTGTATACAGCAATAATCAAGGGGGCGTGGCGCAATGGTAGCGCTTCTGATTCCAGTCCAGAAGGTTGTCCGTTCGAGTCGGGCCGTCCTCATCTTTTGCTTTTTATGAGCTCTGATGGCTTTTTAAAGTGTATTTGTTATTTTCCTCGACTTTTTGTGTATAGTTTCTATTATTATCATTTTTGGGAGAAGGGAGCGCGGGTTGCATAGTGATTTGTAGCAGCCAGCTATATTTTACCAAATCAATCGGGAGGTGTATCTTTTGAGCTTCAATTATTCGAGCAAGATACTCAGTCCAACTCCTGTATAGCCTATGCTTTCGCCTGAGATTCTATGAGCACTCAAGCTACACAAATGGATGAGGAGTCTTCCAGCGACCCATGGGATGTATGGCAGCGTGTTCAAGTGACCAACCAGGCCGGAAAAAAACCATGGCTCCAGTCACCTAGCTGAGTAAAAGTCTGCAAAAGTCTGTGGAGGCTGGCGAAATTGCCAGTCAGTGGCTGGTGATTAACATCCCGAGGCGAAGCTCAAGCATTTGCATAGCGGCTTTGCGCAAACGCCCATTGGGCCTTTCCCGGCACACCTTGCTTTGGAATATTTCTGAGCAAGAAACCTATCATTGGGACTGAAAAACAACATTGTGGTTCATCGTTGAAGTAGGCGGTTGCCCAAGAGTGGACCAGAGCATTGTTTTCATCATGTCAATCATTCAACTATTGTATTATATCCGGCAGCCCCCTCTGCGACCACTTCGTCAAAATATTTTTGCCCATCCCTAGAATGTCTTGAAATTGTACAAAAAAATACAGACGCTAAGTATGCTCAGTTTAGGCTTCTGATGCCGCTCATTCAACACTCTCTTCCGTCCCTTCTCGTTGCAAGTCTCAGAAGTGCAGAGAAGGGCTGATGGAGACGATGTCGGAATGATATGACGAATATGAAAACATCACATCCTTATATCCACATGAAAATGAAACGCCGTTTTGAATATTGGGTCAGGCAACCCACTCCAGCAGATACTCAGACACGCGCAAAGGCTCACTGGCAATCATCTCATTATAAACTTGTTCGATCTCCACGGAGCAGACCCTTAAACATGGACCGTCTCTCCGCTTTTATTACTGGGATTCCCATCGGAGGATAAGACTCGAGACGTTGAAGAAGTCCCGTCTTTGGAGCGGTCCTCGGATGTGGCGTTGGTCTTTGAACGCAAAATGCCCCTGTCCTGCCAAATGCGTAGGTAGGGGCGAAGTGAGGGTAAGATGCTGACGATTAAGCCGACATGGCCGTCTGCGATTGCCAAAGCCTCTGCAAAGAATTTTAAGCCTGGGAAAGGGGGCATTTGAAAAAGCTACGGGTAGCCTTACCTCCGGTGTTGAGAGCTGGCTCTGGAGTGAACACAGCTTGAACTACGAGCCACCTTGCGAGGGTGATCAAGATGTTGATCAATCCGATGCTGAAGGTAATGCTGGCACTGATTTTCTGCGCTTTTGACATGTTCAACTTGCTGATATAAACAAGCGGAAGGACGAAGACTGGGTTTCTCTGGTGAGCAGGAGGCGAATATGCATTGAAATGTCACTCACTGAAGATATCCGACGTAAAGTGAAAAGCCCAGCCGAGATTGTCATTTACTTTCCAACAACGCTGGGGCAGGAGTCAGTGTATGACCTGCAATACATAATTAGCAATCATAGAAATAACCCAGCGAAGGGTAGATCGTACCAATAACAGCCCCACTGGCAGGAGAACAAAATCATACACATCGTCGTGATGAAGCCAGCGGCACAGTAAAACACAAGGCAGGCTAGTGAGATTCGGATCTTGGTAGAGCCCTTGCCGAATATTTCATAGTACAGACAAATAAGCGTCCCCTTGTTGAAATATTGTTCAAAGTAAAATGGAAAATATAAAAAATAGAGCACCTGTATCACAAACGTGTCAGCTCATTCGTGTTCTACTTCCGGCTGGTATATGCAGAGAAATAGCAATCAAGTTACATACCCTGTACACATAAACTGACTCTTCTTCCGTCGCTACCCAGGTGGTCATCTTGAAATCGATGCCCGGCTCGTAGACCCCCCGGAGGTAAAGCGTGACATCGACCGCGTTCAGCGCGACACCAGCCGCGAAAGCCGCAGCAATGAATGCATCGCTGAGGACAAATCCTGACTTGAGGTAAAAGAGTCGTAGGTTGAGCCTCGCGATGATGAGGCAGAGGGCGATACTGATTAACGACCACTCGATGGCCTGGTAATAGTACAGGGTTAGTTCGAGATATGTGTCCGAATGCAAAGGATTACGTAAACATACAATCAGTGCTTCTGCCGGGATACCTCTCATCTTTGCCTAGTCGCCAGAGAGGCTCGGTTTACGGTGTTGTGTCGTGATAGACCGTTGTCCAGTCCCTGCAGAGCAGATTAGGATTGGAGGTTGGACAAGGGAAACTGTCAACAGACAGGTCCCCCGTGTTGGCTGGGGCCAGCCCTTTAAAGAGTCCCATCCTGTTCCGAATGTATCAATCTGTGGCTTTAACTTCATGTGAAGGACTCGCAAACTCGATGCAGATCTAACTGCGCTAATCTTGAAGCATACATGATTACATTGTCAATTCAGCCACTCAAAAACATGACAGCGGCGTGCGGGCTCTGGGCTTCTGACTGACTCACTTAGATCAAAGATCGGGGCGCTCTAGGCCCTTGTGGAGGTGAGACAAGGACCCCATAAGCGTTGGGAATACATCACGTCCTGTTACAAGCCGTCATTGCGACCTTGTGAAGTACAAAAGAATAAGAAGCGCCGATCCGATATGAGCTGCCTTCGTGCGTCATGCACCGTATCTTGCCTGACCTTGGTACATTGGAAACCTGGATGGGCGGCACTCACCAAGACTTGAGGAAGTGGGATAATACCAGATGATCAATAGGTAGCGGTACTTTGTCTGTATCTGCGGTAAAGTTATTTACGAATGCGGGGACCTGAAGACGGAATGGTGCATGCGCTCTACGTCGCTAGCAGCTAGCAAGATTCCAGCCCCGTCAGCCGGTATTGTGCAACCCTTGACATTGGGTCATTACCATGGGACTGGACTGAGATCGGGTTCCCATAAAGGTAGGCTTAGGCCTTCATCCTGTTTCGCGCGCCTGGAGACGCCCGCCAGCCGCAGTGACCCGTAATTGCGTGCCGTGGCGGAGACTGGTTTGTGACCGTAATGGACGACGGCTTTTGTTCTTGTTTTTTCTTCTTTTCTTCTTTCTTAGGGCTGAGGTATCTTAGTGGGCTAAGCACATTAATGCTTGGTACGTAAGATCGCTCATGCGCGTCCGAGTTCGTAACACCCTTTCGTACCATTCGCTTGTGTTTTACTGTTTCGGCAGTAATGCTTGATGGTTACTTAAGTTTGCTCCAGAACATACCCAGACCGTGACAGATACGCCTCGCTAGTGCAACCGTCTCTGGGGAACATTGAAAAATCTCGTAGCTGTGTGTCTTGGGCAAATGCAGGGGAATAGCCATTTTATTTATTTTTATACATCTACGCTATCAGTTGGTCTTCGCTTGACGAGGGTACCGGTTTTCAACCTTGAACTATAAACATCTCTCTGGGAAGGATTTTATTCATTGGAACAGATTTGTCTATCTTGATTCGTAGGATCTACTCGACTAATTGAAGAGTGAACTCCTTTACGACTACCGAACCACCCAATGACTTCGTAGCGTAGTTGAAAACCGCGAAACGGAAAGCCAAGAAGTATTGCCATCTGTTGTGGCACCAGTAATCGGGGCCTAGCTGTGTAAAGTTCTTTCCGTCGGTGGAATAGAGCAACTGGGCTGGGTTATTCGCGTCGACTCCGAAGGTCGGGTGCAAATCTGCGACAATCCGGAGGTAGATGTCCGTGATTCCATTGGCGACTTCAGACAAGTCAATATCGGTTTCGCTCGCCGTAGCAACAACGGTACCGTTGGAAGTGGTTTGCCAGCCAGAACTTTCAGAAGCGACAATGTCGTGCACAGCGATGAGCTTAAGAGAGCTACCCTCTTTTCGGAAACCGATGTAAGCCGACTCGTCGCGGAAGATTGACACGCCAGCCACGTCGCCATCAGTCATGTTGCCAAGGTTGAGGCGGAATGTGCCACTGCTCTTTGGCCCCAAGATTCGATGGGCGAGGGTATTGCGCGCACTGTAGAGGTCGTCGGTAACAGTTGCAGTACGGAGTGTGAGCCCTTCAGCACCTAGCTTCCAGGCTGTGTTGTCGGGATTGTGATTGAAAGCCCACTCAGGGGAAAGCTTGGACCCGTCGAATTTGTCGGTGTATTCGCCAGCTGCATCAACCGTCTTATCGGTCTGAATAGGTATCGGATAAGTCTTGCCCCAGCCGCCAGCTTCATCGGTCACGATGTGAGGCCATCCCTCTTCATCCCACGTCAGCGGCGCAAGAACCGGGATGCGTCCACTGGGGTAGGCGTCCAAGAAAGACATGTACCACCAATCGCCATCAGGCGTATCCACGATTCCACCTTGATGAGGTGTTCCTGAGTTTGGAATCGGAGAGGCCATTCTGTCCAAGACTGTGCGGTTGGTATATGGTCCCCATGGACTGTCTGCTTTCAGCACATGCTGGCCATCGGCGGGCTTAGTCAACCAAATGTAATAGCTTGAGTTGATATGATAGAACCGGGCTCCTTCCAGATATCGTACTGGATCGACCCAAACAACCTAAACGCAGATCAGCAATCAGTTCCATTAGGCCTTTAGGAAAATGTGAAATGTACCTCGTTCCTCACTGGCTTCAGTCCGTCAGGAGAAAGTTGAGCAACGCTGATGTTGTACCTTCCGTATGCGACGTACATGGTGTCATCGTCGTCGACTAGGATACCCAAATCATAGAAACACTCATCGATGGGCGGTTGCGCAGTCCATGGTCCAGCCGGATCGCTTGCTGTGAAAATCCAAGTCTTCATTTCTCCAGATTGAATACAGCCATACCAGTAGAAAACGCCATTGCTCGCGCGGTACTGTAGACTACTGGCCCAAATCCCGCCTACGTATGCACGGGAGGTACCGTTCAAGTAATACTCATCGCCGAAGATAAGTTCGGGGACGGAGTTTCCGACGAACTCCCAATCGACCAGGTTGTAACTCTTTAGTACGGGAGCACCAGGAGAGTAGTGCATCGTGGAAGCGGTGTAGTAGTACGTGTCATTGACACGAATGACTTCGAGATCGGCAAGATCCTGCCACAAGACTGGGTTTGAGAAGGTGTCCTGCGCTACGACCGTGGCGGCCGCTGCCAGCAGGACTGATGACAGATGAAGCTTCATGTTGGGTTCCGTAATTCCGAGCAAAAGCTGCATCCCAATCCAATAAGAAGATTTCCTACCTGGGGGCTCTTTATACTCACCAGAGTGGCTTCAAGTTGATGTCATGAGAACAATCGGTCCCCAGCGAGTCTCGGGATTCCCCTCGTCATCAGCACCAACCCACCGGAACCGTTACTCAGTGCCAAGTGATATTCACTTGCGCACAAATAAGGCGCCCCTGTGAGTGCCGAACCTGGTTCAAAGATGAGTGCCAATTGGTGCGCAACATCTGGGCTGGGGTTCATCTGGGGCGGCTAAAGGTGGAGGCTGGGGATGCAGCCGATGAAGTGAGGAGAACTGATGGGGTTCTCCGCCATTGTGCGGAGAAGCTGGCTAGACTTGACGTTTGACTACACCATCGGCAATCCTGCATGTAAAGCTTTAAAGTAGCATCACTGTATAGACACTGCTGCATTTCGGAAATAGAGATGAGCCATCAGCATGTAGCTTACGAGGATAGCCAGGCGTCATATCCCTCTCTCTGGTCATTAGGTCCAGCTAGATTTCGGCGTGAATCTCCGTTGGCTGGACAAAAGCATTTGGAGATAGGCGAATGCGATGCAGTTACATCTTCTTGATACATTTAAATGAATACTTGTTGGTTTCACAGGTGGTTGAATTTTTGTACGAGTGATAGCAAAAATCACTTCAGAAGTGGCAATAATTGCCGGTTTTTGTTGGAGATGGAGAAGGGAAGTCAAACAAGCCAGCGTATGCCACTCGTTGAAGCGATGTGCGCGACCCCACCTTGCCAGATGTGGCTGGTGTTGGCCCGCGCCTCCTGTCTCCAGTTGCCTCATGACTACCCTTTTTCAAACAGTATTGTTAAGCAGAAAGGTTTGTTGTTCAAAAGTAAAGGGAGAAAAACTTATCGTTACTGTAGAACTGTGGATTGGTAATAATTTTCCACTCCTATTTTTGTCATTGTTTACAATCCCTATGGAGGTGTCGTGAGCTAGTTAATGTTGATAGTCAACCGTGTTTGACTCAGCTGCTTTCAAGTAAAATTCCAGATCCCACGACAAGGCACTCTTGGTCGTAGCACAGTAGGCCAAGAACATTGGAACGCTGCAGTAGCATACACATTTACGCATACACACAGTAATTTAAGTGCCATGAGAGCTGCAGGACAGCCCGGTGTCATCTGAGCAGATCACAAATAACCTTGTCTTCTAACGGTGTCTCTCTGTCCTGCAACCAGATAATAAACGTCCGACCTGCGGATGCGTTAAACACGTTAGGTAAATGGGTGCAACTTCTATCCAAGCCTCAAATTTGATCTTACAATAAAATAGCATGATCTTCTCGACGTAACTCAAAGTTTCTGCTTCGCCGTTTACGGAGAGCATTGCCGGAAAACGGCAGGCTTTTGGGAAAGCTTCCGAATGAAAGACCGATGGGGCAACTCTTCAAGTTATGCCATTTGAATGTTCTACCGCGCCGAGTCGGGTTCATAACAGGACAGCCCTGTCGGTTGATTAGCTTCGCAGGAACAAGCACGGCAGTGGCATCTGATCCCATTTCGGGTAATTTCTCTGTTAATATATGACTACTTTCAGCACAGAGGATCTCCCGCTGTAAGTGAAGCTTGGTAACTATTGAAAGCCGAATGCATCCCAAAAATAGACCAGCTTGTAGATGGTCTAATCAAACCATAGGGGCATTTGCACCAAAACCGTGCTCTTGAAGGCAGCACGCCTGTGTGATTGATGAAATTCAATAACTAGATAAAGCTCTAGGTGAAGGATACGGAAGTTGAACATCCCGTCTCCCTCCCGCCCCTTTCTGGACCACAAGAGGTGGCATTGTGTTTTCTAAACTATTGTCCTGAGCAATCTTGCTGTTGGAACGTGGTCCCGGTAACAACGAGCACCGCCTCTCGTGTTGTACAATGCGACATTTTCACCGAGTGACTTGACTCAGGCTAACTGTGGAGGTCTCGGCAGACCCACGCGGAGATTGGACCTCCAGTCCAATGCCGACCCAGGAAGGACCTAGAAGGTGTTATTGATGAGTGGAGAAGGATTACTGATATTTTTCACCCCAAAAAACTCTCTCGGTATTGTGGTCAACACAACAGAAACACATAGGGCAAACACGCAAGCAGACACATGGAAAGAAAAATTGTGCTTGTGCTTTGGGAAAACCCATGATCCGGGAGTGAAATAAATGAAGAGGACACTATCTGAGACCTGAAACCTGGATACTGTTTCTCTACCTGTCGAACGTACGATGAGACGGGCATCCGGACGTTGCTGTGGGGCGCCAGTTGAGTGAGGCTCAAACCTAGATTAATTGCCCGAGGTATACATGTGTGTTATATGGCTTGCTAGCATCATCAAAGCCGACATAGACCTCATTGTCCTCTCCTCTTCTAGGAGACTTCCGGCTTGAGAGTATATTCTTCGGTTGCACACGATATCAGAGCTAATAGCAATCAGCCATGCAAGTTTATCCAGCTTTATCAACATATTCAAGAATGCCAATACTTGGCGATGGCGAAGCCCGGCATCATATTGGTGAAGTCAAGGACAGCCACGTCATTAGATGAAAGTCAATATCGATTAAAGAGGATCAAGTACATCTATATTGAACTTCCAGAAAAACCGTCTCAACTTCCCAATAACAGCAGATCAATAGACAAGGATTGTCCTGGATGTGAGAGACATCACGAGTCAATAAGGGGACCTTATACCCCATAATTCAAGGTTTAAGTCGTTGACTTGCTGGAACGTGACCATGGCCGAGTCTGCCGAAACCCAACTGCGCGGCTCGGGGTAGACATCTCCCTGCGAACCCGGAGTCCCACCAGCAGCATCTTAGCATACACCCGGCAGAGACGCGGAAGAAGTACGGAAAAGACGGATTGAACAAACAGCGGGAACGCTGTTCACACAGCCCCATGAGCCCTTTGTCCCACAAACGTGCACATTTCCGTTGCCGAAGGCGACCCGCTGGTGTTGGTTTCCTCTTTTATCAGGGGCTGACGAGGATTTGTATAAGTAGAGGAATGGTCTTCGATGATGTCTGAAGGTTCTGGAGTTATCATTAGCCTCCAGCTCCTCGATCCAGTCTCTCGCTTACAACCCACAATCGTTCTTATACCGACTCTCATTACCTCGCTCTGTTTCAGTAATATCTATTAAGTCTTTCAAATCAATCAAAATGCAGATTTCCGGACTTTTCTCCATCCTTGCTGTCGCTGGTGTTGCGGCCGCCCTTCCTGTAAGTTCGCTAGAACCACCATTTCCCCCAAACTAGTTTTCCAAGCTCTTGATGACTACATCGAATGTGAGACGCATCCATCAGCAACTTCATACTAACAAGTTCAACAGCAGGGTACTCCTACCTTGCCCTCGGGCACCACCAACACCACAGCATCGGCGACTGCCACCGCGACCTGCTCCCCGGGCCCCGCTATCGAGTACACCGTTGTCTCTGGCGACACTCTGACAAAGATTTCCCAGAAGTTCAGCTCTGGCATCTGCGACATCTCTTACGCCAATGGCCTTGCTAACCCCAACTTCCTTTCCCTCGGCCAGGTCCTCAAAGTACCTACCCAAGTCTGCAACCCCGACAACACCTCCTGCTTGGCCAAGGATGGTGACGCCACCTGCGTCAAGGATGGCCCCACCAAACACACGATTGTTTCTGGTGACACTTTCTTCCTCGTCGCCCAGAGATACGGCCTCGACGTGAACGCTCTTCTCAACGCCAACCAAGGTGTTGATCCTCTCCTGCTCCAGCCTGGCGACAGCATCAACATTCCCGTATGCTAAGCGGCCTCGTGCTGTCTACCCGATGGGATCATCTTGCGATCATATGATGCGAGCAAAGATGTGGTGATTTGGTAGGCCTTAATTATGCCTGGGATTGATTTAGAAAGTGGTATAGACGGAGGCTTATTGCATCGAAATTGAAGCGGATATAATCAAACATCGTTCATCACCATGCTGTACCACTTTGAACTTGTACATGACCATGGCGATAACACAAAAACTTCATATTACCGACAAGCTAGCTATATGGCGGTACTTCTATTCTTGGATCAAATGAGAGTCTGCTAGCTTACCCAAGCTATCTTCACTTGGAAATCCCCATATCTTCGAGCCAACAACCGGAGACTTTTCTTAGCTTAGGCGGGGTGTTTAGGCCACGCCAAGAAGTTTAGATGCTTACTGGAAGAAGTAAACGTGAAAGGGGTAGCACCTGTATACTGCAACATTGATAGATGTAGTGAGAGGAAGTTGGTAGCCCGCCTGCAAATGATGGGCGAGACAGAACCACACACATCTGCACAGCAATCCGAACCCACCGCAGCAAGACTCACAAAGGTTCTTTGAAGAATCTCTTTAATAAATCGCCCTCGGTATCGGATTCGCTGCGCGTATCAATAATGTTGAGTCTAGGTCTGTCATCGTGCAACATCGGGTCTCGAAAATACGGAAAAGAAGCGTGTGCCAATCTAGACCAGCACTCAAGTATATAGGTGCTTGAAGGCTTTTCTGGTAATTTGACAAGTACCACTGATACGATACCTCGGGGTAAAAGCCAATGCTGCCTAGATAGACCGCCTTAGCTTTGCACGCGACCTCGCCTAGCTTTGTCAGCGACCCCCGACTCTGTAAGCGGCCTCGTGATGAAATACACTTAGAGAATACAAACCACTTTCAACCTTGTGGCCCTACTGCGTACGGCAAGCTCTCAGCAATAACATCTCTTCTCAAGACATACAGGTATCTGTGGAATTCATTTAATCTAGAAGGGGCTTTGAATCAATCTACTCTTCCTCTTGTGGCTCTTACGGCTACCTATGTGCCTCTAACTAAACGTCTATGTATTATCGTACTTACGCCATCCCTCTCTTCTCAACTTCTCCGACCTTTGTCTGGGCGTGAATCCTGGCAAGTCCAGCCGCAGAGTCCTTCCCGTCGAAAAGCATGGAGATCTCCTCCAGGGTCGGACCCTTAGTTTCGACAAAGAAGAAATATATGACCAGACACTCGATGACCAGACTGTATCGAAAGCTAATTAGCAATTTAACTCTGATAGAGCGACATCACACACTTACATAACAATATAGACAAAGTAAAACCGCCATCCCAACTGCTCAAGCCCCAATGGGTTGACCCATTGGTTGAAAACACCACTGAGAGCAGTGAAACAAAAGCATAGGTTGAGACCCTTAGCACGGATATTGAATGGCAGAATCTCGACCGTGTAAGACACGGTAAGACCAGGCCATGCAGCTCCGGCGACACCGTAGAAGACAAAGATCATGGCAACAACAGCGATACCTGCTGAGGCTGACTGGGTTTGGGCGTATACCGCGCTGCAGGCTGTCCAAATGGAGAAGGAGATCAACATGCCCACACCAGCGAAGAGGAAGAGCACACGGCGTCCGATCCGGTCGACAAAGAAGGCTGCAGTAAGGGAGACAAGCCAAGACCAAATTGTAAGGCCGCCGTTGATGTACGCTTGAGTGATCGAGCTGGAAGGCACATCTGTTAGACTTCATGCACAACCACTGGGCATTATAGATAACATAACTTACTCTTTGAATCCGATGGTACTGAGAATGACAGAAAGCTGGAGGAAGTCACATCAGTCAACGCCCCGATAGCGAACATGGCCATTCACTTACATAGTACGACACCAAGCCGTTACCACTACATTGAGAGAAAATAGCTGTCGCGATGATTAACCCACAGCGTTTGCGGTTGCCCGGGGTGCGAATCAACTCCATCCAGCCGCTCTGCGAGGAAGCCTCCTTCTCCAATCTCAACGTAGTAGAAATCTCGGCCAATTCCCAGTGTGCAAACTCGTCGTTTTCGTTGTTGTTACCGTGATATTTGATAAGGACTCTCTTGGCCTCGGCTTCTTTCCCTTTGCTGATCAACCATCTCGGACTCTCTGGGAGGAACCAGATGGACAGCAACTGAATGCCTGGCATCATGCACTGCAAACCCGTGGGTAGCGTCCACTGGATGTTGCCAGACTGGTTCGTAAGCGTTCCGAAACAGGTCCATGCCGATATGATACTTCCGAGGTACCACAAAGTGTTGTACAGGGTCGTAACCTTACCCCTATGCTGTGGATGAGCGACCTCAGTGATCAAGAGAGGGCAGGTGGCGTTGGAAATATTCGAACCAGCTCCCATGATGAAGCGGCCGATGAGGTACATTGCGTCTCTCCTAGTACCGGCTCCCACCGGGAATGATTGAAGCAGGGCGCCGAATATGACAACCATGCAACCGATGGCCGTGCCCCATTTTCGGCCAAGACCGTCGGCAATGTAGGGTGCGAAGAGTAGGACGAAGAGACCGCCAAAACCGGGCATGGCGCCAAAGATTCCGAGTCGGCTTCCGGACGGATGGTCAAAGTCTGCGGAGAGAGCCTGGTTAGCAAAACAGCTGGATAACCTCATCCGAGATTCTTGCCATATAAGATGGGAATCGACGCCAAGCCCTGATCAACTAAGAAGTTGTTGATGACTTACAGCCCTGCCATGATTGCATTGTCTGGAGACCGTTTAACAAGCTGGCATCATACCCGAGGGTTGTCGAGCCTAGGAAGAGAAACACCATGTTGAAATAAAGCTTCCTAAGCTGTGTCTGTCTGTACCAGGGTATAGTTGTTGCCTCCGGAGGTTGCAGATGGGCGTCGTTCATGTTGGCAACATCGACATGGTCGACGCCGTGACTTTCTTTCTGCTTAAGGTCCATCTTTGTTCACGACCTCTTGAGACTTGAATGACTGAACTACAACTGAACAACGGAGAGAAGGGTTTGGATTGTCGCTACTGGGGATTCATCCCATATTCCCCGGACTCGAGACCGATGAGTGTACTTATAATAACTCGAAGATTCTTCCAGGGCATGCTGTGTCAATTCCGCTCGACGCACACTAACCCCCCTTTCGAACAGCCCACTTCGAGGTGCTTCACCCGATGACACTCAAGGCTGCCGAGCAAACAGGCCACTCAATTCGAGAGCGAGGATAACTTCTTCCTATGAGGCGTGGCTGAGCGGGTTCCGGGCTAGCAAGAAAGAAGTCCAAGGCTTGATCGTCATTGGAGCGACAAATCCCCGTGGGGGTGGAACACTGGAATCCAGAGAAAAGACTGGACGAAGTGAGGACGGGAAGACAAGATCCAATATTGTTTTCCCCACATCAGCTTCCGGGGAAAACTGCTCGCATGGTCACATTATTCGACTGCGTAACCCTGCAGAGAGGAACGCAGTAGTCGATTGGCTACCCACCGTAGTCAGGGACCAGACCACCGGCCGCAACCCAGCGTTCCGGGAAGGAGAAGAATGGATTGTCTGGGGGAGAAGGTGACCCAACCAGCAGCCAACCAGCCCGCACAGCCAGTTGCAGCAGTAATAACCATCTGCAGCAAAACAGCATTCGTTGGAGCACACGAAACAGGAAACGATAGAGTTCTTGGACGGTCTGGAGCTATGCCGTTCAGAGTCTGGACCTGACTCGGCTCCATTCGTAACGCCGCAGTGCGGGGCTTTCCCCTGCACAAAGTGCGTAGAGACTGGGGTCGACAAACAATAAATCCGACGTTTCTGCGGCGCCGGCGATGCGGAGAGTTCAAATAAGCATTTCCCGACAATTCTCCTCGGATCAACGTCTTCACACTCTCTTCTCGTCTCCCCCCTTCCATTCCCCCATTTCCTACACTTATCCTGTCTTGGGTTTTGGGCAGAATGAATGCGGGAATATCACTGGACCGTCTTGATCCATGCGGCCACGTTTTGACGAGATCCATTCTCTCCGCAATACAGCCGATCCAGCCTACCACAACAGCAGCTCAAGCTTCAACGTCGCCTGAACCGGGAACCTGAAGCTCCTCTCCACCCTTGGGTTGCGCCGCATCAGCCCCGGAGCTTCGGTTTTTATTGCGGTGGTTCATACAGGGATCGGTGCCTGCCGCCTGCAATTTGGACCAATTGTCTGATGTGATCTAGTCTTGTCCGTCAGTGTGCTCTAACTCTCAAAGAGGGTCTGAATAACTGCGCGGAGCCATGGAGATCAACCGAGTAATGCCATCACCGGAAGGAAACGGGCCTCCCTCCCCACTTCCGACGTCTCCCGCCTCGCCAGTCAGCGGTAGGACGAAAGCCAAGATCATTAGAAACCAGAACGCCTGCGACGCATGCCGGGCCCGCAAAGTCAGGGTGAGCCACAATCCTGAATATCCCACGAGACTGTGTTCAGATAGTTATTGCCTAACTCCATACCGGAAATCGATAAGTCTGGCGGTCATGACTTTGATCATCGTTGCTTCACCAAAGTCCAGAGACCAAGTTGGGTTGACTTGATCGGCAGTGCCTGTACGGAACAGGAGAGGGCCGATGCCAAGGCTGCACATTCCTCGACATCCAGTGCACGTATGACCGGCCGCGCCGACGGAGAGGACCGCCGAACAAGTTCCGTTCAAATCCCGGCCCTGCATCACAGGGAGCTGCCCACACGCATCAAACACTAACTGAATATTACAGACACGCGCAGCAGCTACAGCTACAACAGCGGCGGCAACAAGGGGCGGCGACATCAACCATCGGTAATCAGAGCCCGGCTGCATCTGCATCGGACATCACCTCACCAGACCAAGGCCTCGCCTACCTGATCTCGCCCACTTCCTCCTCGAACCACACTCAGACGTCTCAATCTCATACTCAGTCTCACGACGTAGCCACCGCCCATTCGGCAGCGGACCTGCGCGCCATCATCGGCGCGCCGAGCCCCAACACGGGGCAACACGACAACCGGCTTGCCCTCTTCGCGTCCGATGACCTCGTTCGCCGCATGCTGGACGACTGGTTCGAGAAGGTCCACGCTCTCGCGCCAGTCTTGCACAGGCGGCGGTTCATGCACCGCCTTAAAGTCGGCGAGGCCAACACAGACCGCACTTTTTGCGCGTTGGTGGTGAGCGTCTGCGCCGCGACCGTGGCCACGCTGCGGCGGGCGGATTACAGTCCTGTGACTGTGGAACGGTGTCTGGATTTCATCGAGGAGCAGCACCTCCTAGACCATGGACTGAGGAAGCCTTCGTATTCGCTGGATTGGTGCATTGCCATGTACAATATCGGCACGTCAGCTAGCTCGTTGAACGAGGACGGGCTAGGGGACATGGGGTCGTTCCATGGTATGTCCGAAGCAGCGGCGTGTGCGAGGTTCCTTGCGTACTACCGCATGGCCGATCTGGACATGTCAGAACAGCAGTTGCTGAAGCGGCTCTTTTGGCTGATCTTTGCGTCGTATTGGTAAGTAGGCGAGGCCCCCTTGCACACACACAACCCCCGAGAACTTGAGATGAAGAACAACCTTCGTTTGACAAAATTTTCAACCTTACAGCAGTGCGGACATATTCGGAAGACTGTCTGTAAGCATCGTCTCCCACCAAGAGAACCGCGCCCACCTACGCCCATTGCCGCTGACAGACTCTCAACTCGACACGGGACCACAACTGTCGGCCGCGGAATTGCCACCGTGGCACGGCGACACGGTGACGTATGTACCGGGCTTGAATCAGCTCAGTGACCTCTTCTTGACATGGCATGAGGCGCAAACAGCCCCTGTTAGCCTCTACGGTGGGCAAGAAGAGGCCCTGAAGCATTTCCTCTCTAGGATCCAAACAATAATTGACAACTTCCCTCCTGAGCTGCGCTGGCGAGGGGGACTATCCCGGCCAGCACACATAACGGAAGGCCACGACACACAAATTGCCAATCTGTTCATCACGAGCCTCAACATCCGCTCCAATCTGCTGCAGAAGTTTGGATCCACCGTCAAGACGCGTGCGTTGGAGCATCAACGCATTGTTGACGACTTGTTGGAGATCCTTTATCATATGCCCCAGCACGTTCTGGAGCAGAATGGATACTCTTTGATTCCGAAGCTGAGGGACTGTGGGGCGGCATACATGGAACAGATGAATATTGGTGACAGCGGAGCCCCGGAGGCCTTGGTGAGTGAGAGTGCCAGACACAAGCTGGAGAAACTCCTAAGAAAGTTGGATGACATAGACTGCTGGCCGGGGCCCCCTGGTGTTGAGAGCCCACAGAGTAATAGGCAGTGAGGAGAAACAATAATCAAAGGAACTCAGCCAAACCAAAACTGCCTGCGTGAACCGACCATGATACCTCGCTACGTGGGGGCTGCAATACCTACTCAGGCGGCAGCCGAGCGCAACGCTAGACTCCACACACCCACCCGATGTTCTCTGTGTGTGGGTTGCGGAGACTTGCAATTCTGGGGACAGTGGGTTGTCAGGAGAGCTACAGCCGCAACAGATGCGAAGTATTTCCGAGCCAAGTCACATCGAACCCAGAAACTCCGAACAAGAGTCTAGTTCCCTTCCGTTCAGTCATACGTCATATCTAATGCAGGGTGGTGTGAGTCCGAATATGTTTACCCGGTGTCACCCACATTTGTTTCCCTGGCAGGATTTGCGCCGTGCATGAGCTTCATCTTGCGAAGAAAAGCCGAAGATGGTTCGGACCGTCTCAGCCCATCAGATGATCTGCAAACATTACTCTGATTTCCGCGACCAGTGTGGGCGTCTTTCCTTTACAAACGCCCCGAAGCGAGCGAATGGCGGTGTTCCGACTACTCATCGAAGCAGCAGTCCACGCGGAGGGGCATACAGCAGCTGTCGTCGGAAGTGAGAGCGGAGTTTGTGTCGATGAGGACCCTCCAAGACACAGTCCGATGGCAGAGAAGTAGCTCGGGGCAATGCTTGCTCGAAGTTATCTGAACTTATTTCAACCCAACGACGAGCAACGGTTGTTTCCCATTGATCACCTCTAGTTCCTTAGTCTCTCATTCTACCATCCTTCCCCTGTCCCACTTCTTCCGCTACCCACGAATCCTCAGTCCTTCGCCCATCATGACAGCATTCGAACAGTCCCCAGAATCGCAACTTCCGCATCTCCGCCGCAGCAATGGCAACACTCAGATCATCCTCAAGGGCAAGCCCTTTCTCATGCTCTCGGGCGAGCTGCACAACTCGTCTCTCTCGTCGGCCCGCTTCATGTCCGAGGTCTGGCCCGCCATGAAGGCCAATCATTTCAACACTCTCCTCGGCGCCGTGACTTGGGAGGACATCGAGCCCGTCGAGGGCCAGTTCAACTTTTCAGAGCTTGACGCTGTGCTGGCCGGCGCGAGAGAGCACGGCATGCATCTCGTGCTTCTCTGGTTTGGAACCTACAAGAACGGCATCTCGACATACGCCCCGCACTGGGTCAAGCGCGATACGAAACGTTTCCCGCGTGTCCAGTGTCTCGAGGCCGGCGGCGTCAAGAGAACCATCGAGATGGTCACCCCTCTCAGCGAGGAGGGATGCAAGGCTGATTCCAGAGCGTTTGCCGAGCTGTGCAAGCACCTCGCAAAGGTCGACGCTGAGCACAATACCGTCCTCATGATCCAGGTCGAGAACGAGACGGGTCTGTTGGGCGACTCCCGCGACCGCTCTCATCGCGCAGACAAGGCCTTCGCGGAACCTGTCCCCGAGGACCTCCTAAGACATCTAAACAAGAAATCGGCCGACCTGCACCCAAAATTCAAAGCCCGCTTCGCCGATCCTCCGGCGTCAGGCATTCACTCTTGGAACGATGTCTTCGGCCTCGGTCCATCAGCCGACGAGGCCTTCATGGCGTACCACATCTCCTCCTACGTCGGCCGCGTGGCTGCCGCAGGAAAGAAGGAATACGACATCCCGCTGTACACAAACACATGGCTCAACTTTGACGACCCATCAGAACTCGACCTCCGCGGCGTTCCCATTGTGGTCGGTGGCGGAGCCGAGCCTGGCGTGTACCCCTCTGGCGGCCCCTGCCCCCACGTTCTCGACATCTGGCGGTACAATACAATCTTCACCAAGGAGAAGTCTCTCGACTTCCTAGCACCGGATCTGTACTTCCACAACTACGAGGCGGTTTGCAGAGACTACACGGCGCAAGGAAACCCGCTCTTCATCCCAGAACAGCGACGCGACGAGAACGGTGCGAGGAGGGTTTGGTTGTCATACGGAACCTACGGGGCATTGGGCGCGAGCCCGTTCGGTATCGACACGGGCGCAGAGTTGGTTGGCCGGGAGTTCAAGCTGCTTTCTCAGATCTCGCCGTACCTGCTCGCAGCGAAGCCCGAGGACCGCATGGGGTTCTTCTTCGACGAGGAGGTGAACACAGCCGGCAAGGGCGAGAAGTGGATCAAGGTCTTTGGCGACATCGAGGTCACAATCGAGCGCGCCTTTGTGTTCGGCAAGCCCGGCCCCGGCGGCGGCCTTATCATCCACCTCGGCGCCGCAAAGTTCCTCGCAGTTGGCCGCGGGTTCAACGTGAAGTTCAAGAGCATGCGGAAGGAGGCTACGTTCACGGGCATCCTTGCGGCGACCGAGAAGGAGGTGGACGAGAAGGATGACCTGCGGACGCTGCGGATTTACAACGGCGACGAGACGCGTAGCGGCGAGTTCTTGATCATGCCCAACGACGACCCGGATTATGGCGGGTTCCCCATCGCCGTGACGGTCCCGGCGCGGACGTGCATTGCCGAGGTCGAGGCGTACTGGATCGCCGAAGATGAGGAGGACCGGTGAATGTTGGTGTGATGGTACTAGATCAGGGAAATGCATAGCACGTTGAGTGAGGCATAAATCATGAATCTGCTATCAGAACAAAGCTAAGACGGGCGAATACGACCGTAGGTACAACGGCCGACCGAGAAAGTGTACTAGAATATGAACAGCTTTACCACATTTCTACTTGTACCGCAACACCTGTAGCTGCGCTAGCTTTTGATGCTTGCAAGATGACTTTTTATTAATCTTGGCGAAGAGCTCAACTCAGCCCGCGTCGAAGGGCGCGTCAACGACAACTCTGACGTAGCCGTCCGGTCACATTCCACACTTAAACCTGACACAGAGGCACAATACAAAGCGTCACCTGCGTCTTTGCAATCTCTTCTGGTTTTCCTTTTCACGCAAACTGATTCGAAGCCTTCAACTTGGATAATTAGTTTCAGTGTCATTTCCGGACGCTGATCCAGTGTCCGCAAGCCACTGAAACCCACTCTCACTCAACTCCACGATAACCTCACCAACCGCCAACTGTCTTAACAAAATCGTTCAAAATGTTATCTTCAGAGCTAGGCCCCAAGCCAAAAGCCTTAACCGGAGGCTGCCTCTGTGCCGCCCTTCGCTACACGGTCACACTGTCCGATTCCCACGATTTTGTCTCCAGCGCCATGACCTGCCAGTGCACGCAGTGCCGCAAACAGTCCGGTGCCCTCTTCGTTGCCTTCCACCGCGTGCCATGGCCCTGCAGTGGTCTGCCGCTGGGACCCCAACGCTACGGGAATACCAAATCACTCCCGCAGCGACGCGAGGATTCTGCACCCGGTGCAGTTCATGGTTGTACTACCGCAGCGAGGGGGCGGATTGGGCCAGCCTATGCATTGGCACGGTCGACGAGGAGGTTCTTGTTGGAAAGAAGGGCGAAGGGAACGGGTTCGGGAGAGCGTTGGTCAATGGGCTGGGTGGACATGAGTGGTGCGAGAACGAGATTCCCGGCGTGACGGACGATGTCCCACTATTGAGAAGGGGGGAGAGGAACCAGGGGAATCGGGAGGATAGTGTTGTTGTCAAAGCCAAGCTGTGAGAAGGCATGCGTTCACGATGGTTTACGGGGCACAGCAGATTGTAGTTGAGGCTTTAACAAGACAATAACTTGTATCAATCCAGTTGGATGAAAGATTGGGTATCGAAACATCTCTGCAAGTACTAACGAATCGAGTGAAGCGGCTGCCTCGGTTATCACCATCCTCGCAGCCAATTCGTTGTAAGCCCCTTTCCTTTCCTTCCCTTACTTTCGTCGCTATGATAGTCGTCCGAGCTCCCATCCTCACCCCGTTCGTTCGCAAAATGCCACTTCCTGAAAGCAGCCGCGATCAACTCGCCGACCTCCTCCCTCGTCTCGCCGATGGTCCCCAGCATCAGCAACGCCTCCGTCTCCTCAATCCAATCCAGCAAGCGCCGAAACGCCATCTCCTTTCTCCACAGCTTGTCCGGCACCCCCTGGCCCTTCATCCAAGTCAACACGCCCGCGACGGCGGTGTTTACCCCGCCCAACACGGTGATGCCGACCCGGTGGGTGCCGGCCGACGGGCCCATGGTTGTCAGGACGGCGCCGATGACCAGCTGCGTGGCATGGCAAGTGTAGACCAGGACGGTGGCGACGATGCGGAGGGTGCGGAAGCGACGGTGGCCGGCGATGGTCCCGGCGTAGATGCCGAGGGCGGTGGTGCGGCCAGCTTCAAGGTTGCAGTCGTCGCGGGGCTCTGAGCATGTGTTGATCCCAATGGCGCGGCGGAAGAGGACGAGGTTGGTGGAGGAGTCTGGATCGTCGCGGGTAAGAGCATCATGGGGTAGGAGTGGAGAGCGCTCATCGCTCGGGCTGGGTGGAAGAGATTTCGACATGATTCTGCGGCAGTCGTCTCGGCAGACGCTGCGGTAGTGGTTTCAACAGTTGATGCGAACGAAATTTTGTGAATGAAAAGCGGATGAGAGGCTCGTCACTCCTCGAGAGCAACACCCTTTATCTCGAATCGATCAAGGCGCAGGAACCGTTGGCCACAGCATGGCCGCAGCCGCGCGCGAAGCCATCGTGATAGCCACCGGGTCACATGAATCTGGCAATCAGGCTTCTGGTGCTGCCTTTTGATACCTCGAACCGATCACATTGGTGGTGTTCGTGTAAATGTCTGAGTGAAGCCGAGTGTGCACTAGCACGGAACGCTCCAGCGGGCCGCTGGAGGGTGTAACGGCGCGAAGGGCCATTGGTCGCAGATAAGTTGAGTTGAGACCAATGTCACTTGTCACTGGTCATCCGTAGCGACACAGCGTTCTTAAGCAGCGGGAAACTCGTGCCTGGAGTTCATCAGATGACGCCGGCCGTGTTCTGGGTCCAGATAAGGAACCAAACGGTTCGGCGGCCCCTTTAGGATGATTGAGGGCCGTGAGCGGGAGAAGCGCAATTCTGCAAACGGACTCGGTGTACAGGCGTGACTCGGTGAACTATAGCTCACTCTGTGTATTTTACCGGCCCCTCGCATTGCTTGATGGATAGGAGCAACGTTGCAAGGATCGGCGCTCCGTTATGATCAGCAAACACCACTTGGCGCGCACTCTGGGAAGTAAACTGTTGTCGCCCACGTTTTTGGGGATTTGGTCTGCAGAGTCCTGCGTGTAAGATCTTCGGGTTGCGAGGGTGCAGTTTCGGAACATCTCTGCCGGGCTCGAGACTTGGCTCGCCTACGCCGCTGCGCTGCTTACCCGGAACGAGATTTTTTGAACTGAGCCCCGATCGCTGATCTTACCATTCCACTATTAGTGCGCACTGTTGGTGGTGAGGAGAATGTGGTAGGCCTCGCGAAGTTGATGGAAACCCTGGGCCTGCGCGGTTTACTGGCGCTGTCGATCGTGACGTCAGGCAGCTCGGGGCGACCGCGAGGGCATGGGCGCGTCGAGACTCATCGCTGTCAGTGCCGTAAGATATCGAGCAAGACATCGGACGGCGCCCGGGCTGGGGAAGCCTCTCGGCATCGAGCAGACTCCCTCGCATGATCGGTGGCCCCTGGGAGCGGCAGGCCTTGGACGTGGGAATCCGAGTAGCACAGTGGGAATGCGCGACACGGCGGGACACGCAGGATGCAGGACCGAGAAGAGAGTCTGACGCAGGAGTCGGAAAAAGAGCAGTCCGGGCCAGCAGGACGAGTCGAGCAAGACTTGGTCAGGGGCAGCCAGAGAAGCTTGAGAGATAGGAGCAGGAAGCTAACGAGGCTGGAGAATTGCGGCTGTGTTTGCTTGCATGAAACTAGGCCCCCATCGGGAAATAATTGCTGGGACCAAGAGTTCGGACAATACCACTCCATGCAAGCCACTGATCTCAGGCGTGAATTGAGTCGATTGAGTTGGAAAAAGAGGGTGGTCAGGGATGGAGGGGTTGAAGCGAAGGCTGCGGGCTGACGCCAAAAACAGCACCACGAGGACCCGTCTTCTAGAAATCCGCCACGGGTGCCAAGATCTCACCTACGGGCCTCACTCAGTTAGCCTCCTCACCTCCGGTCTCACCCTGCCACTTCCCTCCTTTATTCTTATTGCAGTGCCAAAGTGCATCCCAACGGACTGAGAGAAGTATAAACCCAGAAATCCTGTGTGAGGTCCTGACCACAGGAGATGAGATTCTGTTGTCTGGCCGAGCTCGCAGAGGAGAAGGCGGTGGCTCGACAGAAGCGAGGCGGGAGACAGAGACACAACAGGGGTGATGAAACAGTTGGCAGGTGCCTAATGCGGGACAAAGTTCTCTTTTCCCTGCGAGACATCACTTTGGTTTTCTGTGGGGAGTTGCACTCGGGGTTTAAACACGACTCTCAGATGCCGACACTAAGATGAGAAGCCTGGCAGTTGGGCGGCTTGCCCGCTGCCGATGTCCCTTTTCTCCGATTCTATGAGAGCCATCCACGGCGTGAAGTACAGTACATGAGATTATGGTGCCCTTCATCTCATAGTGTCCATAGAGTGAAGGTCGGGCCATACTCCAACATACCTCATGCGAGATCACACGTATGACAACACCACCATTCCTCCGCCGGCTCGACAATCCTTTCGCTTCCATATCCCGCTCTACTGACCTCATTTTCGTCCCGTCCCCTATGCTAGTTCTCGCCTTGACATGTCATCCAGACCTACCCCCCGTCACCCTTGTCCGACCACCCCGCGTCCTTGCGCAGCTTAGTGTCACCCCCTTCCCGTCCACTCGGCAATTCCAACGTGGCCACGGCCCAATAAACATCGCAATAAGCCGTCCGATCCTTCTGAAGCGGCTTTCCTTGAACTAGGTAGATCAAGCAGTGCAAACAGTGCAAGCATGACGGTCAGGACAAGTAAGGTACCGGGATGCCCCAAGGGGTGTCCTTGGCACAATGCGATCCGTTTCCCAGTGATGAGCCCATGTTCTCGACGCTACCCCGATCCTTTCACTCGGCGCCTTGTATTTAACGTCCTCCACCGCCCTAGTGCCTCATCGTGAAGCTTCGTTCCGTACCGTTCCTCTGTGTTGAACCTCCACACCGGTCACTTGCCTATCTCGCTGTCCGAAGCCGCAAGCCACCCCGATCTCACTGTCATATCACCTCCATCATGCATACCAATAACTTTCTCCTCCGCTGGGCTGCCACGCTCTTGGCCTCTACCACTGCTGGTATGGCCTTCCAATGCTCCTGGTGTTCTCCAACGGCCACTAACACACAAGCAGTATACGCCGCCCCCGCGCAGCATTACCCGACACTGCATCCAAGAGCCGACTTCAACATCCTCGTCGGCGGCAACGTCTCCCTTCGCATCATGCCCCTCGGCGCCTCAATCACATACGGCTTGAAATCTACAGACGGAAACGGCTACCGACTGGCGCTGCGCAACCTGTTAGTCGCCGACGGGAACCCGGTAGACATGGTGGGCTCCCACCCCAACGGCACCATGGAGGACAACGACAACGAGGGATGGTCGGGTTTCCGCATCGAGGAGGTCTTGGAGAAGGCCAAGATATCTGTACCTACGACGCTGCCGAACCTCGTCCTCATCAACGCTGGCACGAATGACTGCGCACAATCCTTCGACACCGACAACGCCCACGTCCGGATGCTCGAGATGCTCGAATACATCTGGGACACCTCTAAGAGGGCATCGATTGTTCTGTCCACGCTCCTCCCCAACGGAAACAGCACCACCGAAGCCTGCGTCCTCCAGGTCAACGAGCAGTACAAGACGCTCATTGAGGAGCAGCAAGCCTTGTCTAAGAAGATCGTTCTTGCTGACATGCACTCCGACAAGGGGCCTCTGATGGGCGACCTCGTCGACGGCACTCACCCGAGCGATGCGGGTTACGTCAAAATGGCCAACGTCTGGTTCGCGAGCATCAAGGACGCTGCGTCGCGCGGCTGGCTGGAGTCTCCCCAGGCGCTGCCAGAAAGCAAGAGTTCGGATTGACTATTAAAGAAGATTGCGCCTCTGCATCGCATCATAGCCCTGATGGCCGGATATCCAGACTCATCAAGCACATAGAGTTGGCGCGACAAAAACAGCATGATACGCTGCGACGCATTATCTGTAATATTTACTGCATCATCTTGGGGGTGCATGAAAGGCGTTGGGGAACCGCAAAAAGGCTTCAATATTCGTAGTTTCAATGTTCATACGCATCAGATGCAAAACGTCCTAGCTTTTCAACCAGACAAGTCGAATCGGCGAACAGAGTTTGTATCGTATGTACCTATGCTCTTTGCTCCTCTTGCCGACGGCTATCCACCTGTTACCCGAGGCTGATGGCGGATGCATCATCAGACGAAGGTGGTCGGTCAGCTGATCCCCGACAATCCCGGTGAGCTTCGCTCCCAGCCGCCTCCATTTCTCATACATGACCGCGAGTTGAGAAACGACGATATTGCGACTACACCTCCCTTCTCCGGTCTACACTCAATCAAAATGGCTCGAGCCATGTTCACCGTCGTATTTATTTCCCTTTTCTACTTCGCAAAGGTCGCCATCAACGACCTCGCCGCCACTAATGGCCTCTTTGACGTCATCCAGGAGCATCTCCGCGAGGAGCCGATCAAGTTCACTTCCTTCAAGCCCCTGGACGGCCTGTTGACCATGCTCGTGCGATTTTTCCAGCCAATTGTCGCCGGCAAAGACCCTACTCTCAGTCTGTTTTGCATCTTCATGATTGGCCAATTGATGGCGATACATGTAATTATCCAGGCCGAAGGTTTGAGGGCTGGTAACCGGGGGAAACTGATCTCTTAGTGAGTGTTTATGGGTATCTCCCGGGTCAGGATGTGACTGATATCTTCGCAGCACGACGTTCTGGGGCCTGGCATGGCAGGTCTTCACTATCGGCGTCACACTCCCCGTATACTTCCTTGTCCACATCTACACTTCCCCCATTCCAGATGCTCTTGGCCCAGACGCGTTCGCGGCGGCAATATCCATCGATCCCGTTCAGGCCCGAGCATTACTCGGATCTCTAACCATCGGTGCTGCCCTACCAACACTACTGGCGGCGCTTCCGTCCCCCAGTGTTATCACTCCGCACACACAAGAGGCCTTTCTCGCCATCTGGCAGGCCTTCCCGCTGTGGTCTGGCATCGCGCAATTCATCCTATCTCAGGCCATTGGTGCCTTGGGGGTAGTGCCCAAAGCCCAAACCCCAACCGCTCGAAACAGGGCCAGAGACCTGCGCAAAATTTATACTTCCACCCTTCCAGTCGTCGCCCTAACATCATATGGTGTTCTCGCTTACGTCTTCTGGACCTCGGAATGGGCTCCGCAGCCCGCAATCGAGTTCCTGAAGGAGATGTTCGTCCCTCCGTCGCCGTTTTCTACGGCCAAGATGGCATCGGTCGAGAGGGGGACTTTGGCGTTTCTACAATGGGATATGTGGTGCGCGTCTTCGGCAACGTGGAGCTGGATCCTGTATATGGCGTATCAGAGGAAGGGTATGGGGGGACTTGTAACGGACTTCGGGAAGTTGGTAACGTGGACTACTGTCCTTGGACCTGGTGGTGCGACTTTGGCTGTTGTTTGGGGCCGGGATGTCAAATCTCTGCGGAATGTCGGAGGAAAGAAGAAGACTGGCTAGGATGTGAGCAATCTTATTCTTCTTCTGGGAATTTTGATGCTCAGGATGCGGCGTATTTTTGAATCGCGTTTCTTTTTGAAATGATGAGACAGTCCTACTTGTAGGGCTGTGACTAGCTTCTGTTGTACGATAGTTTCGGACGGCTCCAGGCGTAACTTGCTATTTGGAAACATTGAGACTCAGATACGAAATTGAATGAAAATACTTGTTGACTATGAGTTACTGACCCTACGAACTTGAGGCCTAAATCTTATGGTGCCTTTAGTGAACTCTTCGTTTTGCAAAGGACATAACAACTTGAACTCATACGCTGGCAACGCCACTAGTTGACGGCTTGGATAATACTCTTTTGAGTTTCGCACAGTGGCGCGAGGCTTTGTCAAAAGAACCTACTCAATGTATTTAATCTAATCTTCTCTGGGTATTACTCTATTCTTCCTCCTCTATTCGAATCATTATCCAGGTAACTCTGCAATCGGACCAATTGGATTTGTTCCCGTTGCTGGGAAACTGTCGTGGCCATGGCCGTACTTTAGGACCGGAGTGCTATCCAGCTCTGACCTTGGCCGCGCCACGGTTGTTTCCAGCTCTGCTGTTTGCTCCGTGTTCGCGCTAGATTTGCGAGAATCCCTCTTCGACCCTCCAAAGCCAGGATCCGGTCCGTTCATTTCTGCAATTTCCCGCTCCGCTAATGTCCTGTCTCGCCACCTGCGTCGGGCAAAGTAGAGATATATCAGGACCGCAATGAGGAACACGCTTCCGCTCGCTGCCCCGATGCCGATACCAATCTTAGCGCCCGGAGTCAGCCCAGCGCGTGCCTCCCCTGACCTCGACTCGGTTTCGGTCGATGGTGGCAGTGAGCTCGATCCGGTTGTCGTTGCTGTTGTTTGCATACTTGTCGGGGCAGCTGTAGGCGTTGGTATTGTGTCTGGTTGGGTTGGGATCGGGACGTAGCCGGGCTGCCATATCACGCTTCCTCCCAGCGCTGTGGGTAGCTGTACGACGTTACGGAGTATCGAAGAGTCGGTAAAGGCAACAGTTCGGGATGTTTGTGGACACCAGCACGCGTCTGCTGATGTGAGTGTCGTGGGTCGTGCGGATTGTTCGCAGGCAATCCATTCTTCTGATGTACCGTTGCAATAGACCAGGCCAGCCCATGGTTGATCTAGGTGTCGACTCCTTCGTCAGCTCATCCCACTTCAAGAACGACTCAATCAAGGCAACATACCATTAAATGCTCCTTTATCGGGACAACTCGGATGGCGGTACTCGGGGTCACTGCAGCCAGCAAGATACGTGATTCCGAATCGACCATTGTAGCAAGCATGGCTCGACAAGCACATGTCGCCGCCCTGACAGCAGGTTTTGTCTCCCAGTATGGCATTGCCACAAGGGAACCACTCCTTCACCTCCTTGCCGGGCCCATGGAAGCAGGTTCCGTTTGTGATGAAGGGGTTTGGAGCGCTCATGGTGCTTCTTTTTCCCTCATTCTCCTCCCCCAATAGTTACCAGGTGCGTTTCTGTCGCGGTGGCCCCCACCAAACCTTGCGACTGGCGTAGTGAGAATCGATCAAGGACGTGACGGTTCGCGCGCGCGTTGTCGGGAAAGCGCAATGGCTGGGCAGAATCGTAGAGAGGAGGGAGCCGGGGCGCCTGGATAAGTAGCACCCCTTGCACACTGACCATGATGGCGTGGGTCATTGTCTTATACTGGAATGTTTGTCGGGGCACATCGCCAAGGTTGGTGTTGCAAGCTTGCATCCGATTCCGTGAATGAACATCCTTCTGCATCAACCCTGAAGAAGAAACTGATGGACGTTCCTCCCCCTTGAGCTGAAATCTCAGAGATTGAGACAATTCGATACGAGCTTGGCGATTGATGAACCACTTTAGCACTTGGACCATGGCCTTTTTTGACAAGTGAACTTTACCGGAATCTATCCCATGATGTCAGCGCCGTTTTCGATAGCGGTACCAGCCTCTTTGACTGGTATGAACCGTTAACAGTTTCGAGAAAACACAATGGTCTTCTCTACTCGCTGCACGCGTTTGCTCGTCAATGCGCCTCCCCGATGTCTTCGATTTCGGGTTCTTGCTACGAACTGTTGTTTGCTCACTGTCTCTCCACGTTGCATGTACTTTTTGGTCTAACAACCCCTCAGCATCTAAGCGACACCAATCGGCGTGAAGCCCCTGGAAGATGTTTCTCAGTTGAGAGCTTCGATTCGTTAGTGCGCATTTTCGGTCTTTACCCGGTGGCTTTTGGGTGGTCGCACAGTGAGACATTGTGGGACAGCAGCGCTTCGTTGGCACTCAGGGAGGTCAAGGGGTGTTTGATTCCACACGAACGTCGTCCATTACTAACTCTTAAGAGGAGGCCTTTTACTCTGCCATAGACCGGATTCTCGAACACCCATATTTCGATTTAAAAAGATATCCCGACAAGGTTGAGTGTTACCCGTTCAATGACGATGTCCGTGCCGTGATATGTTTTGAGCTACTAATCGCTCCGCATAAAGCCTTCCTCAAGGTTTTATTTAAGATGCGGCGGCTCTTGAAAATCCGAGACCGGCATGTAAATAAACCAAAGAAAGGAAAAAGATAGAGCAAACGAAATTTCGAAAGAAATTATAATGGTCAATGGGCGTCCCTGTTCTCAAGGGCTACGAATTCAAAGACCAAACTGTGGCGGACGCATCGGGATGAAGTGGAAACGGGCCCGGCCAGTATAGAGGCCATCCGCACTGGAAGTCTCCAGAGCAGTCAATCGGCCACTCTCAACATTACAAGTAAATGCAGCATCTGACTTTATTATCCGAAAGGATCATTTATCATAGAAAAGCATCTAAAGTAAGCATTAATATGGGCTTTTCGCATTATGTGACATCTGTCGACTTGTAACCCCATATGATATTCCACTGGGTTTAGTTGAAACCATCGGGCCAATAAGCCTCGAGCCACTCATACGGCTCGTCAGGCACGTAGGCATTGGTAACAGTACCGTCCCACTCCGTTATGGAATCCCTCGTTTCGTTGTATAGAGCGTACTTCTCGTCAGGTCCGGTTCCAATTGTATAAGGAACTGTTTGCACATTGTTGGCAATTTCCTTGTCGACCATGACTTTCAGATCTTTCAACTGGGTGTTCTTGATTCTAATCTCGTCGCCATAATTAGGGTTTATCTATTAAAAAAACACGCGACAACGTTAGTACTTGCCCCAAAAGCTTGCCGTTGCCTCGAAATCACTCACAATGCCCATTCGATTGCCTCCGATCGCTACCACATTCTGAATTGTTGCATTTCTCTTAGATTGATTAAGGCAATTGCCGCAAGACTGGTAGAAAGTCTTTCAAAACGTTAGCTTGAGATCCTCTTGATAAGATGTTGGTAGACAAACTCCGAAGCCATCAGCATAGAACCCAGTAATGTTATACTTTCCGCCAAGGGAGTTGTCCTGGAAGATCTAGAGCAAAGTCAGTACACGTATATAGTTGGAAATGACCCTTATTAGACACAAAAGTCCCTTGATGTTGATATATACCTTGTCGGTTGCATTTCGAGCGCCTCCACCGATAACCCTTAGTTGGGTGTTCAAGCCTTTCGAGGTAAGGGCATCTTCGCACACATCCTCCCACCAGACTACGTTCTCGTTAATTGGCAGCTTTGTAAGGCAGGAATGTCATATTACCGTTCTCGACCCAGGCGTCGCCTAGAGCATGGATCCCCTCAGACTGATGCTTGCCAATGATGACGTTGCGGATGGTGGAACCAGGAAGGAGGTTGAAGACGGCATCGGCGTCAGTGCCCTCTAAGTACAAGAGTAAAAAGTCAGTCATCGTTCTTCAATGTTCAAGCACCCTTCTTGAGCTGGACTCACCGGCCTGCTCGCTGCAACTGCCCTCAACACGCTCGTAGCGCTTCATTCCACCGTCAAAGACTTGACCGGGAAGAATGTACATGGCTGAGGTGAAAACGACGGTCTCATTGGCAACTGGGAACTTCGTGATGGGGAAGGGGAAGCGTGGCGGTGGTCGCTCGCCGAGGTCGCCCTGAGTCGCATCGGCACCGCCACTCGGTCCATCACCCTGCTGGCGACGCTCAATGGCGGCAGAGTGTGTCAGAGCAGTCAATAGAGAGAAGAGGGAAGCAGTGGTTAGCTTCATGGTGAATGATTTGTATAAGTCGCTTGATGCAAAGATGTCGATCAGAGAGGCTATCGTAGAACGGCTTAACAAAGATGTCCAGACTCAATTGGCAAGTGTGACGCGCTTATGACCACTTTCTAGCTGCAAGAGGAGTTGCGAACAAAGTACATCTTATATAGCCTCAATCCACCAAAATTTCAGACCACGCTCTTGCACTGTTGAAGCTCGCGAAGCTATGTCACTGCTTGATTACGTAGCTAACAGAGCTCCGATCACTAGTCATTGGTATTGCTGCAGGTTGCCAGGATGCAAATGGAAGAAGAGCTAGAGGCTTGCAACGGAAGATTCATTTGAAAAATCCCGTGAATCACTGTTCACGAACGTGCTTACAAGTCCCTTGGCAAAGCTTGGCGTAGATGAGATACTTGTCCCAGCTGGCTGGCTAGCTAGCCACCAGACCTCATCCCAGCCCAGCGGTGCGACCCCGGACCCGCACACCTTCCACCGCCTTTGCGGAGACGAGAGAGGTGGGATTTTCCCCAGACGATAGAGGCTTGGCCTTTTTGTGCTTCGATAAATTTTCGTTGGATTGGCCGATAATCTTGCGGGGTAGAGGCTGGCCTGACGTTGTTGGAGATGATGGGGTAAAGTCGAGCGTCGATCTTGCGAGGACGGAAATTTTTGATTTATTTATCGTATAGTCTTGATGAGTCTGCAGGGTTCTATGTGATGATCGTGCAACTTATGTGAAAAAATTGATGCATCTTACATGGCCCGGTGGCAGGAATTGGTCATGGACAGGATTGAAGATATCATGATTTGCAACTCAGTAACGTATAGTACCTCCTGTGTAACACGTCGCACAAGTAATCTGCCGAATGTTTACTCATTGCAAAGGATGCAACAGCCTAGTTTCGACATGCTATCAGCGTCACATCTCGCTATTTCAAACTTGAAATCGGAGCAAACCATGGCCCAAGAATGATTCTCGCCCGACGAAAACCCGAAGGCGGGGAACTTGTAGAGTGGCGTTGTGACGGGATGCATATGCTTGCCACGGGTCAACAGTCTAAGCGGTCTCCGCATGGTTGGGTTGCTTGACTGAGATGCCACCACTAGAGACATGAGAATATTACTTGGCAACCTGCGGCGCTGCTGTCGACCCATGCTAGTGAGTTGGCTTGCCTGATTGTCCCTCTTGGACGATGTCTCGACATCGGTTTGTCTTAACATTTTACCGCACCAGCAAGCATTCTGCTTAGGCCGAGAGGAATGTACAGTTCTCAAGTCAAATTCCTCCAATGGCAAATCTCATTTGCAATGTGAGGCACTTATTCCAGGTCTAACCACAACTTGTAGATCTACATTACAGAATTGGGTGCTAACACCAACCACGGAGTAGCCCTTACATGTTGCCTGCGAACGGACTGTCACTGTATATCAATATGCGATATGAGATGTAAATATGTCTAGATGCTCGGGACTTTTACTGGCAGAGCATGATTGTTGGGAGGGGAATCCTTTCCCATGTCTACCATCGTTGTCATAACGATATCACCATCTCGAATGATGTTCTCTAGGTGTTCTGCTTACATCCGGCCATATAACCCTAAAGGTGAGAAGTTTATAGAGATTGAAATCGAACGGGCAAGAGGAATGACCCGGTCATTGGACCACAGCACCAAGCCTACTTCAGGATACTCATTGTTGAATCGTGTGAAAATTGTTGATGTTCCAAGGATACATGCTGCCTTTCCGAAAATCGTGAGATCGTCAGGTACACTGCAATATCGAAGGCAACCTAGGCCAACCCTGCCACTTTGGGGCCTTTGTCAAACGTCTTCATGCACAGTGTCAGTTCGTCGGTGCCTCTGCATCCAAAGCTATGGGACCCAATTAAACGTTTGGGGCGGATATCTCTATCTCACAAGTAACACTAGCACGAACCACTCCAAAAGCTGCCAGAAGATGCAAGATGACCGCATATAAGACGCCATCCGATGGTATCTTCGTTCATAAAGCTGCAGTTGTTTTAGATCATAGGTGTCACCATCCCCGTCTTTGGAAAGTCCCCGGACGATATGCAGGCTCTTCACGGGCGTAATGCAAGGGGCGGGTCCTCTCTCCGCTTTTTACCTTCATGTACGCTTTCATCTTGAAGCCATTTAGGTTGTTTGTATAGATGGATGTACTGCAGGTGGTTTTCGCGCCCTCAACGCCGGCGAGAAGCGCTATTACGGAACTAAACTTAGTCCAGGGTTCCTTCTGGCCCAGTGTTGGGTGCCTCGATGCAAGGCTAAAATTGCCTCGAGTCGACTTTGACTCAAGTTCCATGAAACTGTCTCAAGGAAAAAGCAGGATGATGGGTGTTATGTCAGCCCATACAGGGTTGTCTAGAAAGTGCTTGAAGCATCTGCGGTGCAAATTTCCCTGTCTCCTGATGTATATATGGTCACAGCGAGCCCTCCCCACTCCCCCCCCCCCCCCCCCCCCCCCCAAAAAAAAAAAAAACCTTACAAAGCCAACATATCTCTTCGGGGACATAACAAGTCAGTCGAGACTATGCTAGAATAATATAAGCATGAAAATCAGTGACACACACGTAGGAGTTTTAGCTTGAGCGCCTATGAAGACAGAGAAAACGTCTGAGGCATATCGAAATCAGTCGCCGATCTGCTCCCTCAAAGAAGCAACTCTGTTTATCTAGAGATTGTGAGTTATGGTAAATGATCTTATGTATATCGTTATAGGTCCGTAAAGGTTCTTACTGATCTTAAAAGCCTCCGAAACGCCTTCAATATGTTTACGAGCGGACCATGTATTTGCATTCTATTCATGAAGGTCTACTATGTCTGACGTAGGACCATTCCATAACGGCACCGAAAAATAAAATTTTAGGGAGAGTTTTTTGTGAAATTATAGAGCACGAGGATGGTGAAGAAGCTCGCTAAAGGACGGGGCAAGATAGCGTATCTTTCTAATCTAGTATGAGAACTCGAGACCCAAAATGCTTGTTGAAGTTTATTCGTTAGTCAGCCGCGCAAGGTCATATCGATGAATGAAGTGGGTGCCAATGTGCGGGCTAAATGGGCAGAATAAAACGTGGCACATGTTTAATATTAAGAAAGGGGACTTTATGTGGAACGGGAATGACAGATAAGCATTTTACTATCTTTTTTCAGATCTTCGACAATAATAGAGACATAGCTAAATGGCGATGTTGCGATATGAGAATTCGGACCCTTTCAATCGCTTTGTAAATTTCGATGCTGATGCTGTATTCATTCTGTTTTTGATACCACCGAATACGTCAGAATTCGCCATATAGCTTATCTCAGCTCAAAGCTTCTCGTGTTCTAGGTTACGCGCTAGCGGTGTTGTAGTAGATGTAAATATCCTTGATCTTAAAGTCGGCCTGGATGGCAGGGGGACCGGCACTCCAGCCATTGTCGCCGTTGGACCAATTGTTGAAGACCCATGGGCCGGTGGTGTTGGGGACGTCGCTGGTAGTGTTCCAGATCTCAACGCCGTCAACGAACCAACGGACACGACCGGGGGTCCAGTCCAGACGATATTCGTGCTCAGTCGTGGTCGGGTTAGCAGGAGGCGTAACGGCGTTGTAAGTCTTGACGCCATTGAGGTCAGCATCCTGGTTGGTGAACCAGAGCTTGCGAGTTCCCTGGTTGCTAAGGGAAGCCGCATCAGACAACCATTCGATGTCAGTCTCCTGAGTGTCGTTTTTGTAAAAGAACGCGCCTAGTGGGTTATTAGAACAAGGTGCTCTACTGATATCGACGTAGACAAGATACAGTTTGCTTACCATTACAGACACCAGCAGGCTCGCTCAGGATGGCAACAGTACGAACAGAAGCGTACTTGATGTTGTCAAAGGTTGTGGATACTTCAGCACAGCTGTAAGGCTTTGCGCGCTGACCACCAGGGACCTTCAAGTTCAGGTAACCTCCACCAACAACAACATTGGAGGCGTCGAACTTGTGTGTGTCACCAATAGGCCAGGTGCTGGCATACAAGCCGTCGGGCAGACTAGTTCTTCCAGCGAAGTCGAAGACTGCTCGGTTAGCATATCCGAATCCTCCAACAACATATTGGCCATTGGATAAAGTTGGCTGGGGCGAGCGGATCAGGGCCAGCGCTGGGGTGGCTGCAAAGATTGCAGATGCGAGGAATAAGGAACGCATGATGAATGTGGTTTAGAATGTTCGGCTTGAGTTTCTGTCTGATCAAGATAAGTGGCTGGAAACAAGACTATTTAAACTTGCGAAGATAAGTCCTACTTATAAACTTAAGAATTCTCACCACTCCTGCATCGTGAACCCTATCCAGGAGCGTTGTCTTCCACACGTCATGATCGGGCGGTTGACCCTAAGGAAGCGCCGATGCCTAGATGTCGTATCATTAAACCACCCCGACGCCCTGCATCGTGGGTCTAGAGCTGACTGAAGGAACGCGAGGGAATGCGAGGAGGCGAATGGCATTGTTTGCAGGTTGCAGGTGAGGGAGGGGTCGTGCAGCTTCTCAAGGGAGGAAAATCACTCACGATCTAGCCAGTGTGATGTGATTTCGCCAGCCACCAGGGGGCATTCTCGACTGCAGAATCCAAAAGTCACCCTGGAAAATCCTTAAGAAGCCAAGCACATAACTTCAAGGGTCTTCCAGGCTAGATTATCAGTTTTACGGATGTGGCGCTGTCATGCAGACACCCAGGTTGGCTGGATCGACATCAAAAATTCCAGCCGATACCAGTTTCCAGGAAAACCAACGCACATAGAAGCTTGCCACCGACAAAAGCCGTGGGACTCGACATCATTCGGGACTACTGGGCGACACATTCTAGATTGCCTCAAGTCAATGCCGGCGGACAGTGGCGACTGTGGAAGCTGCACGAGGATGGACCTATGTGCCATGGAAGGATTCCACGATGAACCGGGGATGGAGGTATGACTACATTTGGCCAGATCCTTGTCATCGAGATTGGACTGCGGCGGCAGCTCCCTTGACGGACGGTCCCGACCCCACTGCCGGGGGTCACGCGCGTTCGCCGACTGGCCACTTTGGCTCGTGGCCTTTCACGTCAGAAAAGGTACTTCGGGATGGATCTGACCATCAGAACCTCACCGGTCAGCAATTTGTGAAACCAGGGAGTATTGTCTCTGGACGGAGTTGCACATTGGTGGGTCCAGGGCTGAATGGACCTGCGTGTGTGGTGGATGTGTTCGTGTGATTGAACCTTGCCCAGTCACTCTTGCTGATGGGCTATGGGGCTCACAGTTTTTGAGGGTAACATTCGGTTCTCAAATGTGGGTTCTGGCCCCGATCCGATGGCATGAACTGACGCCAAGTGAAAGACAGAGTCGTAGAGGATCTGATCCTTTTTTAGTCCATCCGTCTAGTGTTGAGGGCTGCATGGTGGGAGCTGATATCCACACAATCTGATACTTTTCGTAATCGTGGCCGAACGAAAGGTTCATCGCTATCTAGCGATGCAACTTCGGGTCGGCTCCTTAGGAGCCATGCAGGCTGGTCATGCCGGATGACCGACTGGGGTCCAGGATTCACTTCACCTGGCAAAATGCAACAAAACTAGAACTTCTGAAAGGATTCGTACGCAATACGAGCAAGGCAGAAAAACACACGAAGTGAACCAGTTGTCGCGTTCAGTCACCATAGTGTTGCATCGTGCACGTATGTCATGTCAGCTTACTTCCTGCCGACTATGGACTAGAATTGTATTGCGATCTAACCTATCTTGACGTCAATCCTTCTACTTGAAACAATGACCTAACTACCAACACTAACTCTGAAAGGCACCAGTCAACTCTTTAAAGTGGAACTCACTCGGTGTGAACTTCTGGGCGTGGCTGTTCGAGTAGCGAACAGACTTTCTGACCATTATCGATTGATTTCCATTGTCGCTACAAGCCCAACTTTACGATCGCATAGATCCCCTCGACAGATGACTCGTAGCGACGGTGCTCTTCTTTGTCTTTCGGTTAGGCTTTGTCGGAGTAGAAGCAGGGGACACGAACGCCTGACTAGGTGCCCCTCCCGAAATGACATCCAGTTGCTTCTCAATGATAGGTCGAATTGAAGTGGTATTGGAGGCCCATGATGCAACTCGTGAGTGGGCGTCCTCTTGAACTGGCGGGGTAGGCGTGGAAACGTAGATCTTGGGCGCGGCACTATGACTACCAACGCTGCCTTCGCAAGTCAAATAGCTTGGCGGGCCCGAGCGAGACTCATGTGTGATTGTGCTTTGCGGAGGGCTGGGTGTGCTGCGGCTTTGCAAATATGTCAAGTCACTTGAAAGAGGCTTGCGTTTGACGGTGAGCGCAAGCTCAGCTTTGGTGGGAGGGCTGGGTAGGTTCGAGATAGTTGGAGGCTGCGTGGGGTTGTTATCATGGCGAGAAGTGTAAGCCACCCTAGCAGCTATTTCTGCTAAGACGAATGATCTCTCAGCACAGGCTGTGATATTTTTTCTTGGATATGTTGAAGACGAGCCTGTTGGTGTGATGACTTCCAAGGTGGAAGCTGGTGGAGATAAAGGCTCTCCTGTGAAAGACCGTTCAGCTCGAATGTCGGAGACCCAAGCTTTATCGTGGCGGATGTTGCGCCTGGTACCATGAAGCACTTCTGCACTCGGAGGAGTAAAGTTGCTGTAGGGTAAAAAAAGTTGTACTCCATGATTGCAGCAAGTGATGGGCTGTTCAGTGTGACTGTTGTCACGTTTTGATACAAGACTTTTGAGGGCTTTATGCAACCTCATAATGTCTGTTTTCTGGAGGTGGTTGAAAGTGGGACGCGATAGCGGAGAAAATAGACAAATGTTAGAAAAGGAGGATCAATGGCCGTGTGGTTTTTATAAAGACAATATATGAGTATTTGGGCTTGTTTTTTTTTCTTTCTCGAACTCCTTGTTAGAAACACAGTCTGATGAGGAAGGAGGAAGGGCAATTTAAAATAATTCGTTCATTAGAACCTTGATCTATGCATGATTGTTTTCGGAGATACATGTACTCATTCACAGCATTGAGTGAAGTGAATTTGAGTTCTCACTGGCTCTTGAACGTCTACCATGTACTGAGAGTGCGAATCTTTGGCCCTCGGTCCTTAACTTTCCACTTCTAGGGGCTAGCCAACCGAACCCATTCATCAGCCGGCAATCCAAGCAACTGGGATACTCAAATCGTGTCACCACCGTCCGTCACAGAAACCTTGATGACCCATAGCAAGGTTTCTTTGATTAATTATCACCGAGGCTGAGTTGTGGAAGAAGTAGTGGATGCGGTGAATCACTTTACGAATCATGCAATGAAAGTCATCCCACTGAATCTCGCATCTACTGTCTAATGGCCAAGCCCTGAGTTGGTACATTTTGGACCCGCGCATCCAGATCTTGTGACTAGGCCACAACGGATTTGAGTAAAAGACATCCTAACAGTCAACTACAACCTCCGGTTTACAATTTTGCACCGGCCCCGCGCTTCACCAATGACCTCAGGTCTTTGCGAAGAATTTTGCCAGATGCGCTCTTGGGTATGGCGTCAATGAAGACGACGCCTCCGCGCAGTTTCTTGTAACTCGCAACTTGTTCAGCTACCCATTTTTGAATATCCTCAGCAGAAATTTGATTCTTGTCGGCGACGACGTAAGCCCTGTGACTGTATTAGCACTGGGTGTCAAGGGTTAGACACTGTCCTTTTCGTACCTTGGAAGCTCGGTGCCTTCGCCTTCTATACCAATGACAGCAGCATCCTGAATCTTCGGATGCGTGACTAGCAGAGACTCGAGCTCAGCCGGAGCTACTTGAAAGCCCTTGTACTTGATGAGCTCCTAGTGCACGTTAGTCACGAAGATCTTCTAGCTGACCGCCCACAGGCCGATGGACAAACCTTTTTGCGATCCACGAAATAGAACTTCCCATCCTTAAAGGATAACCTATCTCCAGTACAGAACCATCCGTTGACAAATGCTTCCTGGTTTGCCTTGCCGTTCTTGTAATACCCTTTGGTGATGATCGGGCCACGGCACCACATCTCACCAGGCTGCCCAACCTCAACATCCTTGCCCTCGTCGTCGACCAACCGGGCTTCGCAGTTTGCTACAATCATCGAGACACTGCCGGTTTCATCCGTGAGGTGCCGGGGTAGTATTGTAAACCCGCCTGTCGTCTCACTGAGGCCCCACGTTTGGCCAAGAACCGCCTTGCCCTTTCCCATCTTCTTCTGCGCCTCTGCCTGGGTTTCCCTCCCGAGTGCGGCCGCTCCCGTTAATGCAAATTCCACGCTGTCAAAATGGTCCTTGACGAGTGGGGACTTTGCAATCATGAGATAGATGGGAGGCACGCTGAAGAAGGCCGTAATCTTGTACTTCTTGGCGTACTCGATGAACTCTACAAAGTTGAACTTCTTCATCCAGTAGACTATGCCTCCCATGTAAGTTTGGTTGACAATATAGGCCTGAAGACCGGAGATATGAGCTGCAGGCAAGTGGGCGAGAGTGATATACTCCATGCCGGGGCGGGTTTTATAGTACTCTATGGTCGGCGTGGAGATCAACATGGTTTGAGCGATCATATTTGCGTGGGATATCTTGACTGCCTTCGGGATGCCCGTGGTGCCACTGCTATAGATGAAGCAACCAACAGTGTTCTCTAGAGTCGTTTGATCCGTGACGCGTTCCCAGTCAAGCTCCTCTCCCGACAGAGATACTTGCTTGTCGGACTTGGCCTCAAAGAGCCGGAACTCATGGCTGTCGCCGATGTAGAGGATGCGGTCGTCTGGCAAACCAGCAGCAGTGCCGCCGGCAGCAGCGAGAGCTTTAAGGTCGGGGCTGCAAATCACCATCTTGCTCTCGGTCAAGGTGATCTGTCGTGCGATTTCTGGGGGTGACGAAGACGGGGTAGATGCGGCGACCGAACCTCCCGCGGCCATGATGCCATAGAAGACGGCAGGGGCCATGTAGTGACCGGTAAATATGACTTGGACAACGTCACCCTTGTTGATGTTATATTGATGCCGAAGGGTGTGTGCGAGTTGCTTAAAAGTCTTCACCAGGCCCAACTTTGTGATTGACCTAGACGGATCCGCCGCGTCGGCGTGGAGGATTGTCCCATCTCGAAGCCTCTCGTTTGGTGAATCTAGATCAGTCAATATCACCAACCATGCGATATAAGGTGAGACATAATTTCCGTGACGATTGAACTCACCGAAGAGGAACGTAAGTAGATCGACCTTGGGAAGGTCAATGGTATTGGGAGACCGATAGATGGTCTGGCCGTCTCGGTTCTCAACGACCGTTGCCATTTTGAACTTTACCAGGAATAAGGTTAGGTGGAAATGACACGCTGCTGCTTGTCTATACGATCCAATTTCCGGGCTGATTTCTTAGGTTTAGGCCGGCAGCGGACTATTTCAGCAGCAACCTAGATCGTGTTGGACGAGGAGAGAAGTGTGGTTGAGGAAGGTCAAGTTACAGCAGCGAACAATGCGGTGGAGATAACGAGGGGTTCTAGCAGAGGTCAATGCACGCGGAATGAACAATAATCAAGGGTACGGATGGAGATGGAGGAGTTTGAAGCTCGGTTTCCTGACCGAGACTAGAGATGGGTTGGTGAGTCGTGCAGCCTTCCCCGCATTGCCTGCTGTCAAGAATCGGGGCCCGCATCATGCACCGAAGCAAGCCGCTCCCCCTGCGTTGACCAACACTGCCACTACCGTGGCCGAGGTCAGATTGCCCGCTTGGTCACTGTGGCAGTACCTAGTGGTTAATTGTTGGGGTAAATATGCGCTTCATTAATGTCTTATCCGGGCAGCTTGATCACTGTGGAGTCCCCAACCTTTGGAGTAGGCAGTCTCTGATAGGTGGTGGTGTGCGGGGGATTTCAGTCACCCTGGGCTGTGATCCCTGTCTGACTCTGGCTTGGACGTCTGTGTCAAACTCGTCGAGTCAAATAGAGGTTCTCTTAATGGCGGAAATGCAAGCCTTTTCAATCAATAGTATTCGCGAGGCAAGGAAGGATTAAACCCGGCTGCTCTAAGCACTTATCCTTGCGGGCTTCAAGTCATCATCGGCATTCGATGCCGCCGTAGCACTTGCATGGCAATTACTCGATGAAGTATTTGGGATCACTCCTTCGGCTAGTGCGATGTAATAGTTGTCTTCGAAGAAGGACTCGAATTAAATCTTGATTCTATAACGATGAGAAACAATGAGTCGGGGGTTGCATCCAAGGTGCTAGGTAGGACTGTGAGATGTTACCCCCGTTATCTCCGGATCATGACCACTACCATCGTTCCGTCAATTCTCCGTACGACGTCAGCTTATCCTCATCCTTCCTATCTTTCTGATATTTGATGAGAAAGCTTCAATGATTTCTCTTGCGTTCTTATTACGCTGTCGATAATTGCAATATTGCTCTGAGTGGATGCATGCATTAATCTGGTATCAGGAACGAAGTTCCACTTCGTCAATGATGACCCCATCAGCTCGAATAATCGCATGGATGTCCGCAGCCATGTCATGAACGGAAAGAATTTCGGGAAGATACATGTTTCTCGGGGTCAAAAGAGAAAAGAAGAACTAGCTCGAAACCTTGGGCGATATGTTTGCGTACATGTTATGAATGTGCGATTTTCCTTCTTCGCCCAACGCTGCAAAAATGCCACCATCTGCAAGCTTTAGCTGGGTGAATCCAAGAGCAGACGCAACGATAACAATATGAAGTGCAGCCTTTGTAGTCCTGGCGCTTTCCCTCATCTTCGGCAATAGCAGCAGGATGAGTAGAACGGTGTCAATGGCATTCACCATAATTGACGTATCCATTCCTTTGGAGACTGACCGCGTTTCAAGCGCAGCTATTGCGTTCTCAATAAAATTATCAATTTCGCCTACTTCGGACTTGGCTCTCGCGGAGAAAGCACTGATAGAGTGGATGGAAGCCATGTCAAGCTACCATACCTCAGCAACAATTGTGATGCCGGTGGCGGCCTCGATCCGGGACTTAGTATTTTCATCCTACTCTACAGATCTGACTCCAATAAAAACACGGGGACGCTCCAAGAGTAACGAGGCGCTTGACGGCCTCGAAGCTGATGACAGCGTTGGAGCCAGTGACAATGTATGTGCCCCTGCGGAGGTTTGTTTTGTCGGTATAATGGGGAGTGTATGGAACTGAGCCCTTGCAAATTCAAAGAACACTTTTCCGTGTCAAAGGGATAGAAGGTACTTGTGGTGAATTCAATTGTGCGTGCCACGAACTGACCAGTTGGAGGCTGCCCCTGCCAACGAACTATTGCACCCTTTTATACTAAACGCCGTAGGGCGTAGCCCTAGAAAATTCCGGTGTTAACAGTCATATTTGCCTCTCAAATAAATTCGATGCTAATCTCCGGTTAGATGCATCAACAACTAAGGCCCAAGATGTATGGTATCTGGCATCATGTCACCAAAAAGGCGGCGCATGTTTCGTGAGGCCTCAAGGACCTAAATCTTTGACCAATGAGAGATTGATTACCCAACACGTATTAGCGCACGCTTGACCCCAGATCTGTTGGGTGGACCTGGACCAACTGGCCGGTTCGCCGTTGGCACTCGGGCCCGGTAGGTATATCTGTACCCCACACACATCTGCAGCCAGCTGGCTCCAAGCTGAACTGCCAGGTTGTTTCTGAAACGCGACTCGCACTTTCCAGCTCATCCGGCGCATCATAGACGTGCACCCAACCAGATAAGGCACTTCATCTTATCCCTCCAACACCGACCATCACAGCTGCTTCGCATATTGTCACGTAGAGCAATGGACACTTGAGGGAACCATGTCGTCCCCCTCGCACGACGGCGTCCGATTCCAGCATCTCTCCTCTGGGCGGAGCACGCCGAGGTCATCTCTTGATTCTCACGTGGCGTCTGATTCTCACGACGCCGACGATGAAGCATTCGCTCTACTTTCGGATGATGTGTCTTCGATTTCCGACGATATCGAATTAGATAACCTTGATCCGGTAAACGACGAACACCATGCTTCCTCCAGCTCGGGACTTATCCGACCGGCCCACATTCGGGGGCTTTCCGACGTCGACGTACAATTCAAGGATGCAATCAACGCTGAGCGGAGCCTTACGCCTCGAGAGGCCATCCGCGCGTATCCTATGGCTGTTTTCTGGAGCTTGATAGTGTCTGTGTGCGTGATAATGGAGGGTATGTCTCACGATAATTCCGTTTTCTCTCAATCTCTATTCCTCTCCGCCTTAATTTCGCTTTTCTACCTTCCTTTTGTCTAGTCGTCCACGCTACATTACGAGGAAGGTGCTTCTTAGACAATGCAGATAATGGCAGCCATTAACAGGCGCACAACACTGACCATTTTGCCTAGGCTATGACACTATTCTCATGGGAAGCTTCTTCGCTCACCCCGAGTTCGCCAAGAAATACGGCGATGGGCAAGACAGCGAAGGCCGGGATCAGTTGTCTGCTTTATGGCAAGCTGTCCTCGGAAACAGTAGTACCTTTGGCTGCATCATCGGAGTCATTGCTAATGGCTTCATCGTCGAAAGATATGGACAGAAGTTCGCCCTCATCAGCTCCCTGTTCGTCCTTTCCGGCTGCATTTTTATCACTTTCTTCGCCACCAACAAAATCATGCTCATGCTCGGTCAAATTTCATGCGGACTGCCGTGGGGCGTATTCGCATCGTCGGCGCCCGCATACGCATCCGAAGTCCTTCCTCTGGCACTGCGCGTGTATCTGACCACGTGGACCAACATGTGCTTCATCATCGGCCAACTAATGTCCGCTGCTGTCCTCGCCGGACTCTTACCCCGAAAAGACGAATGGTCCTTCCGTATCCCGTTCGCCCTGCAATGGTCTTGGCCGGTACTCCTCATCCCCTTACTGGCTTTTGCTCCCGAGTCCCCGTGGCATCTCGTCCGGACTGGCCAGCTTGACAAAGCAGAAAAGGCCCTATCCCGACTTCAGAAACGGAAAATCAACAAAGTGAATGCCAAAGCCCGGTTGAAAGAAATCATCGAGACCGACCGGCTGGAACAGAAACATCAGACCGGAACCAGCTATTGGGACTGTTTCCGAGGTGTGGAGAGACGTAGGACGGAAATTGCTTGCGTCGCCTTTGCGGGGCAGGTACTCTCCGGCTCGAGTTTTGCTTATAATTCGGTCTATTTCTTCCAGCAAGCCGGGTTGAAGCCACAAGATTACTATGACCTCAATGTGGGAGGAACCTCATTAGCCCTTGTTGGAACCGTTGTCAACTGGGTAGCACTTATGCCATATTTTGGCCGGCGTCGCATTTACCTTTGGGGCATGTTCACCACGGCCACGATTCTGTTCCTCATCGGCATCCTCGACAGAATTGGACGCATGCCGAACGCGGCCACTGAGCCCATCGGTTGGGTACAGGCCAGCCTCACCCTTGTCTGGACTTTTGTATTCCAGCTGTCTGTCGGCCAGCTGGGGTGGGCAATACCTGCAGAAGTCGGCTCAACGCGTCTTCGACAGAAGACGATTTGCGTTGCAAGATTCACATACTACATTATGAATCTGATGGCTATTGCCATCCAGCCGTTTTTCATCAACCCAAACGCATGGGACCTCAAAGGAACTACTGGGTTCATTTGGGGTAGTACGGCTTTTGCCACATGCGTCTGGGCATTTTTCAGATTGCCCGAGACAAAAGGACGCACATACGAAGAATTGGACTACCTCTTCCATAACGAAATTCCTACCAGGCTTTTTGAAACCACCGAGGTTGATATTTTCGACGAAGGCGAAGAGAAGGTCTTCTCGCCTCCTTCTTAGTGTACAAGGCACGGGAGAGAGTGAGAACTTACCAAAAAATAGAGGCACGGAGAGGGGTGACTACTTGATCTGTCCCAGTTGCTTTTTCTGCTTTCATTATTGAAGATATGACCGAGACTCAACCACTGCAAAACATGTTTATAGGACCAAACCCTTGAAATGGCTAGATCCACCGTACTGAAGTTCTATTTTTCTGTGAACCGCGCGGCTGTTTGGTTTGCTTTGACAAATTAGCGTAGAAGAGGGATTCTTCATTAGAGCTGGTCACTCCAGATGGCGCTAGATTAACCGGATGTCGTTGCCGGTAACTTGATTATTCAAAGGTCAGAGGTATCACGGAAGAAGACGCTGTATTTTACTCGATTAGGGAAGTTAAAGTCCGTTGGTTCGAGCCGAGGCATCCACAAGCGGTTAACTTTAATTCCGAGCCCGTGCAGGCCGCTGACCCGCCGCAGCATCTGTGCCGGCTCCGGATCCTTTAAGGCTTACAGCCCCGTAAAGATTAGAAATCGGCCTCTTCATTAGTCATTCCAAAGCATTCTTTCAGCGTTGTCTCCACACATTGAATGCAGGCTTTGGCGCTGTAGCGCCGCTGAAGGCTGACGTGACATTTCGACTCGGGAGGAAAAAAGTCGCGTGCCTGATCTTGGAAAAAGACGGCTAGTGAGTGTTCCATGGAAACAGCTAGTCATCCCGCTTTTGAGATAAATATTAAAGGAGAGATGTCGCCGTCTTCAGAAAATGAAAAGAAGACAGCACTCCAGACAAACCAGCTTCATTCATTGCAGCATCTGCATCGACAACATCAATAATACTTCAGCATTAGCAATTCTGTCATCTTTAATCTACAGCCCATCACCGCCACCCCTCCAAAGTCAACGGAAACTACAGAAACAGCAAAACAATGTCTGAACAACAAGGACGAAAGATCGCCATTGTCGGTGCTAGCGGCAACATTGGCGGCCTCACCCTCAATGCCCTCCGCGAGAAGGGCATTCACACCATCACCGCCGTCGCCCGTGCAGGATCCTCCGCTACATTTCCCTCCGACGTGATTGTCAAGAAGGGCGACTACTCGGATGAGTCCTTCCTCGTCTCGGCCTTCCAGGGCCAGGATGTTGTCGTTCTTCAACTCAGCTTCGATAGCTTCATGGCCGGCCAGGCGCCCCTCATCCGCGCGGCGGCCAAGGCAGGTGTCAAGTGGGTCCTTCCCACAGAGTTCGGCTCCGACCTGGCGCCGTCCAAGCTCCTGGATGCCAGCCCCCTGGTTGCGGGTAAGAAGCAGTTCCGCGATCTGATTGAGGAGCTGGGCATGAGCTGGGTCGCCATCATTAACAACCCCTGGTTCGACTGGTCCCTTGCGCAGGGCTTCTGGGGTATCGACATCAAGAACCGTTCGGCGAAGCTGTTTGATGGTGGCAAGACCAAGTTCATCACGACCACTCTTGGCACTACCGCCAAGGGGACCGCAGGTGTTTTGAGCCTTCTAGAGTCGGAGCCTGAGGCACTTCGGAACAAGCCGGTCTACCTCAAGTCATTTCACATCTCACAGCGGGATATGCTCGACAGCATTTTGCGTGCGACGGGCACGGAGGAGAAGGATTGGAAGGTTGAGGTTCTGGACGCCGCAGCTGTTGTTGCCGATTGCGAGGAGAAGTTCAAGCAGGGCGATCACCTTGCCATGTTGACTGGGTTCTACGTCAACCATATGCGCGAGGGCTGGGGAGGTGATTACAATGCCAAGGCCTTTGATATCGCTAAGCTTGGCGTTGCGGAGGAGAATTTGGATGAGGTTGTCAAGAGGGTTGTGAAAGAGGTTGAAGGCCAGTGAATACGCTGTGAAAGTTTTGGCTTGTTGCAAGGGTTGGGGTTTCATGATATACGATAATTAATTCACTGAAGTTGACATCAACTGATTCTGAGCCGTCCGAGTTGATATGACTTGTGAAGATGTTGTGAACGTATCCAGATGGGCTTGGAAATACCCACAAATACCCAAATGGACTTATACCCAAAGTGATGGGCATGCGTATTTTATAAAAATCTGACGGCATGAAACACAAATCAACGCCTGGACTAAGTCCACTTAACCCCCACCCTTCTTGTCGCTCTATAGCTTTTCGTCTAGCTTACTCATAATACCCAGCAAATCTTTAGGAATACCCATGGGTTCTTTGGGTAGCCCATGGCATTGGGTAACTGGGCATGGCCTCTTTGGGTAACTGGAGTTTCTATATGGGTAACCCATACTACACAGACCATTTGTGTGGGTACCCATATCCAACCCTACGTCCAGCCGCAGACCATTCGTGCGGGAAGGAGAAGTTGCGGAGCGTTTTTGACTGGACCAAGCAGCTTATGTCGTTTTAGAAACATGCTCTAGGCGAAGTTTGCACGTCTCCAGAGACCTGGAACTCCTTGAAAGGTCTTGACGTGCCTTCCAACAACTGGAAAAATGTTATGCTATGCTGGCTTTGAAAATTGGAACTGCTCACACTCACAAACTTTACCTTCTCGTTTTCCAGCGACGGGGTATGTGCCGGTACCCTCTGGGCAGAGGACGCGACCACGATAAAGCTACTTAGTGTTGAAATCTTTCAAAGCTATAGTGATTCATCGTACTGCTCCAGTGGTACTCCAGCTCATCCGGGCAAGTGCATTAGTGGTTGGACAATAACAACATGGAAACCAGCCAAGTTTTATGTTCTTCACAAAAAATCCGCTCAAAACAAGAGCCTGCTGCAGCAATCAAGTCACAATGTAATGGAATATGGTTCTTCTTGCTGAAGAACAAAGGCCAAAGTTGCATTATTGTAAGTTGTCGGCATCGGGTAAACTTTATGGATTAGACATGTGCTTTAAGTACGCAAACAGGTTGCTTTTCTAAAATCGAGAAACACCCATACTTAATAGTACACTCTATAGTGAGAGAGTTCTCTTCAAATCGGCAGGATACTTGGAATAATTTTGCGGCACTCATAAGAAGCTGAGAGCATCTCTTTGGCCCATGCTTATAACACAACGTTTGTGGTAAACGTTCATTGAGAAGCAGTGTTCCTTATAAGTTTTCGAGATGTAGATCAGGGGACAAAGTTGTTACCTCGAAAAATTGAGTGTGGTAAGCCTGATAGCCCTTAAGAGATTGAAAGACAAAGCTGGAGGACTTTGAGGTGAGTTTATGCCTAGAAGATGATACGGAACATCTGGTATCATCGCAGTATAGTTAATCGAGTCCAGGTAGGACGCTCCTTCGCACACACATATTTTATAATGGAAGTATGCAATGGATGTAGCGTTGACCACAAGGGGCCGGCGCAGGAAATACATCCAGTTCTTAAGATAGCCAGAAATGTCAGCCAGAAAAAGCCGGGTCTTTCCAAATGTATTCACTTCAGCAATTTGTAGATTTCGTAAACCGCGTAATTGGAGTCGGCATCACGAATACAGGAATGGGCGGTTGTCCGGTGGCAGCCGCTGGGACATCTGAATTTTTGATGCCGTTACATCGCTCGGTCGATAGTTCCAAAGTAAGAAGGTGAACTGACGAGTTCTGGAAGCCGAGGTAGTAACTGTGCAAAGACCGCCGTACAGTAAGCCATCTGCAAAAATCAGCGACATATCCATCGTTTTTGGAGGATTGTACGGGCGTCCCGTCTTATTGTTCCTATTTCCCGGGTGTAGAGAAACCCCCTGCCGAAAAGCGGTGCCGAGGAGCCGGGTCGACTGGCCCCCACCTCGCCCAGGCCGCCAATTATCATGGGGATTCTGCGCACGTGTGAGAGACGCAGTCCAAAGGACCCCATTGAGAAAATCGACTTACTGACGCGCCTCTTCGGCCCAATGCTTATCGGGAAGTTCGCGAAAAATAAGAAGAGGGGCTCATATTTGATATTCTGCGGTAATCCCTGGGCATTTCGTCATCGAAAAAAAATTAACGTTGTTGTGTTTCCTGCAGTAGTTTTGACGGCCAATCATGACCCTGATGATTACCCACGAGCTTGGCTGTCTGAACAACGCACGTGGTGAGCATCCAATTGAATAGGATGAGCTAGGATGGGAGCTTCGGAAGCTTCTCAAAGCTCTCCTACATCGGCATCCTATGTGAATTAGGGACTGATAAATGGAAAGCTTCTGCCCGCCAAGCAATGGCATTATGTAGCCCTCTTTCTCGACAGGTTCCTGATACTTTCAGTCCCAGTTCACTTGCACTTGTTTCCTTAGAGCAATTGACAGTCGATCACAATGGTTCAGCCAATTCTTGCTGGCTTGGCTCTTGCCGCCACAGCATCGGCAGCCTTCAGTGGTAACCTCAACTACTTCTCGCCGTCCAAGCATCATGCGTCGCTCGGTGTCTCAATCAACAAGGTTGCCAAGCGCACGTACGCCAACTCGCACTGGGACGCCGCAAAGCTTAACTTCACTCACGGCGTTGCTTCGGGCGACCCTTACGAGGACAGCGTCATCCTCTGGACGCGAGCGGCGCCAACTGCTGACAACGACAAGAGCAACGTGACTGTCAGCGGTTACGTCCCCTTGTACGACCACAGCACCGAGGAGTATGTCCAGAAGAGTGACTCTCCGGTTTGCGTGGACTGGAAGATCAGCACGAGCAAGACCCTCGAACCTGCTGTGGACTCAGGCACCGTTTACACGAGTTCCGATGTGGATTACACGGTCAAGGTTGAGGCTAAGAAGCTGGCACCATACACCGTGTACTGTAAGTCCTAATTTCCAGTCTCTATGCACACATGTGCGTCCAGATTGTTAATACGTAATGCAGATTATCAATTCAGCATTTGCAACTCTAACAACACGTCCCCCATCGGCCGCACCAAGACCATCCCGACAAAGGACGGCAAGGTTGACACACCTGTCAAGCTTGCGGTATACTCCTGCAGCAACTACCGTAAGTTGCCCTTTGTATCTGGAGACTGTAACAGAACTGACTTTTGGCAAGCCTTTGGATTCTTCAATGCGTATGGAAACCCGGTGAGGAAGGACTCTGTTGACTACGTCATTCATCTCGGCGACTACATCTACGAGTACGGCAATGGCGAGTACGGTTGGGGTAACTCTCTTGGCCGTATCCCTCTTCCTGACCGTCAGATCTACACGTCAGTAATTTTCTTCTTCCGCATCATGTCCGGTATTGACCAGATTACAGGTTGTACGACTACCGCAAGCGTCTTGCAACTTACAGAACCGATCTGGATTTGGTTGCCAGCCACCAGAACTTCCCATGGATCCCGGTTTGGGATGACCACGGTGCGTGTTAAACTATAACTAACTCTCGGATTGGTGCTAACTCGGAACAGAGGTGTCTGACAACACCTGGAGAGACGGCGCTTCCGAGTTGAACAACACTGAGGAATCCTTCATCACCGATGGAGGTGTATCAGTGGACCAGCGGAAGATGAACGCTGTGCGTGCCTATTTCGAGTGGAGTAAGTCAGGGTTCCCAGTTGAAATTTCGCAGATACTGACGACTTCAAGTGCCCATCCGTCAAGTCGATATGGACGACAACCTCCGAATCTGGAGAGAGTTCAGCTTCGGCAGCCTCTTCGACCTGGTCATGCTTGATACCCGTCAGTATGACCGCGCTGTAAGTTGAGATCCAAGCCCTGCATCCACGAACCCTCTCTAACCGGACATGCTTCAGATTACGGATGTCTACACTAACACCGACTACGTTCATGCCATCTCCAACGATGCCAGCCGCTCGTTGATGGGACCCCGCCAAGAAGCATGGTTCTACAAGACCCTCAAGGAGAGCTCCTCCCGAGGCGCAACATGGAGAGTCATTGGCAACCAGATCGTCTTCAGCCGCATGAACGAGAGCGCATCTTTGGGCGACGCGAACCCCCTCAACTATGACTCATGGGACGGATACCAAGCAAACCGCAACCGCACCTTCCAAGTCCTGTACGAGCAGAACGTTAGCAACACCATCTTCCTTGCCGGCGACTCGCACGCCTCGTGGGTCTCGGACCTGGTTTGGCTCGGCGAGCATGAGTACGACCAGAACACTGGCTCTGGCTCCGTCGGTGTCGAGTTCGCGGGCTCTGCAGTCAGCTCGCCTTGCCCCGCTGGCCAGAACATCTCGCTGGCCAACGCCAACGCCGGCTCAGCTTGGCTGACGGGAGCGAACCGCGAGCTCCAGTGGCAGGATCTCTTCTACAGAGGCTACTACGAGCTCAGCATCGACTACGATGCCGTCAACGCCTCCTTCTTCGGCATCCCCACCACGAGAGTCAAGCAAGGATACGAAATCTCTCTGGCCAACTTCACTGTTCTGGCGGGAGAAAACAAGCTGCACCGCTGGAACAACGGCTCTGTTGTCCCAGGAGGTGTCGCTGAGAGCGGTAGCTTGAAGAACGGCAAGGTTGTCCAGACGAACCTGACCCTTGACACGGCCACTGGAGAGTACCTCAAGTACAACTCTCCATGAATAAGACGGCAGAGCTTGGCTAGATAACCTTTTTTAATTTGTGGTGCCCACCATTGCCTAATACAATTATTGAAGAAATCAAGCACCGTAATCTGTTCATGACGTTGACCGTAGAAGCTAGCCCCATTTCGCGGGCTTCGCTACATATTAGAGATCTTCATTACTAGCACAACTTTTCAGGACCCAGGAAAGTCTATATCACGCAGCACCATCAACTCCCAGCGACCTCTGTTCTAGGTGAACGGTAGAGAGTACGAGAATAACGTTCATAAGCATTTGAGAACCGAAGATGTTGAGGTGAGATACACCAGAAACCATCCATGACATTGACCCATATGCAAGGTATCTACCGAAACAATGCCTCCCAAATCAGTCATGATACAACCAGAAAAATACAACTCATATCCCATCCAAATGACTCCTGTTAACCCTCAAAGGTATCCATTTACTCCTTGCCCTTCACCATCAGAAGGTGGCACGGGCAGTGACGTTAGATCCGGAAGCGCCGCCAATGAGCATGCTGTTGAACACATTCGCAGCAGTCTCGTCCTGGGTAGCAGCTGTAGCAGCGGTCTGAGCCTGCTTGCAGCTATCAACAGTAGCCTGGGGGGCCTTGCAGCTATCCTGCAGGCGCTGGCAAATGAATCCAGCAATAATGCCGATCTTCTGCGCAGAGCCGTGGTTGAAGTCCTTCTGGTTGTTGGCGATGAAGGCAGCCTCCTGGCGATCGGCAAGACCGCTCTTGAAGACAACGGAGGGGTCGCTGCACGAGCCGAAGTCAGTGGCCTGGCGCTTGAAGAAACGCTTGCGCAGGTTCGCCTGGGCGCGGCATTTCGCATCCTGGTCGTCGCACTGGGAAACACCGCCGGAGAGCTGGCCGCTGTTGGCGGCACGGGCGCAGGCGTTGTGCTGGACGTCACAGGAGCGGCCGAGAGCGGCACCCTTTCCGACAAAGGTGTCGCCGTTGACGGAGAAGGGACGCGTGCCGGAGCTCTGGATAACCGGAGGAGGCAGGCCGCCGAGATCACCAGTGAAAGTCTGGACGTTGGTACCACTGCCAGTGCTGGCGGCGGCAGTTGCACTGCTGTTGTTGGCAGCCTTGCAAGAAGTGCCCTTCTTGTTGGTGGAGCTGCCGGTGTTCGAGGTGGTTGCGTTTGCAGGAGCGGTGTTGGTGGAAGAGCCAGAAGCGCTACCAGACTGCCCAGCAACCGGAAGACCGGCGAAGTCAATTTGGGTTGCCTTCAGTTCACCCGTGCCTCCGGTGATGGTCGAGGTGATACCCTGGATAGCAGCGGTGATCTCATCAGGCGTAGCATCAAGAACAAGCTTCTTTTGGGTGAAGATGCAGCCATTAGGATCATTCTGGTCGTCACAGGTGTTGCCCGCCAAGGTAGTGTCGGACTTGTCGCCAGGAGCAAAAGTGCCGCTCTCAAGGGCAAGCATGGGGTCACCTCCAATCGAAGCGAGTTGCTTTGCCAACTCAAGGGTAACCGCTTTGTTGTTAGCAGCAGCGTTGTCGCCGGCAGGGTCTTGGTGCTTGTTGACAAGAGCCGCGATCTCGGGGTTGACGGCTTTGTCAGTGCAAGCCGCGCTGTTCAAGCCGATGCCAGCGGTGTTGCGCTCCAGGCTCTGGTAGACCAAAGCAGCAGACATGCCACGAATGTCCTTGGTCGCCTTTGCGTTGGTGAAGGCCTGGTCAGCGGTTTCCTGCTGCAAGCAGGCGAGGTTGGTGACTTGGCCAGCGCCAGCCTTTGCCGCTCCGTCGCCGAGAAGACCGAAAACAGGGTCGGCAATGGCCTTGGGGTTGTTAATGTTGAGGAATTCGCGGGTAATGTTGAGGAAGATCTCGTGCGAGTGTTCCTGAGGAACTTCACGCTTGTTGACACGACGGATTTCGTGAATGCGGTGATAAGGGCTGGCCACCGCAAGACCGAGGAGAGCCGAAGTGGCAAAAACAACAGCTTGGTACTTCATCTTGACTGAAGGTGAAGTTATTGACGTCGAAAGTGCTTGGAACAGAAAAGACCGGCCTTCTGCCTAATGAAGTAGTACGGGAAAATAGAGTTTAGGAAGATTGTAAGTTGTAGGGAATAACTTGCAAGCGGTGCAAAGAATGGAAGAGTTCACAGAACTCGAGGCTGAAAAGAATGAAGTGAAACGGACGAAGAGAGTGTCGTGTGAAGATGAAGCTGTAGCCAAGAAGAAAGGAAATGATACCGAGAGGGAGATCAGTCCGGTTTATAAAGAAGAGATTGGACGAAAAACATGATCGGAGCAATCCCTGGTACATCATCGAAATTCGGACGGTCCGTAGTAAGAGCCTCGTGCTCAGCCAATATCTCCTAGCCATTCTGTGTAATGAGACTCGGGGAGTCCAGGCCGACCGCCCCCAGAAGTGGTGTGCCGGGGGGCTAGTGCGCGCGGGACGACATGAGACGAGCTGAATCGGTTAAACCGGCGAGGTGATATTGCCAGGTACAGGAAGTCACTGGACCCGAGATCATGGTCGGGCTTTGGCTGGGGTTGAGTGTTTGCCGCAACGGGTCACCACGTCACGGCCAAGTCAATCTCTCATGAGGCAACTTGGACAGGGATTGAAGCCATCGCCGTATCAAATGACGCAAACCCGGCCGGGGACCATTTGTTCTGGCAGGCCCTGCACCAACTACGGTGACACAGGCCGCAAAATCGGCAGAGCCTTTGGACAGGGTTGCGGCGAATAATGGGCAATTTCGGTAGGGCGACGAAAGAGACCAGGTCTATGTAGCTTGTTCTAAGGAGAGATGAGGCGGTAGATCAGACAAAATCAGCCGCAGGTTGTCATGAAGCTTGTTTCGCCAGGGACGGGGGCGGTTATGGGTTGAAGTTGGGGAAGAAGGGGGAGGGTCTCCCCTGTATATGCTTACCAAAGCCCACATAGGTCCCATTGCACAATGCTTAACTCCTCTAGAGACCAATAGAAGCCCTTGGCGGTATCCGGATCGTAAGGACGCCGCTCGGGGACGGTGGGTAAGGGGTAGCCTCTAATTTTTTTAAGGCTTAGCGTAGGGGGACCTACCCGCGCTACAGTTGTCTTGAGTGCCTGATTACATGCATGTTTGGCAGGCGAATTGTACCTCAAATGGGTTTCGCTGTTCTGAGGAGTGGTGGCTGGGACAAGGTCATCGTTTTCGGCATCTCGCGCCGAACGGTGCCTGTTGCTTAAATAACACTGGTCTGCAAATTCTCAGCCTGCAATTCATCATTGGATGCGAGCATATTCCAGAGGGTTGCCACCTTCTTGATTGTTTGTCTTCCAAGCCATGGGACCAGGGCGATAAGCGCTCAAGGCCAGCATGTTGCAGCGTGCAACCCGACGAGGCACGGAATGCAGGCAGGACATCCCTAGTCCCGTTCAAGTGTCACGGAAAGTCAAAATCCATATCGCCAATAAAAGTGGTTTGGTCGCCGAGTTCATACCTTCTTCGGGTGATGAAGGCAGCTCATCATCGGATCAGAATGCCGTCTAAGCCGCAACGATAATGACTCTGCCAGGCTCATGCAGCACCGAAAGTGGACCTTCAACTCGTTGCCTGCCTTAAGATCTACCGTTTCAGACGATCAGAGACTTCAGACGCATCAGCGCCCAGGGGGAAACTTCAGACACCATCACCACGCGGCCTTAGCCAACCTTGCGCGCCATCTTTCGCTTGCATTAACAGGTGGTAGCCGTTAGATGCGTACAAAAGAACGGGGTGATGCACGTATTGGCAGGCAGTCGCTCACATCATTGTTGCTTTTGTGGCATGATCTACCTCTCCCTCGGAGTTCGGCTTGTTGGAGGGATAAGTCGAGGTTTTCAAGCCCGTGACTCGCAGTTCATCTTGTGCGCACGAGCGGAAACAATTTACAGAATGTTCAGACGACCAGACAACCGGATGACTGGATGAGTCAGGCGTCTGAAGTCGGAATCAAGGGGAAAACCCACAACACAGAGTCTGCCACCCCCAAACCAATTGCAACTCGGATCAGTAATCAAATCTATCGGCATTTGCATCTTGAATTCTCTTTAATGTAGTTCATAAGTGAAATTTGAACAGTATCCCGAGATCGAATTTGCCAAGTTATTGACACTCGTGGTGCGTACTGGTTTCTTGTCTCCAGAAGATACACACTTAGTAGTTGACCAAGTGTGATCGGTCTTTCCAACATTCCCAAACACGGAGCCGAAACGGAGCTTCAATTATTCACAAGGGCCAATAATCGTGAGATTTCTGGGGTAATTGTGATTTAGTATGAGCTAGGACGCTCTTCACATTCCACTGGGTTCGCCGAGTCCCACCAACCCATTCTATAAGTCTGAAAGGAATAGGATCTGTTCAAGAAGAACCCAGACTTTGTTTCTTCCGCACGTTACTATGCTCGTCTCATGCTTCATATTCAACAGTGTTTTGAGTCTGAGCATACGAAACGTTGGTTCTGTCAAATGGTGTGTTTGACTGCCACATATGCGTCACAACTTGCACAAATTGCGGAGACGAAAATGAGGGCAGCCTGATACGTTTGACATGTTTCTTCTGCCTCAAATAGGAACTCGTTCCAGAATGCTGACGTTTGACAGAACACCATTAAGAGTCTTCCTTCAACCGGTACAGTCTCAACCTCATCGGGCGTGTCGAATGGGCCTCATGCGGCGGTACTTATGCTGCATTTATTCGGATCGTGAAGTCATCGTTGTTCAGCTCTACCAGTGTCACCGTGGCACGCCAATCTGCTGCCACGTAAGTGTTCACATTCAAGCCATCGAAGCTCAAAAGTGCATTGTCTAGCCCTTCGATCAAACACGATTCCGGGCCTTAGCCGGGGTTTACACCTAATACCCTTCATGTAATAGCCATCAGCTTTGTCACCATTCTCCGAGCGTTCCTCAGCCATCAGTGCCGCCCTCTCACTATGCTACACAGCCAAAGCGTTACCACCGCCAGCAGTCCCAAGTTATGAAAGAATGTTTGTCGTTGATCAGGAGCTGTTGATCAGAGTGTCGCAAACAGGCGGAACACGGCACTCGATCTCATCGTCAGAGAGCCAACCTAGTCTCCACTTGTTCCATGAGAAGTAACCCAGGCTGAAAGGGTCGATGGCGGCCATCATGTCCCAATTGTCAGGATATTGGCCAACGTAAATCTTTGGGATGGGATAGAGGCTTAGCACGCAAAAGGTATGGCCAATCCAATGATTGTGTGTTTTGTAACCTCACCAACTGTAGGTGTGGTTGCCCATATTCACCGCTTTCTTGGCGAAACCGTTGATATCAAACGTCTAAACGACCAGTGTGGACGAGTGTAATAAGACTCATGTCAGGGAAACAAGAACATGCAGTAATTTCTAGTGCCAATGTTCAGCGTTAAACAATGCTATAGACCTCTGCTGACTTAGAAGAATTATGTACACTATTTGCACTTCGAGGGTCGCTTGGACACCATCCTCATGCGGAGGTTCGTTTTACGATGACGATGGTAACCACAAAACCTGCCGTTTAGGATTCAAGCTCCGGCAGAGCAGAGACACCGATGCCGAAGTCGTGACTACAGAATTAAAGTTCTTCTGCCAAATAAAGAAAATAGGGATTGGGTTCATGGCCTAAGAAGACTACTTGATTGAAGAGAAACAAATGATTGACGTGCAGCACGTGAGCACAGCTAGTTGTCACTTGATCTGTTGGGAACGCAATCTAGGCTACTTCGTGCCATAGTTGCTCTACAGTCATGGTAAACTAGCAACAGAATATTGTATTTGTGACGAGGACAAGGCCCAAGATAGTCATCTCTCCGACAGTATGACCGTTGTCAATCCGCAAGAACTTTCACAAGCTTGATAGCCCTGACTAGATATGAAGACGTAGCTGAGCCCAAAGAACTTTATAAACGTTTAGATGATCACAGGTACTGAATGCAGTTGGCGTTATTTTCAACCTTTGGTGCGCTGTATGTGAATAGATCCATGAACTGGTATCAGGTTTCTAGCGTATGCCATAAGTTGAGTCTAGTCTAGTCGTGGTCCTTTGTATCTCTTGTTTGCGTACCCAAACCAATTAGCCACAGAGAAGAGCCCCATCACACCGATTACCACAACTGCGTAATCTGCTCTTGAGTCAGTAAAATGGTAGATAAAACGCGGGGGGGGGGGGGGGGCGAGATTCCATACTCATGTTAGATGCAGAGACGGGCATAACGACAGGGAATTCGTAAAAGACCAAGGCCATAATACCAAAAACAATTGTCAAGAGATTGGCAACTAATCCAACAAAGTTCGGCAGTTTGAACTTTCGTCGTGGCAGTATTCTTTCAAACGCCTCTGACCCCCTGGACCGATGATAGAGAGCCAAGGCTGCTGGGAATGCGAAGCTGACCTGCTGAAGAATGAGGCCGGTTGCAACAAGAGCGTTAAAAGCTGTTGAGGAGCCGAGGAAGACGAAACCAAGAACGAATACGAGAAAAAAGTTGACAAGGAGAGCATTGACGGGAACTCCGAGACTGGGATGCATTTTTTGCAGAAATGAAGAGAAGACGATAGCATCATCGCGAGCAAAAGACCAGGTGAGTCGGCTAGCAGTCTGTAAGGCGCCTGTGCATGCAAAACAACCGCATACAGATAGAACGACGACAAAAACTGTAGCCGCTGCGCTTGACCCGGTGGCTTGAGACCAGATCTCGAGGATAGGAAGTCTGCAGGAAACCTCTATCAGTACATATACTCCTAGAGAAACTCTGGGTCCTTGGATGCTGGGGTGGACAGGGTCTCAAAAAGATGGGTATGAGGGAGGAGAAATATCTTACGGCGATGACAACACCGGTTCGAAATCAGTGAAGCTATACAACATAGCCACGCTGAATGTAAAAGCCGAAACAAAGCCAATTGTAACTGTTGATATAAGGGCTCTCGGTATCGCAGAGGACGCATTCGTGCACTCTTCTGCAAGGTGGATGGCACCATCGAGACCTGAGTAGATGAAGTTAGGGTTGAGCAACCCAGTCAAGAAAACAATTCCACTCGAAGACCATCCACTCTCGTTGACAAACGTGGTCCAGACGAAGGCGTCATCCTGCTTGTGTTTCGAACGTGCCAGACATGTGACGGTGATAACAAAGAAGCCGGCGAGCGACAGAAAGACTACAAAATCGGTAAGCCCGGCGCAAGCTGTAGGTGCTTTGCAACTTACATCCAACATCGTGGATCCAGGCGGTGCGTTTCATGAGAAAAATGTTGTACGCAGTGAATACAACATTAAAAGCCTGGAAAATCAAGAAAATGTGCCAAGTCTCGGGCATGTATGTCTGGTCGAGATATGCCGCAAGTGATAGAATAATGACAGGCATCTGAATGATGAAGCCCGCACCATTTGCGATCCAGCCCAAAAAGTTGATGGAACCGCAACAGTAGCTCTGGCAAATTGTCAACATTCAAAGAAAGCACCATGAGACGCATGGAGATCACTTACGAGGCCACGACTAAGACGTCTTGGTGCCAAAATACTCGTCCAGTGATATTGACCTCCAGCTGTTGGGTAAACGGAAGCAATCTCAGCCATGCTGAGAGCGCACGCGCCCCCAAGCACAAAGATAAGTATGATGCCGTAGAGCAAAGTGACCGGTCCGCCCGAAGTGATGGAGATGACAAGCGTTGCCGATATCGCTGCCCAACTGTTGCAGATATTCCATCCTAGACCAACGATCCCCAGTAGTCCGATGTCTCGCTTCGTTGGTGATTCGAGACCAAGGCGATTCAGCTCTGCATCTTCGTCGCTTGTGTTGTCGATAGAAATATCTGCAAGACAGTGGTCAGCAATGAGTTCTACTTTCCTTTTGTAGAAGCTTTTGTGGAAGCTTTTGTGGAAGCCTCCAACCCAATTGCATACTCTTCTCGACGGTGCCTGGACCATCTACATTTGTCGTATGCTGAGCCTTAGGGCCGCTTCGGCTCGAGAGTGCCGTTGATAATGCCATATTCCTGGCGGTTAACAATCAAAATTGACGAAAGGAAGTCAAGTAGAGCAAGCCAAAAGACCAATGTGAACGGCGGTCCGTCGAAAACTTAAAGCAGGTTTTCCCCTTAAGGGTTTCAGCGAATCGATGCGGCGCCTACCGAGGCGGGAAAGGAAAGTGGTATGTGCATGGTCGCATCGTATCCTCCGACTACAAGGATTCTCTGCAGTCATCTCTGTACCTTGGTTGCATGCAACATGGATACTACGAATTCATTCGCGGTCTAGTGCTGAGATTTCACGCTTAAGCGTTATTTTGTTTTCTCAGATGCAATGTCATACAGGCTCAAAACACAGCCAATGATAACGGTGACATTGTCTGACATTGACATGGATAGGAACAGGGCTTACCTCAATCTAGACTGGTCCATCTATGCAGTTTCACACGATGGCTTACTATCCTGGTACTTAAGTCACCCGATGCACGAAGAACCAAAGTAGAGGTTTTTGGGCAAAACATTGATATTGAACTGATTCGTAGCGGCAGTAGGTCGCATACGTAACCTTGACGGGTTGTGACACATTCCCCAATTACCCAAATGGAAGCGTGTTTTCTTCAAGTCTGATGGGGATTCGGCTGCCATAAACAACAGAATACAACACGCTCCCTCACTATGAGAAGGAAATGATGGTAACAGTCTGTATGTGTAGCAGAGCCAACAATAACAAAAGACCAACTCATATAAACAAAACATAACCGTATCAGCAAAGAACTATTGCAAAGCTTCTGTCGCAAGAGTAAAATTAAGCAGACGAAGCCATCAAAAACAGCGACACAATCAACGTCGCAATCAGACAGGACAGTGAAGTTTGACTACGATATGCCGGACTGTCTCCGAATCTGAGCAGTCCTGTTCCAATTGTTCCAAATGTTTCTGGTCGAGGCGATGTCATTGGTAAGAACACACCGGAATACTGAGTAGTTTCATTGCACTTCCTTGTCATCATAAACGTAAAGCAGCATCACATGGTGGACTTTCGTGACGGCTCCATCAGAAACATCTTGTAGAGCCTCCTATGACAGGTTCGAATAAGGAGATCAACCACCGAATACTTCGCAAGTATAATTTTTGTGTGAGAACGCTAGGCTAGCTGTGTGATAGCTAAACACAGGTTAAGAAACTTGGCTGTTTGTGGTACCTCACTGATCGAGACCAAGACGTTGCTCAGTGCGTCGGGGCAGCTTTCAGGCTGGCCGAAATTCAATCTTGGTCGTTCTAGACGGGGCCCACGTCAATGATCTCAACTGCATATGGGTGCATTAAAGCAGCGACAGTCGCTTGGAAGATGGTCAGAATTATCGCCATCTTTACGTAGGCATGTATAACTTGTCTCAACTATGACGCAAGTTCTGCTTCTGCCGCACCAAATCCGCGGGCGACTGTATATTGACCAAATCTCGCGAAGGGTTCTCAGAACGCCGTGCGAGGCATCTCGTCATCCAAAGCCTTGGCAACAGCAACAACTTTTTGTTTATAAGATTTTTTCTGTTCTCAAGTCCAGTAAATGCGGTTACAGTTTACAACCAACTTCAATTATAAGTCGCCATCCGACAATCAACAGGAATTCAGCATCCTTTCCCAACTTTTGCGGGGACGCATAGACTTAGAGAAACTGTTCCAATGACTGTTCTCCAGTTGCCTTATCCAATTCGTCAAGGATAGATTCAATGACACTGATGATGCAAAACGCCGCGCCGAATTTCATTGGGTTATCCTTGCCATTACGGTCGGGGTGGTCGTCCAAGTCAACATCGTCGGCTGTTTCACCCTTGCGACGCATAGGCAACTCCGTAGGCAGCGGGTAAAACGGCAGGTTCTCCTCAGAATCGTTTGCCAGTAGGTCCATTGCCTTAAGATATGGCTTGTACCCCTCCTTTCCAAATTTGGGGTCTTTTTTGCTTCCTTGGTGGAGGAGGTCGAACATACACCAGGCCGCGCGGACGACACTCTCAAGGGCGCCAACGACCCAAGCGTGATGCGCGGATGCCGCTTCTCCCACGAAATACAGCTGTCCAAAGGCGTTGGGCTTCGTGATGGCCGGGTAAAGGTCCCAGAACTGGCACGGCCCAAAGTATGCAAATGCGCCCGCCATGTGAGAGTCCCGGTACCAATCATAGGCGTGGTGGGTGTCGTAGAGCCTGGTGATGAGGTTTAGGGTTTCTTCGTAGGGGCTTGCCACACTTGAATGTAGCATTGCCAAGTCATGAAGAAGTATTTTCTTGAGCTCTTCTTCCCCGGTGGGAGTATTGGACGATATCAGACTCGCAATCCGCTGCGCCTCTTGACCCCACGTGTAAGAGACAAGCAGAACCGCAGGCTCGTGTATGGAATCGTTGACGTTGTATGATGGGTAAACGCAGACCTGTAGCGGAAGATCGGTTCGCGCGAGGCCACCTTGCGTGATACAAAAAGGTTCCATTCGCCACCAAGGCGTCTTGAACCTCATACCTACCTTGCACGAAGCACCGTAACCCAGACAACGGATTGCTTGCTTCGTATCCCATAGCAGACCCGCTTTCGACAAGTCCATTCGATCCATAGATCCAAGGGTCGTAGAATTGAAAACAGTGAAGTAATTCTCGTTTCTTTCTCCATCGAGGCTCTTGGGCTCTGCCGTGGTATCGCGAATCCTGAGCGTGATTTCCTCAGTCTTGAGACGTGGCAGACTGGTGTGTGCGTCCATGGCAACGACCTGATTGTTGAATTTGATGCATTCTGGGTTCTTGAGCTTCTTCATCATTACCTCGGCGATTTTCTGAGCACCACCATCAACACACCACCAGTGATCGTTGATAGGCTTCTTGGTATCGAAATCCAAGTGCTCCAGAACAGCTTCAGTAAGCGATTGGTCGTACCAGCCAGTTCCGCTTGAGAGATAGGAGTTAGTGATCGCGAGTAATCACCAAGCAACCCATGCCACAGAACAAATAACTTACTATGTCGCTGTCTCCATCCACTGCACGGTATTGTAGCTATATCCGGGGCCTTGGATTCCCTCAGGCAATTCAGGGGTCACAAGGGACGGATTATCTGTGCTACAGGGGTATGTTAGCTTATAGATTTTCTCAAGTTGCTTTTGAGTCATCCTTACGAAAGCAGGAACTGGCGGACACTCATTCTATCTGACTGCCGAAGCATCTTCCAGAACAAATCTTCGCCTCCAGACATTTTGGTCTTGTTAGTCTTCGCAGAACTGGCATCAAGCGACGGGGCGGTCTTGCGATTGTCCAGACCGTCTTTCACAGCATCGATGTACTGCTGGATAGCTGCTGTGAAGAGGTCGCTAGGATCCTTCTTGAGGAGACTAAAATGGCGCAAGCAAGGATTAGTATGGTAAATTTCAGCAACTGAATATAACGAGATCTCGACTCACTGATCTGGAATCTTTTGATCGTCTGGAATGCCCTTGTTTAGTTCGTAAGGGTCTATGACCCCTTCCGTCTTATAAACCCGGCCAACAGTGCGACGGTCGTTAAACATTGCAGGACAGACATCTTCAGTGTCTTCCATGAAATACGGGACTAGAACAGGAGGGTCGTTGGGTTCTTTGCGGGGGCTTTTCTCTCCCTTTTTTATTTTGTCAATACCCAAAAACTTGAAGAGACGAAAGGTCCTGGGTTCACCAGTTAGCAGGCGATCGAGTGGAGTAGTAGTACTTGATCGGTAACACGTACCTGTCCATAACGTCGTTATCCGGGAAACGCATGGCACCAACATCATAGTAGTCGTGCACCCGCTGAGGAGGATCATCGAAATAGTGAGTAAACAATCGACCGCCGAACCGCTTGCTGTCGGCGGCCTCGAGAATATCATACTCAATCTTGAGTCCTTCAACTTTCTCGCAAACCCAGTCGAGCAGGAGCGCAGTGAAGAGTCCCGCGACGCCGGCTCCCACAATGCCCACTTTGAATTCTCCAGCGTTATCTGGGGTAAGGCCTCCGGTGGTGAGTTTCTCGGTAACCTTGGCGAGACCAGCGACGCCGTTATTGATCAGTCCATTGTACTCCTCACCCAAATCCATATCGCCCAATCTCGCTGTCACCAGATTGACGTCCTTTTCAAAATATGCGCGCGACACATAACGAGCCCACTGAGACTTGTACGAGTCGACGGGTCCGGGTTGTGAGGCCGACATGATGAAGTTTTGACAGTCAAAGAAGAATGGAACGTGTGTTTATGGATGATAGTTTGAGTGAGGCTGATCTCGAGCTGTAAACTGGAGAGAACCTGTCAACCTTTATAGTAACTAGACTCAAATGTTGCTGCGAGGCTCTGGACATTGGAGCAATGAGATAAAACCGAATCCGGCTAGCGGGTTCGCCCTCCGGTGAAGTACTATCTGTCAGCTCTAGCTCTCAAGATTCTTTTACGCGTGGTGCGTCTCGAACACTTGGAGGGCGTTTGCATCCATGATATTGTTCCCTCGTAAAATCGACCTATAGGCTTTGATTCAATTCCAGCTGGTATGATGATAGCGCGGGCAACCTGCATTGGCTCCGTGAATTCACATTGATGGCTGGCTGAATATCTCACAACCACCCTAGGATGACTGGGGATTGGGTAAGCTAGCCAAAGCAAGCTTAGATTTGACACAAACGTTCAGCTGAACATCCGATATGGATGCCGAATTCAGACATATTGGGGAGGACCCCGCAAATTGACATCGAAGCGTTGTCTTATTGGATGCTGTCAACCTCATCGATGTCATGGTTCGGCCCGCTGCCACGAGGTCTTAGGTCCCGTAAGTCTAGACCTTTCGCACCATGCTTCAAACGGCCCTGGAAATGCCTTGAATTGGCTTGTGCCTAAGTTACCAAAGATTCTTCCGACCACCCCTTCTTTATCAGTATTAAGGTGAATCTGGGCATGCCCTCTAACCGCTTTCGTGCCTGTTGTAGCCCGCCATTACCTCTCATCTGAAGTCGAAACAGTTGAGCTAATGGGAATTTTTTTGCCCCCTTTGCCCCTATTCTACTCATGTTTATTGCCACAGCAACCTGCAGAGAGTGCAAAGGAATGGAAAAAAGTAAAAAAATGATTGATGTAGAAGACAGGAAGAAACAGAAATTGCACTATGTAAGTCTCTTGACATATCACACAGAGCAGGAAAAAGATTATTGTCTTGTAAACAGATCCGGCGAGATTTCTGCCGATTTTTGGCTAAACATAACTAAATTGGGTAGTCCACTTATCGCAGTAGATTATAACTTTATGTTATGCATCAAATACCGAATGCGTCTTCGAGCAGCTTCTGCTCCTCTTGCTGGTGAAGTTTCTTCGACCCCGTCGCAGCCGCAGCCCCCGTCCCACGTCCGGCATACACGATCCTCTTACCTCCCAACACTGCCGATTCTCTGGCCACCGTTTCCAGCCGATCGCGCATGTACTGCCACGCGCCGCCGTTGTACGGCTCTTCCTGCGCCCATACAACCGTCTGAGCGCCGGGGTACAACTCGAGGTTCTCCTTGACTTCTGCCCAGGGGAACGGATGTAGCTCCTCAATGCGCGTGATGGCGACGTCTCTAATACCTTTGGCCTCGCGGTGCTTGTGCAGCGCGGCGTAAACCTGTCCGCTGCAAAGGATCACGCGCTTGATCTCGTCTCTGGGGAGAATGGAGGCGCCGTGTTCCGGATCGGCGAGGACGGGCTGGAAGGTTGAGGTACCAGTTAGGTCTTGAACCGAGGAGCGAGCGAGAGGATGACGGAGAAGGGACTTAGAGAAGAAGATGATGAGGGCTGGATATGTTAGCAGGGCCATCATGATAAAAGTGGCAGGAGTGGCTTACGCTTCTTCTCCGGCGAGTAAACCTGTCTCCTCAAAGCGTGGAACAGGTTCGCCGGTGTCGTCATACAGACAACGCGCACGTTACACTCCCTCTTCGCCGCATCTAGGTCAGCAGGCCAGCTTCTTGGGTCTTCGCTCCCTAGCTCCAAGAACCGTCCCAACCTCGCAGATGAGTGCTCTGGGCCCTGTCCATCGTACCCATGCGGCAAGGACATGACAAGCGCGGACTTGAGAAGCCACTTTGCCTCGCCGGATGTAATAAACTGGTCAATGATGACCTGCGCATTGTTCACAAAATCTCCAAACTGCGCTTCCCACATCACCAATGCGTCCTTCGCAGCAAGCGAGTATCCGTAATCGAAACCCAGCACGCCGAACTCGCTGAGAGGGGAGTTGACGGCAGTATATGCCGCCTGCGAATCCTGCAGGTGGTTCAAGGGCGTGTATTCGGCGTGAGTGTCCTGGTCGTGAAAGACCGAGTGGCGCTGGGAGAAGGTGCCGCGCTCAACGTCCTGGCCACTGATGCGAACAGGTTTGCCCTCCATGACCAGGGAGCCGAAGGCAAGCGCTTCGGCAGTAGACCAGTCGAGGACGCCGGCATCGAAGGCCTGCTTCTTGGCGGCAAGGATACGTTGGAGGTTGCGGTGGAGGTTGAAGCCCTCCGGGACGCTAGTGATTGCCTGCGCCGCCGTTGCGAGAGTAGACTCTTCAACGGATGTTGACGTCGTTGGTTCGATAGTGTTATGTGGCGCTGTATCTTCACTCTGTTCCGCGGGCTGTTTGCTCCTGGCCAGCTTCTCTTCGAGCTGTTCCCAAACCCACGCCTTTTGCTGCTCAACAACCTCGGCAGACATGGTGCCCTCACCAACCAGCTTCTCGATGTAGGATTCCAGCAGGGCCTTCTTCTCCGCAATCTTCTTGTACATCTCAGGCTGCGTGAAGCTCGCCTGGTCGATCTCGTTGTGTCCAAAGCGGCGGTAGCAGTTCACGTCCACGACTATGTCGGACCGGAACTCGGCGCGCCAGTCCGCCGCGAGCTTACTGGCGTACACAACAGCCTCCGGATCGTCGGCGTTGACATGAATGATGGGCGCCTCGATGTACTTTGCCAGGTCTGTGCAGTAGGGTGTCGATCGGGAGTCGGGTGAGTCGGTGGTGAAGCCGATTTGGTTATTGACCATGATCCTGACGGTACCGCCGACCTCGTAGCCCTTGAGGCCCGAGAGATTGAGCGTCTCGTACACGGGGCCCTGGCCGGAGAATGCGGCGTCACCATGAAGGGCCATGAACATGACCTTGGACTGGTCGACGTCATTGTTGATGTGCTGCACAGCCTTGGCCTTGCCCTGGGCGACCGGGTCCACAGCCTCAAGATGGGACGGGTTGGGAAGCATGGAAATGCCGATCGTCTTGCCCCCTGCCGTCGTCCTCTGCCCGTCCATGCCGAAATGGTACTTGACGTCTCCCGTCTGACCACCCTCGGTGTCGAACTTATCGGTGCCCGCAAACTGGCGGAACAGCGTCTCAAAGTCCTTGCCGTAGACGGTGCTCATGAGGTTCATCCTGCCTCGGTGGCAGCTTCCCATGACGATATCCCGTACGCCGTGGACCTCTGAACAGCGATCAATGAGAGCGGCCAGCCCAGGGGCCAGCCCCTCAGCACCGTCGAGACCGAAGCGCTTTTCGTTGGGGAACTTTGCCGCAAGAAAACGCTCGAGACTGGTCGCCCAAATCAGGGTGTCGAGGATGCGCTTCTTCTCCTCCGAGGATGTAACGGAGTTATTGTAGGCTTCGATGCGGTCGCGGATCCAATCGCGTTTGGCGGCGTCGGAGATGTGATGGTACTCGATGCCCAAAGGGCCACAGTAGATGTCCTCGCAAGCCGCGATGATGTCGCGCAGCTTCATACTCTCATGACTCTGGGCAAGGTGAGGTAGAAGTTCCGGGCCTAGGGGGATCTCTCGATCCAAGTCCGCGGCAGAGAATCCGTACTTGCTTAAGTTCGACGCGCTGGGGATATCAGCATGCGGCTTCACCGTCGCGTTACCAAGGTCGCCCAAGGGATTGATCTTGGCGGCGGTGTGACCGTGCTGCTGGAACGCTCGAACTATATTCTGTGCCTTGAGGTAGTTTACACCGTCACTTGACGCGGCCGTGGCAGTGTGTGTCAGCGCTGGTGTGTGTCGCTCTGGCAGTAGGCCTGGCGGTGGTTGGAACGCTCGTGTCGAGTGTACAGAGGGGTCTTCCATTTTGCGGAAGTATGTGTGCCACGAAACATGAACGTTGGCGGGGTTGGTCTTCCATGCGGCGTACATCTCGTCGACATAATTCGCCGAACCGCCTTGGAGGAAGGAGTCTATCGGGCTCTAGACGTTCCATATTAGTGGTGAGGCTCGTGAATATTTGTGCTATTGGCGATCTTACCGGAGGTGCGTGAAGATCAACTGCCTCTGCGGTCGTGGCGTATGACCTGCCCTTCTGTGGTGACAGAGTGCGAGCTCCATTGGTGAAGGAGGCTCGTTGCGTTATTGAAAACGATGTTCTGACATTGGCGTGTTTTACACAGCAGGTCAACGTCGGAGTCCACGACACGAGACCTGTCTTCTTGATGACGCCTCGGGAGGCTGTGGACAGAGAACGGAGCATCCTGAAGGTTTGTCGCACTCACGATTAACCTATCGCGAACTGGGGGTATCAAGCCTATGCACGTGGACAATTGATGGATTTGTAAAGGAGAGATGCTGAAAGAAAGATTTAGCTCAGGGGGGGAGAAACGTCGAAGTCTTCACCATCGCTTTAGGAGGTCTACAGAAAAGCAGTAGAGCTATCAAAAGCTTAGAGAGACTCCTCTTTGCGATATACATGCGGGGAGCATCTCTCTTGGCATAACCAATGCTTCTGAGCCGACTGGGCTTTGGTCTGTCGGCGAGACTGACGCGAACCCGAGATCGGCTACTTGCGTGGCAAATGATAGAGCTGCCGGTAATCTCTCCATTTGAAAATACCATTCTTGCAAGCTCGGTCTCTACAGCACACACACAACTGGGTGTTCCAAACAAAGCAACGGAGTGAGAGATGGTTGCCCAGAAGCTGCTTGGCCAGCCTCTATGAAGAGTAGAAGGTGACCCTCGGATGTCGAAGCCGAACTTGGGGTCGTGCCCCGCCTGCCGTTCCAAGCCAACCACCCTCCCGGGACTTACCTCCGGAATGGCGACTAGGACGCGTCTAGCTACTTTCTACGACAATGAGGCGTCGCAGTGACTTGCTTAGTTGAGACTTGACTTGCTGGATGGCGGGGAAGCGCCACCCTCAGTCCGCCGCCTCAATAACCCCGCGTGGCTTGGATGGGGTGGGTCTGTGGTCCGTACCAACGCAGCGCATGAGATGCCTTCATATTGATGCGTGCGAGGATATGCACTCGTTTACGAAAACCTGAGCTCGTCTAGATGTGACAAGCAATGCTTGTAAACCGTGTTATCACTGGGAAAGAGGGAGATCCTGACCGCTGAACTCTCCATTATCTACGACCGAAATCCATCTAAGATGCTGCAGTTTACGCCCCCAATGCCCGCAAGGCGATGCCATCAGCCTGGTCCCGCCCATTTACAAAGTAAAATACAGATCCTTGGTTATTGCTACTGCACTTTCCGCATCGACCTTGCGAGTGTCTCTCTGCGCAGCCTAGCGCGCGCGCACTCTCTCTTTCTCTATTCCTCTATGCATGAATGTGTTTCGACGTGTAGAAATTAAGCCAGCAAAAGTCTGGCGGGGTCCTCAATGTAGCTCTTGACAATGTTCAGGAAGGTGACGGCCTCGCGACCGTCGATGAGGCGGTGGTCGTAGGTGACGGTGATGTACATCATGGGGCGGATCTCGAGCTTGCCGTCGACGACGACGGGGCGCTCCTTGATGCCGTTCATGTTGAAGACGGCGGCCTGGGGGTAGTTGATGACGGGGGTGCCGAAGAGCGAGCCGAAGATGCCGGGGTTACTGATGGAGAAGTTGCCGCCCTCGAGGTCGGCCATGGAGAGCTTGCTGTCGCGGGCCTGGTGGATTGTTAGCATAGTTGCTCAACTGCGCCAATTCAGGGTTAGGTTTGAAGGGGTGGGACTCACCTTGGCAGCTAGCTCGGCGACACCGCGCTCGATGCCAATGATGTCCAGGCTGTCGACGTTGCGCAGGACGGGGGTGATCAGGCCCTTGGGCGCGGAGACGGCGATGCTGATGTCGACGTAGTCACGGTAGGTGATGATCTCCTTCTCGGTGTCGATGGAGGCGTTGAGCTGGGGCACCTGCTGGGCCGCGAGGCAGGTCGCCTTGGTGAAGGCGCCCATGTATCCGAGCCTGACGCCGTGGCGCTTCATGACGTCCTCCTTGTTCTTTGCGCGCCACGCCATGAGGGCGGACATGTCGACCTCGTTGATGGTCGTCAGCGACGCCGTCATGTTCTGGGACTGCTTGAGCTTGGTAGCAATGGTCTTGCGCATGCGCGAGAGCTTCTCAATGCGCTCGCCACGGGAGAAGGCACCGGTCGAGCCGAAAGGCACCTGGGGCTGCTCGGCGGGCTTCTGTTGAGGAGCGGCGGGCTTGGGGGCCGGCGCGGGCTTGCTCTCCTGCTTGGGGGCCTCGGGCTCCTTCTTCTGCTCCTGCGCCGGGGCGGCGGTAGGCTCGGGCTTGCTCTCGGGCTCGGGCTTCTTCTCTTCCGTCTTTTCGGGCTTGGCCTCCTTCTTCGTCTCGGCGGGTGCGCCGCCGGTCTCCATGCGCGCGAGCTTCTGGCCGACCTCGACGGTGTCGCCCTCAGCGACGAAGAGCTCGACAATGGTTCCTTCTTCGGGGGCGTTCACTGCAACGTCAATCTTGTCCGTCTCGATGCTGGCGACTTCCTCGTCGGCCTCAACGCGGTCGCCGACCTGCTTGCCGAGGGAGGCAACGGTGCCTTCGGTGATGGACTCGGCCATTTGGGGGACGGTGATGATGACCTCGCCATGCTGGATGCGTGTCGTGCTGAAGGATCGGTACTGGGAGGAGGCGAGGGCGGGGAATGCGCTAGAGGCGGATCTCGTGGCCGTGTTCCGCGTCGCGGTGACGAGGGACCGGGTCGACGCTTTTGAGGCGGCGTTGGTGATGTGAGATCGGGCGGCAGATGCGAGTCTGGTCGTGGGCTTGGCCATACGGCCGACGGTTTGGAGCTGGGGGCGCATCATTTTTGCGACTATGAGGGAGTGAGTGTGAGGAGGGAAGAGAGGTGTTGAACAGAACAAACGACTGGACTTGTCGGTCGGCAGTGGTGGTGTTTCGTGGTGTTGAACGAGTCTTGACTCTAATTTTGGGGCGAGAAACTAGAAAGGGACGCGGGAAATGTCGAGGGAAAATTGAAGTTGGAGCTTCCTGGCTGCGTGACAGAATTAGCCGCTGCTTTAGCTTACTGGACCCCCCTGATGTGCACGTTCTGCTGCCATTCAATGGCCTTTCCCGTGCCCCTGATTGGATTGCTTAGTGGCTGTTTCTACGAGTGATGGACGTGTTGTTCGCCAGCTCATTAGATGATGGTTGTTGGTATTGCTAAGCATGGCATTATTATTCCATATGATGCGATGGAACAGCCATGTAATTGACATTGTTATGAGTGCTTTCATTTTAGGCGTCTGAGGATGTATATGATTTGGCTACTCCCATCCTTGAATAATTCGCCGAATGGTTTCCGAGAAATGCTTGACTGACTTGTTATGAAAGAACCCATCTCTCCAAACTCTCTGGGTCTAAGATATCGTGACCTCTGGCCAATCTCTAAGGAGAACAGGCTAAGATGAACCTTGAAGATATGCGACGTACCCAAACTAGCAACCTGTAGCCCTGCGATTGATGAAACAACTTCTATGGTTTGATCCAAGATGCTAGGTATAACACAATTGACTCTGATCCAACGCCCATTCCCGTTGCCGGATCACGCCCGTGGCATCGTGACATCCCAAGCGGCCTCCCACCGTCTAAAAGCGGCGGCAGACTCGGTGTAGCACGGTAACGCTCCTGAGAAACCTGGGAAGAAATCGGAAAGGCTCCGTCCCCGTGCCGCGGACGAGCTCTGTCCGAGTGGACCCCAGCTTGTCAAAGGCTGCACCGTCATTGGCCAATTGGGGCCGCATCGTGACAGCGCCCAGGCCCCCGGGAGATACGTACCGCGTCATGACAGACATCGGGCAGGGGTTTTCGGCTTCTCTCAGTCCCCTTCCCGGCCAGACGGCTTCTTCCCGCCAACTCGCTCTGACTTCTCAGCATCCAAGGGGCGGGTCCCTGTTGTTCCTGGTTTGGCATCGATGGGTGATTGCAATTGTCCATAGTGGAGTTTGATTCCTTCATTTGGGGTTTGGCGACTTGGGCTGTTAGTCAGCATGCCTCGGCTTGGAGACGGTGCCAAGACAGGGGATTCTCAAATTTCTCCAAGAAAAGAGAAAAGTCACAATGTGGCCCGAGCTCTTTTTGAATGCGACACTGCAGAGTTGAGGTTATCCAGAGCCCCCGATCAGCAGAGTAGTTAAAGAAGCCTTCAAGACGCAATGGCTAGCAAGGTTCAAAACGTAGAGAGTGGCGGCGCAAGAGTGGCGTACCTGACGCTATACAACGCCCTCTTCGCATCTCTATGGGCCGCCATCTTCATCACTGTCGCGACGACCGCCGCGTCGGGAGGCCAGCTCGCCGTATACGAAGCGGCCGAGGCCCGGTCGCGATGGGTGCAGACGCTCACTCTGATTGAAGTCGTGCACTCCGCCGTCGGTGAGTCGTCTCCCTCACTTGGTCTCATTCTTGCTTCACACACGACGCATAGCCCATCCCAAGCTAGACGTGGTGAGGTCAACTGAGACATTACTGACTTGGACCAGGCCTCGTCAAATCCCCAGTCGGCACAACCGCCCTGCAGGTCGTCGCCCGCACCATCATTGTCTGGATGGTCTGCTACAGCTTCCCCGAGAGCACGGCGTCCTCCGGTGCCTACGTCGCGCTGCTGCTGTCGTGGGCTACCGCTGATACAATTCGCTATGCCTACCTGGCCCTGAACCTCCACGGCAAGGCATCTGACGCCCTCGTCTGGCTGCGGTACGTTCAAAGACACAAAGGCCGCCCGGACACTGGAACAAGAAGCTGATGATGGTAGATATACCATGTTCTACCCCCTCTACCCCACCGGCATCGCCTCCGAATTCTGGCTGCTGTACCTCGCCATCGAACCCGCCAGCCGCGTCAGCGCCGTGCTTCCTCCCATCTTTTATTTCTGCTTGTGCCTCTACATTCCAGGTGTGTATCATAACTCAGCCTCGTTGTCCTAAACATTTGCGCTCTTCGAAGCTGACAACTGAACCCCGCCAAAGGATCGTACACCATGTATACCTACATGATCAAGCAACGCAAGAAGACGCTGTCAAAGTTGAACAAGTCGCAGTAGAGCCAACTTTCCTTGCGTTAACAAGGCCCAGACAACAGCTGCACGACTGTGTCACATTTCATAAACTGATTAGGCCTGACTCGGGTGTCGGTGCATGGGATTTTCTGCATTAAGCCAACTTGGGGTGTCGGCTATGAGATCCGAGGGCAGTTGGTGCACTTGGAAAACCCCCTTGTGGCTGTCGTCTTTGGTCATGCACCTTTGACATGGCAATCCGGCCCGTCCCAACGCCGTCCGATGCTCCCAAACAACGATCCTCAAGTTTGTCAAGTCGGAACCTGCCCGACGGGGCGCAAGTAACATTGCCTCGTGAAGGTTTTGCTCTGTAAAGCCTCTATTGGAAGGGTGCAAGTAATCGTCTGATCAACAAACTCTGACAGAGTCTACCACAGGGGAAGTCGGGTTTCCTCGACGGAACTGTGATCAAGCCAAAGGCCAGGACATATCATCAAAGGGATATTACTGGGTATGCAGCTTATATGGCATGTGGCATCTAAATAAAAATCAACGATATCAGGCATAAAAGGGAGGCAATCTCTAATTTGTAGCCTCTAAATCACAAGTTGTACCTGAAAGCCTTGTCCTGCACATCCGTCAAGTCCGAATCAACCGCAACCCCCATCTGCACGGCCTGCGCGCCGCCATCATGCCCACCGACGTCGTACTCGTAGTGGCCCTCCGCCGCGAGCCTGTCCCTCGTGGCATTCTCCCTCTTGAGCGTGAACCCGTAGACAGCATACGTGATAATCAAGGCGACCCAGCTCGCGATGCTGAGGATGCACCCCTTGGTGTACCTTGGCGCGTCGCTCTCCGTCCAAGCCTGCGGCGAGACGATGCACCCGACGCAGTACACGATAAAGAAGCCAGCGCTGACAACAGACTTTTTGGTATTGCCCTTAACGTTAGACGCCATCATGGACGCCGACGAGCTGAGTAGGGAGCTGCAGCACGCCGCGAGCCACGTGCTCGCCACGATGCCCCACTCGGATCCTTTCACGGGGAGAGCGAGGAGCATGGCGGAGCCGAGGAGCGGCACAAGAGAGAGCCCGATCGACGTGTAGACGCGCGTGCCCGGGACAAAGCGCGGGATCAGCGCGCTGGCCCAGATGGTCGCGAAGCTGATGGCGCCGCCGGGGAGGCCGACCAGCATTGTCTTGAAGGGGGAGTAGCCGAAGCCGTTGATGACGAGGGAGGAGAACTAGAACGCCGATTGTTAAACGGTTACTTTACACAGTCGGGGCACGCCAGGCGCTTACCTTGAGAATAGGCGTGGTGAGGGTGATGCAGAGCGCCATCATAAAATACATCCACGTCATTGGCTGCTTCAGCGCCTCGTACATCTGCTTGGTGTTGAACTCGGCCCTGTCGCGGGTCCCGCGGTCCAGCGCCAGGCGCCTGGTGGCGACCTCGCGCTCCCTCTCGTTGAGGAACCACGCCGTCGTGGTGTCCCTTGGCATGAGCAGGCAGAAAGCGATGCCGCAGGCCGAGGTCAGCCCGCCGCTGATCAGGAACATGACGCGCCACTTCTCCAGGGCCATCTGCGCCGCGCCTCCAATGCCGTACATCATGAGCGCGCCGAGGATCTGCGAGACGCCCGACATGGAGACCCAGGTCGCCACGCGGATCGGGTGTTCGCGGCGGCGGTACCAGTTGGAGGTGATGATGATGAAGGCCGGGGAGACGGCGCCTTCGGCGAAGCCGAGGAAGAAGCGGGCGGCCGCGAGGCCCCTGAAGTCGTGGGTCGCGCCGAGGCACATCTCGACGCCGCCCCAGACGATGATGGTGACGCCGACAAAGAGGGTGATGGGGAGGCGGCCCATGAGGTACGCGGCGGGGTACTCGGAGCACAGCTGGCCAAAGTAGAAGAGCGAGATGACCCACGAGAAGTCCTGGCCGGTCAGGCGCAGGTCCTTGCGGAGGCCGAAGACGGAGGCGTAGTTGATGGATTGTTTGTCGAGGTCTGTTGGAGACGCGGTCAGCGTGAATGTGAACAAGATGCAACGATGGGCATCTTACACTGGAAAAAGTAGACAAAGGACATGAGCGGCATCAAGACTCTATCTAACTTGCGCACAAGGGCGGCCTCCTCCTCTGGACTGATTTGCTCAAAGGCCACGTGCTCCTCGTCTTGCTTCTTGGTCATCTCGAGCTCCTCGGCCAGAGCCGCGGGAGACTCTTCTCTCTTGGTCGACATGGTACCGGCGTGGTGCTGCGAGGTCGACCGAAGTTGCAGAGAGAGGTATATGTTGGCGACCCAGGGAACGGCAATTAGTGCTGGGTCAGGACGGGAGCGAACAATCTATTCAATTCTGCGAACAAGGTTGAGTTTGACCGGGTACCGTACTGGCTGGCAGTGGAAGAAACCTTGGTCATAAAGAGATGGCAGTTTCTACTTTGTTGGGTGCTGGGGACATCAATGTTTTATATGGCCGGGTTGCCCTGCTCCTTGATTCCTTTCACTCAACAACCTCCTCCATCTGGGGTTGACTACCCCCTGGGGAAGCACCGGCTCGTCGTGGAGTTTACGGATTGCGGGGGTTGCCCCAGGCTCTCCGCAAAGACGGGGAAGGAGACAGCCGCTGTGCCAAGACGTGACCAAGGGCTAACCGGCACTACTTTGGGATGCGTTCGTGGTGGTCGTGGGGGAATAGAGTGTCGCGTGCGGAACCCGAAGCTGGACCCTGAGCTACGTCTTCCCCTTCGGCAGCCATATCCGAGGGTCGCAGCAAACCTTCGACTGATCAGCCATCTTCCAAAGCTGGAATCCAGAAGCGGCACCAGAATTGTCCAGGTGGCCCAAGACCAGCCCAGTCTATTCTCCGGGTTACTAGTCAGTCTTCCTCCTCCTTTCCTCACTGTTGCAAGACGCGCCAAAGTCTCGGATCTCCGGCATCAGAAACCCTTTCCATCTACGGTTATAGTCTCCGAGGACAACAGATGACGACGCTCAATGCTGGCTGCCCCACGGTATCTGATTTTCCAATGACTCCCAGTCGGTCTGCTCGACGCCAGTAAACAAAAACCCCGGGGTGTGGTAAACCCAGTAGAGGCTGTTTTCGCCCTCGAGAGGTATGCTTGCCAAGTCGGCGCCGCTGAAGCCGAAGTCGTGCTGGCCAACGTCGCTGCAGGCTTCCGCCGCCGCGCCTGCATCTCCCTGCCGGTTATTATCCCCTTCGACGCCCGAGCCTACGTTTTCGACGCCAGCTGATGCCCGTTCAGGACCCGAATCGACGTTCCCGTAACCGCTCGAAAAAGAAAATGTCTGCGTCAAAAGGTCCATGAATGACTCTTGCGGGGTTTGACCGGCTGACTGATGGATTGGCAGCGCAAGATGCGTACACATCTGGTCGAGCTCGGCGAGGCGGTTCCCCGCGGCTCGGTTACCCAGGGTGACGAGGTACCGGAGGATAGCCCTGGACCCGTCGATGCCCTTAAAACCGAGGCCTTTTCCTGGGTTGATCGCCTCGACCAGGACGAAGACGAACCCCACGGAAAAGGTTGCGTCAAGGTCCAAGAAGGCATTTTTTGCTGCTCACATCAGACGATTAACATTGACGTTCGAAAGGCCTTGAGTCTCAGACGTACCAAGAATCTCCTTTTTCCGAAGTTCCTGCAAGATGACGAGACTCTTACTGGCGGCCTCAACGCAGATCTCTGCGAGACGAACCAGTGCCGGGCTCACTTCGTTCCGGGAACCTTCTCGCTCGGGGTCTCGGCTGTTGCGAGCCATGTACAACAGAATAGGTCGAACAGTATGAATCACCGCCTGAGGTAGGTCAGTAAGCTGCCATCGAAAGGGCATGGAAAGAGGAACACACTGAGTACACAGAGGTATACAAACTGGAGCTGGTCCTCGATGTCGTGGTTGGTGCTTCCATAAACGGGCGCCCGGCCACGGTCAGGCCGGATGGCTTGATTTCCATCGAGTACTCGGCCGGCATGGTCTTTTCAACTTCGTACAGCGAATGTAAGATGTCTTGGACGTTGTTGATGAACAAGGCTTCTGGACCGTCTTTCTGCGAGTATATAGCTACCGTTCTGTCAGCATGTATTTCGGCTCAAAACAAGTATCCGTTATTACATACTCGTGGTGATCTTGCCGGTGATCCTAGCCGCTTCGACGTTGACGCCCAACGCCGTGGCAGACGGGAACCCGAGAACCTCGTATGGCGGCTTGGTAGTGGTTGCGTAGTCCTCAATAGACATGGGGTAACCTCCAGCCGCACATAACCTCCTTGGATTTGTCAGTCGTGATGATTCCATGATGAATGACAGATCATGGTTGCTACCTTTCTTGCATGTAGATAGACCACCAAAGCCTATTTCTGTGGACGTTCTCGGACCGTCGAAGATGCTGACTGCTGTTGAAACGATGCATGCCATGGCTGATAGCTAGCCGTAACGCAGTGTTCGACTTGATCAGGGCCGTCAGTACTTCGTCGATTAGACCCAGCCAGGGTCGACTTACATGCAGGTACGCATCATCTTTGCGGTCCGTTATCTGAAGGTACAGAGCCGTCAAAGCCATGACCTCAACCCCTATAATACCGTGCTTGCGCAGGTCACTCAGCAGAGGTGTCCGTTTTACCGCCTCTCGAAAGTAATTTGTGCCGGGAAGATCGCCGTTTTCATCATCCTTGCCCTGCAGAAGTCGACCGACAGCAAAGACCAGCAACGCTTCCACGATCCAGATCTCCGGCAGCCTGACCTCCGCATTGGACTCGTGGTACAGCACGGAGAGATTGTCCGAGAAGGCGCGGACATCAAAGAGCTGCTGGGATATGCCGACGTTGAAGATGACGACGTCGAGCATGGCGTGGGCCTCCTCCTCGGTCGGCCACGGCCCGATGGCCTCCAGCCCGCGCCGGTCGATGTGGGGGACCGGGGTCACGGCGCTGGCTGACGGGCTGACGGTAGACCCGGGGTTCGAGCGGGACACAAGCAGCGTCTTGATCTCAGAGCCAAAGGTCTCGCTCGAGGACAGAGCCGACTCCGGGGCAATGGCTACTTCCTCCCCACCGGCGTTAGCATCCGACGCGCACACAGTCGTTGGCGAGAGTACATGAGAAGGCCCACTCACCCCTGCCGGTCCGCACAGGCGACGTCGTAGACGTGGGCACGGCTTCCCCAGTTCGCACCCTCTCGAGCGTGGGGGAGAAGGCTGGCTGAGACATGACTGTCCGAGGTTGGCCCAGGCCAGAAGAAACCGAGGGGGTGGCGACGCTGCCGCCAAGGCCGGTGCCAACTTGCGCGACGTTCATGTCATTGTGAGCCGCGTCTGCATCTGGGTTCTGCCCGCCCGTGGGCACCCTCCACATGGGCGATGTCGGCGCCGGGGAGGACGCCGCGCCTAGAGCCGACCTCTCGTGGCCCTGGCGCTCATAGAAGGCCACCTTGTCCTCGAGCTCACGGATCTGCCTACGACAAGTGGGTATACCCTCAGCCATCAAGTTGACGAACTGGGCTCAGGTTGATCTAGAGCAATATCAGACGGAGGACGACGTACGAGATGGAGTAGAGCTTCCGCTTCTCGGAGGCGGAAAAGGTGCAGTCGAGCCCCCGCTTGGAACAGTACTTGCAGGGCCGTTGGCCTGAGCATTTCACCTTCTTGTCCCGGCAAATCTGGCATGCGTTGGAGGTGCGAGCCGCCTCGGCTTGAGAAGCCGAGCGGAAGCGTCTCGTCGCCGCGGGCGTGGGCGCGCCGGCGGGCGGACTCGTCGGCTTGCGTGTGTTGCGGGTGCTGGTACCGGTGCTGGTGCTGCCTCTGCGCTCGGGTTCCGAGTCGACGTCCATGTCTCTGAGTTCCCTCCTTTGATACTGCCAAGATTCCCAATGGCAAGTCGAAGATCTGGGGAAGCGGAGGGAAAGTCGTTGGGGGTATGAGAAGGGAGACGCATCCGTGGGACGGTTCGATGCGTTAAGGCTTTCCGGGGGGGCGACGTCGGGGCAGGTGCGACTCGCACTCAGGGTGAGTTATGCGCTAGGCAAGGACGCTAACCCGCCAACACGCAAATCGTTAGTGGGGCCCTGTTCGGAGGCCCGGGCTGCTTCTCATCGCCTGCCCGTTGAGGTAAAGGCACACGTGTGACCCATGACACTTCATCCCATCCTTGATGATACTGGGATGTGTTTGTTAATAGTGCATGCCAACAAAGAAGCACTCGGTCGATTAATTATGTACACAGATCCCAGATACTAACTTGAAGCGTCAGTTGTAGAGATCGTCATCATCCTCCGCATGCTTATGCTTGGAGGCATGGGGACTCGTCACCCTGATGCCGTTCTCCAACCTTGCCAGGTTCATCTCGTAGTTCTTGTGATCGCACCACTTGGAGACCATCTTGACGGCCGTCTTGATCTCGCGACCATTCAACTGCCATTGCCCCAGCTCCTTCATATCTTCGTCCGAAAGCAGACCGACCTCGCCTGCCGTGGTTCCGACTGGCCCGATTTGCGGGAGTCTACCCAAGAACTTGCGCCAGATGAGCTCGCGCGCATCGGGGCTCAACGCCTTGAACAACAGGTGCAGACTCACTCTGCTCCGGAACGCCGTGTCGATGGTGTTGTACAGATTCGTTGTCAGGAAGATGATGCCTCTGAAGTACTCCAGCTCGCGCAGGAAGATGGACACCAGCTCGTTACGCGCAATGTCATTGGGGTTCCGCTCAGCCATGAACACGTCGGCCTCGTCGAGCAGGATGACGGCGTTCCATTCAGTAGCCATCTCGAACACCCGCTTGACTTTCTCGCCCAGAGTCGAGGGATTAATGCCTAGGTCCTCGGCTTGCAGGTAGAACAACGGACGATGAGTCCGGTCAGCGACGGCCTCTGCGGTGAGGGTTTTGCCGGTGCCGGGTGGGCCGCTGAGCAGGATGATGAGACCCTGTCCCTTGCCCACGATGACATCTTCCATTGCATTCTTGTTAGCGAGTCCGTGGTTCTCGACAAACGACAAGACGAGATCCTTCTGCTGCTCGTCGTAGACCAAATGATCGTAGGCCTTGTCGTTCCATACAATTGGCTCAATGTCTTCCACGTAAAATGCCACTGCTTATGTCAGAAGGAACACCAATGCTAATAGGGTGAGGCGAGACAACATACACCAGACTTTGTTCTTCAAGGCGAACCCTTCAATCAAGGGAGACATAAACACCAGGTCATCCTCCCGGTCAAGCATATCCTCCTTGTTCTTCCGTTGCTCCTTTGCGCCGAGATGCTTGTCGATGTGGGCGTCGGCCTTTTTAGGCTCAGAGTCTTCCGCATCATCGGCAACCTCGTTGCACCGAAGGTTGTGTTGATTTTGGTTGACGCGGTTTCGACGCGTATTAGCGTCGTCCTGTTCCCTCTTCCCCTGAGTCCGTTCGTACTTGTTGTAACCAACAACATCGATGAGAATCCTGCCCTCCACGTTGTACTTGCTCTTCTTACTAACCGCAATGCCATTGTAGGTGCAGTACGTCAATCCCTGGAGATCCAGAACCCTCTTACCTCTGGCGAGCGTTCGCTGCAGGATATCCTCTTTGTTCTCGTGGAACTGCAGGGGGTAGTGGTCGAGGTCGCGAATGGGCTTGTTTCCGGAAAACCTTGGGATCTGGAGCTTGTGGTCGTCCCAGACAAAACTCTCGCCATTGAATGTGAGGATCTTGCAGTTGATGCTAAGAACCAAAACGTTGTCAACCCTTTCGTACGCCGTGTCCTCGACCTTGCACAGCATCTCCGTGTTGCAGGCATTGCTGTAGATGATGGAGCCTCTCGGGAGGTAGGTCCACGCCATCTTGAAGTTGATCAGCCCGCTAGCTTGTAACTTCCGTTTCTTTTCGCGCGTCTCGCCGAGCATGTCATCCAGAGTCCGCACCAGGAGTTGCAGATAGCCTTTGAGCGAGCTGTCGTCGGTCGTCTTGTACAGCTCCAAGATTTCGTCGTAGCAGAAGAACAACGGGCGGAAGGGAGCCTCAAAGGTCGCCGTGTCGTTGGGGTCGATGTGGAAATCCTCCTTCTTAAGAATTGGTTCCAGGGCAGCGACGAGCGTCGGGTTCTGGATGCTGATTTGGTGGTAGGTCAAGGAGAAGCGGCCCCCGATGATGGGCTTCTCGATATCCTTGATCTTGTAGACCTTGATGGCGGGACGGTCCTGGCTCTCTGCCACTTTCTTGCTCATCTGTTTGGGAGGGAAGTCGACCCAGTCGTAGATACCGTTGCAGCTGTTCTTGCCCTCATAGAGGGTCTTGACAGTGGCATCGACACCAAATGTCGAGTTCTTGGCTGGCTGTTTTTTGGGGTCTTCATCGGAAAGGCTTCCTTCAATGTCTTCGATGGGCCGACCGGCATCTTCCTTGCGAGGAAGCAGTTTGCAGCGCAACTGCCAGGCTTTCTCCGAGAGCGCCTCTCTATCAAACGCCTCGCTGATGTGCATTGCGGCAGTCGAGTCTTCAATATTACTGCAAATCGAGTGTAAGTTTGGTGTCGAGCCTATGGAAGATGAGGAGAAAGAGGGGTTGAATTGAGTACGAGAGTATCCGTAAACGAGGGATGAGACGATGTCAATTAATATGCAGATGCCTGCTCGATGCGCCAAAGCTGTAGCCTTGGTGGTGCGCTACCAAAGCGACGACGGCCGCGCCCGTCTCCATCGTTCAGGACACATTGGTCCGCGACCCGTGAGGCGGCCGAGGCGGAAAGTCCTAGTGGCTGGCCCAAACCATTGTATACGCAGGACTCAGCCCCGGATGCCGGTGAGTCAAAAGCGACCACAGAGCCACGCCATGGCGACCGGGAAGCGTAGCCGGCTTTCAGCCACTGTGGTGACAGCTGGTTGAGGCCTATTGGTAGGACGTCGACATCATTGGTTTTTGAAAATGACGGTAACTAAGATCGGATTGGACGGTATTACTTCTTCTGGCCGCTGTGAGGTTCGTTGTCGAATTCCATGGGTGGTTAGGCCGCGAAAGGATGAGTGGTGAGTTGAAGAAGTGACAATGGATCCAACGTCACTGCTGCCGGCAGATGGCACGGACCAGCGCGCGGACCATCGCTGCAGGGCCGGCCAGTCAATCGCCTAACGCCTCGGGCCATTCACAGCCGCTTTAAAAGGCGGGTGCCCCTACTAGCGTCGATGCGCTAAAGCCGTCCCTGTGGTTGCCTCCGCCAGGCACGCGTCTTGGACATCGGTCTGCCTCGGGGATTGTCAGAGCATCAGGTTTGGCCTCAATGTGGTGGCCGTAAGCATCTGTGGTTGGACAAAGGTAACAGAATGCTCCTTCGACTATTGGTTCAAGGCTGATCAATGGGTTGAATCGTCCTAGAGTTCCCGTCATCAAGCATACCACCAAGGTCCTTCTCTAGCATCGTTAAGATGTCTTCTTTTCGTCTGGTAGATTTCTCATAGCATCAGCGTGAACCATCATTGGAAACACAGTTTTAGGACAACCAGTACGTTTGAGGGCAAATGCACGCTGGGGAAGTTTCAACAGGACAACGGTCCATCAACCGGCGTGATGTCCATTGAACAGTTTGTTGTTCAACTACAAGCCTAGAATTGGCCATGTGTAGTTTTCTGCGTTTAATTCAGACTCCGCCTCTGGCTGCACCGACACTACACGTATAAACTTATGAGTCGCCCCGAGGACCTAGCTAGGCGGAGCCGGCCACTTGTCGAGCACGGCTTCCTCGCCCTCAAGCGTAAACGTGGCCGTTGTCAGGGTCGGCTCGTCAATCGTGATGGCGTATTCGCCCGGATAGAGCACAGTGTTGCCCTCATCGTCATGGCGAACAATATCGCCGAGTGTCCATTGAAGGTCAACCGTCGCGGTCTTCCCAGGCGCGATGTCGCGCAGGCGCTTGTAGGCCGAAAGGGTCTTGATGGGATACGGTTTCGGGCCATACTCGCCTGACAGGTAAGCGAGAGCCACATAGTCAGAGGCTCGGTCCTCAGTGTTGGTGATGCTAACCGGCAAGGATGGGGCCAGGCATGTGTCAGGAAACTCATTCTTGCACTCGGCCATCAGATGCGAGATCTTCAGCGTCTCAGGGAAACTCTCCACTTCTGCCTTGAAACTCGTGTAGTGGTTGCTATCATGCAGCTCATCACTGGAGAGAAGAGCCCGGCTGGCCGTCTGCCAGTTACTCAGTACCCATCAAGCTACACGAACCTAATACCGATGACCAACATGCACTTGAGGCCGACGTGCAAGTATCCTGGACGTACTTACAGGTGGTATGATAAGCCCATTAAGCGTTTTGGGTCCGCCTCCTGACCAGGCCAATTGGCCCATAAGATGGAGCTGACCTCGTCAAACTCCAATAGAGGCGTGTAGTCCAGCTGATCACCGAGCAGACTGACCACAAGCGGTTTTCCGAGCTTGCTCAACTTCTTGATGAGACTCAACTGCGCTTCTGGCCAGTCGAGGTTCGTCCTATCGAGTGTTTCCCCTGCGGCAGAGGTATCCAAGCCGCCAAAGTAAAACATATAGTCCGCTCCCTTGGCAGTTTCCAAGGCACTGGCGGTCCAGTTGTCGTTCGCAGCATCCGTCTGAAGAACAGGGCCTGTTGCCACCGCAACATCCAGGCCAAGCTGCCGGGCAGCGTACGCCGGGGAATGTAGGTGAGCGGCTCTCCCGCTGTAGCCGCCTTCCAGCTTCTCAGGGGCATCGGCCTAGAAGCCGATCATGGCCACCTTGTGAGAGGGTTTGAGGTCCAGGGACAGGGTACCATTGTTTTTGAGTAGGACAATCCCCTCAACGGCAGCCTGAAGCGCGAGACTTTGAGCTTCTGGGGAGTTGACATCCTTCCAATCTAGAGAAGCGTAAATCGCCTCGTCGCCATCGAAATAGCCGGCCCGAACAAGGCCCTCGTACAGTCGAAGAAGCGCTCTGTCAACAGTCTCTTCCTTGAGTAGGCCCTGTGACCAGGCCCCTGGGATATCTGAGGAGCCACTGTATTCGCAGCTCGTGTCCATGCCGGCCTCAAAACAGAGAGCAGTACCAGCGGCATTGATGGGCGCATAATGGTGGTTCGCGGACACATCGAGCACAGCCTCGCAGTCGCTCGTAATGTAGTTGTTGTGTTCCGTCTACTTCTAATGCTCGCGTAGAATGGTCTGGAGAAGGTACGTGTTGGCACAGGAAGGCACAACATTGACGGCGTTATATGCACGCATGATGGAGCCGACCTTGGAGTCTCGAGCACACTGCTGGAAAGGCATCAAATAGTACTCGGCAAGGTCTTGCATCGTGATCTTGGCGTTGAAGTTATGCCGGCTGGTGCCGTTCCAGTCCTCAAAGTCGTTCCCGGCGTAGTGCTTACAAGTCGAGATAATGCGTTGCTGCTCCTCAGGGACAGGTCCATCGAGGCCTCGGGTCATGTATTCGGCGTAGCGTTTAACCCGCAGCACATCTTCACCAGGCGTCTCGGACCCGCGGCCCCAACGTGGGTCCTTGAAAGGGTTGACGTTGGGCGTCCAGTAGTCGAGTCCGGCCCAACCAGCATTGCCCCAGGCTCAAGACTCAATGCCAATGGCAGTGCCGATCTCTTCAATGAGCTCATCGTCGAACGCTGGTGCCATCAGAAGAGGCATAGGGTAGGAGGTGGAAGAATTGAACTCCGCATTGCCTTCAGGGAAATACGTTCCAGGAGCATAAGCTACACCGTGAAGTGCTTCACTCCACCAGTTGTATGCAGGCAAGCTGATATGAGGAGCTCCTAGCGCCTTGCTTTGTGAGATGTCAGTTCTTGTTGCTTAATTCTTCTCAAAAGAACGACTCTGGAGGCTCTTGCCCACATACCTGACCAGGTTCTAGAGCTTCTCCTCTGTCGTCATGACCTTTACAAGAGCCGCAGCACGCTCAGGCGGAGACAACGTGCGGTCACACACCTTGTTGTCGGAGAGGGGTCCATTTTCACAGTTAGGGTAGCTCTGCCGTCTTCATTCCGGATCTTCTTGCGCAATCACGGACGTGACAGCACCAAGATCAATGAGCCAAGTAGCTCTCATATTGGATTGCGCACTATTCGAATACGGACGTCTCTATGACAGGCTTCGGCAGACAACTTCTCTTCCGGCGAAGGCACCTGTGGATCGACCAGAAGATATATAAGACAAAACATTCATACAAATCGATAGATTGCTTTAGAAAAAACACGGCGAACTACAATCCTCCGCATTGGCTTTGCGGGGAGAAATTCGGTCGACGAAGCGCGACGACATCATTGGGGCGGGTTGAGCCTGACGTGCAGATGAGAAGATTTTTTCGGTTCAGGATAAATAGACCATGCAGGAACGTAGCACCCCAGGCCATTGACCGTGTAACAGGCAGCTATTTCTGCCACCATTTTTGCCTTCCATTTCTGGTCAATCGACTTTATCCAGTGGGGTACAGTCGTTGGATGCATAACCTGTTAACCACTGGCTACAGGCATTAGTGGCCTATTCGGGTATTCAGAAGTGGGTGTTGTTTAAAGCCGTTGAATGTAGCTGGTGGGTTGGCTGGGCTACCTAGTCTGTTAAGCAACAACATAAGCTCCAATGATTTCAAGAGAGCAGCCCATGATATGGTCATCACCACAATAGAAACCGTCGGAAAACGGGTCCCTCGATATCAAGTCACACACTAAACCTGTATGTGATACCTCAGGGTGTAGCTGGTTCCGTTAAAGGTGTCCAAGCAACTCCAGAATCGTACCTTTTTATTACATCACCGATAGCTAGGTTTAGTTCGGCGCATCCGGCGTGTGGGAGGATTTCTGCAACATTCCTTGCTACTTACAAGACGCCAAGAACCTTCACCTTAGCGGGAAGCCATTACAGCTTAGACTTTCTTAGGTTTCTGATTCTCTACAACGAGAGGCATCTGGTAGTTTTCATTTTGCCCATCTCAGCCCTGGACTAATTGATCCTGAGACAAAAACGGCACGGACTTGAACTCGATTTTCAGTTGGCATACCGTTACAACCTTTTTTCATTTGTCGATTCACTTTAGCTTCAGTCATTAGGCTCATTTGAAAGTTAACAAAGATTGCACTCTTGGTTTTATAACCTAGAATAGACCGAAGTGTGATTTGCGACTAATTAAACCGAAGTCTTCGGCTCCCAAGGCGTTTTCCCGAGCTCAACATTCACATGACTGGTTGTGACGTTTTCCCTCCGCATTGCTCTGCATTGACCCTACACGATGAGTAATTCTGCAAACCTTGAAAATTCAATGCTCAGGACACTAAGCAGTCAAGCCGCAGTTTCCAGCATCGCGTGTTTATAGAGCAAAGCTAGGAGGCCTTGGTCGCGGGAGAAGACTCCTCGACAACTCTGGTTTGGGCGCTGGGGCACCAAGAGCAATGATTCTGATGACATGATTACAATTTCGACCGTCCTCGAAGCCCGGCGTGTGTCCGAAGACTGGATCAGGGCACGACTCTCCCAGGATCAGTAGCACGCTTAATATACTAGCTAGTATGCAGCCACTAAATATCTCCGTAAGCCCTGTACAGTTGCTCCTGGCCGTTGGCCACCACGGTGGGCGTATTTGAGTATCAGCTAACCTGTAGTAGCGACGAGCCACAATCTTTCACTGTCGTATTGGATGACCAAGAATTAGCCGCTTTGAACTATGCAACCATAAGATACATGAACGAGTAGCTGGACGATAGTCAACCTTCTGAGAATGGTCGATTCCTGTCTACCCTTTCTATGGTTGTCCGCTTTCATTTACCGAGCAGCATGAAAAAGCCGCGGAGGCTGCAGGGAGAAAGATATAATGTTTGACAAACAACACCACAACGGATAGTACTTGGACAATCCATAGGATCCGTCGCGAGCCCACTGATACGAAAAAGGTCACCTCGACGGACCCGAACGATCTATTATTGACTCATGGCTACTTTGAGTGGCCGTTCGTGGATCTTGAAATCCTGCCCGTCGCCATCAGTTACCGGCATAACAGGAGTCTATGTGTCACTGCCAGCGTCTCTCACAAACGGCGCTTGCCGATCATTAACTTGAGAGGTGGCAGTGGTATTAAGGACTGCACAATAGTCCCTTCTTGAGGCGTAACAAACGTCGATTTTGTTGTCATGGATAAGACAGTCAACTGCGTCAACAAACATTACATGGTTGTACTTGTGGAACTAAGTGTCGGTTAGACAGACTTCAGCCTTGAGCTCTCAAGGCTGAGCAGTGATCTGTTCTTCCCTATGGCCCGCCCTAGTTAAGCGATATACTTCACTGATCAAGCCTCCTGACACGATCGTAGTCCACTACGGTACACCACATATCGGGTTTGTCAGCTTCACTATTGTTCTCGCAGACCATTTCGCTATCAGAAAATACGCCGAAGGCCTCGGAAGTGTTCTACAGGGTACAACCTTAGTGTGATGTCTGGGCATGAAAGCACAATTGGTACCGTGACGGAACCCTCTGAAGCCGTCGTTCCGCAACACCACATGGTGGTAGTGGTACCCTTCCTAACCATGTGGCAGGCTGCTTCCGCGGCGGCTAATGTCATCCGAGAGCGCTGTCGTTTCCTTCGAGTTGATGGGTTGAAGCACGAATGCAGATTGTAGATCGAAAGGGGGTGCGACGCGACTGTGTGTGTCTGGAGGGAGACACCCACTCCTCTCTTCACTCGTGCAGGTACGAAGGCCTCGTTAAATGACAGCATCAGTAGTATCTAAGAAACAGTGTAACTGTACCACCTGGGCACGTTGAATTTCACCAGAAACCAAAGGGTACAGAGGCTGCAGTCGCCCGTTAGAAAGGGGTCGCTCGACTTTTTCCTGCTATGCAAAAAGAGGGCGTGTAAGTTACATCTCCTATAGTCCCTCACACGTTCTCCACAAATTTTTCGAGTTATCGATGACCCCGCCCCGAGCATACCGCACAGCCTTTATCATGTGGGAACGGCAAATGTCGTGCACATTTGTGGAGATGGTATCCATCGACGCAATGTCATGCTCGCCCGACACAACAAACAAGGAACACTGATGTTGCACTCCAGCTGGCAGACATCGTTCGAAGCCGGCAAAGAAGAGGCAGACAAACTGGGCTTGGCCGCTGCATCAAAGCGCATATCGGGGATAACAGTTTTCAGAAGAAAATTATCCATAACAAACCGTCCCCGCCTCGGCTGCTAGAGCCAAGTTGGTGATCAAAAACTTGGTCCCGCGTGCCTTGAGATGGACGGCACTTGCGCAGGGGGGACATGCACTTGAATCGGGGGAAAAACATGCCCCTCTGTCTGAAGTAGGAAATGGTACAACTCCCGTTATGGTGTGTAGGACCCTGAAGGCGGGGGTTGCGGGGGTCAACCTGTCCAACTTTTCCAGGCTGATCAGAAATCTTTTTCCCCTAGAAACCCAGCAAGGGGGTCCATGGACCAAACCGGATCTTGTAAGTGGTCCCCGAGTCGGTGCCAATTTTGTGTCTATATTAACGATTCATGGTTCTTAGCACCCAAGAATGATATCCGACCGTTAGGGTTTGCCAGGAAACGAAAAATGACGACAACAATGTTTTGCATCCCGCAAGTCAGACTTTAAGTCTCACAGAACAACCGACTCATCATCCCAATTTCCAGCTTTGTTGCAAATTCGGTCGCGATAGCTCCTGAGTCAAGCACAGCTTAGGTTTCACATCTTTTGTTTGCAGGTGTGACCGCTGACCAACACTCTCAGCCGCCCTGCGTAACGGAACACCAGAGTGGCCATCCCGGCGAACAAGGGTCTGAACGCCTTTTGTGCCTTGATTTTCATGCTTCTTTCGGCCTCTGCTCCACTGTTTTCCTTGTTTGCATACACAAAGAACCCGGATTTCTCGAAGCAGAGGCATCGGGATTTCAGGATTTCCGGGGCCTTGGGTAGTACTAACTCTGGAGGTCTTATGTCGGTGGGCGGCTGGTTACCTGTCCTACGTGTACATACTCCGAGGGCTCATGCCATTTGGGCAGCAAACGGGGCCACTTGTTCTTAGAACCAACAGGCTATAACGCATGGCTTAAGATACATCTCGTCCCAATTTCTCGGTACCCATCTTCACCTAAAGTTAGAAAAGGGACCGATACCCGACAAGGACTAGTCATGACATCGAAATTTCACACTGTGATCTACGGACCCCTTTATGCCTGCTGCATAGACAGCATCCCGGTCCGTTCGTCGACTGATTGACTCCTTGGCGCGTCGACATATTTACCAACCGCGTGCGCCCAACCATTGCGGTCTGTTGTAAGCAGAAAGTTTGAAGAGTCTCAGATGAGATACGGTCAAGATGTGTTCAACTACCGCCCCCAAGAGCCTCTTCGGTGGCCCGACATTTTCCTTTGAGTCTTTACCTTACCGTCCTGTTGATCAGACTGTTATTGACAACAAGATGTCTACCTGCACTATGGTGGTGACGGAGGAGGTGACGGAGCTCATCTCTTCGCCGACCGTCTACCTCGACAATAACGGCGACCTGCGACTCTGTGTCGGCGCCGATGTCGACGAGCGCCCACAAGACTTTGTTGTCTGCTCACGGGCACTCGGACGGAGCTCCCCGGTTCTGAAGGCAATGTTGTTTGGTGGATTCGCGGAGTCTCGCCCGGAGGAGAATGGCGTAGAATGGAGCGTCGACTTGCCCGAAGACTCGACAGAGGCAATGGAAATTCTGCTAAACATTGTTCACGGCCACTTCCACCTCGTCCCCGAAAAGCTTCCCTTGATGCGACTTTACAACATTCTAACCATCACGGAAAAGTATGACATGACAGTCATCATTCGACCATGGGCCCGCTCATGGATGCAGGCTGTGAGGCACCAAACCGACGACGCGCATCTGCTCTGCGTCGCATGGGAACTGGGCGACTCTGAGGTTTTCGAGAAGATGTTCAAGAAGATAACATACGAGTCGATGATCGACTTACAAGGACGATTAGTGTTCGGACACTCGGCACGAAGCTGGAAGTCAGGCCCAGAGGGATACAACTATCCCGTTAACAAAATCGTCTACTTGCGGCCTCCAGGAGCATTCGGTAAGTTGTGCAGGATCGTTACATCGTTACGGAGCATAAAGCTGACATTCTCTTTAAACAGAAACCATCGCCAAGCACCGACAGGCACTGATTTCTGCAAACTTGGACCACTTTGTCATACTATACAGATGCCTCAAAGAGGGATGCCGATACATGAAAGGATACTATCACAGCTCACCAGACGCCGAGGAGTGCAACAGCATGCTACTCGGGTCTTTGGTGAGGTGTCTTGGAAAGGGCAAGGTAGACATCACCTTGCCCAACCCGTGCGAGTCATACAGAGGCAATATCGAATCTTTGGAAAAGGCGACCAGTGCCGTCAAGCTATTGACTGTTCACCGCCCATCGCCCGCAAACCAGTGCTTGAAACGGATAGAGGAGGAGTTGGCCAAGGGTACATTGGCAGCAGCAGAAACCAAAAAGGAGTTGGCCGCCGTTCAGCCTGAGTATGGACAGTATCTTGAAAAGCAATCTCAAAGGACCGGTGTTGTCATTACTGCTTAGACTTGGGACGGGATCGGAGTTTGGGTTTTGGGTAGGTGGTTTGGATCGTTACGTCTGGAGTTTTGGGCAGAGTTACGGGAGACATGTGAAATCATCTGCGGGGTTTAGATTTGCCCGTATCAATTTAATTGCTCTTAAGGAGCCTAATTGGAATATTTGAATAAGCTCAAGCTTCCGCGTGGCATCAGTACGGGAAAACTGACTTTAGCCTCAACTATGCAGATGAGATCGGCACGGCGCAAAACCATATGTGTCACGGACGTCATTATGCAGTTCTTCCAGTACGGCTGTATGGAACAACCCTGGAAACAGAAACTCGACTTGTTGCTTCATTTTACCATACGCAGTACACTTGGAAGAATGCTAAAACATTGACCCTTCTACTTGCTACCCTGAACCTTAGAGACGTCACCCTCAGTTGAAGCTCAGGTCACCGATTGCTACGGACCTGATGTTCTTCTACGCTATAGTCTGCCAACCATACCCACCGCCCTCACGACTAAGTCCATTCTCTTTGCCTTCGCCAAGCGGCGATTCAGCTGCGCTAATAAGCCTGTATTGACTCCCAAAATCCCGCAGTCCAAGAGACTTGCCACACGCATGACGCGGGAGGTGTCGTCGTTGAAGGAATACCCAGGCGGGCCAGCCGGACCCTACTCGGTAACGTAAACCAACTCAACTGCCTCTGCCTCAGTCTGGGGGGAGAAGATCGTCGCCGGGGGGTCGAAGGTCTCATTGAGTGCAATCTCCATCTCGATCGTGACCCCGCTGATCACTGTGGGTTCGTGGAAGTACCTCTTGAGGCGATCTGGGGTGTTTCTTCGCTTATGGAGAATGTTACCCTTGTTGATGGCATCTTGAACGTGGGTTTTAACCATCTTAACGACAGCGGGGTTGATGAGAGGACCGTGTGTCATACCCTTATCGATACCTCGGCCAAGCTTGAATAGTCTTACGCGCTGTGTAAGTTACTCGATGAACTCCACTTGGACCTTTTCGTGAACCAGGCATCGGTTGGCACAGCTTTTGTGTTGACTCGACATCGAAAGATATGCAGGGCTTTGATTCTCACCACGCAAGGCTGGCCAGAGCATCTGAATTTGCAAACCAACCCACCCTCGACCGCCTGGTCAATATCGGAGTTATCAAACACAATGAATGGGATACTGTCTCTCAGCCCCATGCTCATGCGCTATATCGTGCTTCCAGTGGAGCTTGCCGACAAGCCCGTCTAGCCGGCCAAGCTGAGCTTCTTCACGATGTGCTTGTTAGCAAGCTCCAATGAAGCCTCTCGGTTCTTAGTCGGCACCATGTGAGTACCTCATGTTTGGCGGATTGCAAGCCAATTTGGCAAGTGCCATAAAGCTCAAGTGAGTTTCGCTCGGGAGCTTGAGAATGATGGAGCTTCCTGCGGCAAATGCAGGTGCAACCTTGCGGGTGATCACAGCAGCTGGGAAGTTCTATAGGGTGATGATACTGCAGAAACCTACAGGCTCTCCGGTTGTCAAGACCGCAGTGTTTGCGTATTATGAAGAAATAGTGTCGCTGTATGGACGCGTGGCCTCGTCGGCAAACTATGCAATAAAAGATGCTGCGTAGACTATCTTACCACTAGCCTCAGCAAATGGCCTGTCATTTTCAAGAGACAGAACCAAAGCCACTTTAAGCTGATCTGAAACGATTTACTCCCTTATTTTTCAAAGCTATGTTTGGTACCCACAGCCATCGGTGTTAGCAATGGCGAGGTCGTACTACTTCCTGAGCAGTGTTCCTCGTTCCTCCGCAGTTAATGACTCGTGAAACTTGATGGATCCATTCTTTGCTCCGTCGATCGCGTCGACGGAGTCTTTTCGGCTCAAACTGACGCGATCCTGTAGTACATTTACGCTGGAGGCCTCCTACACGTGGAATGTCTTGCCATCTTGGCTGCTCCTGTACTCGGCAGCAACAAGGCTACACACAAGCAGCCGGCTCTTGTCTTATATTGTGGCGAAAATTCCGATCACCTTGTTGTCCATCTGTCTGTTCTCATAACTTCATTGAATGTATACAAAGCGAGAATTTAAACAGACTCGCTCGTAGACCCCGGAGCTCAACATCATATGTATCACGCAAAGTATCTTCTCGAAGGCAAATATCCTTCAGTAGGGGGTGAATCAGCATATGGTAGTAAGAATCTTAGCCGATACTTGGAGCTCTTGCGGGATGCATAAAATGGGCAAGATGGGCGTCGGTTTTTTTATCTACCATCAACTCGCGGAGGCTCAGATTTCATGGTGTAATAGCGGTGATCTCAATGTTAAACATGACAGCAACCTCGCACACAAGACAAACCCCTACTGTGTTGGATACTTTGCATTGGCCGCATACTTCAATGGTTTTCTCGTCAACATCAGCGTTGATGAGAAATAGAAGATCTTGCAACTTGATGGTACCCGCCAGTACGGTGTCACGAGGTTTCGCGGTATGTCTCAACTCTGCCCAGGCCAGCCCTATCCACGTTGTGGGCCAACTGGGCGCAATATTGGGTAAGTACCGTCGCGGCCTCGGAAGTAGATGTTACGCTAAGTTATTTCGAGCGGTCACAAGGTCATAGTCTCCAGGCACACAGAATGCTGAATGGTATATTACACACTGTATGCTTGTCAGCGTCGATATCCCAACTGCATTAGGTCCTCATACATAGTACTGAGGGATTAAGTATTTCGAACGCTTCTCGAACGTCAGATTGGCTCATGTGTCACATTTCGCATGGCTGCGTTGGTCGTTCTCAACCTTTCAGAAGCCCCGCCTGCTAAGTTGTTGGTCAGGCTCTTAACATCAGGGTATAAGCTATGGTTTAAGCTGTGAGAATTCAAAAGATCCTATCTGCAGATTCAACAAAAAGTGGGATTATTAAGTGGCCTCATACCGTACTGGCATCGAGATGTGGTACGACTACCTGAGCGTTCCGCAGTAGCAGGACATGCTCAAGACGCGAATAATATCCATCATCCCTATGATCTTTCAGCACGCCAAATTCAGTTTGGTTTGTCTAGACGATATGACCTCAGATACCCTCCACAGCCTTCGTGATGGAAAGTCACTGGAGAAACGTCTCTCTGGTATCTTAGGCATGAGCAATGCCAAGTCGTTCAGTCGGGTGTAGACTGCGATGAAGTTCATTGATTACACCGAGCTACATGTCATTACTCATGAATACCATATTGAGGACGGTATGGATGACGTGTTCCTCGAAAAGCTTTACCAGGCTTGGAGCATAGCGGTTCGTGAGGTTGGGGGTTTCCAAATTCTAGAGCATCGCTATACAAAAAGAAGTAGAAACGTCGTTCCCTGAAATCTTGGTCATCCCGAAAAAGCATGGAAACTGGTAAAAAGAGGCAAAAAGTCGAACTTCAGCATTGCGTTTTCACTACCATCTCGAAGGGGGTGTCGGTCTTCCAGGGACTTTTTTTTCTTTTGCGCCTTCTTGGCCTCATTGATACAGGTCTCCTTACATTACAGTCTGAAAATCTGGAAGAGACGTTATAAAGCCTAGAAAGCATGTCTCATTGCTGGAAACATAAGTCTGCTCCTCATGACGCCCTGCGACAGCCCAGGCAAGGACTTCCCATGCTAGCGAACCAGGCATGGTTCGATGTAGCTACGTTCTCCCTAGGCTTCAGGACCGAACAATCACTATATCCAGTTCGGTTCGAAGCCTTTTCTGTATTTCCGCGTCTCACTCTTTGCTAGAATTGGCCAAGTTCTTTGGATACAACGTGCATCTCATCTCGGAGAGATGGTTGCAAAATTGTGGAAGCTCATCTACCATGCCATCGAATTGACCGGTCCGTACGTTGAAGAGTTCGTCAAGTCTCTTGGTGGCCGCTTATTTGCATGAGACTATGAAACTATGAGTGCAATCCTAAACGACAAGGACACTAGAAATAGACTCGAAATGCTTTTGGAGGAATGGTACGGCTTGGGAGACATTGGCCCTGATCAACACCTCAGAGACTCGCTGTGGAGATAAAAATCTTATGTACTTACTTCAATTTCAACCCTGGGAAGACTCCACTCGATTTACATCGATCCATCATGTATTATACTCATACGGTGGTACGGCGCACGGCGACATGCGCTTTCAAGGCTGCTTCACGGGCGCGACTTGTTCGTCATCTAGCAAGATATTCGTATTCATTCACAAAGCAGCTGTCTACACGAAACGATTTGAGGCATTTAATGCCCTGGCTTATGGGATACCTGGGCTCTATTACACCAGAATCGCGACCATCACGGAGGGTGTTGGGATCCTGGCCAAAGGTGGTAAGATAGTTGGGCGGTCGTTACGGGCTACGCCGACATGTGATTGTCTATCGATCATTGAGATAGTATTGGTCTCGCTGAACACTTTTGACATTCAAGGGCGATCTTTTCTAATGCCGCAGGAATTTCGTTTCCATAGTTTAAGGGTAGTGATGGCTCGGTGTCAACCTTCTGTAGATGGCTGTATGTGTTATTATTCGCCTAGGCACCTTATCCGAAGTTAACTTCGATGTAGCCAGATTCCACGGCGTGACATTAAACTGCCCCATATTCCTATTTTATAATCGCCCCGACAAAGGCCTGGTCCTTTAACATTGTTTCCCCTTTTGGTCCGCACAACATCTTGTTCGGGTTACAGTCCATCTAAATGGTGTTTGAGCGTGCCACTACTTGACAACAGAGATTCCATGTTGTTGCGACCACATAGTTTGAGAAGTCACACCAATCAGTGTGTTGTAAGAAGAGGTTATCGTTCCTCACCTTGAATCGCCTGTTTGTGTGCATCTCGATGGAGATTGGCTTCAGGCAGGGATCGTTTTCTCTGCCGTGTGGCATTCCGATGACTAATGAGGCTTTCCATTGCAATTCTGATGGCAGACCTACCCAACACTAAAGTTATGTGAGACTTGTGCACTATAACGCAAATGGGCATGGAGAGTGTCTTTCATCTGACTTGGCTCAGGGTGGCGGAATCATCCATCCTCTTTGTCATATGGCAGCGTAAGACCTGGGTAATAGAGAAGGAATGGAAAGTAAGTAAGTGCCCCGCATGTAAGCTCATGATGGAGTTCCACCAGAATTCCCTCATGTCAGATTCTGAGTGGTGCTTTGCTACTGATCTGTAGGCCCTGGCATCATTAAACTCCTGCAACAAACATATGGTCTGCGATTACCATATTAATCCTATTTGTAATCCTCAAGGATAACAGCCTTGCTTCTCTTACTCTTTATTAAGAGGCTTGAAAGCAACGCTCCGTCACTTCACAGTTGCTGGTACTCTACTTGTCATCATTTGTGAGAACGTATCCATACACTTTCATTGTTACTCGGAAGCGCTAAACAAATACCGTCATTTTTTGGGCATCAACGGACCACCCTACCAGTTGACTGTCATGACCGAGAAAGTGAATCTCCCAACACACCGGCGCGCCAAAAGTCAAACTCATGACCGAGCCACTCCCCTTGCCCCTAACGCCGACGCAAGTCCTCATCAAAGTTCACGCTGTGGCTCTCAACTATCGCGACGCCAACATTGCCAACAGGGGAAACCCTTGACCCGTCCTGCCCAATGGCGTATTGGGTAACGATGCCGCGGGCAAGATCATTGCTGTGGGTGACAAGGCGAGAGCCTTGGTTGTGGGTGACCGAGTAGCGCCCATTATCGATACCGAGTTCGTTACCGGCTACGAGCCAGGGCGGTCCTGGCTTGCTGCGGATGAGGATTTTGTGCTTGCGGATCACCTCGTGTTTGACGAGAAGTTGCTGGCTAAGCTACCTCCTCATCTCGACTGGGTCAACTGCAGTATCATTCCATACGCTGGCACGACGGCTTGGTCTGCGATCAAGGGCCTGTCAGTCGGCCAAAGTGTCCTGATTCAAGGTACTCGCAGCAAACTGCTTCCAAACAGTGTCTAAAGACTTCTAACAATCAAACCAGGAACAGGCGGCGTTGCCATGTTTGCACTCAAGCTGGCGCAGGCTTCTGGTTTAAGGGTCATACTAAGTTCTTCCAGCGACGCAAAGATCAAGGCAGTTCAAGAATCGTTTCTTTTAGCGCCCATAGAGGGCGTCAATTACGTCGCGAATCCCAGTTGGGAAGATGATGTGTTGAAACTGACAGATGGCGTCGGCGTTGACTTGGTCGTTGAGAACGGGGGCACCCCATCGCTCGTGCAGAGTATGAAGTGCACACGCCGTGGTGGTATTGTGAGCCAAGTCGGATATCTAGGCAAACAAGAGCCTGTTCATTTAAAGGAGTTCGTGTCGACCATCATCGATAGGAGAGTCAATGTCAGGTAAGAGCGTGTCAGCGTCTCACCGTTGCTGGCTTGGGGCTAATCCTGTTCAAGGGACATCAACGCTGGCTCAAGACTTGATTTGGAAGACCTTTCTGCTGCGATATCGGCAACGAAACTAACGTTCGACGATATCATAGACACTGTCTATGGGTTTGAGGGAGCGGAAGAAGCTATTCAGTATCTGTGGGAAGGCAGGCAAGTTGGAAAAATAGCCCTGCGGTTGTAGTCGCACGGACATATACATGAGGTTGATTCAATGCAGCTGCAAAATCCTACCCAGGCGCCCCTTGTTTGTCATAGAACGTAACACATCGACATTGAGTCTAACCAAATTAAAGATTCTAGCCCAGTGGAGTCAACTCCCCCCTGAATGGCCTTTGTATGGAATCCCTCTTCCTGTCATCAATCCTCCAAACGCCCTTGGTATGCTTGTCGTGCAACTGCCAATCAACGCCTTTAGCCAACCGATGAAACACGTCGTGCTCTTCTCCAGGAATGCTCTTGAAGAACAGCGGCTCCCAAGTCTCGCCCTTCTTCTTCTCCTCGGCCCGCATGCGCCGTTGGGCTTCTTCCACTTGGCTCTTTGCGTTTACCGTCTCCCGGAAATCGTTCTTGCTCAGCCCCTCAATAACGCCACTCCATGCACGTCTTGATTCCCACGGGTCCTGGTTCTGAACTGGCTCCATCTCCATAGGCGCAGGGAGGTTCTCGAGCGCGTCGACCTCGTACTTCTCCAGGATGTCGCCCGTCCTGCCATCCTTGACTGTCCAGCCCTCGCTCCAGCAGCCTTGCAACTCATAGATTGTGTTTTTCTTGTCGTTCTTGTGGTACATCCGCGCCTCAAATGAGTTCTTCTTTCCTCTGAAAACGCCGCTTCCTGAGAACTTGATCTCTGAGATGTAACCCGTGTTGGACACGATGTAATATGTTCCCAAAACCTCGGGGTACAAGCAGGCGTTCAGGAAGCCGCGGACCTTGACTTCTGGCAAGGGAATGAGGTAGTCTTCCTCATATCTGTCAATGTGCAAAACAGCGTGTCCAATCTGACGGATGTTCACGCTGCTCGAGAACGTCATCTCGACGCGCGCATAGCCATCTGCCCGGATTCCGTGCTCCTTGCTGCCCATGTGCATTGCAGTAATGGGTGGGTGGTGGCTAACCTGCTCGGCGACGAGCTCTGTCCTGGCTTTGCGGTCGGAGTCCGTCCATGAAGCGAGGAACAGCTCTCCCAGAAATGCGTTGAGAGGCTTCTTGATGCTGACGTTTGGCGCGCCGGCGACGTAAAACTGGCTACGCATAGCAATAAGAATCATACGCAGCACTTTTAAGCTGCGCTTCTCAGGGTCCGACTCTAATGCCGGGGCGACGAAGACCCCGGGCCGCTGGCACCAGCAATGGCCGACCTCGACTACCGATGACGGTGCCAGAAAAGAGGGAGGGGCGGTGACATTGGATAGGTCGCCTTGAACGGATGATAGAAACTACAGCCGACCTGGTTAGCGGTGTGCTTACTTGAATCATGCGCTATGCCCACTGAAGAGCGCAAGATTGGGGTCTGCTGCCGCTTACTTTGACCAAGTCGCTGATGCGCGATGAGAACGACTTGCTGTCCATGTTTGTTCTGTGCTCCTAGCGACGCGATCCGTATCCGCTTTCTTGTCTGGCCTTTTCGAGTCGTTTCCTGGGGTTGTTTTTTCCCCAATAGTTGGGCAGTTTGGCTCTTGATCTGATATTCTGTGGCAGGCGGCCTTGAAAAAGGGTCGAATCTCTAGTCTCTGCCAGGAGACGGGGGTTTCAGTTCTGTTTCAGCCAATACTGGACACGTCCAAACACTTCAGCAGATCAGTGGAGCTGGGGCAACAAGCGAAGAGAACAGCACCGGTTTATATCAAGGAGCATTGCCTTTTCGAGACCCATATTGTCGAGGAAGGTTGGGGATGCTGCGTCTTTTGACATGATCTCGACCCCGTCTCCCAAACTAGCATGTGATAGTCGTACATGGCATTGGTCCCAAGCGTCTAGAGCCCGCCGATGCTACTCGCGCGTTGGCCGCCCTCGTCCCTCATCACTCTCTGTTCCCTCCGTCTGAAAACCCAAAAAAACACAGCGTCAGCCAACCCCCCCTGTTCAGTCCACACTCTCGGCGCTGCGCCTCCCGGGGGGGCCTGTGCTGTTCTGCCGCCGGCGCAACATCCTCCCGCCAAGGTCTTTCAAGTCTTCGGGTCGGACGAAATGCCGCCAGCTGGCGGGTCGTCTGTCTTGCCGATGAGCCCCGGTTGGTAAAGCTTTCAGATGGTTAAGTTTGAGACCCATCCCGTCCTCCGGCACAGGTCGACATCACACACCGACAAGGATTGCGCGCCAGCAACGAAAACCTTCGTTGTTGAACCTCGGGAAGCGAGCAGAACCAAAAGGGGCGGTTTGTAACTAAAATACAGTGGACACCGGCGCTAGGGCACAGGGCTGCTACCAGCGCTGCATGTTTCCTAACGAGTTCCCCTCATACGTCCAATCACTGAAACACACTTGTCCGACGGTCTCGACACTGCCTCCCAAGCTCTCGAGCTTGCGACGCGCCTCGAACGAACGTTCAAGCTAGGATGAGCTTTCACAACTCTTCAGAAATCGGTTGGCCTTCACCACCTGCGTCACCAGCAGCATCCCCGATAACGTACCAGTCCCTCACCAACGCGGTGCCGTTGGCGACCTTCTCCCAGACCTCGGGACGGCAGGTAGATGGTTTGAGCACATAGCAAGCCGGGTCCGGCTGCGGTGGCGGGATATTTTTGATGTGCCATGTGTCCTTGACGCCAACGGTTGACAACTCATCCGTCACGGGGATCAGCCCCGTTGCGATGTCCCTGTTGAACGTTGCCCGCATGAAGATCTCGTACGCCGTAACCGGCTGGTATGACGGCACCTCGTGGCCGGCCTGGTAAACCCGCGAGAAGCTGTAGTTTCCGAACTGACGCGTCATGCCTGTCACCCCGTCGGGCGTGATGAGCGGAGCGTAGCCGGCGTTCGCAAAGTCTATCGATCGGTTGTATGGAATCGCCAGACTCGCCTTTTCACCACCCACCCAGTTACAAGCATAGTCACGATCACCGTCTAGACAGCCGGATTAGAACAAGAGGGAGAACAAAACTATAAACGCAGCCTCCAGATTGGACTGAGCGGGGACGACTCACACATTAAATGAACCTTGACTCCATGGTCGAGAAGATACCCAATTGACTCGCCAAATCCACCCCGGAGCATATCTGGAATGGTCTTAAGCATACCGTTCGTCTGAAGTGATCCCTCATCCGGGGGAATGGGGCTCTCTTACCGAAGGTATGGCTAAAACTCTTGCCCACGGCCCCGCCCGTTTCCGAGTAGTTAAGAGGCACACCAAGCGACGACAAGATCTCACCTTCGGTGAGGTAGCCATAGAGATGCGGAGCCGGGAAGGGATCGTATTTGTCATGTCCAATATCATACCAACCCTTGCTATCGGGGATCGTTTGGTACAGTTCCACGGCTTTGTAGGCGCACTCTTGAAGGAACTGGCCGCAAATTTCAGTAACATTTTTTTTGACTTCATGGGCCAAGACAGGGCTGTCCTCCTTGAGGGCCTTTTGGCAGTCAAGAATGCGGTCTTTGCAACCGTCTGGGCGCGTCCAGTTGTGCAGCAGCTGGTCATAGATGGATTGGTTGAAAACTTGGATTCCATATGTCTTTGCGTCTCGATGTCAGCGTTTCCGATACCATGCGAGCATTCCCATGTTATGTATCTTTACTCACGTTGTTGTAGGGGAATGTGACCCAGGCCTCACCCTGAATGGAGAGGTCAATGAGGCCGTTGACAATCCCGAGCGTATCAAGGTGCAAGAACTGAGCATTCTTCTCCGGCGAGGATCCGTTCTGAATAAGCTCGTTCTGGGTCTGGAAGTGCTGGAATATGCCAGGCGCATAGTGTCCTCCATAAGACTCCCCCCAGAGACTAATTCGGTCGTCAATGGGCTTGTAGCCGGGAAACTCAAAGAACCAGGTCTGAGCAAAGTGCCACAAAGCATGGGCAGCATGGGCCGTGGTGTTGGAAGTGTGCGAGAGCTTCTGGCTGGAAGCCGTCCCATACCGGTAAGTGTAGTTGGCCTCGGGAATTCCGTCGCTGAAATCAGTGGGAATCATGTACATACCGGGACCGAACTCGGGATCGTCATATTCATGGATAGAAATATTGGTCGGGATGTCGTATGAGAACCCAACTTGGGTAGGTTGATCGATGTATAGGAGGTTGACTTCGTTGTTCCAGCTCCAGGGATTCAATCGAGTCGTCTTGGAGTCTTCGTTGACGAAGCAGGGACCATTTTCCTCGAGAAGGCCCATGATGGAAGATGCGCCAGGTCCGCCATTGAGCCATATCGCCAAAGGCGCATTCTCCGGCGCCTTACGGGCTTCAAAGAACCAGAAAAAGCTGTCCTATCTGTGAGTTCTGGTCAAGGTACCCCTCCGGGAAATCTCTTACGTGTTGATTGGGTAGTCCTGCGCTTCTCCCTCGACGTCGTCCAGAGTACCAGGTGGCAGATGCACGTAGCCGGCGTACGACTTGACGCCCGGCGTCGTCTCACAGATCCCAGGCTATCAATGGACGGTCAATGGGTTGATGGAATTGAGTTCAGGAGCGATGCGCCTTACCTCTTTGTACGAAATTGTGACATTTTCGTGAAATTTAGAATTCAACACCTTGACCCCTTCTGGGGTAGGCGGGAATTGCGCGGCTGTAAGGCCGATAAGCACGCCTAGCAACAGCGACGCGGAGGAAAACATCTTGAGGTTGGACAACGGGTCCCAAGCTGGAGTACAGAAAACCAACCTCTTAGAATTCAGTGAGGTTGTCAATGTTTTATGTGGGAGAATCCCAATGCCTCGCACGCAAGACGTGACGCGTTGGCCACGTCCTGAAGGATCGAGAGAGTGGGTCACATATGTTCCTAATCCCAAGGTGCCGATTCGGCGAAGACATGGACCTTCCTATCTTGGCACGGGTAAGCATGTGTCGATATCGGCAACTCGGCAAGGCGGTTCGGTGAAGTATCATCAGTCATGAGCCTTTTAGAATAGAATCTCGACATTTGAGGGCTTCATGATCCAATGCGGTTCTCATATGAAGGACAACGTACAACTCCTTTGGGAGGTCTGTTAGAGCGATGTTTATAACCACCAAGCGAAAAGCTGTTCTTGTCTTGCAGGGCATAAGTCATTGACACGACGTCGATGCCTTGGACGTGCAGAGCGAACTAAGTTTTCCCCCAAGTTGTCGCACCACCAGATCCTCTAAGTAGTAGTTTTTCAGAACACTGCCCGGCAAAATTTGGTAAGAGCGCCGCTTCTTTTGGGAATAAGGAACCCATCAATAGATCGACAATGCCAAAACTAGGACCCACGAGGCTAACGTCAACATGAGAATAATGATTTGTTATGTACCTTTGACAGCCCTTTCCTGTCCTCATACTGACTCACCGTTGATCCATTGTGTTCCCCATGCACTCTCCGTTTGATTCTTCCCACCACAGCGACCGACGCTTTTCTGAAGCAGGAACTCTTCCACCTTTTCGGCCAGAGCCTTGTGGACGGTATAGGTAATGTGCCCAGAGTTGTACCAAAAGTACTCGCCAATAGGCTGGCAACCGTAGGCAGCGTAGTTCGTGTCGATGTCCCACGCCTTGTAGCTGGGGCAGAACGATGTGGTGTTAGTGATGCCATAGGACGACGCGTCATTGAAAACCCTTGTGAGCCAGCTGTAAGTGTCGAAAACCAAAGCCGTTGAGCCAGGGTGCTTCTCGGAGAAGGTCCTGGCGGTTTGGTTGACGACATCATTGAATGTCTTGATCATTGTTGTACTTGGCAGACGCGTCGGGTTTGCCTGTGAAGCAGGCTCAATGAAAGTTAGTTACAAATGTGAATAAGCAATGCGATTAGCGAAGGATTTGTATAATTACGTTTTTGTCGAGGGGAGGCAGGTTCAAAAAGAGAAAATTCCGGTAGCCAGCATTGTACACAGTTTCAAGAGCAGAGAATTGCTCGGTGATAACAGCGGTATACAGCTCTTCCCATGTGTTTAGGCCGTTGAAAGGAAGCTGAAAGTTGGCCATGTCGTTGATGTCGTTGATCCCGATCCACGATGCCACCAGTGCCTTATTGCTATCGGCTTCAATGACTGACTTACCATACGTTTCCCACTGGTAGATCTGGTTCTCGTATGATATGGTGTGGTTCCAGTGCAACGGAACGCTCATGGGATGTTAACACAAAGTGACCACCAATCATGCAAGATGGTCCACTCACAATGTGGTTGAGACGTCAGCTCCCGCGTAGGCAAACCCCCAAAGTTGCTTGTCACAGTCTCGAGGGTAACCTTGTTTGCATCCGGTTAATTCTTGGACCCAGTTGGGACCACCAGCCGAGGACGTATTCTGGCCTGGGACGATGCGGTCACCAAGAAGCTGTTCCGGAGTGAACGAGATATTCAACTGAGATCCGATGAAGCTGTAAGCCCAACGGCCCTCGGTCCCCTGAATGAACGTGTACGAATCACCGAAGGTGAGTCTATGTATGTTAGGAGTTTCTCGCAGCATATTTAGCGTGGGAAGGCGAGAGAAATTGCTTACACATATTCCGTGTTTTTCCAGTTGAAAGGAACAGTGTTTGCCAACGGAGAAGCAAGAACAGCCGTGAAGGCCATCCCTATCAGAGTTGCTCTCGAGAAAATCATCTTGGAAAGTCCTTGAGCCACAATGATACTCCACCAAGTGCTGTAAGGAGTATGATCTCTTGAAACCGCGAACGGTTTAAGACTCTGTGCCGGTGTGCTGCAATTATATTATCTACCAAGCTGCGTCCCTCATGCCCAGCCACTTTTCCATTTCCCCGCTCTTTGCCGGAATGGAAGCTTGTGGGGAGGATATGCAGCGTTGAAAGACAACTGGAAAATCCAGTAGAATGGTGCGAACACCACCTAGAAATGCGGTTCTCGGGCACCGAAGAGGCCCACTGCCTGCACTCCGGATTAGTTGGGCGGATATATTCGTGTCCACCAGTTAGCGCCAGGTCAATTAGAGGCTTCGAGGGGAGCCCTTGCACTGAACCCCAGCTGTTTGTCCCCTCTCACTAATTGCGTTTCCCACTCGGGGCTCGCTTCAATGGACGCCGAGTCATTAATTGCCCTCTGGGGTTCCCGCCCTTAAGCTATTTCGACACGGATGACGTCTGAAAGCTGCGACTTAGATCAAAGAAAATGCCGAGAATTAATGAAGAAACACGTGGTGCACACAAGCTTTCTGACCATGTGCAAGGTGTTATGACTGAACTGTCTGCTTGCTTGAGTTAACTAGACACCACCTGACCCCATATTGCTTCTATAACATGGCCAACACTAAAAGGTTTGTTTCGATCTAAGGCTTTGACATACATGTGACCATTTAACGAAACCAATTGGAGGTGGAACTCGAGTTCCTTCTTAACCTTAATTATATACCAGCGAAACTTATCCAAGTGTCCATCGACAGAGTACAATGCTAATGGCAATGCGATGCGCTATGAATACCTCAATTGTCCCTGGCCTCAACTTCCCGACTTGAGTTCTCTCGATGTCCACCATTCCCAGCCACTTTTCCATGTTTTCTCATCATCTAGTAAAGAGAGGTAAAATATACAGAACGGATATCCACAAACACCACAGCTTTGCCACAACGTTATCAGACTTCTCGTCCCGTCTAAACATAGTCAGTACCGCCATGAGGATTCCCACGCCGACAGGCGCAGCCCAGAAGACAGGCCGGAGCTCCCAGAACATCGGGCATACAATCGACCAGATCAAGACCATGGCCACAAGGCCGCCACGAGCAACAGTCTCGCCGTATAAAAGTGGAATGGTTTTCCGGCCCCGCGCTCTATCTCCCTCCATGTCAGGGAAATCCAATGCTTGGACAGTCGTCGCAATTGCGGCACCAGTCAGCCCGATCCAAGCCCATGACTTGGGCAAAAGCTCTCCCCGTGAGAGAACCTCAAGCGATCCAGCACTGAAACACATGATCCCGCCTGTGTTGATGGCGTTGCGTGCCCAAATGTTGATGCTGCTGCCGTCGAGGTCGTTGTACATCCAAAGTAGCGTCATCATCGACAATGTCGGCTTGAACCCACCCAAAACTGCGCTGGTACCGACTACTAACGGTATCATCCCGAGGAGCAATCTTTGCGCCTGCTCGGGAGTCAGTCGCTTCGCAGCGAGTGGGCGCCAGGGTTTATTGAGTCCGTCTTCGATTATCGAGTTTTCTAGGCGTTGGTTCGAGATACCGCACACAACAAGATTGAGCCATATCCACACTATCGCTAGGGGCAGCCGCTGTACAGCTTCAGGCATCGTCTCACTTTGAACTGTCGTGAGAGGCTGGCGGCTGAGCACCGCCGAAAGGATGAAGATAATTTGAGGCGCGAGCACGGTCTTGATATCGCTCCTAGTGAAAAGGTAAAGAGTCTTGAAATGAAAAACTCCTCGCTGAACCTTGACAATCTGTCAGCAACTCCTACGGCAGATCCCTCCGATGCTGCAACGGAGGCTTGCTCTTACCAAGTTCATGCGCTCAACTCCAAATGTGACTGAATCGGACGATCCTGCGCCCGAAGGCTTTTCGAGCAAGACGGTTTCTTCGAGATTTGCCATCTTGCTGCTAAACAAAACAAAATTCAAGGACAAGAACGCTGATGAAAATTGCTGCTCCCGAATACTCACAAAACGGGCGGAAGAGGCACAACTATATTCATTTCTCTCACTGTGGGCTTGGGGAAGTCCGCGCTCAAGATGGCCGTTGGCCTCGGCCAGAACATCCAAAAATGGTGCTGTGACGGCATCGTCTGATCAATGTTAAATGCAACCGCCCATGAGACTCCAAGCCAAATCCTTGTATTCCTTTCCGAGACTTTGTTTCGCAGCCCGAATACCGGAAACTCTGGTTCGCACTCCAAATTCGGTAACCTGCTAGGATACATACACAATAGTTTAGACTGGATGATACTCAATCGAGCACTTTTCTTGGATAGATGGCCTGAATATTAGCGATCATGGCTCAAACTCTTTCCACATTCTATCTTTGCCTTGCCTTAAGTTAGCTGAAGCCACCTCCTTTCCGTGTAAGTTCGCGCTACCCCGAGTCTCCCGTGCTCGGGCGACCTTCCTAGTAAGAACTAGAAACACTGACGCTGTGGCGGTTTATACATAACTATTAATACGTGTGACTACCTACACACTCTTGGAAATGCCGCCAGCATCGATTTCAGTCTATATTCTGGAATCTCTGTTCGAAAACATCACATCTCTGAGCAGCGGATGTCCACCATCACCTTGCAAGAAAATTTCAACGGAAAACTGTTTTATTATTCTAATGTCCAGACATTATTAATATTATCCAGAGTCATAATTCATGCATCGTGTAGTCCCCCTACAAAAACGTCGCCAGAAATTTACGCCGACACTGGAGTGATCTTGGCGAAAGACTTCAAGTCCCTGCTACTCCAGCCAATGCTGAGTGTGAACTCTCCAGTAGGGATGAGCCAATCCTGGGAGACAACGTCCCAGTAGCTGAGGTCGCGGCGCATCAGACCGAATCCGACGGTCTTAGTCTCGCCGACCGCAAGAGGAACCTTCTCGAAGCCACGAAGCTGCTTGGGGGGAGTGCCGGCAGGGGTGGTGTCAGCAGGGAAGGTGACGTAGAGCTGAGGAACAGCAGCGCCATCAACCTCGCCAGTGTTGGTGACAGAGACCGTGGCATTGTAGATGGTGTCCCAGAGGGCGGGGTTGCCACCGGGCTCGATGGGGCGCTGCTCCGGGACGGAGGTAATGTTATCCTCGACGGGGCTGGCCTTGAAGTTGGCGAGTTCAAAGGTGGTGTAGCTGAGACCGAAGCCGAACTCGTAGCGGACAGAGATGTTGTGGGCGTCAAAGTGCCGGTAGTCGACCTCAAGCTTCTCATCGAACCAGCTCTGCCAGTCGTACCAGCCGGTAGTGTTGACACCGGTAGTGGGAGGGGCGTTGTAGTCGCTGCCGTTCAGGGCAATAGTGTAGGGAAGTCTGGCAGAGGGGTTGACGTCGCCGTAGAGAATATCGATGAGGGAGTTACCAGACTCCTGGCCAGGGTAATGGGCAGCGAGGATAGCAGTGACGTTGGGGTGGTCGGCCCAGGGGAGGGTGTTGATACCAGAAGAATGGGTGACGACGATGGTGTTGTTGCAGTTCTTCGCAACGTTTTCGACAACATCGTTTCCATTCCAGTCGACTTCGAGGTGCTGGCGGTCAGCGGCCTCCTCAGCCCAGGTCTTCAGGAAGACAAGGCAAACCTCAGGAACCGTAGGGATCCAGAGGTCAGTGATGTTTGACTCGACAATGAGGGTGTTATTGAGCCACTGCTGGACAAGGGCACCATCCTTGGAAGCACGGGCCTTGATGGCCTCGAGGGGAGAGACGAGGTAGGTGAGACGGCCAGTGCCTGAGCCACCACCAACAGACAGGGTGCCGTACTCGAAGTCATCCTGGTTGTAAAAGCCCTGGGTGTCTTCACCAGCGTCGTTACCGAAGACAGCAATAGACTTAGGCGCCTTAAGGGGGAGAGCCTTGTTTTCGTTCTTGAGCAGGATGGTGGCAGCCGCGCCGTGTTTGCGGATCAGTTCGCCGTGGTTCCCGCGGACGTCACGGCTACGCTCGCCGGTGAGGTTGAACTCACGGACCCAGGTGGACCTGGGAGAGAAGGTGTTGAGGTCGCCGGTAGAGGGGTCGACGCTGGGGAAGTCCTTGTCCTGACCGAGCCAGTAGTAGGGGGTCATGATGCGGAGAATCATGTCATCGACACGAGTGACATCGAGGGTGCCGTTGTTGACGGCGGCGGTAACGTTGCCGCCGAAGAAGGAGCCAGAAGTCCAGTCCATGCCATAGCTTCCGAGACCACCTGCGATTCTGTTAGTCATTTCATTCTGAAGGCTTAAAGGCACAGTTCGTTGGTTTGGTACGGGACAAGGTGAAAAGGCGAATGGATACGCTCAACCGCAAGACGGTGAGCCAAATAGATTGGTGACAACTGGACTTGACAGTATATTCTGCCAGTCCCCGGCAAGGAGGCAATAAAGATAGGGGCAACTGAAATAGAAAAATGCTGAAAAGAACTTACCAGGCATGTCCATGTCAAGACCTGCTTCGATGGCAGCAACACCGGTGTGGGTACTGTTGGAGGTGTTAGATTGGTTCATTGATAGGCGTGGGGAAATCATAGGTCAGGGAAACTTACGCTCCCCAGTCCGACATCACGTAACCGTCAAACCCCAGTTCAGTCTTCAAAAGACCGTTGAGTGACTTGGAGTTTTGGCAGCCGTACGAGCCGTTGATGCGCTGGTAAGAGCACATGAAAGAAGCAGCCTTGGCCTTGACAGCATCAGCAAAAGGCCACATGTAAAGCTCGTGAATAGTCCTGTCGTCCACGTTGGAAGACAGAGCCTGTACGGTAATGTCGGTAGAGGTTCCGTTGGGGTCGAAAGACGGATTGCGCATCGTCTCTTGCTCGTTCAGAATCCAGTGCTTAGCGGTTGCTTGTACTCCAGCATCTTGGTGGCCAGTGATAGTCTGGTACATCGCAATGCCTGTAAGGTAGGGATCCGGAGAAAAGCCTTCCCAGTTGCGCCCGGAGTAGGCGCTTCTCCCAAGGGGACCAGCAACGGGGCTATTTGACGGTTAGAGGGACCCAAACTCGAAAGTCAACAAGTTTAAACTGACCTGAGGGCAACATGAGCACCCTTGGCCCTGAACTCTTTGCCCATGGCAAGACCTCTCTCATAGAGAATGTCTCTATCCCAGGTGGACGCAGCGGAGACACCTGCGGAGAAGACACTTGCGTAGTCGGCCACACGGATAGAAAGAGGTCCATCCTGAAGACACAACCCCTGGAAACCGAGGCGAGGAATGGCAACAATGTTTCCGACACAAGGACCGGGCTGACCAGTCACCATGTCGGCCTTCTCCTCAATCGTCAGCTCGGCAACGAAAGCTCGAGCCTTGACCAGAGCATCCTCCCAGCCCGTGCCCGTAGTATTCGCTTCATGCTGGGTCAGCTCAAATCACAGTCGGATATCGATGCCAAGGTACTCACGAGAAGGGTAGACAGCCGGGGAATGGCCAATGGGACCGAGAATGGTCGTGTTCAAAGGCTGAATATAACTGAAGGCATCTTCAGATCGGTCACCTGCATCATATGCCTGAGCATTGACAGAAGGTGCCAAGAGAAGGCCGGAGAGAAAGAGAGACAGAGCGGCGGACATTTTGATATCCTTTGAACTGAGGCCTGGCGCTTGTGCTGAAGATCCTGAGACTCAATGATCGAGGTAACATACCGCCCTTTATATGTCACATCCTCCTGGTCGGCGGCAACGTCGGTCACCCATATCCTCGTCCTCTGCGTTCCGAAGATGTGGACAGGCCCCTCCGCCAACTCCGCGCGGAGACCCAGAAGTCGGGGAAACCTGAACATGACCGTCTTGTCTTTGGTAAGCCACACCGTCATTCTCTATAAGTCGGCCCCGCAACGTTCGACGACCGAATGGCCTCATCAAGGAAGAGGTGGGACATTGGATAGGGAAATTAACCGTAGATTAACCAAGAGGTAGCCGCAGCGACGGAGAAACCCGGGGCAGAAGTATTCAACAGCACACGTGGGACGGAATTTTACCGAATCCCCAGTCTCGATCCCAATGGCCATCCGTCCTTGTGCGGGCTTGTGGGGGCTCATTCCCAACTATAGCTGGCATGACTAGTCATACAATCACAAAAGGCAACTGTTAAGCGGGTATATTGAGTCATTGGGAGACCAAGAATCATCGACCACTCTTCACCGCCCGGCTTCGAGAACTGCCTACGGGAACTCCGCATCACGCCGATTGGTAGCTTGGGTTGTTGGCCATATGAAGTCACGAGACTTACACAGCAAGACTTCATGGCAACACATGGCAAGCTTGTTGTCGGGGCTTGAAATTGACTTCCGGAGAACTACCGCTGCAAGTGACATGGAACACGAGCCGTTTTGTGGGGGGCCCGGATCGGGTGACAACTGGGAAACCTGGAGACTCCAAGCTTTGTCAAGCATGTTCTGCGCGAACCCCGTCCAAACTTCTAATCCCCCAACCAGAAAGGTTCCATCGAACCTCGTCCCCAGCCTAATCCCAGCCCCCGCCCCCGCTGTTGAAATGAGTGGACTCTGGACACAGGTGTTTGTGTGGAGGCCCGACATTGCGCCGACACTAGAGGCCCAGACACACAGGTTTTGCTCAGAAATCTCTTCGTCATGGCGGCTCGAGTATCTCTTTAGGGGAAGCTGCTCATGCTTCTGATGATCGGGGGCCAACACCACGGAACCGGTCATCCCAGATCGGAGAAAAACGTTGTGCTGCCCCCGGCTTCCCCGCACGTCTAATCGGCCCTGTTCCTCACCTTGGGTCATGATTGTGCGGGACCCGAGCTTTTCGGGGCGCAGCTTTCAAGAAAGAGGCCTGCTGCCGGCAAAACAACGGTTGCTAGCATAGTTGATGTCCGATTAGCGCGTCCTATGGATTTTGGCCAAGACTTCAGAAGCCGACCACGATGCCGAAGGAGCCCAAAAGCTGATAGCCTCCAACTCCTAGTGTCCCGGAGTGAGAGGTCTCGTGAGAGGATTGTAGTGTACGTCATGGTTATCCCGCCCCGGAGCGAATGCCGGTATTCGGATATTGCTCCTCGAAGAATGTGGGACACCTATTCCCATCCCAGCGTAACCCGTGGGCAACACACCAGACCCATGGGGTAACAGTTGAGTACTGTGGAGTTAACCATGCAGTCATTGGAGAACTAGACCTTTCAGTGCTACCTCCGCGAGGAATTGTAAGCCCTTTCATAGCCTTGTGTGGGGATTTACCGCTTGTTTTACGGACAGGCCGATTTCCACTTTTTGTTCTCGTGATGATTAAGATCGAGGGGCATCCTCGGACTCCAGTGTTGAACCCATGAAAAAAATGTGGATCAGACAGTCCAACAACAGAGGAATACACTAGAGCGGCGAACGCACAAGCGTCGTTCATTTGGCCCATTGTGGCATAACCGGAAATTGTACGCGATCGTCTTCACGATAACCTCAGGTTGCTGGGATGAATGAAGTTTTCTGACAATGACGTGTACACCAGAGATAGCTCTGCCCTGAATGATCGATCCGGCTCCTACCAGAACCTAAGTCTATTGGTTCCTGAATTCCGCAGTGCGGCTTTTCGGTTGAAGAACGCTAGACTTCCGTCTACTTCCGCTCACTTCCGCTCACTTCCGCTCACTTCCGCTCACTTCCGCCATTCAATTCTGTTGGTAACATTCTCAGTGTTCCGAGCCGACCACTAAATTCTTCCCTTAAATACTGGGTTCTGACATGGATGTCCTGGAAAATCCTTTAACCATACAACTGACGCACCTGTCAATACTGCTTTCTCGCGGTGAACATGAACGCACCACTGAGGCTCCAACCTAGTGGATCAGGCCAATGTACCCACAAGGATGTATACTATCGAATGAATGTTTGAAAAATGTTTGGAAACATCTGGACCTGTCGTATACCTAAGGTTAAGGATTGGTCTCCGTCACTGAAACTCTATCCTTAACTGATTAGCCGTGAGGCTGTGAGCCCACATTTCCGATAGTAATTCTCCGCTCGGAAGCATGCGAAGCAACTCCATGTTCCTTTCTCTTGGTAGTATTACAATTTTTTTTGGCCGCCGAGCTCTGCGAAATTTATGGTACACTCATCAGGGTAAAAGCTTTTACTACTATCTTTCTTGCTATCTATTTTTCTTGACAAGCGCCCCCCCCCCTCTCGTCTCTGTAGGGTTCAAGTTACCAACACTCTGCTACAACACAGCCAGATGGTAGCGGGTTGCTAGCCAAGGATAAGAGCAAAAAATCAGGCGAACTTACTTGCGGGGAAGTTTTCATCTCGGCAAATCAATTTTTGAACCTGAGAGTTGCAAGATATCAGTCTTTGGGCTAATCAGCCCGAACAAGGTCGGTGGGCAGACATTTATCCATACACATTGACGGGACTAGAGCCCTAAAAGATCGACGCCAGTCAGTACAGAACTAAATCGATTGTAGAGTCCAGCATGCTGCAGGATAATGGAACGGGGCAGGGTTTCCTGCTCCCATTGAAGTGGTCTTTGCGTTTGGTTTCTTTGACTTCTCAGTTAAGCAGGGTCTGATCAGGGGTATAGAAACCTCTACGACTTAGATCAAAAACGAATAACCAACACACACTCATCAGACTTCTCTGCGCCCAAGGAAGCATCCTTTCTGTCTTTCGTGATGAACAGAAACCTGATCACACCTACACAAGAACTTTGGGAGTCTCTACTTATCCATCGCGTTGCGGCCAAGACCGATCAGGGCAGATTTGACCTGATCAGGACAGCTGAGTCGCGGCTGGCTAAAGACATCTTGCGTGGCTATAGGGGAAGGTTGTGGTTGTCCACCACACCGCATCGCTCTCTATGGACCTGATCACCCTGCACGCGTCCAATAACCCATCACATAGCACATGACAACAAGGAGCGTTTTGAGCCTCAGTGGGTCATGAATAAATAACTAATATTAGTAACTGCGTAAGAGTCAACGTAGCAGCCACTACATGTGCAATATGTAGCCTCGCCACCATAACATCTGCTTGCAGTTATGGATGCTACACCTCCCGCACTGATTCCCGTTGTCGAGTGGCCCTTAGAGCAACACATAGAAAGGCGGGGCTTATACCTTGTACAACCCATCAGTCCTCGGCTGTGTCTTTCCCTGTACTTTGTCGTTTTAGTGGCACGACTACCGAGGAGAGGGCCAAAAAGGGAAAAGATGGCGCACATGCGGAGAAAGCAGCGTTATCAGCAGCAGCAGAAGCAGCAATACCGACGGTTTATGTAGCAGGTCAGTTACTCGAGAAAGAGGTCTTTACAACAAATCTTAACAACAAAATCCTGCCACCAAACCTTGATGTTTTCTAATAGCAAGGACTTTGAAGTCAATTATCAATGCTATCTCACTTTGAAAACCAAAAAACACGTTGATGACCGCATTGGTTATCGCGAAAGGGCTGTCTTCAAGGGCTTGCTTTCTATCTAGATTGTTTCTCATTATGAAACCGTGGTCTATGGTCTATAAAGAAGGTGACTTTGGCACGTGGGTATTATGATTGTAGGCTACGGAAAAATGTGCGTTGTAAATGGCTGATTGAGTCACAACACGACTGAGAATGGAATGTACAACCCAATTGGTTATGTATGGTCGTGCTTCAAGCAGTCGACGCCTGAGCCTCCTGTATAATGACATCGCTAGCCTTCTCCGACACTATGTACAAAGGCAAAGCAATGTAGAAGCCGGGAATCTTTGGGAAGATACTAGCATCAACAACTCTCAGACCCTCGGTGCCGCGGACCCTGAACTTGGAGTCGAGAACCGCCATGGAGTCATCATCAGATCCAATGGGGCAAGTGCATGAAGCATGATGTCCCCATGCCTCATCCTTCAGGAACTGTTTGGCGTCATCCTCACTGGTGACGTTGGTACCAGGCCACACCTCCGGGAAACTTCCATCAAGCGGAATGAGATCGTCGAAGGCTCTACGGGTGAATTGGAAGCCTTCATATGTGGCTTGTAGGTCCTTGTCGGCCTCTCCGTCGCTGTTGACACCGGTGTCATAATAGTTGAAGTTGATGAGGGGCATGTCTCTAGGGTCGGTTGATTTCAGGTTGACGGTGCCAGCATTGTTGCGGCTGTGGGCCTTGAGAATAATCCAGGCCCAGTGCTGCGCATCGGCCAATGAATCGGAAGCATAACCAGGGAAGTATCCCTTGAACTTGGCTGGTGCGCCAGAGATGAATAGATCAGGCTCGTCTTCGGCAACGGAAGACTTGAGCACAATGGCAATGGCGATGCCGTTGGTAGCGTAGACACCCTTCGAGATAGGCTCAAGACCCTGCTGATATTGCTCGAGGCAAGGGTCAGGGGATGTCTCAAGGAACGTGCACTTGCTGGTTATGACAAAATCGCTGTTGGTCTTGCCAATGACTGTAGCCTCGTACCGATCTTGCATGTTGGTTCCAACACCCGGGAGATCAATTAGAACCGAGATGTTGAAAGATTCAAGTTCTGCTTTGGGTCCAATACCACTGAGCTTGAGGAGCTGGGGCGTGTTGAAAGCGCCAGCGGAGATGATCACCTCTCGTTTGGCATTGACATTGCCAGATCCCGTAGTAGAGGCGGATCCGGAACGAGGATCGGCACGGTAGAGGCTGGAGCCCTCCAAAAAGTCAACTCCAACAGCGCGAGGCTTATCACCGCTTTCATCGAAGCGGATTTTAGTTACCTGAAAGCGTTAGCACAAGGCCAATGAGCCATGTCGTACCAACGCCATTCACTTACGAGGGTATCAAGTTTGATATCAAGGTGATACTTGCGTGACCCATCCGAGTTGACAGCGTTGGCTGTATCCAAAATCAAGTCTCTAGGACCACCGCGAATGGAGTCAGTCATGGCCAGCGGAACCTGGTAAAGTCCAGTTTTGCTGGTCTGGCCAGGAGCGTTGATGTCACGAAGCAAAACCTGGCCAAGCCCGGCGACAGTGTTGAGCAGCAGTCCAAGAAGGCTCTTACCCATAGCCGAAGCAGCAGAGATAATCAGCGAAAGGAGCTTCTGGTCCTCCACGACAAGAGAAAGAGACGTGAGGGAGGTTCCAAGCCAGCCACTGTAGCCATGTCCGACAATGCTCGATGGCAGATACATGTTCTTCTCCAATTTTTCGAAATACGATCGCATGTTGTCCGGGCTCCATGAATCATCGCCGGTGAGAGTCGCAATCTTTGACCAGTCACTGTCATGGGCATTGACGGAGATGAGGGCGTTGTGGCGAGAGCAGCCGCCCAAAGTTCCAGCACGCGGGTACCAAACACCGAGAGGCGTTGCCTCGGCCGGGGGGTCCAGTCCAACGTAGAAGCTGCCATCCGGCATCTCGTACGTCATCTTGGAATCCCTTTTTTGCTGATCGAGATCGGAGTAGTGGTTGACCTGTCTCGCGTTAGCCATATGACAAACTCGTGCTCGGCCCAAAGACTCACAAAGTAGTTCCATCTTGTGTCCTCGAACTCAGTTGACATGAGATGAAGTGCCGGAACCTTCTCAGTCCAAGAGTCACCTGAGTCCCCTCCGGCATCGATCAACAAAACCTTGTAGCCGGCAATGGCAAGGTTAGCAGCAACCGGTCCTCCTCCTGGACCAGAGCCGACAATAACATAGTCGTAACTATCGAGCGTTGCGTTGGCAGCACGTCTGTTAATGAAGGGTTCGTGACGAGGCTTCTGCTGAGCAGATCTCCACGGAACGGCGCTGATTCAGGACTCATTAACGTTGATGATCTCTTGGCATTCTTCAAGGTACGAACTTACATGGCAGAAACCGAGTCAGCCACAGCGGCAACAAATGTGATAACGAGCGAAAAGCGCATCGTGGGCGCGGTGGAGCACTATCTGCTTCCAAGAAAAGAGTGACAATGGGTCGGATAGATCGTACAGAGCCTCAAAACATGGAGTTAGGTTTCAAGATGACGAATTTAACAAACAGAAGAAAAGCTCGAGCAATATGCCCAGACACTGAATCGCAAGCCGAGAAGGACCGAAAGAGAGGGCAGATATTACTTAAGCGGGCACAGAAACTGGTCTATCCACTCATCCCTGCTTTTGTAACGGATGATTGAAACGACCTAGGAAATTGTGCGAAAGAATGGAGCTCTAATGGCTGCCGTTGCATTGCTGCACCTTTGCACTCAGGCCCTGATGCCGATCTTCCTGAAGCGCTGTACCAAAATGCCCACTACGGCCACAGTACACGTGTACTACGGATACTCATTACCATAACTGTTTCCCTACTCACCAGACTATACCATCTCCGTAAGTAGCCAGGAATAGGGGCAACGCTGATCATCCCAGTATCTTCCAACCAGCCAATGGTCTACCAGTCTTGTAGTTAGCCGAACAGCCCAGGGGCCATGAAAAGGTCAGAACGACAGGTAGCGCAGAAGACATTTGTAAGACGCAGCCCGTATCACATAATACGCCTAACGTTGCCGACATAGCAGACTGGGCGCATGCCGCAACAAACCTTACAGCTTTTACTTTTAAGTCATCCACGTCCTTGGTGATTCAAAAGTGTGGCATGCAGACGCCAAGAGCCTTCCGCAGTGATGTAACACAAACAATATTCGGCTCATTGTTCAAGCAGTGTAGTCGCGTAGTTGCAACTCGCTGTGCTTGAAGTTGAACAGAGCTTCTGGTCCCGACAGCTGATGAGCGCCGCTCTGGCCTCCGCTCTGGCCGCCGCTGCGCAGGGAGTTTGACTCGCACTATGGAGGCGGTCCCTTTTGCGGAATGTTCCATAGCCCCCGGCTAGGCTAAAGCTGCAAGGCAGATGATCACAATGACAGCGACCACAAGGGCACTTGACTCTAATGAAATCCTATGGGAAAGGCGTCGGCCAGCCCCCACTATGTGCCACTGAAACCTTCGAGAAAGATTACTTCGCCAGGGACGTAGATGAAAATGGAACCTCGGAGGGTCGGTAGATAAATACAAAAGAGGTGAAGACTCGTGCAACCCAGATATGGCAAGGATCTGCCATGTGTTGAGGAGACCCTTGAAAAGGCCCCTCCCCTGCCGCTCGGACTTTCCCCACGGCTCGTGCTTCTGTAACATCAGATCAGAATGTTTGGCAGCAGGTTCCACCTTTTTCCAATTTTGGTGATAATCACCTCCCATCAAGCGGCTTCAGACCGAACAAATCTAGCTCTGGGGGCACCGGGGTAGAGATCTGTCAAGGAGACATAACCGGATTGGGATAATGCATTGATCCCATAATCCGATTCTATACAGCCAGTAGCAACAGATGAGCATTTCATCCAGTCGGAATGTACATCAGTAATGACAGTTTGTATTATTCACTATGTAACTATAGTATGTTGATGGTATCTCGCTGCCCATTTCCGCAAACAGGACTTTGTGAGACTACACCGGGGACGAATTCTTTTGTGTCTAAATCGTGTGCTGCGAAGAGAAGATGGAAAACTAGAACGCTAAAATGCCCAAAACACCATGTTCAAACAGATTCGTGGGGAGTTGTTGGCTTCTTTTCCGATGAAGCACGCGAATTCGGATCGCGAAAAGGTATATCTGTGAGTTCATGTTCCGTGTATGAAACATCATCTCGACGCCCTGACCTGAGAGAGAATTCTTTATGGATTCGAATCGCCGGTTGTGACGAGGCTTTTGAAGATAATTTCTGGGAGTCTGATGTCGGCTTTTGTTGATCCGAAATGTTTGCGTAGCTGGACTTGCCACCTCTCTGCGTGGTGCCGAACACCTTGGGAAAGGCCACACTGAACAAGGAGCGGATGGCAGGCATGCTGGCGCAAATGATACCGACTGGGACTTCGATGGTGCTCCAATAACCGACTTCGACGTAGTCCTCTATGTTTCCATTAATGCCAAGTCTAGCGTGGGTAAAAAGTATGACTTACGAGTTGCGTTGCTGGTTGTGGCGTAACTCGCCAAAGAGTTCAGTCGGAGAACACTGACCAAGGTGACGCTACAGACAGAATTAGCCGTCGAATCAACAATCTCACAGCGATGTGGAGGCGTACAAGAATCCAACACAAAACATCATCATGACCATAACCTTCTTCTTAGTAGACAAGGAAAGGTTGTAAAGCTCTCTAAGGGGAAGAATCAGGGTGGCCAAATCTAGCAAGATGTTGGCGATAGCGGCTGCCCAACCCTGTATATTGATATTGTTGCATTTTGCCTTAAACTCCCCATCCCACGCTCTCCAGGCACCCTCAATAGGAATGCATTGGAATATTGAGATGAGTTCAAAGACGATGATGTATGCCACGTTGAGCCCAATGAGAACCCAGCAACTGATTCTTATATCCCTTTTGGGGAAGATCCTGAGGTAGAAGAGGAGGATCGAAATCTTGGTCACGGGCAAAGCACCCAAATATAGAAGCTCGTCCCAGAAGAACATCTGTCGTCATGAATCAGCTTTCATTCATCCTGAGAGCGTTGGGATTGGAACGCACATAAAGAAATTGGGTAACGTTGTCAGGTTGAACATTCCAAATATCTTTACCCAAGGCGACTTTGGAAACTATATTGAAACAAGTCAGTTCTAAACAACTATTTGCCTTTGCAAAAAACTTACTCGGAACGGAAAGACTATTGAGGGGTACCATGATACCCTAGCAGAGTGTCAGTCTTCGATTTGTTGAGGCATGCCGAAATGTAGTCGACGTACAACAGCTATCAACATCACCCAATCGTCTGCTCCCCAAGACTGGCCGCCCAATAAAAGTTTGGCCATGACCCTGAGAACAAACGCGAGAAGGCCAAGGGCCAGAAACACAATGCCGATAACCCATACTAAAGCGGTTCGGTCGCGAGATGGCGCGCCACAAGTGTGTTTGGAATAGCTCTGAACCTCTTCAGAAGAGTGTTAGTAGAAGTAAGATGCGGAACTAATATGACTGAAGCTAACATACGCAACGACTCTCGGATAGTGCAATTAGCACTCACGCATAGTGAGATCTCTTGGTTCAGTTGAACATTGGTGCATATGCAGGTCGCATTTGTAAGTGAGCACAGTCCTGTTTCCAGTGTCACTTCTTGAATGCATTTCAACTGGTCGGCGTCAGTCAAGAATCAGTCACCGACTAATGAGGAGGGCCTGTCTTACGCCGCACAACGGAGGGGTCTCTGTCGACGCCGGGGTGTCGGTGGTTTTGGTAAGACTCCATACGCCTTGACACCAAACCAACATGAAGAGGACTGCAAAGAGTTTCATTTCGCCTGATTGGGCTACAAAAGCAAGTGAGGAAGACGAAAAGAGAAGGGAACACGGAGGAAAGTTGAACATCGAATCCCGCTGGTATGAAGACTTATTGAAGTCCGTCTCTCTTGCACAAGAGTGCCAATCTTCCCCCATCTGCCGAAATCTCAGTGTACATACGCGATCGTTCCATTTCGTCAAAGATGGACCGGGTTCCGGGAACTTGGCTGCAGACAGGGCCAGTCCACTTTGTGGGCGCCTGTCAACGAGCTGACATGGGCCACCAGATGAACTACGTCAAACGGTTGCTGACACCCCGCCCTACTATATTTTTCATGGTACATGGTAAAGACTCTTCTGCTCCTTGGCTAGGCCTTGGCGAAAACCACCGTACAGGTATCTCCAGGCTTTTTGTGGTCTCTACCCATGTAATCACTCATTGCATCCAGCCGTTTTTGTAAACCATCTTAAACTTTAGTAGGAGCACAATAATATCGCATGCCGTCTCTTCCTGACGAAGTAGTCCCCAAAACGTGCAGATATGGAGTGCCGAACTTTGGGCATCTCCATGCGCCCAGTGGGGTTGCATCGTGGGTTATGACATACAGGGTTGTGTTTCAGACCTTGCAATTGGGACAGATGCAACCCCGACTAGAACAATTACGACTTCGAATCCACAAAAGCTTTCATGAGCTGTGGGTTGAGTCGATGAAAACGGCAAAAGGCAGGGATCCAACACAGGGGGTGCTCGTTGTGAAATTAATTTCCATCGTCTTGCTACGGAATTTGTTGAGCGATTCACGGTCTTCTGCGCTGGATTAGAAAAACAAGGATAACGGACAGCGCCTTAATTGCATTAAACTCTGCTTTGACACACGAGATATCGAGATTTTCCCCTCGATTTTGCGGACAGTATGTCGATGTGCGGCACATCTCGTTGGTTTGAGCCATTGAAACAGTATTACTGCATCGTTCAGGGGCCGCAGTGGTGTGCTTTGCTCGCGAGGATTCGAGGATTCGACGTCTCGATGTAACATTACCGACCAGTCATCCTACATAGTACCTATCCGGTTGATCAGTGGGCGTCTGGGCCATGGATGTTGCCACTCAGATGAGGCCGGCGGAAATTTCCTTAGCTCCCGGCCAGTCCGTCGACGCCTCAAAACCTAAGAGCTCGAATTGGATGCAGATCGCTCAACCTGTCAAACTTTGGGCGGCCTCGATACATGGATGTGACGACTCCTCATTTAAAACAGCGTTACTTCGCTTGTTGCTAAATACACAGACAAGGGGGGTTGTCCACCGAGCTTCCCAAGTTGTCCTGATAATGGCCCCCAATCTTGACCTCGGACTCGATATCGCCCGTTGCTGAAAAGTTGTAACGGGGGAAAGAACGGGAGAATGCAGTCGGCCGGACTTGCGGGCCACGATTGACAAGTCAGAAAACACCCATGTCTAGTTAGCTGCCGGCACTCTTCCAGGGCCACGGTAAGCCCAGCTCGGGTTGATCTCAATCTTCGCTGCCACAGCCCGCGGAAACGGGCCCCGCCAGAGCTAGGTGGTAAAAGAATTGACCAAAAACGTCGTTCCAATTTGCAATTTTCCCATTCTAGATTATTGACTTGTCTCCTAGACGTCAGTCACATACCAGTCACTCATTCAAGCACGCATAATCCGTTTCTTGCGCTCTGTTGTTAGGCTTCAACATGAAGTCACTTTACTTTCTTTCAGTTTTGCCCTGCCTCAGCAGCGGCGTCGTCGGTTTCCCGGCCTACGTTAACGAGGCTCTCAAGAATGATGTTGGTTCAAAACTCTCTAAGCAGCTGGCCGGTATCTTCCATGAATCCCACGAGAAGAGGCTGCTCTTCGACCCGATGACCACCCCTATCAATGTGGCCGGCGACCACAGATTTATTGCACCAGACTTCCAAGACGGCGCGCAGCGCGGCCCTTGTCCAGGACTGAATGCTCTGGCAAACCATGGCTACATCAATCGAAATGGAGTGACCAGCGTGACAGAGGTCGCAGGAGCCATCAACCAAGTCTTCGGAATGGGGGTGGATATTGCGATAATATTGGCGGTCTTGGGTACTGTCTTCGTGGGCAATCCTTTGTCACTCAACCCTGGCTTCTCCATCGGCGACGTCTCGAGTGCATCGAACAACATTCTCGGCAACGTCCTGGGACTTCTTGGTACGCCTCGAGGTCTTAATGGCTCGCATAACATTATCGAAGGCGACTCATCCAACACACGAGCTGATCTGTACGTGACGGGAGATGCCTCCACAATGGTCATGGATCAGTTCCAGTCATTCTACGATATGTCATCCGGAGAAGGTGACTACAACTTTGACGTCTTCGCCAAGAGAGCCTCCATCCGCTTCAACGAGACCATCGCAACCAATCCCTACTTCTACTACGGTCCGTTCACCGGTATGATCGCGCGTAACGCAGGTTACTTTTTCGCCTGTCGTATGTTTGCAAACTACTCATCCGAAAACCCCGACGGTATTCTTAGTGAGTGCTCCTGGTCCTGTATGGGGAATTGAGTGCTGACTATGTTATAGACAAGAAGACCCTCAAGAGCTTTTTTGCTGTACAGGGCGAAGAAGGCAACCTCACATACAACCGTGGCTGGGAAAGAATCCCCGAGAATTGGTATCGCATGCCTGTCGACTACGGCTTGGTCCAGCTAAACTTGGACCTCGTTGATCTGATCCTCAAGTATCCCGAGTTGGGAAGGTGAGTAACTTCAAAATCTATTCGAGACATTGTCACTGACAAGCTTGGCCTGCAGCATCGGGGGTAATATGGGAGAGTTCAACAGCTATGCCGGAGTCAACCTGGGCGATCTTACCGGTGGCGTCTTGAATCTCACGAAGCTCCTGGAAGGTAATAACTTGCTGTGCTTCGTCTTTGAGGTTCTCAAGACGGTCTCGCCAAACTCCCTGTCAACCATCTTCTCCATCATCCAGAAACCTCTCAGCATGATCACCGACACTCTTGGAACGGCTATGCTGAACCTGGGTTGCCCAGCCTTCGAAGATATGACAGTGGGCGGCAAGAGTCTTGACGAAGGCCTTAAGGCACAGTACCCAGGTGCTCGCATGTCTGATTCTGTCCTCTAAGCTAGATATCTATTTTACCTTGTCTTAGCGTGAAACCTCTTTTGGTAAACGAGATTGAATTCGTTCCAAGACTGGACGCAATGCTGTAGACGTTGCCAGTTAGGCTTTAATTGTAATACATATCCTTCTAGAATGACTTAAGCGGTCCAACACACTACAGTGCCATGTCAACAGTCTGAAAACCCCCGCATCTGAAGTGCACCACCCACATCCCCTCCCTATCGGTTTTCGGACTTTTCTCATGGCACTGTGTCGTTGCACGCAGGTGTGCCGTAAACAATACGTCATGAAGTTTTGATGAGTTGAACTGGACGTGCTGTCTCTATACTTGATGCTTGTCACATCTACACAGGCTTTTAACAGCGTTAAACGGGAAAAACTGGGCATTTGGATAAGCACAGGATTGATTCAACTCTAATCATTTTGAGATACTATTACACAGTTCATTCAAGGTATACTTATAATTGGAATACTTTGAAACTGCTCATCTCGTCATCTCATCATTTTGTCACTTTAACTACAGTTATGATTCCATCTTCATTCCTTCAAAGCTTAGCATGCTTCTCATTGACCAGAACATATCTGTAGCGAGCATGCCCAGCCTCCATATCAACAATCGCCTTATTGGCATCCTTCATGGGACGCTTCTGAACCCAAGGCTTCACCTTCTTCTCGACCGCCAGGTCCAGCATCTCCTTGATTTCAGAGGGTGATCCGATGCCACTGCCACCGACCTTGATGCCGCTCATAAGAAGAGTGAAAGCATTGATAGGAGGAAGGTTGCCACCGTCCGGAGCACTAGAACAGATTAGCTTCGTGAAGCCTTACGTGCTTGTCAGGGAAGACTTACCCAACTTGGATATAGGTACCGTTGACCTTGAGGAGCGTCAAGTATTGCTGAAGAGGCATCTTCTCACTTGATACAGTAGAAACAATGAGGTCAATGCTCCTAGCGTTCTTCTTGGCCCAATCCTTGTCGTCGTCTGTAGCAATGTACTCATCGGCACCCAGCTTCAGAACCTCATCTTTCTTCGAGGCTTTACGCGAGATACCAATAACCTTGTCGGCGCCCAAGGCCTTGGCGAAGAGCACACCAAAGTGTCCTAGTCCACCAACGCCTACAATGCCAACAGTCTTGCCGGGTCCGCAAGCGTTGTTCTTCAACGGTGAGAAGACCGTGATGCCTCCGCAAAGCATTGGCGCGGCATCTTCTGACGGCAGGCTTTCGGGGATCTTGATCACGAAATGTCCATTGGTTCTGTTGTAATCGGCATAACCACCATAAGACTTGCCCTCACCATCGGGATAGACGGATCCGTAGGTGCTGACGTTCGCGCGACCACAGTAGTTCTCACGACCGGTGGAGCACTCGGGGCAGTCGGACTGCATGCAGGAACGGGCCTGAGCACCAACACCGACGCGGTCACCGACGGAGACGTGCTTAACATTTTTGCCGACGCGGACGGCCTTGCCGACAATCTCGTGGCCGACGCAGCAAGCTATTGCATGTAAGGTTAGTGAGGAATAAGTTTTACAGGATGCCCCGCGTTTGGGAGGCAAGGTGGGGTAATGGAAGCGTCGGAAACTCACGATAAGGGGTCTCGGACCAGCCTGAGCGCAGCATGTGAAGGTCGGAACCGCAAATACCGCAGTGGGAGATCTCAATGTCGACGTCGTCCTCCGTCCACTTCTTGGGCTCGAACGCGCCCCATTCCATCTTTCCCTTGACGCTCTCGGGGGAGTGGCCCAGCCATCCTTCAAACTTGTAGTCGGTCATTGCTGTGGTGGGTTGAGGGTTGCAAACAGCTCGAGTACTTGAGGGGATTGAGGTGTCTTTTTGTTTGCGAATTCGTGGGGTGAAGCGTTCTTAGCTACCAAGAAACTGAACGTACGTGGACGAGCAGGCGAATTGGTTTATATATGCATCAAGAGCTCGGATTCTCCTCCGAACTCAACGTCCATGACGGCATCCCCGCGTGCTGAGAGCTAGGGTCCGATTTTTCGTCCATAATGTCATCGAGAATCATCCATGCCGGAGCTAGCTGGAGTTAAGACGGCATTATGCCTAAAACAATTGCAGCTCCAGAGCCTTTTGGTACTGATATGGAGCCCACCAACACCAGGAACAGCCGTCAATGCCGGAGGTGCGCTTGTGCTTGACTCTGGGTTCTGGCGGTGTCAAGCTCCAACAGCGCTACGTTGAGTTTGGTTCGCGGATACTACGCAGTAGCTTGGCCGCCATTGGACTATGATGACGCAGATGGTGAACCTTGAGTGGGCTACCCTTGGGTACCCAGGCCTGTAACTGGAGCACTCTCCAACAACCCCGGGTCCTCTTACGGGTCCTGCTTGCTGAATGTTACTTACGTAGGCCGCATCCCTAGCCAAATACTGTCGCGAGTCAGATAAGTTTCGGTGTTTACTGGAAGTCAACAGACTGGAAATGGAGAATGAGCCAAAGCTGCTCATGAACGACGCAGTACAGTCATGCCACACGTACAAACTAATTGCCGCGGCAAAGTGCAGCTATTTGCTGCAACCTGCTGACAAGCACGGGCCACATTCCATGCCGTTTCCATGCCGGTTTCTAAACTACTCTCTTGGCTGCCCTGCTAGGTACATGTATTCACGGAGCATAGTAATTAAGGTGATTATGGCCGATCCTCCGGCGCATCGGCGCGGTGTGGCAGTTCGATCTGATCGTTGGTTAGCCTTTCAACCCATCAGCTAATCCTTGCTTGTGTAACATCAATCTAAGCCGCTTTTTTTGAATGCTTGTATTACAAATAGGCCCTGCCGCTATTCGGCGATAGGCGATGAAGGATAGCTGACATCGGCGTTTATTTTTCATGACTTCATTGGCGATAAGGCCTGTCCCAGCCTTTGTGTTTCTCAAGCTAATTTTATCTATGCCAGCATCCTTTGACTTTACCCCAAACTGAATGGAGTCGGAGTTCGGCTCGACCTCTGTTGGTCTTTGCTAGGCGGGGTTTCTTGGGGCAATTAAACAAACCGAGGTCCATTTTGTCTCTGCAATCTTAATTGATCAAGAGTCCGCTCCGCTCTGTGTCGCAGTTCCTTGTCAAAGGTTGTACTCTTCTGGGAGCGAAGCCCTACATAAGACAACCCAGAAACCTGGAGATTGCGGAGAATACCGGACTGTAGTATTTCGGTAAGGGTCATTTGAGCAGAGTCGTCGTTGACCATTTTGAACCGTGGTTTGCAGAGGGATTCCAGAGCCGCACACTTACATTCTTCATACATTAACTCCGAATGGTGGCTGACAGATGACTGCATATGCAGGCACGGAGTGATGCGCGCCCTTCTGTACCCGAAAGCATTGTTGGGCTTGCCTTATAAATGGGTTTGATGCCTTCTGCTGGACAAAATTACACATAATGAAGTTAGGAACAAGCAGAGGAAGTAATCACAGTTTGCGTAGTCATCTGTTCCTTTCACTGCTGATTCAAGAGCTGCGGAGCAGCCCCTCCTCTAGGTCTAATAGAGGTGGAGCCGACTAGCTACTATTTGGTTAGAGACACTGGGTGTTAAAGTCATTCTGTTTCGTGCAGGTCCACAGAGACTGGCATTGAGTTGGCCCAGTCCACCCATTGCCGCCGCATTGTCCCCAACGGACCTGCTCCGCCCCCGATGCAGCCGTGGTCGTGGTCGCACGGGAAGAGGTCGTAACAGTGACGAGCACCGTTACGCGGGAGCTCGTGACGGTAGGCGTAAGTGTGGTCGTGGGAATGCTACCGGTTGCAGCGGCAGCAAGCATGGAGGAGACAATGGTATACGCTGGCTTTTTGTTGAAGTTGGCGTCCCAGAGAAGGGCGTCGCCCTGTCCACTAAATGTCTCGGGAATCCAGCTGTACTTGTTCGCGAAGCCTCAGATGGTGAAACCAACGCACCTATCCACGTCCAAACAGCAGCCGACGACATTGGCATAGCCGTTGCCCTTTATTTCGAGGGCAGTGCTGGAGACTGGGAGGCTGGAGTGGCGAACATCAAGCTCAGGTATGCGACCTCGAGGTCGGGGAAGTGAAGCGGCGGAGAGCAGTTGCGAGGGCGCTGCGGCCAGGTGTTGAGCCGACGATCAAGTGATCCTAGAAGCCTACACCGTGAATAGGGGCGCTGGCGATCTGGACAATGGTGACGGCGGCCTCGTCGACGCAGTTGGTCTTGACGCCGTCATACTCTAAGTTGTAGTCGGAGACCAGTGATCCGCGCTCGCTGGTGTCGCTGACGATGGCCATGTAGGTGCTATCGCTGGTTGTCCATCACTTATCAACGGCGATACCGAAGTATTTCAGCCCGGATCTAACGGCAAGGGAGTTGAGCTGAGCCGAGACAACGCCAGCGCCCAAGAGAACTATGAGGACTGCCCTTATGTACATGACCGATTCCTAGAAAGCAAGATTTCTCTTCTCAGGTAAGTATACGAGTGCCTCTTCCTAGCACAATGGCATTGGAAGTCAAGCGGAGGACCATCCAACATATGGACAACCACCAGCCCATGCATCGTGAAGACGGTGCGGAATAAATTTACATCGAACAGCGTTCGTCATCTATCCTGATTCTTTCTAATCTTGTCACTGCCACATCGCATGCTAGAATATCCAACAAGCCACATGAGGTGAGTCGCAGGCCCAATGGGATGTGGTTCACACCATTAATCTTCAAGCTGGCATTAGACGATCACGATGACAGCTTGTGCCCAGAAGTCTAGATCCTCTGCAAAGACGGTCATCCTCTTGCGTGGCCAAGACGCTTTTGTGATACATGCATAATTGGCTGGGCAGATCTAGGCCAAATCCTCATGTCATGGAGGCTGTCGTCGCATGAAGTCAGACAGAGCAGCAGGAGCGGTGCCGTGTCCACGTCTGGTAAATGGCCTTAGCATCCGGAGGGTGTTCCGAGAATTTTTGTGCCTGGGCTAGCGTATGAGGTAAAGTAGGCAGTCGCCTGCGCCATCACCAAGGTTTTGCGAATGGACCAACATAAGCAAGAATCCCTGAGAGGGAAGTAAAGAAGCAAGAATCGAGCATACCCGCGAGCGGTAGGTATTGCTATGCACATTGCAAGATCGGATTCGGCACTCAGGACCACGCAAAATTCCACCAGTAGCTAGGATTCTGGGCCTGGATTACTGCCCTTTGTCCTCCGTCGAAGATACATCGCATGAGCTGTCAGCGGCTTGGCTCTTAAGACAGTGTGGTCGGCTTAGATACTTGCGTGCAGTGAGCAACGACTTTTGGGAGCGATAGCTTGCCCCGACTGCCAGAAACAGAACTTTGGGCAGATATAGGTGAACGCTATACAGTTGAGTTGGACTGTAAGGAGAAACGGTCAAAAATCTCACTCAGAACGAGCCGAAAATCCCACAGGACAGTGAAGCTAACAGAAACAGGGGGCCTGTTCCTTGTCAAGATCTAATGTCTGTAGTACAAGTTAAAACTGATGGGTGCTTACGCTTCTGGCGTACGTAACAAATAACGTCCTAATAACTGAATCAACTGTGCACGCACACACTCACTCGGTCCAGCCAAGTGAGCAAAGTTCCTCTTTCTAGACCACAACACCCGATCTCTGCGACCCGAATAACTAGAAAAAGTTGCCATAGCACTCCGTTTGATACACAACAGACAATTCCGTCTATTGGCAAAAGGCATGTGATCAGTGGGAGGCTTGAACTCCCGGCCTTGGCATCACACAACATTCCAGGTGAAATATTAGTACCACGCTCTAACCAACTGAGCTAACCGACCCGTTTCCGAATTGTCAAACGATGTCCACAAAACCGTTCAAGATTGACGATAGCCCCGTCGGCTCCACCAAGTTCAATGGATACGGAAACAAGGATTTCGTTGCGATCTCAGTTTAAAAAGCCACAGCTCGGCTTGCAGTGTTTTCCTCGTGTTATAAGACAAAAGTCTCGTTTTGAGCGTAAGAGAGTTCCCATGTGACAAGGCCACTGAGTGGTATCATCAAAGCTTAACTGTGATGTCCGCAGACTTGATTCTACATAAGATTTAGGAAGAAGAAAGTGCAAGATAGCAAACCTGAAAGCTCTGAACACTCTTCCATTCCTGAGAATCCCCATCCCCACATACTAAGATACATCGGACCTCTTCCAGTGTAACGTTGTTTTGTTTTGAGATGCAGGGCTAAGACCGCCGTGTGAAACTCAACTGGCATTCATCCTGTATTCGAGTCAGCCGTGTATTGATCTCAGGTTGGACCAGTACAAGTCTACGTGCACCTAGCGGATGGAGCTTACCATAGGAAACAGTGTTGCAAATACTCTAATCTCTTCCGACTTTTCCGTAGCATGATGCTTCCAGTCAATCTCCAACGTCGCCTTCCCAATCATCGCCGCCATTGTAAGCGGCACATACCTCCTGGCGAGGCAGTCGTGCGGTCCTGCGCCGAAGACGAGCCAGTTTTTGGTCTTGGATTCCGCGTCTCCGGTGATCCAGCGGTCGGGGTCAAAGAATTCGGGGTTGGGGTAGACGTTCGGGTCGTGCAAGGCTGGGTAGCATGATGGGATGATCATGGACCCTTTGGGAACCGTATAGTTGGGGGTAACCGGGAACTTTTTCGTCGCAAGGTAGGGAACGAAGATGACGGGTGGTCTAAGGCGTAGAAGTTCCTTGACGACAGCGTTGGTGTAGGTGAGCGACTCCAACATCGGCAGGTCAAAGGGCTTGGTCCTATCCCCGCCTCTGGCAGCCAGGTTCTCCTCGCGCATGCGGTCAACCACATCAGGTCGCTGGGCGAGGATTTGGAACAGCCACGTTGTGGCGCTGCTCGATGCATCCTGAGAGGCAAAGAGGAAGGTAAAGAGGGTCTCCGAGATCTCCTCATTCGTGAACTCGCGGATCATGTTGGTCGGCTTGACCGCGTCTGTCTCTCCCGCAGCAACCTTTTCGCGGTACCTCTCAGACTCCATCATGTGAAGCACCCAGTGGTCGACGATGCATGTTGGCGTCGCGCCCTTGGCCATGTTGGCCTTGCAAGCAGCAGCGCATTTGGCGAATTCGGCATGAACCGCATCCGCCACACGCTTGCCCAGCCAGACCTTGGTAAAAGGGATGTACATCGACAATGGGACGTTGACGAGCTCGAGCGCGGCAGTGACAAGGTAAAAGTCGTCGGCAATCTTCTTGACAGCATCCTGCGAGATGTAGTCACCGAAGAAAGTGCGGCACGAAAGAGCACAGTTGATCTCGCGGAAGAGCGCCATGAAGGCCATGGGCTGTCCCTGGTTCTCCTTGCTCGCAGCGACAAACTTGTCAAAGTATTCACCCAGCACCTTTTCGTGGACCGGAAGGTAGGTTGCCATGGCCTTGTTGGTGAACAGAGGCATCAAGCCTCTGCGGTATTCAGCATGGGCTTTCCCCTGGAGGAAGACCCAAGCTTTGTGGCCAAGGATGTCCTTGGCGATGGGTACGATGCACGGCTCGGCGTAAGCGGGTGATTTGAAGACTTTGTGGGCAATGTCTCGGTCGGAAGCAAGTACAACGAACCTGGAATTATCGAATTAGTTTAACACCCGACAGAGTATTCTGGCAGTTTCACGTACTTGTGGAAAACGGAAACACAACTCAGCGGGCCACTCGCCCATTGTGCAAGATATTCCTCAAACTTTGGGTGCAGGGCTTGAATGAAAGGGCCCATGAGTGGAATCTTGAATGCTGGACCAGCAATCGAACCTTTGCGTTTGAGGTACATTGCTAAAGCAAGTGTTAGCTGGAATAAATACCCACATGTTCGAAGTTAATGATACCTTGATCGTAGACTACAACACCGAGCAGAAATGTCACAACATATTGCCAGGTAGACCAGCCCGCAAAGAAGTCTGGTAGGCTACCTGGAAACTGGGATGTGCTGTTGGACCATGTTGGCTGCAGCTCGGGCTGCGCAACAGGTGTGTCGATAATCGCCGAAGCCATACTGGTGTACTGGGCTTAATGGCAGAAGATTATCTCAAAACACACAGCAGAGGGAGGATGGTAGAATACGCCTTCTTTATAAGAACCAGCCCATGGCTCTCCAAATGCTCATTTCATTAATATAAGGGGTTCGTTACGCCAGTCCCTACTTGCACCCTTTGCGAAGAATGGTTCGGTCTCGTTCACAACATGGCGAAAGCCAGCCCTGTGAACCCTTGGTGTATCTATGACCTGCGGAGACTAAACCTCTTTTGGCAACGCCCTCTTGTTTGTCAGCCAAGAAAAACTGGAGTCGACAAGGGGCAGAAGTCCATGTCGCAAGATGGACTGCGGCGACTAGTCCTCTTTTGGTCAGGGCACCGCAGAAAACGCAACACGGAATACGCGGATCTGGATCCCGTCCCGGCGTTCAAAGCCCACCCAGACCATCCCCGCCCATCGGGTCACTCTCATCCTTCTCCTTTTGTTGCTGCGAACCTCGCTGGATCATATCCGCAGGGAGCAAGTCGACTCACACTCTCTCTCAACCGCACCATGCGCCAAACTCTTCGTCGGTCCTGTGCCGCCTGTGCAAAGTCTAAGCACAGCTGCGACCTCCGCACGCCGCGTTGCTCTCGCTGTATCAAGCGGAAGGTCCTGTGCTCTTATGCTAACGAACCCCTGACGGCCGCGCCGGCAGCTTCCGGACCAGCGCCGGGGGCTGGGGCAACGTCATCAGGAGCTCTTGACGGATCGGGTGCTTTGACCAACTACCGGTTCGGGTCTCTCGATCCCTTCGACTCCTATCCACAGACCAGACTTCCCCGAGAACAGGTCCAACGCCTTATCCATAGCTGTACGCAAATCCTCAGTTTAAGGTTATGCGGTGGTCGACGGCTAGCTCACTAACCCATGCAGTTCTCCACAAGATTGCGTTCGAATACTACCCCCTAGACCTAAGCGCAACCTCGAACCCTTTTCTCGTCTCGTGGTGGCCGTTGGCGCTCGGTGACCCAGCACTATTCCACGTCTCTTTGCAGACGGCATGCCTTGATGAGGAGCTCCTCGCCCAGAAGGGCTTCCAGTCTTCCGAGATACTAATGGCCGACTCAGTGGCTTTGCTTCGACGCAAAGTCGAAGACACGTCACTTGCAATGCAGGATGGGACGATGAACTCGGTCATCACGTTAGCAGCTATAGAGGTGAGATTCGAGATTACGACTAACCCAAAAGTGCCCCCTCCGCACACTGTGATCGATCACTAACGAGGACGCTCCTGTGCTAGTTTGGCAAGGGCAACACTCGGGTCAGTGAGATGCACGTCGATGGAGCGAAGAGGTTGGTCACAATGAGAGGCGGTATTAATTCAGTGAGACAAACGAGTCCGCTTACTGCGAGAATGGTCAGCTGGTAAGTTGAAGGTCCGCTTCCGAGTTGGAGGCGTTGTATTTACAGACCTTCAAGGGTGTCGATGATTGTCACGGGCCAGCCCCAGTTCGAAACACAAGACGACACCGGAATAGGCGATGGAGTTCCTCCTCCTCCCGAATGGCAACTGGAAACAACCGCCTTCCAGGAGGATTTGTTGGAGTTGAGCAACGTTGATATCGACCCTGCCGTCAGAAACGTGCTAATGCGGCTGCGCAACATCTTTCGGCGGGCTCGGCAAGTGCCTCTAGCACCTACTCGACTCCACGACCTCACCTGCTTTGTGATACATCGACTGCTGCTGTCAAGTCCGAGTGAGATGGATCCTCAGTCCTCGACTTCCGAGTGCATACGATACGGCATTATACTCTACATGTTCATCGTACAAGGGCCGACGTATTACTCGCATGTAGTCATTTTCAACACGATTTTAAACCAATTCATGGACCATCTGCAGCATCTCCAATCAATACCGTACATAGACGGCATCCTGGATGTCTGGCTCCTGACCATAGGCATGGCGGCCTCAAACGGGACGGAGCATTACGATTGGCTCATGAGGAGAGCAAGAGATGTGGCTGTTGCGAGGCAGCTGACCAGCTGGGACGATGCTCTTGTCCACATCCGAGGCCTCCTATGGTTGGAAACACGTCACGGCGACGATGCCTTTCGAACTCACTGGGATGCAATGTCTGGTGTCCCAAGGCAGCCACGCTTCAGATACAGTCTATCGCCTGTGGCATAGCTAAACATACAATCTTGGTTCTGGTGCTATCTGCAAGCAGTGAGCTTGAACACATGTAACCACCAGACCGACTCGTATGCGTGTCGCTGGCGTTCGTCTGTCGCAATCCGGTACTGGTCCAAGTAGCTTCCGTTGGGGTCGGCCGTACTACACGATCTTCTCATGGACCAACATGTCCAGGTCAACTGCGTAACATTACATTCTACTGCGGTTCCCATCACAATGCCAGATGGTGGGCTTTAGAGAGAAAAAATACCAAGCTATTATAATTAGGTCATTCAGCGCCAAAAACGGTCGTCTATGGCGGCTGGTTTCCAATGTAGTCCAGCATGTTGTTCATGCTGGTACCACTCATGCAATCGTTCCGCAGTCTTGGCACCCCGTAGTTTTGAGCCGCTTCACCAGAAGTAGACTATCACGCCACAATTTTAAGGCCCTGTCCGGGAAAATCTCTAGTAAGCTTCATGGAGACTGAGAAGACACAACGGCCGAGACCGGTGGGATGAGCCCGCACTGATCTGATACTGTATTGTTCTATTGTTGCGTGGGACGGACAAGATCAGGCGGAAGGTTGATCCCCCCCTGCTGCCCTTTTATCTAGGAAATAAGTGGTATTGAGTAACCGGCAGGATGCTAAACATGGCAAGTATTGAGGCTCAACCTTGCCGGTGGAAAAGGTCCGCGGGTGCCTGCTAAGCGAGCCTGCTCGAATACCACCAAGTCTAACAAAGACACCTAGAGCATGATACCCAAAGCCAATGTCGGAGAAAGATGAGGGAGTATCTGTGGATCATTGTTCGGTTGACCCGGCCGGCGAGTGAATTGGAAATATGACGCTGGTTTTTTTAGGTAGACCGGTCAAGGGTAATGAGGCTATCCAATAACATTAAAGGAATAAGTTCTCTCATAAATGTCATTAACAAAACGGTCAATATGCAGTCCTTTGCGTCGGTACCTGAAAGCTGACAGCGGCGCAGCCAATTCTTAACACGTACGTCTTTCCTCAGACACCGTCATTTTCATGGTTCTCTCATAACTCCCTCATCGAAAGTCACAAACCCATGGGCCCCTGCCGCTTACCCTATCCTTCCGCACGCTTTCTTTGGAGGGGAGCAAGACTCCGAGACAGGGGGCCACGGGGAGGAGGCCAAGGAGAAAGGTGGCTTGACTGCGGGAAATGAGAGAGAATGACGGGTGTGCCACAAAAAGGGGCGGAACACATCTTCCCCCTTGCCAGACTGACAAAAGGCGGGACAGGTTCGCCTTCCTTCCCGCGTGAACAATCCAATCAGCGCCTCCCCTCGCGATGTTTTCTAGGTAGTTTGGGTATTTGGATGTTACGCCTTCTTCTCGCTTCCGTAGTTTGGTGCATCGTGTGGCTGGAACGCGCCGTGTGGGTGGTCGCGTGGGTGTGGCTGGTGACGTCACGATGAAGACGTCACGGGCGACTTTTTTTGGACGAGACGGTCCGGCGTCAGCTCCTCGCCTTCCTGCCGCTTGGATTCGAATGGGCTTAGGCAGGTCTCGGGCGCATCGCGTCACCTGGACGTTTGCTGGCCCCCGTGCCACCATAAAGGAAACGGCCCGGCCAGGTCGTGTCTCGATCTCGAACTGTTGCGAAGCTCTGAAAAGCATCCCATTTACTGCCGCATCACGTCACTCCAACTCCAAGCTACCATCACTCACCCACATTGCACTGCCAGTCTAACAACCAATACCACAACACAACAACCACAGAAATGGCCATCACCAACGCTTTCCAGGACCTCTTTAGCAGCTTCTACGAGCTCCTCTCGTCCATCTTCAACGCCTTCTACCACGTCCTCCAGACCTTCTTCAACACCATCATCGGCTTCTTCACCGGCGTTGTCAATCTCATCTCGGATGTCTTCTCGGGCGCCATCGACGTAGTCGGCGGACTGGGCAAGTTTGTCCTGAGTGAGTTCACCCCCAACGTCTCTCTAAAAGCTAGGAGAGTATACGTGCTAACAACCCCCAACAGGCAACTTCGTCATCATCGGTGTCATTGCCGCCGGCGGCTACGCGTACGTCCGCTACACGTCGCAGGGCAGACAGGTCACCGCTGGCAAGAAAACTGCTTAAAGGATTCCAGCAACGGAATGTCACATGGGCTTGTCAGGACAGACATTGTATCATGGCTGGTGGGTGGATGATAAGCTTCCGGCAGCGCTTAGCGATGCGCATCGGATGAACGCGCAGGGGACGGACTGACGTCGCGACACTGCGTCTTTACTGGGATGATACCACACTGTAGCTAGTTTTCGTTTTTCTCTCGAGTCGCAATACCACTTTTGAGTTGTTCATCTCCTGCGATGCTTCCATGACTACGTGATGTTTCTATCTTCCGGAGCCAGCTCCGCCGTGTTCTCATGGGCCCGTCCGGCGCGGTAGCATCCCACAGCGGGCCCCAACCCGCGATCCGCTTTCACAGATGGCAAGATGGCCGAGCGGTCTAAGGCGCCAGCTTCAGGTGAGAGTCTGTCCTGCTGGTGTGGAAACACGCGCGAGTTCGAATCTCGTTCTTGTCATTACCCTTTTGTCGGGGAGCGGTGTTGTCTTGGAAGGGCGTTGCTGCGGTGCTTGCATCACACAGACGTGCATCCTCAATCAAGCATGGCAGTAGGAGACACGCGCGGGGTATGGCAAACCGCTCGGTGATCCGGGTCGGTATCCTATACTGTTTGTATTCCTGACCCTTTTTTTGGCTTTACTTTTACCTCCTAGCTTGTAAGCGAATGTAAAAAAAAGACTCATACGTGAAATAGGATACACCGGTGTGTGATGAATAAATAAAGATAGCCCCATACTACTTGCGTACGGTTCTGCGAATCTGCAACGATGCAGCAAACCGAATTTCGGCGCCAACCGAACATAAGTAGCAGCCGGCACTCGATTCCCGGCTGTATCCGTCTCCAGCGGCAGTCTCGGCCTCCGAAGCGACTCTGAAAGTTTCCGCCCAGAAAGTCTGTGAGATCGAAATGCCCATTAGTGAAATAGCGCAGTAATTAACTCTATCCTCTCCGTTCGTCTTGTAAGCTTCAAGCTACCTTACTTGCAATGCACCCGAGATTCTGTTCCCCGCAGCCTAACCGTCGTTCTCGCAATCGCATCACCTCTACGGCGGGCAAACCCGGTGGAGTGAACCAAGGGCCAACCTGGCATCACCGCTCCACTTCTGTCGCATAGCGCTTGATGAATGGCGAACCTGTTGAATCCTCCAGCAACATCTGATATGGTGTAGTGGCCAACATGATGCCCTCTCATCTCGATGAGTGGTTAGGCATAGCCCCGAGTTCGATTCTCGGTTTCGGAAACTTTTGTAGTTCATGGTACTATCTTCCCGCCAAGTCTATGAACCATTGTTCTTAATCTGTTTGGTTTTCTTTTTTGCTGTGTGCGAAGAACCGTCCGTCCGGCCATCATTTACAACGGAAGTAGTCAGGAAAGGTTGTCTAGGCGGCAGAATCCAACTTCATATAAGAAGGCATGCATTAGTGTAGCGTTAGGTTTGGCCACCAAGGCTCAAACTTAACGCCCGTTGGTGCATTCAACGCCACGAGCCGATGCCAGAGAGAAGAAAGGGACAGAAAGCTTGTTTCCATTGCAGAACAGGGGCTAGATTCGCACAGGCACAGGCAGACCGTTCAACCACAGCATGCGTAAACACGCCCGTTCCGCCGTTCTCGGGGCCATGTAAATACGCGCGCAGCGGTTCGGCCTATTGCGTCCTCCGAGGGCTGTCGGGCGAGTGTCGCGTTCGCTGCCACATCCGTTTCCAGTAGTAATAAATACCCGCTGAACATGAGACGACGGCACGAAGAAGCCAACAATATCCAGCGCCATGCATGTTAGCACAAAAAGGGTGGGGCCTGCCTCCTTGTTTCTGGCACGGGATCGACGTACTACCGACTACAATTATCGTAGTCCACCGCTAAGCAGCTGGTTCCGCTACCTGTCCAGGGCGTACGAAGCGTCCACTTTGGAAATTTGCTTGTCCGATTCTATCGCTTGTTCTGTGCCGGGTTGGGCTTCACCTCCCAGTATTAGGTAGATCAACCGGGAGTCGCTGTTTTATATTTACACGGGTCCTCACTAGGTCTAGTGATCCTTGAGGATTTCACGTACTTTCGGAGACAGGTCGGCGGACTTCCACCCACATCCCGTCTAGCTCTTCTCCGCCTGTCAAAATTTGATAGACACCACGCAGAAGAGCCCTGACAAGTTGACAGGCAAGCAATGAATGACAAACCCCGGCCAGGTCCGAGCTCATCATCCCGCAATGTGGACGGGTAAGAAGAGTTGTCCAGTCGTAAGTGCCGTGGGCGGACCGGTCCGATGAAGAAGGAAGCACTGCGGAATCCTCAAGGGGTCATTGGTCGACTGGCCAGGCTTGCACGTACACTAAGCAGACGAAAACTTACTGGAGACACTAGGCCGACGTAGGGAGGGGTAGTCGGCGCTTCGAACCACCTCCTTCATCACGAGCTGCCCGGGAACTTCCTGCATGGTGTTACTCATTCGCCAATGCCTACGATGTAAGTTCTCCCACCCATGCTAGCTTCGTCCAATCCTGGACCGATCATCTCTGCAGTCATCTTATCAGATCATCTAATCTGATCCTGCAGACCCCACCGTTCGACCAAGGACCGCAGACCGGCTTACACCCCCTTGCTAGCAAGACTCCCACTGCTGGGAGGATGATCACATCTCAAGGGCCTATCGCTGCTGAAAAGGCTACACACCTACCCAGTCAGAGGAAGAAAAAGAGAGGCATTTTCTATCCTCTGCGTGTTTACATAGAATGGGACATTACGTAGAGGTTCGGGGCAATAGGTCGTAAACCGATCAGACCCTAAGACCCCGCCATCTGTTCACCATGTAGGGGTTTTTCTCTGTATTTTGCCTGTGCGGACAGAGAAACTCCGTTTTCCTCTCGTCTCATTTTTCTTGCCGTCTTTTTGAAGGACTGAGGAACAAGCCTGCGAACTGCTCACAATGTTTGGCGTGTCAAATTGGCTCATCGCGGCCACCGTGGCCATTGCCACGGTCGTCTACTGGCTCTTCAAGGCAATTTACATGCGGACTAGATTCAGAGGCCTGGTAAGCTGACTACAATCCCCCACGAAGCTCAATGGCGTTGCGATCTGACCCAGCATCTTTCTGGATAGCCTCAACCGCCAAAACACTCATGGATCTGGGCGCACACCACTATCTGGGAGGAGCTGGCGGCGACCCTCCCGCCTTTCACCCACCCGCAGCACATCTACACCATCATGGCGCAAAAGTACAACCTCGGCGGCATCTTCTACGTTGACATGTGGCCGTTCGTCGAGTCCCAGGTCGTCATCACCGACCCGGACGCCGCCCAGCTCGTCCTCACGACGAACCCATACCCGAAGCACCCGACCATCGAAAAGTTCCTGCGCCCCTTCACGGGAAAGGACAGCATCGCCGCCTCCAACGGCGAGCGCTGGAAGTACAACCACCGCATGGTCGGCTCCGGCTTCACGCCGACCTACGTGAAACCCATGGTCGGCATGATTGCCGAGCAGGTCCTCATCTTCCACGAGCGGCTGCGCGAGTTTGCGGGAAAGAACGAGGCCTTTAACATGGAAGAGGAGTCGGCCAAGACCATCTTTGACGTGGTTGGTAAGATCGTCTTTGGCGTCTCGCTCGAGGCGCAGAGGTCCGGGTCGCCGCTGCTGGAGGACTTGCGTGCCTCGATTAACCCCGCCACGACGTTCATTGGCACCCGCAACCCGTGGAAGAAGCGCAAAGCTCAGCAGAGTTTGCAAGCCCTCAAGGACCGTGTGAGGGACACCCTCGCTGGTGAGATGAAGGAGAGACTGCGCATTCTTCAGGATGAGAAGGAGTTGCCTTCAAGGAGGCAGGTTAAGAGTGTCCTGGACCGGATCGTCCTCGACAGAATCCAGAGCGGACAGGGCGCGACCCTTGACGATGAGTTTATCGATACCGCCGTCACGAAGTGAGTGATACCAGCAATCAGTCACCTTAGCAAGAACCCGTCACTGACCCGCAACAGCCTCAAGGCCCTCCTCCTCGGCGGCCACGGCACCACCACGGACACCTTCACCTGGGTAACCATGTTCCTCTCCCTGTACCCCGACATCGTCGCCCGCCTGCGCACGGAGCACGACGAGCACTTCTCTCCGGACCTCGACACCACGGTCGAGATGCTCGTCGCGAACCCAACCAAGACCAACAACCTGGACTTCACCAACGCCGTCATCAAAGAAACACTGCGCTTCTTCCCCATCGGCTTCACTATCCGCCAGGCGCCCGAGGGCGTCACCCACCTCGACTGGAACGGCCGCCGCTGGCCCGTCAAGAACCTCATGGTCATTCCCTGCGCGCACTCGACGCACATGGACCCGAAGGTCTGGGGCGAGGACTCCAAGAGCTTCCGACCCGACAGGTTCCTGGGCGAGGGGGCCAAGAAGATGCACCGCTTCGCGTGGCGGCCTTTCGAGCGTGGCCCTAGAGCGTGTATCGCACAGGATTTGGCAATGGATGAGCTGCGCATCATGCTGCTTTTGACAGTGCGGTGGTTCGACTTTGAGACGATTGTGAATGGTACGACACAGAGGGTTGGTTACATGGATCTGGACCAGAAGGTTGGCGACCTGGCTTTCCAGATGGTTGGTATGGAGGCCAGACCGAGATATGATATGAAGATGAAGGTGCACTTGAGGGAAGAGTAGGCATTAACTGATTGATTGAACAATGATTCTGCTTCAGATGTCTATACTCGCATCTGTCGACCTATCGCTAATTTATGACGATTTACGACTAGCCTAAAAGGCAGTTCTATCATCTACCAACAATTGTTCAGTCAACACCTTTGCAGCCTGACTTCTCTCGCTTCTCTTGACTTTTCAAGCTGATATTTGAAAAGGTGAAAGATGCACATTAAGTAGACTCTTAACAGACCTACTAGTAATTGAGGTATATGAAGTTCAGATACAAATTCTAGGACAAAAGGCCAAAAGTTAAATATTTTGATTCATGTGGATATCTAAACAACAGTCCCTAGTCGGTTCGAATGTCGTTTCCAGGTTCAAACTTTTAGGACTCCATAGTTTTCTATTTAACGATAGCCTCACTTGCTCCCTGTGACTCCTGTTGCCGCAGTATTTGCCACCGACTAAGAGCTGATGAAGAAGCCTTTGTACGAGGATGGTCAAAACCAAGAACTTCTTGGCTCAGATTTACGCATTCCTGCATTAAACCGATAGCATCCTCCCATCTGTCTTTGGACTTTCGGATGTAAGCCAAATTGTACATACTGTTTAGCGTGTCAGGATGCTCCTCTCCAAGCACCCTCTTTCTTGCCTCCAACGTCTGCACCTCTAATTCCTCAGCTTCCTCTATGCGGCTTTGGTCCCAAAACGTTGACGCTAAGTTGTTCATACTGCTAAGCGTGTCAGGATGCTCCTCTCCAAGCACCCTCTTTCTTGCCTCCATTACCTGCACCTTTAGTCCCTCAGCCTCCTCTTGGCGGTCTTGTTCGCTGTACGTTGACGCTAAGTTGTGTATACTGTTAAGGGTGTCAGGATGCTCCTCTCCAAGCACCCTCTTTCGTACCTCCATTACCTGCACCTGTAGCTTCTCAGCCTCGTCCAATCGGCCTTGCTTCTGAAACGTTACTGCTAGGTTGCTTTTGATATCAAGCGTGTCAGGATGATTCTCTCCAAGCACCCTTTTTCTTGTCTCCATCACCTGGACCTCTAGTCCCTCAGCCTCTTTCAAGCGGCCTTGCTCCGTGTACGTCGAAGCTAAGTTGATCATGCTTTTAAGCGTATCAGGATGCTCCTCTCCAAACATCCTCTTTCTTGTTTCCATCACCTGCTCCTCCAGCTCTTCGGCCTCCTTCCAGCGGCCTTGCTTCTGAAACGTTACTGCTAGGTTGCTTTTGATATCAAGCGTGTCACGGTGATTCTCTCCAAGCACCCTCTTTCTTGTCTCCATCACCTGGACCTCTAGTCCCTCAGCCTCTTTCCAGCGGCCTTGCTCCGTGTACGTCGAAGCTAAGTTGTTCATAGTGTTAAGCGTGTCAGGATGCTCCTCTCCAAGCACCCTCTTTCCTGCCTCCATTACCTGCACCTGTAGCTTCTCAGCCTCTTTCCAGTAGCCTTGCTCCGTGTACGTCGAAGCTAAGTTGATCATGCTTTTAAGCGTGTCAGGGTGCTCCTCTCCAAGCATCCTCTTTCTTGTTTCCATCACCTGAACCTCTAGCTCTTCGGCCTCCTTCCAGCGGCCTTCATCATAGTATATTATACCCAGCTTCTCCCCTGCAAAAGTCTCAAAGCTCTCTGTGTCTTGGCCCTCGACAGTGGATACCTTGTCGATGTCTTGTAGATGCACGATCAAGTGTCGACGAAACTCGATTTTTTCTTCGCGAATGAGTTGATCGCACGCCGCCACAATAAGTGCTTTGTACCACCAAAGCCATGGTCTGTCATTGTGATTTTGCTTTGCCCTCCACCGTACCAGGCTATGCATCGTCACGCCAGCCCATGGCACTTTCTCTGTCCTCTCCACCTTCTGCAGTAGGTGGTAACGCACCAAGACTTCGTGGCTCTGTCGGTATTGGAAACTATCCCACCCGTCATTTGTGAGCGAAAGAAATTGCTCAAGATCATGCAATACCACCTGATCTGTCTCGCTCAACTCAGCTTTGACCTTTGCCATGCCTAGACTTGCAAGGCGAAAAATCTCCTCCTGCACAACTTTGCCTTGAAAATGTGCAAGGAGCGTTAGCAGCAAGTCAGGGCTCCCAGTCGTATTATCCTTTCTGATCTTCTCTAATGTGGCGTTCCACACTGTCCACACAGTCCTTTTCGTCGGTCGCAGTCCCTGGAATTTATCCATTTTGAGAAGCTCACTGTGATGCCTGTCATAATCAGCAAGATATTGTGACAGGGCAACCTGGGGCGTAGCGTTGATGCCGATGTAGGCACCAGCAAGATCAATGGCCAGCGGAAGACGTCCAAGTTTTGCCACTAACTCGTTGCAGCAGCGTTGAACCTCTTCAGAAGCTGAATCCGCGTCTAGACTCAGATGCTTGAGGAGAAGCCTCGTTCCTTCCGTCGGTGACATATTACCAACGCGAATCTCGCCACAGTCCTTGTTAAGCAGCTGTGTACATAGATCGTATTGGCTGGTTATGATGATGCATCCGCGTTTACCCTTCGGTATAACTCCCTTGACGCCCCAGCTGATATCATCGGCATTGTCGACTATTACAAGCCATTCATCGTCCGCCTCCGTTCTATTGTGAAGCCATCGGTTTACTGCTTGGACGGCTGAATCTTCGAATAATGATCCTTGGTTCTCAGCACGCTCGTCCAATAATTGGAGCTCTGTAGCGCATCTCTTGAAACTGGATCGCATTGACTCCTGGTCCGTCGCATCGAGCCAGAGGATGGGGTTGTATCGATCTCGTTGTCGCTGAGCGTAATCCAGCGCTATCTGGGATTTACCACTGCCGCCCAAGCCGTGAAGAACAGCTGCATGCGGGACGCCTGCTTTCTCACGTCGTAATTCCAGTTTGTCTTCAAGTTCCTTGGACACCTTGACTCGCTCGGTGTAAGTGTCTACCTTCTCGAGAGGAACGGAGTAGTGGTGCTTTGCCTGCTTGGCTAGGTCCTTGGTTACTTCGAGAAGCTTCGATTTGATGGTCTCATAGGCGGCGCTTCTGGATCCGAATTTGTTCAAACCGTAATGGTCCACAGGCAGACCGATGTTTCGAACGTCTTCCGCCTCATACGTGGCGGACTGCTTACGAACGCACTGGTTTTGCTGTCAGCGCATTCCATCAGGCATGACGGTCTACTTACGAATTGTTTCCATTGAACGAACCACACTTGAAGTATTAGCGTTGGCCGCTTTTCAAAAAAGTTGAAAATTCGCAAATCCTTTCGAGTAGTAGTCTTGACGAAGTTCTTATGCAAGTCGTACAACGGAAACGCATCATACCCCAAGTCCGCTAGGATTGATGGATTTGAACCAAGGGGCCGCAGAGCTTGAGCAAACATCCAACCCCACTTGCCGAAGCTGGTTCCACGATGTGGCGAGCCCAGGAAGAGAACCGCCTTTGTAGATCCCACTATAAATTCAAACCTTTGGTCGAGCTGGGCTTGAACAAGTGCCTGCCCAAGTTAGGCTTGTCGGTGTACACGACTGCCTGTAGCGTGCCAACATACCTGCTTGACTACGAGACCTCCGTGACTGTGTGCTACGAAAATCAGATGTCTACTCTGTTCCTGGAACCGCAGATATCAGCACTTATTTACCAGGGCTTATGCCGCTATGGATACTCACCGACTCAGACTTGTAAAGTGTACTGTAAAGCGCCTCTAGGAATTCATTACCAAGGCTCTCAAGCCGAAACTCTATTGCGTCTCTCTTCCAGTACGTGTCGTAGTTGTAGAAGAAGATGCGAATGTTTCGCTGGGTCGTCTGAAGATCATTGGGGAGGAAGTCGCGGACCCAGTTCACGAACTTTTCGTTATTAATCAGCGCTTCTTCACGAGGGCTGGCTTTGGCTTGCCACGTTGTGTCGGGGTTTGATCCCAGGCCATGGATGAAGACAATGCTGCCTTAGTTAGTGACTCTGGTTGTGAACGACAGGTTTGACTGCGCCTACTCAACCCCGTCAACTCGCGTTGGTAAGTCAGCATCGCCTACTGGCATAATCCCGAAAGGTGACTTTGGGCCTTGTTCATCGTTCTTTCGGGTCGGAATTCTCTTCGTAAATTGGTCGTAGAGGAAGGCGACCGACAGCAAAACGATCAGAACGTAGAGCGATGCGGAGTGGTCCATGGTCGCCAGAGCAATTCATCAACTCGCTTGATAGGGATAATCGGTGTTCCTTCAGTATGGTCGAAAGGGAGGATATAGAATGTGCGCACAGAACAACGACTGGACGGCGATCGTATGTGATTGTTGTTGTGTTTTGGTTGTCGCATCCTTTGGCCAGCCTGCTGGAGGCTGACCTTTTTGGTGCCTGGGACTGAATGCTGTCAGACCCCTCTTCTTGGCCAGCCTGATGCCCAATCGGGTACCGATTACTTGTGTTCGATATCTTGATCGTCCTGTCTATGTACACCGCCGCTTCTGCTGTTCTGGAGAAGACGGAGACTATCAACTTCTACGGCATCCAATTTCGATTCTGTTCTTGGAGAAATGGGCGATGTTCCGTTCGCTGCAATGGTCGAGCTTATGCATCAGGTTGCTCCGCACCAGGTTGCTCCCGAGAGACTAGCCGACTTCCTTGACGCCGAGCTGTCATGCCCTGTGCTTGAGGATTTGTATCCGAATCTTGAACTGTTTGCCCGTAAGTCGAGCAAACACATCGACCCCATTCACAAACATCTCCAGAAGGGCCGCAAGATTATCCCTACTGAGGACCCTAACCTGCACTTGGTCTGGAACTAAGTCAAAGCACCCACTTTTCGGCCACCCCTGCTTTTCGGCCACCCGAAAATGCCGCCCAGCCACCCATTTTCTAGATGCCCTCCAACTTCTAACTATCACAACATTTTCTATTCTTCATCAAATCGCTTTATTTTTCTAGCATCTACTCTTTATAGTCTAATGGTCCAGTATACCGAATTTGAAGTCAATCGAGCGCTTGCCGACATTGCAGATGAGGTATCTGCTCGCGATGCCTCTAAGCGATAGGGGGTACCACGATCAACACTGCAAAGTCGATTAAAGGGCAGCCAACCTAGAGCAGCAGCATTTGAAGACCTCCAAAGGCTCTCTATTAGTCAAGAGGCTAAGCTGGCAAGCTGGGTGCAAATACAGGCTGACCTCGGGCTTGCGCCAACGCATCAGCAAGTCAGAGAATTTGCCCAGCGTATCCTGAATGCGATGGGCAATACCCAGCCTCTAGGAAAGAGATGGTTAGATGCCTTTATACGAAGAAACCCATCTATCAAGGTCCAGAGAAGTCGATCTATTGATTCTAGACGTGTTAATGGGGCATCTACTGAGATTATCAGGGACTAGTTCAGATATCTCGCAATCCCAGCAATATCAGCCATCCAACCAGCCAACAGATACAACATGGATAAGACTGGTATCCTTGAGGGCCAAGGCGCAAATAGGCTGGTGCTGGGCAAGGCAGAGACCAAGTCTATACGGAAAAAGCAGCCTGGATCGCGAGCCTGGGTATCTATTATCGAGTGTATCTCAGCTGAGGGCCTGGCACTACATCCTCTTGTGATATATAAGGGCAAGACAGTCCAGCAGCAGTGGTTTCCTCTAGATCTTGGCCCATATTATGGATAGGAGTTTACAGCAACAGAGAATGGATGGACAACTGATGAGACTGCTGTTGAGTGGCTGCTGAAGGTCTTCTTGCCGCAGACTGCCCCCTCCCAGCCTGATCAGGCCAGACTGCTGGTCCTGGATAGGCATGAGAGCCATACAACGACAGAGTTTATGTGGCAATACTATATTAATAACGTCCATCTGTTATTCTTACCGCCACATACCTCCCATGTCCTTCAGCCACTAGATCAGTCAGTCTTCAGCCCAGTCAAGGCAGCCTATCGTAATAGGCTCCAGCCTAACCTCAACCAATGGAACGATTCAACTATAGTAGGTAAAAAACACTTCCTATCTTGTTATCAGCTGGCGCGCCTAGCTGGGCTGACGAAAAAGAACATTCTAAGTGGCTGGAAATATACTGGACTATGGCCTGTTTCTACAACTAGACCTCTTTTAAGCTCTTTGCTGCTACCCAAGGCAACAGCACCATCAACACCACATAACAAGGCTACCCAGGATATCCAGGGTATCCAGGATACTCAGGGTATAGATAGATAGGCATCTGCTGTATCTGCTGTTGCGTGGTCTACGCCTAAGAAGATACAGGATCTCAACAGTCAACTAGACTTATTCAACAAGATGGATCAAAGTATCACCACACAACGCCAACTATTCAGAAAGGTCAAAAAAGGCTTCCAAGAGCAGTCCTTCCAGCTAGCTACTGCCCAGCACCAAATACAGCTTCTCCAGGCCCAAGTTAGCAATACTGCAACAAGGAAGAGGAAGACTGTCAAAATCGACCCTAATACTAAGTTCGCTAACATCAGCGATATACGGCAAGCCCAGATCGAGGCTGGCGAAGTTGAAATGGATACAGATGAATCCAGCGCATCTGATTGCCCTAGCGAAGCAGAAAGCTGTATCATAGTTGCATCTGGGCCTCGGCGATAGTTAATTGAAATAGGTGGTTGTGTTGCGATAGCCTCGTTTTTGGGTGGCCGAAAAGCAGGGGTGGCCGAAAAGTGGGTGCTTTGACTTACAACACCGTCTACATCAAACCTTTACCACACTATTTGCTCAGCCACTCGTTTTGGGATGAGAACCTCGCCATTGGAAACGAATACCGCGGCAAGGCACTCGGGTTCGTGCGTTCGTACGACCGCCTGATCCGCTACCCCTCGGACTTTGAGTTAGCCAGGGAGGCGCATCTCATCCCTTCGTCTTTCCTATTACCAATGGATGCAGCAGAAGAGCTACCGTATGTCAGATTCGTGGCATTTATCCGGTCTTTTTCTAATGCCAGTGACGACGAGGTGTCTCTTAGGTGGCGCTTTGGCCAGCTCCGCCTGTCACGACTGCACTGGGCTGTACGCATCTTTCAACCTGCGGCCGCGACGAGAAGGAAGTTCCCGAACGGACTCTTCTATGAAGAGCAGTTTTGGCAAATAAGCGATTTTCTGAAAGAATTTGGCGCCCCCCTCCTGTTCGTGTTCGCAGCACTGTCTCTGATTCTCTCGGCGATGCAGGTGGTGCTGGCAGTCAAGTCTGGCTACAATGAGGGGGGATGGCGAGTTGTCTCAGAGGTCAGCGCGTGGTTCGCGGCTATGGTCATCGTCGCGGTTGTGATCATCTTTGTTGGCATCGTATTGATCGGGCTTGGCGTCTGGCTGTGGCAATTTCAGTTTGGATACCGATCATGGAGGAGAAGTCGTGCAGCTGACGAGCAGAATGTGGGTGGCTTTAGAAACGGCTAGAAATTGGTGAATCTGTGGAAGGATCTTGACGGGTGTGGTCGAGTATCTTGTCGAACGTACATGAGAGGTCAGAGGTCTTGGAGCAAAGTCTTTAATATGACATTCAGGGCTCTGTACGGCCCGATGCGGACTAGGTTCGGATTATCACGATGTGAAGCGGGTGTTTGAATTGGACAATTAAGTGTAAACTGGGGGTTTCGAGTGCGGTAGACGATTTATGACAAACAACAACTGCTCTACGAAAGAAAAAGGCTCCCTATCAAGGTGAAACAACATGGCAACCCACGAGACTTGCCATCCTATAATGCATGGTCTTGTACAGCTCCTTGTCTTGGAGTCGCGCACACCGTAGGAATTGATGCTGGTTTCCTGTGAGGCGAGTCTTCACCGACGGTGTCCGACATCGCAGGTCCCTCAGACTTTGCGGCGAGCTCTCTCGGCTTCAAGCATTTGTATTCTACGTCTTCCTATACCCCTAAGGATTGAAGACAATCAGGAGTTGTACACCGGAATCTATTGTCACTCATTCCAGAGAGCAGGATTGATGCTCATCTGGTGGTGTAGTAAACCCAGACTTGAGCACCAGTGCGGCACGAGTGCCACTTCTTAGTTCTCCATATCCAACGAAGCACCCAGAAGTCTCACGGCACGGTACCAATAGACTATCCTAATGACGCCGGCGCTCTCCACGGTTGGACGACGACGCCGGGTCGAGCACAGTCTTTACAAGAAAGCCGTAGTATTCTAGCATCGGGAGAGGCCTTGCCGTTCTACTCTGAACAGGGTTTCTCACTAAGACGTTATAAGCCGTACCCGCTATCGCCGCTCCCACACTCCCGTTCTCCCGGCCAGCGAAAGACGAACACCGACGTGCCGAACCCCAAATCCTACGGAAGCAAGACGTCGTACCCGTCGATACCTCCCCTCCCCAGAATGCATACCCTCGCCCTTGGCTTTGACGCAGTAGCATCACGCCGCAGACGCCTCCTCACAAAGTGACAGCGGAAGCAGACCCAAACTCCCCGCGGTCGTCAATCCATGGCGTCCCCCAAGCCGGTAAAAAAGACTCCCGGTCCCGTTCCGTTCCGGTTCCCCGGCGGCATGCGGTCCTCAAAGCAAGGTCGGAATTGAGTTGGAGGACGTCACGCATACCTGGGACGGGGGACACACTTACCCCCCGCCCCTCATCCGAACGAACCCCCCGCCGCTGCAGATAAGATAGCCAAGGCCACCATATCCCTGTCTGCAACGCCGATCAGGACGGCGTTGGAGGATCGGCGCATATGCGTCGCGCTCTCCCCTAAAGCTTCGGCCGTACTTAAAAAGTGCCTTTGGTCAGATGTGTGCACACTCTTACATGGAGAGTGTGCGCACAGACAGTCGTCGGCAGACCGAAGCGGATCGCCTTTGCATCAAGGCCCTCTTCGTCCCATCACGTTCACTGTTTCAAAACATTGGGTCGCCAAGCAGCGGCGAAACCGCCCGTCTTTGGGGGATCAAGTGTTTTCTTGAATTTCTGTTCTACAGCTCATGCGCGGGGAAAATAGGTATCAAAAACAGGAAGAGAAACAAACCCCTCGAGAGGCCAGACCTGATCGTGGTTCCCAGCCTCCCAAGAACCGTGTAAAGTAGACAAAGTGTAAGACTAGAGCCCATAACTCCGTGCTTTGCATCGAATACCCGTCTTCAACAGCGTAAACTCCTATGAAACGCTTCAGCCACTGTCCGCAACCCAAACCACACCCAAACCTGGCGTCTGAACGGCCAGGAATGAACAAGGCGCTGCGGCACCCATACAGGCGCCGTACAGGCAAGCCCTCGCCGCAAGGGGCCAGGACTAGCCAGTAACTCTCCTCACCCAGAGCGTTGTCGGCTCATACTCTGCGTTGCGGTCCATCCTCTTGTATGCACGGTGCAGCTTGAGGCCGATTTCGTACTCTTCGCGCTGGACCTCGGCCAGCTCGACCTTGAGGGATTCCACCTTGCGCTTCTCGGCCTCGCGCTTACGGAGGACGGCCTCGCTCGCCAGGATGCTGTCGGTTGGCATCAGCTCCGTCATCTGCTTGATGGCTTGGTTGATGTTGATGCGACGGTTGCCCAGCGACTCCAGCCGGGCGTTGAGGTACCCAACGCGGTCGTTGACCATGGAGATCTCGGTCGGAGGCGGCGGCAAGGCTTTGCTAGTGGACCAGACCGAATCGGGGCGGCTCGAGTTGCTGAACAAGCTGGCAGAGCTGGTCCGTGGCAACGGCTGCTGCTGCTGACTGGGGAGTTGTGTTCGGGCAGGAGGCGGCGAGGTGTCTTCGGCAAAGGCGCCCGACATGTAAGGGGACGACAAGGAGATGACAAAGGGCTCGTCGGGGTTGATCGAAGGGCTCGGGGAGTTGAGGACAGGCGGACGCTTGCGGTTCATGACGCCGTCGGCCTGCTGAGGCGGAGTTGGTAGTGACGGAACCGGGGGCCGATCCGTGTCTGCAGATTCGCGCGGTGTATCCTGCGTCGAGGCGGCGTAGGTCGTGACGCTGAACCTCGAGGGAGGCTGACCCGCGGTGTCGTTATCTCTGGCGGCGGCTTCGCGTTGGGCTACTGCAGGAGCACGAGGAGGTGAGATTTCGTGACTGTCTGGTGCTTGGATGGTGAGGTCAGAGTAGACGCTCGACGAGTATGACGGCTTCGGTGCATGCAGAGGCTGCGAGTTGACGGGAGGAGGCTTTCTCCGGATGGCCTTGTCGCGGCCGAGATTTGCATTAGGGGCGAAGGGTAGGCCATGCAAGGGTGCAGGCTGTCGGGTCGCGACATTGGCGTCAGTAGTGGCTTCGGGCGTCGCATGTACGGGCGATTGGACGCCCGCGCCCGAGTTGGGAGGACTGGGATATGAGGACTGTGCGGGAGGCGGGGTTCGAGTGGCCGAGGGTGAGGACACGGAGGGCGAAGCAGTCAGCTGGCGGGGAGCGCTGATGATGGTTCTGACTGTGGGCGTCCTTGAGCGCGGTGACGTTTCAGATCTCGAGGGGCTGACAGGGGACAGTGGTGAACCGACACCTGCGATGGGCAGCCGAGGCCCAACGGCAGCGCGTCTCGTGCCCTGGGGCGGGATGTTGAGAGGTTCTGCGGGCTTGGTGTCACGGACTGGGTTGACGATGGGCGTCCGTCCGCTTGCGCCGCGCCAAGGCGGGCGCTCGTCGATGGCCTCAACAGCAGTGGCAGATTCGGCCGGCGGCTGCTGCTTCTGGTTCCCGCCGCTGGGCCTTAACCTTCGCAGCCGGTCACCAAAAGTTTGATGCGCCTGTGGTGCGTTCTGCATGGCCCTCATAGCGGCTGGCGACTTACCGAAAGGCTGATTCGCCCCGAATTCCTGGGCGTACTCTTGTGGTCTGACTTGGCCCGCACGGCCCGTGTCCTGGGACGTGGGTTCGCCCGTCATGTCATCCCACCTGGTCTCGCGCTGGATCCGCAGGCGCTGCTGGGACTTGGTCTCGCGGAGCGTGTGAGCCGCGGCCTCTTGGTTCTTGCGACGCTCCCGGCGCATCATTGGGATGTTGGTCTTTTGCTGAGGCTCCGGGGTCGGCTGCTGGCCCGGACGGCCGTGCTCAGCTCCGGCATCGAGCTGCTGCGACATGTGGGGAGAGTCGGTCATGGGCGAGACACTGCGGTGCTGCATAAGGGTCCTGAACGAGAAACACATGGTCAGCGGTTGACTGGTACTGGTCGGTTGTCCAGGACAAAAACGCCGAGGCCACGCCACGTGGAATGAGAGACAACGGGCCGGCTTTTGGTGTGCTCGTTGTTTGCTTTTGGCGGTGGTGCATGACTTACCCGTCTCTGTGAGCTTCCGGCTCAGGAGAGCTCGGGGGGGAGACTTCCGCCGCGGCGGAGGCGTAATTACCCGAGGCAGCCACGTCGGCGAAGTCTGGCGAAAGGGGGGAGACAAAGTTGTCGTTGACGGAGTAGATGGAGGAAGGAGGGCGCCAGAAGTCAGAAGTATCGCGGTGGTTGCGAGGGGGCGCGAGCCGGTCGAGGTTGCTGCGGGAGCGAGGAATGTTAGCAAAGGCTTCCTGGAGCGAGTCGAGGTCGCGAGAGACGTCGCCGTGGGCGAGGAGCATGCGCGAAGAGGAGGCTGCCGCGGCCATTGTGGGAGTGGTGAGCGGCGGCTCGAGGAAGGGGTTGATACGCGTCACTTCCGGCGTTGAGGCCTAATGGCGTACACGGCACGTCGGGCGGCAGGAAGGCGACTTGGGATGGCCGGCGCGTCGGGGGACGGTGATGGGCGATTTGCTTTTTGAGCTTGAGCTTGAGCTTGAGCTTGATCCCGTCGGTTGGCGCATCAAGATTGGCGGAGAAGGAGGGCGGGGAGCGAGAACTGGTGTTGTTTCCCGCCCAGAGCCCAGAGCCCAGAGACGAGACCCGGTGGGCAGGAACGACGGAGGTCCGGACACGGAGCTGGTTGCCGTGTTCGTTGCTCCTTGTTCCCCCCGCCGAGTCGGTGTGCGTGCGTGCGTGTTTCCTTGTTGGTATACTCCGTCATGTAGGCCGGCACGCATTGTTCGTCGCGTATCCTGTCGTTTCGGCTTGCCCTCGCCCGTCGCCTCTCGCAGGAACCTCGCATCACGCGATCAAAAAATACCACAAGGAAAGCAAACTTACTCTTTAGCAGGCGCACTCTCTTTGGGACGCGTCTTTGGGCGTTCAGTCTCGTTGTTCGGGGTCGTTGTCGTCGGGGGCGTGGTGTTATGCTGGATGCCGAGTCCGTGGCGCGGGTTGCGGAAGTTGTCGGGCCAGTAGGTCTGGCGGTGCAAGGCGCTCGTCGAGCTGTGCGTCTGGCGATGCTTCTTGTTGAAGTTGGCGATGGTGTCTCGATTCTGGGGAGGGGATGCCAGCGACGGTACTCCTAGTCCTGCTGGTCCTCTTCCGGGCACCTGGAACTGATACGGCTGGACGGGCTGGTACTGCTGCGGCGGTCCTTGCCTCTGGCCCTGGACGTGTGCTGCGGCTCCTCCTCTCAGATGCACCCGCAGATGTTGCGTGTTGCTTGTTTGTTGGTGTTGGTGTTCATGTACGGATAGCGACTGGGAGCGATGGGGCGGCGGCGCTTCGGGATGGCGGTAGGTTGACGAATGGTGTCCTTTCGCGGCAGAGGCAGAGCCGGTCACGAGCAGGCTCCTCTCGTGCAGCTGCGGCGGCGGCTTCAACTTCTTTTGAGGGCTGCCGGTAATCTTGAGGCTGTTGGTTCGACGGCCAATGGCACCACCCTGCTGCTGGGCCTGTCCACCTTCACCACCACCGCCGCCGCCGTCGGTTCCTGTTCCTTGTCCAGAACTGGTGGTGCTGCTGTTGTTCGTACCTGGCGGGGCGCCGTTGGCGTTGGCGTCACTCCCCGGACCCACCGGGCCTCCTTGTCCTAATTGCAGGTCCGTTATAGCGGTTGGCCCTGCCCCTGTCGCTGCCGTCGTCGCGCCTGCACGTCCCTCACCTCGCCCTTCGCCTACGGCGGCGTCCCACACGCTCATCTCAGTGGTTGAGAGTCTCACTCTCGGTCACGCTCACTCTTACTCTTCCTCACTCTCTCTCTTTACCACCACTCACGCAGCGTCCCTCTCACTGCTCCCGTACTGCGCAATTTCCCTCCAGGGGTCGCCCGTATCTCCACCCGTCCTCTATCCGCGATTTGTAAAATTGCAACCCTCCGCCGGCAACAAAGGTGGCTTGGGGGCGATGCGACGCGGAACGTCCTCTTCCCTTGCGAGCCGCTTGGAGAGAGGGGGGCCGAAACACTTGCCGTCTATTTGTCGTCAATGGGTTCGATGAATGGATTGCTGTCAGTGTCGCCGCCGACTACCCGGGTTTGCCGCTCCAGTCTTTCGTCTCAATGAATGACAGGCCCAGGGCAAGGGACAGAGGATGATGATTAAGTACGACTGCCGCCTCTCCAAACAAGCTCGGCGGGCAGGAAGACTGCCGGGCCTCGGACCCGGACAACGCAGGATGCGCTGCACCACGGACCTAGGACGCGCTGCTCAATGACAGCTCGCCGTCTTCTCGTCCCTTCTCCCTCTCCGACAGATGTCCTGTCGTCTGCGCTTCACACCCCTCCGGTCTGATGTTTCGGATCCGCTCCCGTGGAGGATTCCCTTGAACCTTGGGGGGAGTTGCTGGTACGCTTATCGCCTCGCTTGTTGGGTTTGCCTCGCTTGCCAACGGCCCAAACGGGTTCCGGCTCGCATGAATCTGGTGGTCGCTTGCTGCTTTGGGCGTTTTTGACGCTGTGACCGCTGCTGGGCTCGAGTGCGCCTTTCGGGGGAAGGGTAGGCCCCTGGTTCTGTCCTTTCGTCTTCGACGACGCCCGTCTTCCAGGTGGTTCTCTGAATCTGGTTAAAAGGAAGAGTTTCCTTTTCGACCTCTGGTGTCTAAGTCGCGTTCGAGTTCGGTGGTGGAGATGGCGGGGGTCCGATGGGCTTGCCAGATACCGCGGTGCCTTGGAGTTCAAAGACGACCATGCAACAGGCCGGCTCTCTACCGCTGTCGAATTAAGTAGACTGAGAAGTCGCTATCCCTGCCCGTATGATGATGCTGAATCCTCCTTCGACGGACCAAATTATGGAAGGGAGGCCGTCGCAGAGGCCAGGTGATTGTATATCCAGTTTCGAGACTGGGGTAATGGATGGTTGGGTACGAAGCACAGGCTAGCTGGCTGGGCGGACGAGGTCACGAACGGGCAACACCAAAAAGAAGAGGCTACAAATAAGAGAGAGAGACTTGCGCCTCACGAGATGTCAAAAGACAAAAACAGCCAACGCGAGAGACAAACACAAGAAGGGAATCGAGGAGAGAAACAAGACGGGGGAAAAAAAGAACGGGAAGGGATCCAAGGCTTAAGAAAAAAAAAAGAGACTCGAGCGGTCATGCCAGACCAGACTTATTATTAAACATTGACAGACAGGAATAAAAAACAACACTTGAACCTCCCCTCATCTCCACCGAGAACCACCCGGCCGCAACGCGACGATCGCCTAGGACCAGGCGACAGGATAGAGTCTCACCGGGCCTTGCCTGGCAGACGGGAGACACGCACCAGAGACATGGCAGCAAAGGCCAAAGGGCTCCGTGGGGCCCGCCCACCAGAGTCTCAGCATCAGACGACAGCAGCGTCTCGGTGACGGTCTACCCTCGCCGTGGCCTCGCGATCCCGGAATCTTGGCGCTGCAGTGGTCGAGTCTGGGGTCTGGGCCCAGGTATCTGGGAGAGAGTGCGAACCGCCCACCGCCAAAACCCCAACCCCAACCGCAGCAGCAGCAGCAGCAGCGGCGGCAGCAGAGCGTGTGCATCGCAGAGGCTCGCAGGCTGGCTCTGCAGCGGGCACAAGCCATGCCGGGCGGCGGAGGCTGGACGACCACGGACGACGAGCGCAAATCTCCCGCTCCATCGACAGATCGAGAGGCAGACGCTAGCTAGGCCGCCCCAGTGCTTCATTGGGTGCGCCTCGCCGGCGGCACGGCCTGGGAGCCCAGGGGTGGCTTGGTCTCTCTGGCCCATGTTGCGTCGTGGTCCAGTCGATGGTCCCCCGCGAGGGATGTGGCATCACAAAGGCCCTCACAACCCCTGGCGGGAGATGATTTTTGAGGTTGAATGCCAGGATCCGAGAATCAAGAACCAAGAACCAAGAACCAATGGCCAACTATCGCCGTCCCGGCCGTGTGTGTCAATGAGCTTACCATACGAGTGAGAGAGAGAAAGAAAAAAAAAAAAAAGGTTTCAATGTTTCACAAACAAACACCCCGTCAAACCCGCCAATCCCAATCCCACCTTCTCTCAACTTGGAACCCTCCCCCCCATCGCCGCACCCACCCATTAGAGTGCCGTGGCACCGTGGCCAACCTCGCCCCACCCTCTCAGAGCTTGTCTTCGTCGGGCCCAGCGCGAACACCACATCTGCATGTCAAATAAAAAAAAGAATATAAAATAAAAGGCACCGCGATTTTTCCCACGCCACGCCTTCGGGCGCTGGACGCCCCAAAATGAAGCCAGGGGACCGTTCCTGCGGTGCCCGCGTTTCACATTGACTGCCACATTTTTCTCGACGCTCCAAATTCCTCCCCTTCAACTCTCTTTTGCCGCCTGCAGAACGAACTGCGCGCGTCGTTCCGCCCCAGTCGATGCCGCCCATCCGCTCAGCGCAAGACGCACACCCGGGCTGCCTTTACTACAGAGCACCTACTGTATGTAAACGGCTGACAGCCCTCGGGCGAGTGAAACCCGGCCGACATGCAAGACGCGAAGTGAAGCACGGCGCCGCACGGCTCGCTGCCCATCACACGCTCTCTAGGTATCTGTGTGCTTCTTCTCCTAGGCTTCAAACAAAAGCCCCCCCCCTGGCTGCATCTCCCTAACTCCGCCCAACATGCCCGCCAGGCGCACTCGGTTTGGTTTCCTCCCCCCCCCCCCCACGCGCATGCGACCACCAGCCTACCTCGTTCACGCAACCGCACTCGTCTCCTTCTCGAGAGAGATCCAACGGGCGCCCCCGTCTCCTTTTGTAGTGTAGAGCATGCGGCGCAACAATCGCATGGTAGGGCATCGCCAGCAACCGCCGCGTGCCCTCCCAAGGAGAGACGGGTTACACCGTCAAGGATACCTATCCATGGCGTCAACGCTAACGCCCCGATATACTTCCCGAGTGGCGTGGCGTTCATCTCAAATCTCCATCGGGCGAGCCCTCTAAAAAAGATTGAAAAAAAATGGAAGAAAAAAATTGGAAAAATGATTCCTAACCCCGATCCGTTCGAGCGTTGCGCCCATGTCATTTCGCAACTCCACGGTCCAAACTGCCTTCTCACGGCTCGACGACCGCTCCATCTCGATGCCGCTGCTGCTCCTGCTGTCAACCCTCAGTGAAGACGAAGAAAACCAGTGCACCCCCCTTTCTCACAGAGTCACCGTCCGACCGCACACCCCCCCCCCCCCCCCCCCCCGGCACTGCATCAACGTGCTACAGACACAACCTCGCCCGACCGGGCCTTGGCCAGTGGGACCCCCAGCGTCCCTCCTGAAGCGACAGCATCCTTCAGTTGCCACATGTTCCTTACGGAGCCCCATGCTTGTCAGTCATACGACTTAAGCCTTCACCTGCCATGTATGTCCCGGAGGCCATCTGCATCTGTACCGTGAATCCAGCGCGTTCCAAACCCTCCCGAATACCTCCCCGAGTGCGAAGGGGGGGGGGGGGGGGGGGGGGGGGGCTGGGTTGGCATCAACAGCTGGCAGCCCGGAAGCGCATGCAAGTCCATGCCGGCCTGCACCATTGCCGATCACACACACACACACATTCATGGGTTCCAAGCCGCTGTGGAGCAAAAAAGAAATAAACCAGTCAAGCCACCATGTGTATCGCATTGCTTTCCTTCGTCTGTTTGTCTATTCGCAATAATCCTCAAAAGAATACCACTGCCTGTGCCCAAACCTCCTGTCCCCGGCACTGTAAGATCCTCACCCGCAGGCACAGCCCCTGACCCGCGATCCCCCGAGTGATGCAGCAAAGCTAAAGTAAGGTAGGGAGGGTTCGCGCAAAGCATCCTCGCCTTGCCAAATATCAATGTGTCCGAGATGATACAGATCGAAATCCTGTCCGGTGCCCGCTAAGGCATCAACGCCTACCAAGCCCTTTGAAACGATAAAATCTGGAAGAAAAGTTGAAAAAGTTGAAAAGAAAGTAAGCAATGTGGGTATCTGGCGGTTGCGATCTGGAAAAGTGACAGATCTCGCAACGATGTAAAAAAGGACTCCTTGCGGTAGTCGTGGGCGTCTGCCATGCTGGATGCAGTCTTCCCAGCAAAAACAATGATGAAAGCGACCCGTCCACCCGATGAAGAAATACAGTCAGCGGCGGCTTCTTCAGTCCTCGCCTTCGGTGCTCGAGTCGTCCGAAGAACTGTCCTCTTCATTGTCGTCAGCCGAAGCACCGGACGCGCCAGAAGCCCCGCGTATCTTCTGCAGCAGCCTCTCGGCCGTCATGGTTCCGCCGGACGTCACCCGAGAGGCGGTGGTGTCACCCGGCGTGCCGTTGGGCGAGGCGGACTTCGTTTGTTTGGACGGACTCGGCAAGTGGACCTCAACACGGTAGCTCCCGTGCTGGTAGGATGACGATGGCCGACTCGATTCTCCTTGTGACGTCTTCGGCGCCTGCGACGTGCTCAGAGTCGGGTCCTCCGTTGCGACTGTTGCGGTTGATCCGTTGAGCCCGTTTCCCATCTCCGTCACGGCGACAGTCTTGATGGGCGTGGCTTGCCGAGCGGCCAGTGTCGTCGTCGCATCACCGTCGCCGTTGATACGAGCCCGCTTGTCTGCATGGACGTCCCTGGTCGGCGTCGCGATCGCGCGAGGCACGTGGTCGGGAATACCCATTCTCGCGCGCTCGAGCTCCATTTCCTCACGGCCACGTCGCTGGCGCAGCTTGATTCCGTACTTTTTGCGGATCGTGCTCTGTTTGCATGCGTACGAGTTCCTCAGACTCGTGAGCTTCTTCTGAACCTCGTCTGGGTCGCCGCCCGATTTCTGGGTGTCGTTAATCTTCATCTTGAAGGACTCCTCGGCCAGCCGTAGCTCCCCCTTCAATGCCTCGATCTGATGCGCCGTTAGGTGGCTCATGTCTTTGGCTTGAGGCGTGCCGAGGGGCACGTTTGGCGACATGCCGGGCTGAGCACTGGGCCGCGCTGTGCGCGGTGTCTGCGTGGCAGCAGGAGGAGCCGGCGGGTATTGCGGCGCCGGGCTGTTGCTGCCGGAGGAGACGTAAGTCGCGGCATTGTCCGGTGCTCGTCGCTTGGTGTGAGGGTTGAGGCCGGCAGGCGGCTTGGTGGGCAGGATCTGCTCCCTTTTGATGTCGCCAAAGTCACCGCATATCTTGTTCAGCATATGATACTGCAGGGCGCCGAGGATACTGAGCCTCTGGGCACAGAAGGGGCAGACGTATGTCTCTCCGCCAGGGCCTTCGGGCGGCAGTGGTCTGGTGCAAAGCCAGTTTGTAAGGTGCTGCGAAGCGTCAGTTTACTGCTCTCGTTTCACGACTACAAAACTTACATGTTTATGAGCGGACGGTCCTGGGGAGACATGCCCACAGGTCGGGCACGTCAGGTCAGATACATTTGCTGAGTTCCATGTTTGAGAGGGCAATTGTGTCGTTTGGGTTGGCGTTGAAGTCAGGGGCTGCGCAGGGTCGTACTGCTGAACCGTGGTCAGAGGAGTGCTGCTCGGCAGAGACGGGATGACATTTTCGTTCTCGACAATGTCGGCGGCATCGTAGCCTAGCCTCTCCGCCCGCGCGAGTGCGTTGACCAGGCGGCGGGCCTCAATGGTGGGTAGACGAGCTACGAGGGCCTTGTCGAGGAAGGTATTGCTGGCCTTGGCGATGATCTTGTCGGCGACCTCGTCGATGTCAGCTTGACTCATCCAGCCGATTAGGTCGTGCTTTCCCGCGGAGACAATCCTGGAGCCAAAGTCCCGGATGGCTCTTTGAAGGATCCCATCGTCTGCGCGATGCATGGTAACGTTCATCTGGGCAGGAGTCAGTGATGTTCCCTTTGCTATGGGAAGTAGGTGGGAACCCAAGCCCCGCGATCGAGGTAATGGGCCACCAAAAGTGGCATACGTACAAGAAAAGCCGTGTGGTAGTGGGATCCCAAGAGGCATCTCTCGTGGTTGTCCCGGATGGCACGTCTAACGGCATCCGGATCGCATTCTGCCATGGCGGCGCTGAGCCTCGCATAATCCTCTGCAAAGCGCCGTGCTTTCTGTTCCTCATCGTTCGCGGAAGACGTTATGTTTGCTGCTTGAGGCAGGTCAGAAGCGACGGCATGAGTAAAAGTCGTGTTGCCCCCGGAAGCCGGGTTTCGAGGATCAGGCACCGGCACCGGCGTTTGCTTCGGCGCGGAGGGCACCCGCTGCGCTGGGTAGAGGAAGTTGGATGGCGAGCGCGAACCAGTACCAACACGCCCGGTCCCGTTGCCATTCGGCTGGGTTAACGACAGCGCTGGTGAAGCCATCACGGACGAAGGCTCTCAGACTCAGCGGCACTGTCGCTGATTGATGTAAGTGCAGTTGGGGATGCGCAACTCTGGTGGTTTGGCTACCACGTGACTGCTGATGAACAATCTGAGATGGAAGGTCCGCCGCCGACCTGGAGCAGACAATGCAAGCTACACAAGCGTTAAATTCGGGATGCAAAAGTTCGTAGGAAGCTATCAGCTTACTCTCCACGACTTGACGCGTCCACGAGGGCTTTGACACGTCTTTTCGTGACGTTTTTGGTATCGCGACTTTGTCCGTGGTCACCGTTGGTCTGCGATTCAGCCTGAAAACACTTGGGACAGGGGGGTCGTGCAATTTGCAATGGGGTACTAAAGAAATAGAAGGGAAAAGGTAGGGGGTGGGGCTCATTCACGATTAGTAAAGTAGCTTAACCTAGCGCCTCTACTCAGGCAGGAGGCGGCGCTATAAGTAATTGCCAGAGCAGGTGCTATATTGCTATAGAACCTTCGGCGAGAGCGACCCACATTTGGACCCTGGATCCCTGTTGATTGGTCTTTCCTCTACATTTATGACGAAGGGGTGGGGCGGTGTTCCGCATCCTTGACTGTCGCAGAAGTGTAAATGCGAAAATTGAAGCCTGCTGGCCAGAACATTGGTCTTGTCGCTCGATTCAAAACCATATATTTACAACTACAACTTTTTCATGGAGCAGCATGCTTTGTAGTCCCAAATAAAGTACCCAAATTAAGTCCATTTACTGCTCACCAGCTGTGTCAATGTTGCGGGACGGGGAAATGGCCCGGCAACTCAGGACAGCGCCGTGTGGCCCGTGCCCGATACGCTACGGACCCACCTTCATGGCAATGCACCCTCACGTATCCCCACGCGCCGCGAGAGCAAAACATCATGAGTGAGCGCCAAGCCCAGAACGAGGCTCTGGATTTCATTACAAAAATAGCTGTTTATAATCATGTTGGCTCTTGACTCTTGTCAGTAAACCATTTCATCATAGGTTCATGGCCACCTAGCCAAGCCCGTCCACCCATTGGCCCCGAGGCATCATCATGAGAAGTCCGTCCCAACCCGGGGTATCATTACAGTCCTAACTTCGCGCCCGTCGTTTAAATGTTCTCGCCAATACACGCCAGCATCAACCTCTGGTAGTCGCCGCCCGTTTCCCCCTTGATTCTGCCCGCTAGACTGCGGTTGTACTTGGTCTGGTATGCGCCCTTGACGTTGGCCAGGAAGTTTCGGTCCCAGTGGAACCGTACAACGCGCGCGACGAGGAGGTGGTCCTTTGTGCCGAGGCCGGCCATGGAGTCTTCGAGGAGCTGAGCAGCATGCATGTACTTGTCGACGGCGTTGCGGAGCTGGAAAAGGAGGGCGTCTTCCATGTGACCAGAAAATTCCTTCCACGCGATGTTAGTATTCTTCGATGTTGTACGTGGCGGACTCAACTCACTTTCTTGATGACATCCTCGAGTTTCCTGCGGAACTTTTGCTCGTAAGCCTGGTTGATGGCACGAATCTGGTTGTCGTTGCGGGTGCTGAGGATGCTGCAGACGAGCATCTCGTCCGTGCCGACCTTGCCCTCGGTGGCCTTGTACAGCTCCATCACGTCCGAGTCGACCTGCTGGGGCACAACCGGCGCGGAATCCTCTGCCCTGTTTGCGCCAAGGACAATGAGGAAATGCCTCTCCGTCTTCATGCTGAGGTCGCCCTTAACGTCGTCCTCCAGGCGTCTCTTGAAGGTCTGCTGGTATGCGCTCTTGATGGCCTGCATGTCGGCGTTGGACCGTCCGAGCAGGACATCGTTGAGAACGCTCTCCTTGGTGCCCATGCCGTCCATCGCCTCGTACAGGTTGTAGATATCCGATCTAAGAGGGCCGCGTGCGACGGACACCAAGCCCTTCTGGAACCAGCTGCTCGTCTCCTTTTTGATATCCTGCTCAAGATCGCGCTTGAAGTTGCGATGGTAGGCGGCTCTGATCGCATCGATCTGCAGGGGGTCCTTGGTTGCCAAGCAGCGAATCAGTGCCTTCTCGTCCGTGCCGAACCCCTTCATCGCAGCCCGCGCCGCCGCCGCGTCCGGGGAGCCATCCCACTGGATAATCTGAGGCGGGCCATAGCCCAGGGACGCGGGCGTCGGAGGTCCGTAGTGCTGCGGCGGCGGAGCGCCATACTGCTGGCTCGGCGGTGGGCCGGGAGGCGGTGCGCCGTAGCCTCCGGGTGCAGGCGAGTGTCCGTAAGGCGAAGGAGGGATCGGGGGAGGCGCGCCGTACTGTCCGCCCTGGGGAGGGTACTGGCCCGGGGGGGTCCGGCGGGAGGAGGGTAGTGTCCTCCCTGGGGAGGGTATTGACCGGGCGGAGGCTGCTGGTAGTAACCCCCCTGCGGCGGCGGAGGCGCTCCGTACTGGCCGGGGGGGGGCCGGCCGGCGGAGGATACTGGCCCTGCTGGGGAGGATAAGGCGATCCGCCGTAGCCACCCTGGGGAGGCGGAGGGTACTGCTGGCCGTAGCCTTGGCCATGCGGCTCTGGAAGGGGTCAGTCGGATTGTCGGAAGAACACCTAGGGACGGAGAAGAGCAGTGGAATGCGACTTACGGGCGCCGTAGCCGTACTGGCCGGGATACGACATTGGTGTGTTGAATGCGATGCGCAGAGTTCAATCGGTTGTATGACGCTGGGAGAATCGGGGGGGCCTTGCGTCAGAGGAGGGCGGGGTATTGGTGTTGGCGTATGTACGTAAGGTACTATGTAGGTTGAAATTGGCTGCGGGGCTGCTCGAAGGTGATGGAGATGCAGAAAAACGGAAAGTCGGATGATGGAATCTTGGGAGGGTGGACTGGGCAGGTTAGCTTATTTAACAAGCTTGAAAGCAATGGTCAGTCATACCGTCGTGGCAGTGAGGCAAGATTGCGCGTTCTGGGGAAGTGATCCTTTCCGTCTCGTCAGGTGCTCCTGCGTCAAACCCGAACGGCCGAATCGGTCCTGCACGCAGTGAAAGCCAAAATCATTGGGCTGATGATGGCCGCCCAGAGATTACTAGCAGCGGATGGTGGCTTAGTTGGAGCACGCGCCAAACGTCATGGCGAGGACGCTGCGCAGAAGCTCTGGGCGTCCTTGGGCAGTGCGACCAAGGTCCACAGAAAGTGGCCCTCAGTCCCCAAGACTTCCATCGCTCACGCCGCGAACCCTGTCGGGCTCATTTTGCGCCACAGAGATGCGTAATCGAGCGAGCTGGAGGCGGCACAGTCAGAGGAGCAGCAGCCAGGTCTCGCCTCTTTTGACCAGAGCCGCAGTCCGATGCGAGGTCACAGTGTAAACTCTCTGCAGTTTGAAGCCTTTGTAACGATTGTCGTGAAGATGCGGGAGTGAAACCAGTCGGAGCTGCTACCGTTTGAATAATCAGCATCTATAAAGAGTCGCAAGCGATCCAACCTGGGGGGTTGATCGACAACGACCCTGTTACCCTGTTGCGCTGCCCTACGATGACCTGCACAATGGGGGCCAGAGCTTCCTTGCCCATGCACGCACGTCTTCGGCACTCTAGTTTCTGAAGAAGCTTGGGGAGTGGATCTGGCAGAAACACGTCCAGAAACAGGCCTAGAAACGCACGTATGCCCGGTGAGGGGAGGAAGGCAAATGGTTCGTCTGGAAAATGGAAGCGCAACGAAGCAAAGGGCAAGCCACACTCTCCAGAGCGCCTCGGTTCACACGCCACATGCCACTGTGCTCAGCCACCCCCAGCTGTCCGGTAGACCCCGAACATCAGCCACGAAATCTTACATAATCACCGCCATGGAGACTTTGAAAAACCCACGGATGGAAGAGGCGAGATCAGCCAGGTTCTAAAGGTGCGCCTCCAGTCTAGATGGAGGCACCGTCACTGGGGAGTCTGCTGCGCCAGTTTCACCATCGCAACCGCCACCTTTTTTTCCGTGTATGCGGGGCATTGTATGGTTTTGATGGCGTCTTCCAAGTCTCCTGGCTGCATTCCAACGGGAACAGGAACGCCGGGTGGCTGGGGAGCAGCTCCGTGGATGGCCGCCTCTCATTGGCCACACCGTCCCTCCCCGACAAGCTAACCGAGCCAACTCAAAGCAGTGCGTGCCTGGCCGACCTGGCTCGTCCCACCTCCCGTCATCTTCCTTGCTTTCCACGCTTTCCACGCTTCCATGACAGCCCAGCCCAGACCAGACTCAGGCATGTTGCTCCCCCGCCATTGGCTTCTCCTGGGTGTTGTTCCCCCAGCGGCCCTACCTCCCTGGCCAACCAGCGCTAGACCCCTCCATGCCACCCCTGGATCTGCTGCTGCAGCTCCTTGGAACCACCAGCTGGAGCCTCCCAACCACCAACATTTCCCATCACCACCTCCTCGAGGTGCTCCATCACCAGCCATCCGCGTTTGCTAGTGCAGCGCAGTAAAACCACCATGGCTCCCACGCGTGGTAGGTCTGTTTGCTTTTATTTCTCACTTCCCCAGTTTTGTCTTACCCTGTCCCTCGTATACCTGAAAGGTTTCTCTTCGTATTCGACCAACATTGATATCCACCATCTGTGTCTGTTGTCCAAGCTGCATCGTCCGTTAAGCATCCGTCCAGCGACGCCCTCAAAGAGTACTCTGTACGCAAAACAACAGCAGCTGCTGGTCCATCGCCGAGATGCGCCCCTCCGCTCCCCTTCCTCTGCTGTTGTCCGTCTCCACAGCAGCCAACGCGATCCCCCTCCTCGATCGTCTGCTGCACCTCCGTGACGCGAAGCCAACAAAGACTTATTCGGTTGTCAACGTCGAGGGAAGTCCCAGCACCGACAGTCCTGTGGTTGTCACCGTCACCAAGTCACCAGTCCAGATTACCGTCACGGAGAGGGTCACAGAAACCGCCAGCGAGACCTTGTCTGCCATCCAGACAACATCCACATCGCTCCTCATCGTCAACGTCGACGCCACTTCTGATGGAGGGCCATCTACCGTCACCGTCTACCCAACTGTGACACCGACGGCTAAATCGACACCTCTTCTGCCCACATCAGCTTCAACGGCTGCAACAACGGCAGCTGCAGAGACATCGGTTGCTCCAAGCGCATTGCCATCAGCACCCGCGAGTTCATCGACACTTGTGGTCGAGCCACCGCCGTCTACGGAGACTCAGGCAGCGCCGAGCACATCGTTGGCGCCCATTTTCTCCTCCACTGCCATCATTCAGCCTCCTCCTCCGTCAACGGAAACTCCAACTATTCCCAGTGTCTCGCCATCGCCGTCCGTCAGTCCCTCCACGGGCGGAGTTGAGCCACTTCCCACAACATGGACCTCGGTAGTTTCGTCGGTGTCCGCGTCTACGGCCGCCAACCCTTCCACATCAGCGATTGAGCCTCCCAAGTCGACGGAGACGTGGGTGGCCCCAAGTGACCCGGCATCAATTCCGGTCGAATCATCCACAACTATCGTCGAGCCTCCTCCGCCGACGGCTACCCCCATCCAATCTACTTACGCTGTACCGCCCGTGGAACCGTCATCAGTCCCACCTTCAAACACTACTTCGTTATCCACATCGATAACGACAAGCTCAAGCTCTACTGCACTCCCTAGCACCACCTCTTCTGACACTCTTCCGACTCCTACCCAAGCCTACGAGACCACTTCCCAAACCACATGGGAGCAAGTGCCCAGCTCCATCACACAACCGTCAACGTTTATCACCAGCGTCGTCAGTATCACCACATCATCTATCCCAACCTCTACCCAGAGCTACGACGATGGAGACTGGTACACCAGTAAATACCCCGAGTGGAACGGCACCGCCAGTGCGACACCTCGCTACCGCCGGTGAAGCAAGCCGTCGACAATATCATTAACAGGACGACTTATGTCATGTACGATTTACGTAGTTTTTGCTCGGTTCTCACATGGGTTGCCCTTTTCACGGTGTAGCCTGGCTTAGAAAACCAACGACGATACACTTCTTCACAAGCAATTTGTTTTAATGACGGCCGAGAAACGATGCATCTTTCAGAACAAAATGCCATCACAGACTGTGAATAGGGCTCACAGCAGCACAAACCAAGAGCTGGAACGCGCTGTCGTCCTTGGGTTTCCTAATATTTAATCAGATAGAATGTAGACAGTCAAACATGTCGTTACTTGTCAACACTTTTCCTGCTACATCTTGCCCGTGACGCGTATTCCACAGCTCTGATGAAGACTGAGCAGCTCCAGCAAGGTATTGATAGATGGCCAGAGCCGCACCGAATGAGGGCGTAAAGCAAGAAACTCAAGCTGGAAATCGGCAGCGAGCCACTAATCATAGTTTTATCAAATCGTAGGTAGGACATTGTCTCATAGAATGCTAGTAAAGAGACAAGCTGTGATGTTGATACATCTCTTGTGTATTCGTGTTTTATACATATCACGTGCTCTTGAAGCAATCCTAAAAATGGACTATTGACTTGTAACCAAGTCCATGGTGGTAACAGCATCACATCCCTTCAAGAGGCCCACTTTGATGGATGTATCAAGATGCCAGCCAAGGAAAACCTAAATTGATTGTCGGTGTCAATTGGCACTGTTTCCGTGCCGAAGCTCAGTAATCAGGATGGATTAGTGCTTTTTTATAGTCGTAGGTGAATCGGAGGTGAGTGTCAGCTTGTATCAGACAGCTGCCAAACGTGACATGAGTAATTTCCGCCTGGCTGTGTAACTTCCCCAAGTCAACTCGTCAGTCGCCAAAGAGGCGGGACTAAGATAGATTGGTTTATGTGCTACTTCTATCTGACGGTAAGACAAAAAGGTCCGATTCCGTTGAATGAAGCGTATATATATGAACGAAGTAGATGCCTTCCAAAGCCTTATTCAGTCCACACATCTTCGTGGCCTTTAAACCCTCCTCTTACGAAGTTACACAGCATAACGATACAGATACACTATCTTTTCTTTCACTTCGAAACGATGAGGTATTACATCGCACTTATCAACTTTTTTGCCTCCCTGGCTTTAGCTACTCCAGCTGTCCAGAGCAATGATGAGGGTAGCGGGCTATTCAGTCGCCAAAGAGGCCCTGTCCGCCCCCCTGGTAGCTGCTGCGGATACACCGAATGCTCTGACTCTTGCGTAAGTTCAAGTTACTGTCTGCTCTTCACACTTCATGCTATTTGGAGCCATGACTGGAATCCCATAGTGCCCTGGCAGCTGTCCGTGAAGTTGAACACGTTAGACTCTTCTCGGGATTATGGCCGAGTCCCTACAAGACGGCTGTAATTAGTTGGAGATCAATTAGAGGACTTCGCTGCCTATTAGCCATGTGAATGACAACATCTGGTTATTCAAATTCAGAAGGTTAGTGAATGTGCAAACAAAACTCCGTCTACGCGTATTGAAAGAGCCGTTTGGTTGAGATGGAATTACACGGGAGATGAAGGTTGTAGGCCGTGGGCCATGGGTTCTTGGCTGACAGTTCTTGGCTCAGAAAATCGGGTATGCTCGGCATCTGGTGACACAAGTTTGAAAGCACTTGACAGGAAGGAAAATGTCGTGCGGAACCTTGCCTGTTGGCCACTCCTAACAGTGATGTCATCTGTCTAGCTGGTAGTCAGGCAACACTGCCTGCATGTGCGCGATGCCAGGCTGTTGGAGACTGGGGAACAGCTCCGTATGTTCCCGATTACTTGAAATCTGAGGTCCGACCGACAGGATTTGCCCAAGGGTTATTCTACTTCGCACTTAAGCAAGCTCCCTATTGTTTTCCTGAAGTTGACAGTATATGCTGTCTCATTGGTTGTTGGGAGATTTGGTAGCGCTTGGCGCTAGTACGCTAGCAGCATCACCAACGCAAGACACGTTGGACAATGGCGAACCGGTTCATGAATAATCCAGCATGTGTTCTTCCGCTAGCGCAAAAAAGCTGATGGTGAAGTCACGCACACGTAAAAATATGTGTGCCTTCCCTATGCATTTATGCTCTTGGCTGCGTTCCTGCAGGATCAAGAGTCCAAAACCACCTTGGCTAAAGAGGGTGGAACTTCTCGGATTTGTGCCGATGATTCCGTTGCGCTTGAGCTTATGCAAGAACACGCCGGAGGTTTTGCTAGCCTCATTTGACGAAATATAGTGTAACGCAACATCCCCGTATCCGTCCCGGCAGGCTGACAATTCCTGCCTATTTTCCCTCTTCCTTTGCATCGCTACTGCAACGAGACGCAAGGTCTAAGGTGAGATTCACTCAACGAGGACACTAGATCATCGGCCGCCCAATAACGAAGCTACACGTTCCTCAGCTTGGTTGAACAGCTGACAACTCAATAACTAGGCATCCTGGTAATCCACCCCAATATTTTCAGAGCAGATGCAGTATTCATCCAAGACAATGGAGCGGGAGAAAAGGTCTTTGACAAGCGTGAACCACAGACTGCTCGGGGACCTTGGGATGACGGCTTAAGAAGAGGGATCGAGGCGATCATTGATCATCTTCGTCATTCCCTCAGATAGGTAGTCTTGACTTCCCTGATCTCGGGCGCTTTTCGGCCAACTTAATGGTAGCTTGGAAACCGAAAAGTGACGAAGGAGTAAAGTATATAGGGGTTGTTGGGAAGCTAGCATGTGAGAAGAAGTCCCCGATCTGTCTATAACCACATACCTACAACACCCTTGCCTCCCATTTCACTCTCTCAAAACTCTGAGACGCTTTCCTCTACCAATCAAGCCCCGAACCTCAGGGGTCTCAAACCAAAAACCCAAGAGTCCTGCCCCTGGTCAACACCGAAAAGAGTCTCACGATGTTTCCCCAGTTCAAAACATGTCGCCGTGGGGGCATCCTCTCGACCCTTCTCCTTTTCTCTCTCACTCTCTTCGTCGACCGTACTGTCGCATCATCCTCTCCTGTCGCCAACACTCTCGAAGAGGCAACAACAAACACAACCCTCCAGGACCTAGGCCATCTTTACCTCGTCCCCGAGGCTTCGTGCGTCGGCTACGAGGGCCAGTGGAACTGCTTGTCGGACAAGTTCCAACATTGCGCGGACGGGCAATGGAGCGACGTTCAATCGTGCTCTAATGGTGGTAGTGGGTACGTCGAACAGGAGGAGTCTTTGTGTAGTCCACTTGGGAGGACGGATTTGGTCGAGTTCGAGGGAGAGTGCAGTGCCGCCTGGGCTTGGGGAGGAGGCGGCGGAGGCAGTGGATGGGGCGGAGGGGGAACGAGTTGCAATGGGAATCGCTGCTATTATGGCGCTGGGGACAGGCTGGCTGCTGGGCAGTGGGTGTATGTCTCTGTCGTTGGGGTTGTGCTGATGGGGTTTTGGTGAGAGACATTGATGAATAGACGACGGAGGGGAAGGAGGACCGAAGATGCATATTACCGTTTCTTTCGCGATTTTTCCAGAGATAAGCCTTAGGGTGTTGGCTGATTTTGAACCATCATGCTCATAGGTTGCTTCCAAGAGGCAGCTAGCATTGTTTCTCTCTTTTGTATTGATTTCGGGGTCTGTAAACATTGTATATCAAATCTTTCTGCAACCAACTTTTACTACTGGCATGATGAAGGTCTTTTTAAAAGTAGCAATATGTTCTGCCATTCGTGTCCTTATCAGCTTCCAGAGTGCTTACACCGCAGTCGATGTGAACTGGGGAAAGCCATACAGATATTGTTACACACGAAACGATTTTTGTAGACATTACATGAGCGTGCGACGATAGCCAACAGTGGGTAACAATTACGAGCAGCCTTTAGACGCTAACAGTCAGTCATACATGTACCTCTAAAGGAGACCTGCCTCCTTGGGCTTTGATGAACTTATTGTTCGATGAGTACCATTTCCTGGTGGCATCTGGATGATTGCCTAGCGACTTTGCGGAGAGGCATACTGCATGATGCATTCTCGATGTTCACAAAGAGGTTTTACTGAAGGCCCCGACAAACATCTCAATCCAAAAAGAGACCCTCTGCCTCACTTTTGATGACTAATAAACATTGAATAATTACCGGTTGTGAGATGATGAATACCTATCTCAATCGATTGTCTATCATATGTCCTCTCCCCCCACATAAAGCCACCAAGTCGTCCAAATGCAGGGTCTGGGAAAATTGTCAGCGAACGGCAACTGTGACACATGAAACAAGCTTGCCGGAAATAACAAAATCAATTGAGGCTGACATCAACGCGACAATCTGTGAGAAACGGTCCACACAGATCGCCCTTTACAGGGCAGGCTTGCGCTATTGTGACGTCACCCCTTGGCGCATCATTGATCAGGTTTGGAGCCAATGGCAACGTTTTGGAGGCAATTAAGTGGTTTTCAGAGTATCATCGGCCGTGGTATTTATTTCTTCGCCCAGTTTCCTACCGAAACACTGCAGAGGCTTGGTACAGTTCTCTTTCACATTGAAACACCAACAAGAAGATTCAGTAAATCAACTCGCATAATGGCTTCCAACATCAACACTGCCGCCTTCGACGCGCAGAACGCCAACACCTACCAGAACCCTACAACTACCCAGACAACGACTACCCAACAGACTACGACCACTGGTCAGATTCCGGAGACGCACCATACCCCCAGGGCCGCTGCAAGCACCATCGGTGGCGGTGACGCGCCGACGACGCGCGGTGGGGGTATCGGTCAGCAAATCAAGGGGGCCTTTGCTCAAGGACATGTGAGTCTACCTAATCTCAGAAGGCTAACAAACCATACTGACGATAATGTCAAGGGCGTTGGAGAAGTCATCCGTGGCAAGTTCAATTCGGCAGTGGACACCGCGGCCGGTGACCCGCAGGGTCAGGCGAAGAACAAGAACATCGCCACAGGCGGAGAGAGGGAGTTTGCAACCAAGGATTTCGTGAAGAAGGGGACTCTGGACAAAGCATTGTAAGGTTAAGGAGGATTACTTGAGCGTGTTTGGAATTTAGTAGGACTTGTGTGATACCAACTTAGTACGTAAGGGTATGTGTCTCTTGCTAATCATTTGTCAAGAACTCGTCAAGTGTCATCTTACATTGATTCCGTGACCCATCTGCATACAATTTCTACAGTTACAGTCAAAGCTCAAGCATCCAGTACTACAAGAGTCTTGCTGTTTCTGGCTTGTGGGCTTAACCATTGAAGCGGCTGCTCACAAGCAGGCAGTGTATTATTACCTTGGACTCTAGTAGTGAGCCAAGTTGTGTACGAGTCCCATATACCGCTTGCCCAGCTGCCCCTCCTGCGACATGGTAATATGCCTGGAGTACTCGAGTCCTGATAGCCTGACCTGCTAGGTATCGTTGAGTTTGATATAACCTATGGTCTAGTCTGTTACCCAGAAGATTCTGACATCCTACCATGCAACAAAGGATAGTGAATAGTGATGTCATCACTGACCAAAGTTTTGAAAAGATCGAGCGATTATCTACGGAAATTGTTGAGGATGTACCGCAAAGACCGGTTACTAGGCCTTGCGCTACAGATTTGTGCATCCAAACTTCAGTTAATAAGGGTATTCAAGGAAGGTTCTAAAAGTAGCCCTGATAATTACTAGTCTAGATAACTGATTGCATTTTCGACCTTCACCGCTGTCCATTCCACACATATGCATGTAGTCCAGCTTTGAAAGATTTGATTGATCTACCCCGTCCTTGGCAAAAACCAAGTCTCTTGGCATCCAACGGAATACACCCGCTGCTTTCGGATCTCGTTGCTAAAATCTCACGTCAGCTAGAAGCGACCGTGTCTCTGTATATGCTTCTCTGAACCGCACGTGATGCTAGCAAAGGGCCTCTCACTAGCGTCGTAATCTCATTCCAAAAGCAGAACGAACTACACAGAGTGCAAAATTGAACGGTTCATTCAGGGTAGAATCATGGAGTTCCTTGCTGCCGGCTTGGCTTGGGCAGTGAACAAGATAGCGTCATCCCAGAATGTTCTTAGTCGTCTTGGTCTAGCGTCTTTGGTTGCTCAAAGCACAATCTCGTGGCCAGAGTTCTCGGCAGAAATTTCCCCGCAGTTATCGCCTCGTGCATCGGTAATTCTACAACACGAACCTTTATTCATCAACCACACAAGTAGATGGCGAGACTGGCACTCGCCAGATGTCGGTGTTGTGGTCAAAGTCTTCACTGAGAACGATGTTCAGGCAACAGTAAGAACGAAAGGCCGCTAATTAGCTACTCTCAGCTTTTCAACCTTGAGAGAGATGTGTTTTAGTAAGAGAGTGCATCGAAGGAAATAGACTGACAATTACAACTTGCTTGCAGATCCGAGTGGCGAATGAGTACGGACTCCCCTTTCTTGCCAGATCTGGTGGCCATGGCGCAACAGAATCACTGAGCCAGGCAAATAATGTGATCATAATCGACCTTCGAGAATGGGACACGGTCAACATTGCCGAGGATGGTAAGATTGCAACGATTGGAGGAGGAGCCAGTGTGAAGAAAGTGGTCAACACTCTTTGGGCGGCAGGGAAACAGACAGGTAAATCATGTGAAGCAGTTAACCGTCAATGAATCCGGCACTGATGGAATGTAGTAACCGGTATCTGCGAATGCGTCGGTATATCCGCCCCTGTTCTAGGAGGTGGTCACGGCTGGCTTCAGGGACAGTATGGTCTGGCTTCTGATCAAGTGGTCTCAGCAAAGCTTGTTCTCCCAAACGGCGAAGCTGTAACAGCATCTCTAAATGAAAACTCTGGCCTTTTTTGGGCGTTGCGGGGAGCCGGGCACAATTTCGGAATAGTGACCGAGTGGCAATATCGTGTTCACGATATCAACAACTCGAAGTGGTTTTACGAAATTTTCATCTTTCTTGGTGAGCAGCTCGGGGAGGTGTTCGAGTTAACAAACAAGATGATGAAGACTCAGCCGCCCGAAACGACGCACTGGATCTACTTCGTTAATGTTCCAGAAATTGACCTTGAACGTGTAGGTTTTCAAAATCGCCGTCCATTATGGGTTCTTTTGGCAAGCTGATCATTCACAGCCTGTCATCTGGTACGGTGTCATTTATGACGGCCCTCTTGACACCGCCATGAAATATACGGAGCCTCTTCACAAGATTCATTATGTAAACGTCGAAACTGGCTCAGCGCCCATGCCTGACCTAGCTTCTTTGACTTTTATGGGATCCGAAAGTCTTGGTTGTGCCCAAGGCTTCACTGGCCTTAGATTTCCAATCGGTCTCAAGAGTTACGACTTGCCTGCCGTTCGGAGGGTCTTCGACGATATTGCCGACATGTCGAAGCGCGTTCCTGAGCTTTCAGGATCCTTCTTCCTATTGGAGGGATACTCGACTCAAGGCGTCAAAATAATCGATGAAAAGGCGTCCGCATTTCCACATCGTGATGATAACATTCTGGTCACGCCATATATTATGTACAAACCTAATGCTTCAATCGACGCAGTCGCTCAGGAACACGGCAAGAGACTAAGAAACCACTTGCTCGAGGCTAGTGACGATCCGAAAAGGTTGAGGGCTTATGTGAATTATGCGCATGGTAACGAGCCACTGGAGGCTATGTACGGTTGGGAAGACTGGAGGCTGGAGTTATTGAAGATCACAAAGGCGGAGTGGGACCCTGAAAACCGGATGAGGTTTTATAGCCCCCTGGAATAGAAACCTTTATAATATGGAATGGAGGCCTAGCGATGTTGTCATCTCGGGCAGAAACAAGGTGGCAAATTTAGGATCAGTTGTTTTATTGGTTTTTTACTGTTGACGTTATAGTATTAAATTGAAGATCAGGCTAGCGCACAAACGATCTCTCGTAGTTCAAATTTCAGCTCTTCACGCTATTCTTGATCAATTCGGGATCAATTTCAAACGTTGAGAAGTTGTCCACGAGATCGTCCCACATCTTTGGATCATGCTCATGCTTTTCCTTACTGTTCCAGGCATAATCGGTGATGGTGAGAGCCCGACTGGTTTCGAACATGAAAGCGATAGACCCGAGCGATATTTGCATCACGGGAGGGTCCTCCTTGGATGCCGCGGCAAATTGCTCATAAGCAACACCGTGAGGAACAAACCCGCATTCGAACGAGATGCTTCCCGGCTGGAACTCGTCGGAACGGCCGCCATATTCGCCATAGATCAAACCCATGAGCTCAGAGGCACAGTTTCGGTGGTAGTAGGGTGGTCGATAAGTGTGAGACGCAACATCCCATCTCGGCGAGAAGATTAGGAAATCCGCGAGCGGCGCAGTGGGGTCTCTGGACTTGGCCGTCACGACGCAAAATATCGACGGGTCGATGTGATCAACTGAGATAGAACCCACATTTACGAACTTTGTGAGATCGTATTTCCATGGGACATAGTTACCGTGCCAGGCGACAACATCAAAAGGGCAATGACGTTGTGTGCTGTTGAAAAACTTTCCGCCCAATTTGTAGACAATGTCCCAGAGGTCGTCTTTGGTGACTTCGTACGCTGCGACGGGGTGTAAGAAATCACGAGCATTGGCTAGACCATTGGCTCCCAAAGGACCCAGCTCGGGAAGCTCCCAGTTGGATCCCCAGATCTCCAAAATGTAACCGCGCGTCGGTCCCTCGACTTTAACCTTGAAACGAAGGCCACGCTGAATAACGCAGATCTCCCCTGGTTGCACATAGAGGAAGCCGAACTCAGTTTGGATATCGAGGGCGCCTTGTTGAGGGACAATGAGCCAGTCTCCGTCAGAGTTTGCGAAGGCTTTCTTCGTCATGCTCTTGTTACAAAGATAGACATGAGTGGCAAGCCCCTCTCGAAGTGTAGGATCTCCGGAACCAGCCACAGTCTTTAGTCCCTGGACAAAATCGACATCCTGTCCGTCAGGAATCGGAAAGGGCTTCCAGGCCAGTTGAGTCGGCGAAATATGAACTCGAGGGTTGATGGGGATGAAGGTGGACTCCGTGTCCTTGTTGTCAGGAAGTTCGGTCTATGTAGACAGGTCAGCCAACAGCACTGGGCGACTTCAAGTTTTTGAAAGGCAGCCCACAAATCCTTGATGAGCCACAGCTGGTCGAGACCTGTAAAGCCAAGCCTTCTTATTCGCGTGACGGGGAGCTACAAATGCTGAAGCCGTAACCTGCTCGGCGTACAGTCCATATCTTATGCTTCTCGGACTGTTCTGTCCTCTTGGAATAGTGCCGGCAATAGCTTCAGATTCGAAACTGTTGTTGAAGCCAGGCTGGTAAGTGTACGGATCGTTCGGGCGTGTCGCGAAAGAAGGGACCGTTCCGTTGCTTTGCGTCGCTGCCCAATGGAATGCATTCTGGAAATCCTTTGGAGAAAGATTTTGTGCCGCCATTGTAACCAAAGCTAAGCTAGGAGCGCGAGGAGCGGTTGAGGAAGAGGGGTGACGATGATGATAGTTCACTGGAGCTTACCTGCGCTTTTGTATGAACTGGTGCCCTGTCACTTACGGAAAGCTTCACCCCACATCGAGCTAGAAAAGCCACTCCACATGGTCTTCGAATGGGAAAATCCAAGCGTGTGGAGTTGCCGAGTTGGGGCCGCTCTGACGCAACTTGTCTTGGAGTTCAGCCCGCATTGTTCGTTTCCCTTAGCGCGCGGGGACCGGGCTTTTCAGTCATGACTGACAAAGGCGGAGAAGGGTTGTGTTGCAGTGTGGGCACAGCAATGGAGATGTGGACGATGTTGACCAGACAATGATTTGCCATGAGAATGAAAAAGAAACATTACAAATATATTTTAAAACACTCATGAGAAACAAAAACTTGGTGTGCCATGGTTGTTAACTTGGTTAGGTATCTTTTCCTTACCAAAAAAGAAAGAAAGGCACCTGTCCTCAAAAGCATGCAGCACGGAGTGCCTTCACTAGTTACATCCAAGGTCTTATGGAAATGTGGGCCATTACGGAAGGTTGTCGCCAAACAATATGAATACGTTACTGTAGCTAATCATGAAGTGCGCCAGACCTTCGACATAAACGTTCGAGTATACAATCTTCTGCGCTGACAAGCACTTATGGAGTCCCATTTCCTACCTGGGTACTAGTAGGGTCGTCTATTCTCAAACAAAAAAAGACTCTCCGGTTGTGATACAATAGTGCAACGACAGACCAAGAAAATTTGTTTGCTTTTCCGCAACTTCGATGATGGGATTGTAGATCTTGGCATCTACTTGCTGGCATATTTGCTACACAGACAAACCGATCATCCCTTTAAAGAGCAATGTGGGCGGACTAACGGCATGGGCTCAAGGCGACTGCTCCAGAGACAAGAGCTCTAGGAAGTTTTCTGTAGCAGCCGTTAGACATACTATGAGAAGCTGGGTGCCACGGGTGTGGTTAGGAGATCTGGTGCAGGGCCTCAGTGGTTTTCTCCAGCAGTTCTTTTGAACCCGAATTTTGTAAGCTCTCAGAGTGGTGAACAAGATAAAGGCAGAGGTCGGCCTCCATAATTTTTGGGCAGGTAGTTCTCATTACACAACGTCAGACATGATCGGGAAATTTTTCATTATTCTTTTGGAAGATACAATTGGATAATCACCACATTGACAAGAGAACTGTCATCGCTTTCCTGCAAAACGCACGTCATTCTCACCAGGATAAATAGACTAGTCTAGAAATGTTTAATCCATCGCAGTGGTTAGCTTATCTTGAGAAGGCAGGTGTACATGCTGCTCCAAATGACTCTAAAGTTCGAGAAACTTTGATTTCGGTAACAGCAGGCGCATTTGCCTTAGCCTACATCTTGCAGAGAACATCTTCGTCGCTTGGCTAAGATTTTTTGGGCGTTCAAGATAAGGTTCCCCATGACAGATAGATGCCAGTCTATCTATCGGAAGAGGCATACGAACCAGGGATCAGTACCTCGCGGCCCTTCAAGGCTCGGTTCGTCCCGCATAACCGTAGACGGGCTGAGGTTCTGAGCACAAAGGGCCTCAGAAGTGGGGGGGGATGGACCCTACATGTATCTGGGAAGCGTTAGGGTTAACCCAAAGTTCATGGTGATCGCATAACAAGCCTTGAGGCAAGTAGAACTATCTGGTTCCATCCTTTGACTCATTTGTGGTTCTGTCCAAAGCTACTACTTTGACAAAACCCACGCATTTAGATGGATAAGACATGCGTCAAGACCAATGATGGTCAATGTTCTTTTATTTTCAGTTTTCGTCACTCAATTTCAGCGCCGGTTCATCCATGCTCAAGCGCCATGAACCCCACAAATATTTCTCCAGTGCTTGTATCAACGGCAGTTAATAATGACTCAGTGATCACTGGCTGCGGTAGTGCGGCCCGCCTGCAGTGTCCGCGTCCGTCCGTCTTGGCGCGGAGATGATCCTTAGCGGTAATACAGCGTGTTGAATTTTCCCCAAGACCCGATTCGTCTTTCCCACCGCTAGTCATCCGTAATCCGTTCAACTATCCAACCGAATCGGTGCAGACCCAAGTTAACAAACGTGACCATCCCCATTCTCATCTGATTGCGTCGAACCTTAGCCTCATGACTTCAGGAACATCCCTGCCCACCCAAGCAACAGGGCAACTTTTGTTACCTACCGATTCAAGTCCGGGCAGAAAGCGTGCTCGTCGTGCCATCCGGCCGTACAAATGCGCACATTGTTCAAAAGTCTTCAAGCGCAGCGAGCACTGCATTCGCCACGAGAGAAGCCACACCAACGAGAAGCCATACTCATGTCAGTACTGCTTGAAGAGGTATTCCAGAAAGTAAGTTTTCCACGCAGTCAACTAGTTGCGTTTGCCTTGCTCATGTTCTATAGGGATCTTGTGACGAGGCATGAGCGAACTCTGCATGCGGAACAAAATGGGAAAGCAATCGCGAACCAGTCAGAAGACGATGCATCATCGATTGCATCGGCAAGCGACAGAGAAACGCTCCCCAAGCGCCATCGCCAAACATGCCGCGCGCCTTCAGGCCAACCACCATCAAAAGAGGCCCAAAGTCGAGACTCCTGTACATCAACTCTGGTTTCAAACACCATTGTGGTCGCAACACAACATGAAGGCGCCACACATAATTCACGGCTTTATCGGCAGCACAAAGGGACAGCTTCAGTGCCTCTTTGTCAACACACTACGTCAACTACAATAACCAGTGGTGAACTCGCGTCACCTTTCAATGCAGATTCCGACAATTGTTCAAGTCACATCCACAGCCATGAAGCTGCCCCAATCATCGGGCCCAACAATGGTCAGCCAAGTGAAAGGATTGGCCACAGCGATAGCCACAGCAGCTCGTGGTATTCGCCAACCCTTACAGAAAATGTTCTGAACTTTGGGTCTCTGGACTCTCTATTTGCTGATTCAACCTCTCAGTCCTTCTTGATGATGTCTGGAGATTCGTGCGAATTCAATCAGGATCTGGGTCTCGTGGAAACTCCTACCTGGCTTGGAATTCAATCTCATCAAGATGATGGATCTAGGATCACGAATGACTCAGTAGGAATGTCTCACGATCAACCACTTTCAATGCAGAATACTTCTCGTACGATGACACGGGATCTGGCGGTGGCAGGCGTTGAACCAGTGTCTCGAGGCTTGTCGGAGCGAAATCTTCCATGTCTGCTCGAATCCAGTCGGCCTTCAAAACCGAACTTCGTCATGAACAAGCAAATGCATGATACGATTTGCAGAGATATCAACAGGCGTCTCACTGGGCCCGACGCATCAAAAGACATCCCATCCTTGAAAATGTGCCAGTCTTTTCTTTCTAGCTACTTGGATTGTCACCACTGCCACTTCCCAATAATTCATTTGCAAACTCTTTCACAGGGAGATATTCCCGGGCCTTTGGTCCTCGCAATGTGCAGTATCGGGGCTTTATATCGGCTAAACCGCAGCCGAGCACGGCGTCTCTGGGACTTGTGTGTCAGATTGATAGAACCAGTAGGTTGCGGTAGTTCTTTTCCCTATATCTTGAGACTAACCCACCAGTCAGATTCTGACGAGAGACTGCCCCCTTTGGGTAGTTCAAACCAAATTTCTGTTGGGTTTCTTTGCTACCTTCAGCGGTGATAAAGACCTAGCAATTCAGTCTATAGGTGAATCCAACTTCAACACCTTAGTAAGTAATTGCCGTTTGTAGCATTGACAGGAGAATATGTTTAACCTAATGTGCCTTCATTTAGGTATATGCAAATGGACGAAGTCAAGTCACTTACGACGATATTGGCTTGCTTCACTTTACTTGGGCAGAATGGGCACGGCGTGAATCTTGGAAAAGACTACTCGGCGGCATCTACGTCATGAATGTGGTCAATATGATTACATACGGCATTAACCCAATCTTCGATGCAAACAAAGACCTGGAAATCGAACAATTTCATGACGAGGGCCTCTGGAATGCTTCCTCAGAAACTGAATGGCAAGAACTTCGATCGAGCTACAGCAAGAGCGGCTTGAGAACCACGAAAGAGATTCTCGAAGACGTCCTCTCTGAAAACTCGGACAAAGCGAGGTTCGAATCGTATTTCATCTCACCCTTCTCCGCCCTTGTCCTCATGCATGCTGTGCTTGTGCACACTTGGCAGCTCTCCCAAATTTCACGTACTTCCAAGTCATTCTGCTTTTCATCGAAAGGGGCCCAATCTGCCTTGGGAAATTCGGTTTTGGCTACCGCTCTAGGTTCTCTGGATAGATGCCATGAGCTCTTGAACCAGACGAGGAAGAGGCAATTGGAAGAGACTGACGATAATGATATAGCATCACTGTCTTTCAGCTCATTGCCGATACTCAGAGCCGCATATATCCGACTCTTCGATACAACATCAGGCTTTGATCGTCTTACTTTACTTGCTGATGATCCAAAAGAAATCGACAATGCAGTCACCAGATTCGCCAATATGAGACTTCAGAGAGACGAAAACCTTCTTTGGGCGGTCGAAAGAGCACTGGAAGGCTTCCAAGTACCAGTCAGAATGGGACATTTGTTGGTCCGCAAAACGGCTGCTTTTCGATGGAGTATAGAACATGCTGTCGCCGGTTGGGATAATGGTATGATGTCTAGAAAAGTTTATAACGCGTTAAATAAGTTGCCGAACTAACTTTGATAGTTCTCTTCACTACCAAGTGGGTCCACTCTGTTGAGATTGATGCCATGAAAGGTACAGACCTAAGCGCTGAAGAACTTGAAGTTCTGGGAAAGATGAAAATTGTCCTTGAAGACGCGGACTATGATCCGGGCCAGGGCAAGTCTATCGCCGCTGGGCTGGCAAGGACGTGTAGTCTGGTCTTACAAGACGTAAGTGAAGTTAACACCAAAATGCTTTCAATCTTTCTTAGGGCACGTAGCTAATCACGGATCGATCAGACATGGGTATGGGGTATCACCGTTCGCATGGGTGACATCCTAGAACGATTGGCTATGGTCTATGAGCGCGTTAATGAGGACAATCGGCTACCTCAGCCGCAGTATTAGATTCGCTCCGAGAGGTGACGATAAGATGTACTACCTATCAATAATCTCGAAAAGCAAATGCTACGGTAGCAATGTTACATAGCATTGCTCCATCATAACGGTAGTCCTCTGGTGTCCGCAGGAACGATTAGACTACGCCCTGTCCACCCTACAGGCAACAACACCAGGCAGACAGTTCGGAGATCATTTCATCGAGAAATAATGACGATTAAATGTTAGAATCATGCCAATGTATTTAAGTATTGCTCCGTCCCCAGCGCGATGGTGTCCGCGCTACTCGTGCCTGTGCCAATCCATTAAAAGTACCTGGGCGCCGCTACACTAACGCAACTAAAGGGGGTTGCAGTTTGTTGTACACACCGATTGGGCGATGACCTCTAATAATTACTGCGGGAAGATGCAAATTGAAACCTCTCGCATCAACCCGTCTTTCTCGGCATACATCCGTTTTGAGGTACATTGCCCTGAAGCTGACAGTCTCGCGGTGTGGCGCAATGACATAGCGTGGGGTAACTAACTTCCGGCAACTTTGTCGGGAGTTCAGGGAAGCTCGGCAGTTCGTTTAGCGCGAAACAGGGTGAAAACCCCGGGGCTTACCAGGCTCAACTTCCCCTCATTCAAGTCTGTATGGAACTTTCATCTTGAGAAGAGTCATCTCGACCATCAATGGAAGACTTCCCTTAGCCCTGAAACATTATTGCAAAGCGTTCAACTACTGCGATTGTCCTGGCTTTCAAGCTGAGGGCTGTCTGCCGCATTCTGGTTGCTCCTAGATCAGCTATTGTGTGAGCTCGAAATGGCTTCAACGCTGCAGCAATTTGACCATCCCGTTATTGGAACAGTCGAGGGAAGCACGTCGGACGGTGTGGTCCAATTCTTAGGTGTCAAATACGCAACCTTGAACCACTGGTTTGACAACGCGAAGCTTGTTCAATATGAAAACAGTGGCTTGAATGCCACGCGTTACGGGTGAGCGATTCTTTCCCTACGGTATCATTCATCGAACCATAACCTAACGGTGTCACCAGCCCGCAAGTAATCTCGGATCCAGCGGGAGTCAGTAACGAGCACATAATCATTCAAAAAGCTATCTCAGTGGGCGAGTTTCCGGGGATATCAAGTACTGAATGTCTCAACTTGAACTTGACAGTCCCTATTGAAGCACAAATTTCTCAACCATTGCCTGTATTGGTCTTCATTCATGGTGGGGGTTTCGTTACTGGCTCAAACTGGTGGCCGCAATATGACATGAAGCGCATCGTCCAGTTATCCAGGAAGCGAGGCAAGCCCATAATTGCCATCAATATCAGGTGCGACAAATATCTTCTTGACCCTAGATCCGTTACATTAGTTGGCTGAATGATTCTGTCAAAGTTATCGACTGGGTGCTCCTGGCTTTCTGACCTCGGAAGAGCTTCAAAAGGAAGGTTTTGAAAGCAACCAGGGCCATCACGATCAGAGGATCGCGCTCAAGTGGGTTAAAGAGTACATCGCTGGATTCGGTGGAGATCCTCAGCAAGTAACAGTGGTCGGTGAAAGTGCCGGCGGCGGTAAGTCCTTGATCAAGAGACTGCAAGACCAGCTGTTTGCGGAGATCTCCGCTAACTAAGTCAGTATCAACAACCCGTTTACTTTACTCGAATGAGGCACTCGTATCCCGAATCGTAGTTTTGGGTGGCTCTCCCCATTACTTGGACCGCTTGACTCGGCAATTGCCGAGCGCTCTTATCTTGCTGTGCTCAAAGCTTTGAGGCTTGAAGACCTAGCTTCAAGCGAACGTATCAAGGCTTTGTCGGATGCGTCTCAAGACCTTCTTTTAAAACTTGAAGAGGCCGGACCCTTCCTTCCAATCATAGACAAAGATACAGTTCCCTTTGCGCCGACTTTCGAAACGACCAGAGCCGGAAAGTTAGTTCCCAAATCGACATCTTGTCAAGCCATCATGGTCGGATACGCGCCATTAGATGTGAGTTTTGTTACCCTGGTCAATAGTTCAGTGAGATTCTCGGCTAAGATCAACAAATAGGCGAGTATTTTCGGCTTCACGGGTCTTTTACAGCGTAAAGAACACATTGCTGTCCGGTTCATTAAGTCCATCAGCTCGTCGCTATCGCAACACCCCAGTGTCGCCACCCGCATTCTCGAAGCCTACGGGATTACCGAGGCGGCCAGCGACGACGACGCTTTTATTAAGATTCTACAATTTGCATCTGATGTTAGTTTCCGCGCCCCAGCAGAGTCATTTGCAAAAGGCTTCCACGGCGACTCCTATTTGTTAGAACTTGCCGAGGGCAACCCGTGGGATGGCCCTTTCAAAGGCCATAGTACCCATGTTTTGGACGTCGCACTCCTTTTCCAAAATTATAACGAGCATCTTGATGAAAAACAGAGACAAATTGCCGAATCGTTTGCCGTTGATGTGATCAACTTTGTTCATGGCCAAGCTCCATGGAAGCGGTTTCAGGATGGCGCTGGGCGGATGGTTTATGAAAATGGGACGAGAATGTACAAGCAAGCTGGGGTGAACTCGGAAAAGTACGAATCTCTTCTTGAGTTAGGCGAAGAGATTGGGTTGGATGCTTTACTTAAGGTGTGGCAGAATTTTCTGTTCCCTCAGTAAGCCGCCATTTACAATGCTGCACAAAGCATATGATTGGTTGAGTCTTCCAAAAACCGATTATATGCCACATGCCTCTTTAGCTGGTGTGGTAGATATGCTCGTTGTGCTGTTGAAGAAGGAAGATTGGGAAAAGAAGAAGTTGGCTAGCTGCGAAGTCTCTCGTTCATCCTTAGCATTTGATTTGCGAAGTATTTAGGACATCGTCCGAGGGAATCTTGGTCTCACAACTGATGTCACATTACACGTATCTAATCATCCCAAGAACTATCTCGTTCATCAAGGAGACTTTATCATTGCACGATTGCTGAGTCTATTTTCGTTATTGGGAACATGCGACGCAAGCCTGACTGGGGATGACAGAAAGCGTGCGGGGTCAACGATAGAACTCATTGCATAGGAAACATTACTCATCGCAGGTTCTCCACCTCGCACCTTGGTCTTTCGTCCGGTGTGCGACTCCTTCGAAATCAAGGCTTGAACCACGGTCAAGGCAACCATAACCCGGGAGGTTTCCGGCGTCTATTCCTCAGTTGGAACAATGCCGACCTACGCTTACGAAAGCGATTCTCTGCGCTCGACGCTACTTGGCGTTGAGCTTGGGCACGTTGTCCAGTTCCGGGGAATTCCGTACGGCGAGATTCCATTACGATTCGCAAAACCCGGGCCAATGAGGGCTTTGCCGCTGGAGTTTGATTGTACTAGCTTTGGGTATGGTTTCTCCTTGGCTCTGCCGTGTACTGCGTTGCATTGGCAAAGGCTGACTGGCTCTTTGACCATGTAGACCTCGGTGCCCGCAAGTGCACAACGATGTTAGGCATCTCTTGCGTATTCCCAGCGAATACAAGCTGCCGGTAGAGCCAGAGGATGAGTTAAAATGTCTCAACCTAGACGTCACGACATCCAAATCGCATTTGTCGCTGAAGGGCGAACAATTGCCTGTGTTGGTCTGGATACATGGTATAAATGTCTGCGTGCGATGCGTTTGAGTAGTACTAACACAGACATCTCAGGTGGCTCACAAGCGGTGACTTTTGGAAGCGCCGCTTCTGGACTTTGTGGTATGAAACTCAGCCCAACTTCCCTTCCTCCTTTATCCTTGACATAATATATGACAAAAATGGCGCGCATCTTAGCGTGTTGATTGACTGGAGTCTTCTCAGATGCGACAAATCTGGTAGAGTACACCACAAAACAGGGCAGACCTATTATCGTCGTGACAATCCAGTATAGACTTAACATCTTTGCATTTGGAGACGGGAATAGTTCAAAGAATCTAGCCCTGCAAGATCAAGCTTTAGCTTTGAGCTGGGTCCGAAGTCATGTATCCAGTTTCGGAGGCAATCCGGTACTTCATCATACTGCAATCTGGTCAGAAGACTCCTACTAACTTCTGCTCTTAGGGAAATATTACTCTTGCGGGAGAAAGCGCTGGAGCGGTGTATTGCCATGCGCACCTGGCAGCTGGTGCCCATATTAGGGGAGCCATACTCTCCTCTGGCTCTTTGTACCTTTCTCCTCCTCTATCGGAGGAAAAAGCTCATAGTTTACGTCAAACCTTACGTAGACACCTTCATGCACTAGGTGATTTTGAGCTTAGTACTGCTCCCGTGGGCATGGTGGTGAAGGCTCTAGAATCATCAAACATACAATCATGGTTTCTAGAAACGGATCCCGCACTTGATGGTTGGCAGGCCAAAATAGGGGTAGCGGAGAGGTTGATGATAGGCGATGTGCAGAACGAGGTTTGAGACCTTCAATCTTCCCGAGACTGACTGACACTGACCTTAGTAATTAGGCTGTGATCTGGAGAGCAGCCGTATGGGCAATGGATACCTCCGCTATTGTCAACGCGTTCAACCTAGCCGGCGAACATCAGGAAGCACTGAAGAGGCTTTACAACATCTATCCCGACAGACCCTCATCTTGCAGAATTGGGGCTTTAGATTTTATCAATGACTACAAATTTCTTCTTCCAGCGGAGAACATTGCTCGGCTGTTTCGAGCAGCAGGTAGGCCGGCGTATCGCTATCTCGTTGACGAGCCGAATCCTTGGCAGCCATCAAATGGCGCCCATCACGCGGTCGATTTACTTTTTCTTTTTGGTGGGTTCGACCTATCTATTTCTCCCACCGCCGAAAAGATTGGAGAACACATGCGTAGGGCGTTCATCGCGTTTCTCCATACTCAAGAGCCTTGGAATTCCAGTTGCCATGCAGCCTTCGGGCCTTACGGGACGTTTCAAGAGCTTGACAACGTCGGCGTTGGCAGTCGAAGAAGGATGAAGGCGGCGGAGTTCCTGAGGGGCGTCTCTTCTGAAGTCCTGGAGAAGGTCCTGTTTGCTCTAGCTGCTGGCAGAATAAGCTTGTCTAACTGAGAGTTGACAAAGCCACACCATGGACTAGTCTCGATACATAAAAATTCGGGTTAGGACTGCCAATTTGATTTTTTTTTCTAGATGTCCACTACTGCTGTCACCACGCAAGATCGGGGACATCTGACTCGTTCAACCACATTTGAGGCTATGTTGCACCTGTCAATGCTAAAGCACCCTAATGTACCGTAGTCACAATTATGTGCTAGTCTCTGTGTAACAATTCAGCTCGCGGTGCCACCTCCTCCACAAGGGTCCATCGATTCATCTAACGATGACATGGTTTACCTCGTTGGTCTTCTTGACAGAATATTCACATCACTTTAGGTTTAGACAAACATAGGTGTGTCTAAAATACGTCGTCAGGCAGACAAGGTGTGGGCCGCTGGGTGCCTGACAAGAGTTCAACGAGGCGACCTAATGGGGAGTGAGAAGTACTCCATGTGAGGGACATTGTATGTTACATCACTGGTGATGGGTGGTGGGGTTTACGGGTGTTTGTGGAGGCTAAACCGAAAAACGGTCATCCTTGATGTGCCATCATCAGAGGAAAAGCCGGCGATGGGAGGGGGGAAACGGCGCTCTTGGGAACTTGGATACAACATGGAATGAGAAAATGACATACCGAATACTGCACGTTCCAGGGGGGATTGGGGTGGGGGGGGTTATATTTTTCCCATTTTGAATTTCCTCTTTGCTAATGTGTACTCCATTTGACTGACCATCATTAAGCTCATTTCGGTCTCGTGAGTTTTGACATCAAAGCATGGTTCTTTCAAATTGTGCCTTGGTTAATCTCTTCCAGCAATCCCATATCGACTCAATTCTGAACTGTCTTTGACAGTGTAGCTAGTCATGTTCCCAGGGCTGAAAAGCGTAAACACATTGACCAGTCTGTTCTTCGTCAAACTTTGGCTGGGTACGGTGCCTAGGTTCTCGTGGTCGGGGCAGGCCCTGCAAATGGACTGCTGCGGCTGCTGCTTGCTAAGGACACCATTCCCGTTACGACAATGGAGCAGACATTCAGGTTAGATATAAAAACCCGAGGGTCACGCACCGCACTCCCTCAGCCACGAGGGTTTCCAAATTGAGCTGGGATACTCAGGGATGTACGGCAACGCGGATTCCTTCCCGAAGAAATCACCTCGCGCAAGCCGGATGAAACCTACATCATCGGCCTTAAAACCCATATTTCACGGGGATTATTCACATCTTATGGTTGCACTACCCATATGTAACCTGACTCGGTTGATCTACGATCAATCTAAAGATCTGCCAATGATAAGGTACCTGTGTCATCATCGGGTGACAAGCATCGATCCGGAGAACAAAGTTTGACTAGACACGGAGAACAGGACAATAGGTAGGAAGAGATTATAGCTATCCGCCGACTGCACTGTTAAATACAATGGTGCTAACAGCATCGTCCGACGGTCGCTGTTTGGGACTTCGTCCCACTATATAAAATGGGACGAGCGGATGGTGACTATCAACGGAGGTTTTGCCCTCTTTTGGATCGTTGTCAATGACCTGCGGGATCAATGAGAGTACTTTAGGTTTGCTCCGATTCCAATCACTAGGACTATTCGGACTCGAACTTCATGCTAGATTCCCGAGAAGCGGTGCACAGCGGCCCAGGTCTCTACGGTCGGGTTGTGGCGTATCACGTATGTTGACGCCACCGGCTTAACAGATGAAGTGATCATCGGTCGGCAGCCCAAGAAATCTTAGACCTCATTGCCTGAAAATCCTAAGTCCAAGGAGTATAAGCTCACTAGTATCAGCCCATGTAAGGTCCGCCAGCGTTTAGCCGAGAGGATAGTTGCCCATCGGATGTTGCTTGCCGCAGACGCAGCACGTCTTCGTAACCCCTTGTGCGTGCCACTTTACGGTAATCTCCGTGGTCCCTACCGCAGAGGCTGACGATCGTCATGATAGCGGAGTTCTCGGCCTCACCGAAGGCATAATCAACATTGATGGTATCTTTGAAGACATATTCCAAGTCTATGGCAAAGTACTTTGTCAGAAGTATCAAGAGTCTATCAACCCGATCTCTAGCGCCAATTTTCGGCGCACCTTTGCCGTCCAACCTGATAAGGTATTGACTCCCGAAAGTATTCTAAAGCTGTGCAATAGAGCTGGATCGGATCTAGAAATGTTGAAATAAGTGACCAGGTTGAGTTTGGATGATAGGCCCCTCTGTTGTGCATCCATTCACTGGGGTTCCGTTAGGCTCGCCAGAGTCTCCTACCAGAGTACCCAAGCACTGAGCTGACTTTACAAGATATTACACTCCTGGAGATGGCGTAGAAAGTTGTGTCTAAAGGGCTTAGTTGATATCAAAAGGACCTACAATTGATCGATTCAATGGTGATCCGAGCCGGTGGATCCCAGGGGTGAGTTGACATTACCAGAATAGGCTAAAATGCCCATGACTCCTGGTGTTGTCCAATCCTGGACAATGCATGAACCACCAGACAGGACCAGCCGAATGGTAGCTCATGCCACATCGTTGGTCAGCCCTGTGCGCTAGACAACTAAAGATGAATTGCCGATAAGTGAGTTTTTGGGAACGTATCAGACATACCCCAACGGGACACGACGACAGGCTCGTCCGAGCACATGTGTCTCGCAACCCATTCAGGGAGGAGAGAAAAGTTTGACAGAAAGAACGCCGAAACACGGGCCTTATAGTGGCCGGCTTGCTTGCTCTACGACAGCTCGCAACAGTGCCCTTCTCAGGGAACACCAGACAACGTAACAAGCGCGTAAGCTAAGCGCAAAACCTGTCAGCAGCATAAGAAGTGCAAAATAGGTTCGGCGGCGCTCAATCTCATAGTACGTCGGTTTCGCGACACCATCCCTGAAGGTTTTCACTTAACTTGATACGACTTGGGCAAGAAGTAGCAAAGTTGTCGAACGATTCCGCGGCAAGTAGGGAACTAGCTCTTGTTTGGTAATATCTCCGTTCGGCAGGTCTATGTTCAATGGTGAAAATCTATTGGAATCGCACCTCGGAGCGGTACGATAGAGCGTAAGGTTTTTCTGTATTTACACCTAAACTTCGTCTCCAACGACCAAAAGTAATATTATCAGTGGACCTACTTGCTCGGTAAGACTGTAGTTCAGAATGGGGTTGTCAAGGTCGAGCCCAAAGTCCTGAGATACTTGCCTCCCAAAAGAGGCATGTGAAACTACAGCTGTCCAAAAAAGGGAATAAGGCCAGGGGCTACAAACGTCGGGGGCGAGGAGAGCCAGGGGCGGCTCAACTGGTAATAATAGGGTTCAGAAGCTCGCCCCAAAAGGGCGTTTGACGGCAACATGAATGGTCGCCGGCAAATCTCTCGGCTCCATTGCTTTGATACTTGGGCTAAGAGACCGGTTCTCGGCCAGAATGCCACAACAATAGTACAGTCGAACAGCAGCCCTAACAAGATATTTGTGGCTGGGCTCAGACTTGCTGTTTCCAGGCAACCTTACTGGGTCGAGGATGACGTCGGCTAGCCGACGCCACGTAAACTCTATTTGTATGACGCTTTTCTCTTGGACGTTCCAAGTGCTGTGCCCGCTGCAGTTGTCTAGCGCCCAATTACTTCCGTCTGAGAGAAGTCTGAGGCGACAACCAAGCGGGTCAGTTCGTTCGAAACACAGCAGCCCTGACATACAGCGAAGCCAAGTTGCGAAGACTCTCAAGAACGACAGCCTGCTTCTGCCGGGCTTGCAAAACACGTAAAGGAAACCCTTTCCGTCAAGCCGGTTTTCAAATGTGGCTGTGACGGCGTTGCAGCTAACAGGGGAACACACAGTCAAAAACTGGATGATGCAGAGGCGGACCGTTCTGCCCAGTCCCACCCCCTTCCACCTCAGAAATTCTGCCCACGCAGCAAAATGGTAATATCTGCCCGTCGACGATCCCTGCTGGACCAAGTTAGGTCGGCGTTTGATGGGCTAGACTCTGGGCGTCGTGCTCCTCGCTCGCTCGGCCGATGCCACTCGCACCACGCCCACCGGGCCACGGTAGGCACTCAGCCATAATAGACACCCAGAGACTAAGACAAGCTCGGCTTACCTTGCTTTTGGCCTGTCGACCCCACCTCCAGAACAAGACCAGCAGGAAGGTGGACCCTGAATATCTCTCGCTACTATCCTGTTCACTTCTCCGCCATTAAAACAGTGCCTGCCTCCCACACTCGACGGTTGAAAGTTGATGCCTGGTGCCGCTTGCCTACCCGAAAGCAGGCCCAGCCATGATATCCAGTAACCAAGCCTTTGACTACGAAAGAGACAAGCTCTGGTCCGTCTCTGTTTAGGCCGTCTCTTTCACACATTTCCCCCTCCGTCAGCACCGTTGTCAATCGTCCTAGTTTCCCGTGGAAAACTGTTCTGACATGCCATCATAGGCAAGTTGGGTTTTGCGGTGCGAAACGACTTATTTTTATTTCTTTTACCCGTTGGCTGTCTTTCTCAACTCGTTTTGACCGCTAAGAACGAACCATGGCATCCCCTGAACAGCAGTTGGACACTCTACGAGAAGGCCTGAGCCGCGTGATTCTAGATCAGCTTGCGGAAACATTGCGGGATTATTCGTCAGGCAATCTGGTGAACCCGGTGCTTCGATTTGAAGCTTTTATCCAGGATGGCGAGCCTGGAACCCCGGGGCATTCACCCCGCTCTCCTGTTGTTTCGGTAAGTCTGCGACTTCTTGTTACTGTTAAGGGCCGAACCACGTTGGTGCCGACGGGTATGCTCAGCCCTGCCTGCGGACTCTATTGCACTGTAGCACATCAGAATATCTCGATTACTACGCCAACAAAAAATGTTGAATTTGCATCGTTTGATTGTTGCTGGGCTTTTCGTGTTGCTTTTGTCAAATTTGGAGCATGGCGGTTGGTCACGAAACGTTGTCGACTAACCACCAAAAACACAGAAAATGGTAGACTTGTCCGGCATTATATCACAAAGCGCAACAAATAGCCCGAACGCGAGTAGTCTTGGAAGGGAAAATGTCGAAAACACGACGCCTCCTACCATCAGCCCAGACATGATGGACGAAGGCCCGACAAGCAGCAGCCGGTCTATGTCGCTTGTGCAAGCACATCGGGCGCCTTCACAGGGACCGCAACTGTCACTGGAGTCTGAACCAGCTCGCTCAGCCTCGCATCGAAGAGGAACGGGGGCTTTGCGACCAGTCAGGGGAGCTGGGCGAGTACTCGAAGAAGAACCGGAAAGCCAGCGGCGCATGCAAGTCACGAACAATTTGCCTAAGCGCACAAAGACTCTTGCATCAGAGACTGTGTTTGTTCCGCAGCAATCATCTATTGAGAAGTTTGTCGTCAGCGTCTGGGAGCAGATCCACGGCGGCATTAGTCTAGATCCTCAAAGTCTCCTCGAACAATGGCAACTGACCGCCACAGCTGCAACAGCAACCATCAACAACGCAGGCAAGATCCACGTTCCCGAGCAGCTTGAGCTCGGTCTGCTTCAGGCGCCGACGACAGACGGCACGATGGCCGAAATCGACATGGAGGGAACCTTCAACCGCAGCAACATCTTCTGTCGGAAGGTTACGCAGGCAAGCCGCGCATGCCGCTCGATCGAGGTCATTGTCCAAGCGCGATGGATCGAGCACTTTGATTCGTATGTCGAGCTACTCGCCATCACAAATCCGGGCATGTCCCCGACCAAACGCCGCAAGGCGGCGCTAATCGAGGCGTGCAACGACTTTGGGTGGTCCGAGAAAGAGCTGCGGAACAAGATGGCCATCTGGCGCGGTTACAAGGAGATCAAGGACGCCGGCGGTTGGGCCGCGTTAGTCTTCGCCGGCATGGGCCTCTACCGCTTCTGCAAATACCGGGTTGGCTTCAACACGGACAGTATGCAGCGGCTCCGATGCCTGCGGCCACGAATCGAGGTCGCCGCCGACACTCTCCATCCCACATGGCGGCAGTTGCTTATCATCGTCGGAGAGGCAGCCCAACGACGCTTCTGCGGACACCCGCACGATTGGGTTGTTCGACAGGACGGGTCGGACCCAGTGCCGCTTCGGTCGACATATCTCGAATACGATCCCTATTTTAGTTTCGAACAACTAGAACACTCCGTCATGGACATGAGCGCGTGGGGAACCGACGACCCCCGATGGGTGCCGCCCATGAATACGGTGGCTTGTGTCCAAGGGAAGCACACATGCCACTCGTGCGGACAGGAGCAGTCCGAAGACCCCAAGATCAACTCCTGCTATTGTTTTCCGACGCTATTCGGATCCGGCGGCCGAAGCCCGTGCCCGGTGCAGGTGTTCCGAACGCCAGATGGGCGCAACAACGGACTAATGGCGCTCTGCCCCTTCGAGCGCGGAGCAGCAATAGGAGAGTTTGTTGGCTTGATCACCAAGGACCTGCAGAACATGGACGTCATGGACAGTTCGACGGGGGTTCGGGCTTACCAGATCTGGCAGGGCCGACAAGGCAACTTCACCAGGTTTGTCAACCACAGCTGCAAATCCAACGCGCAGTTTCAGCAGTTTGTATGGATGAGCACGCAGCGCATTATTTTGGTGAGCAAAGGCATCGAGGCCGGACATGAGATCACGGTGGACTATTCTGGGAGCTACTGGCGCGGTTTGGACAAAGACTGTCTCTGCGGGGAGTCTTGTTGCCGATACAGAAATGCGCCACGATGAGTAATGACGAATACTTAGGCGAGGAGGACCCGTCTAGCCACGCGGAGTAGGGTGGGCAAAGAGGCCAGGAGGCACAAAGAAGAAAGACAAAAACATCACAAATACCGACGTTTTACGTTTTTAAGATTAGTCTTCGAGGCGAGTAGGACGTGTACATGAAGGTGAACAGACGCTTCATTTTGGGTAGTTGATCGCAAGTCTTTCCTGGTTCCTGGCCGTTCGTGTCAAGATCGTCTGAAATAAGCCGTCTCTTTCGGTGAAATTTGCCAATTTTCCCCTTTCCCGAGGGCGTCAAGTGAGTTTCTTGGAGGGGTGGGAACGAGGTTGCGAGGGTTAGTCCAGCCTCAGCAGCCTACTCCGTTGACTGAAAACTTTGCGGGCCATACAACGCCTACCAGCCAGTTGTCCGTGTCAGTTTGTCTGCGGTGCTCGTGTCAGTTTAGCGGGTTCCAGATCTCGCCAACGCCTTGCGCTAAAGCGGCTAAACGTGCCCCTCCCCCTTTCGAGTTGCAACGCACGAACTACGTTAGCTTGGGCCGCCATCCCACAACCTGTCTTACCCTTCAGAGCCTTTCGACCGATTTTTATAGTTCTCCAGAATGCGCCAAAGAAACGACAGAGTGGCCCTTTCTTTCCCTGTCGTCCGGGTTATCCCGAGTCGTGAGATCAGTTCAGGGCGATCTAGCAGTGGCCGGCGTCACAGAATGGCTCAGGGCCCGAAAGCCCTGTCTCCCAGCTCGTGAAGAAACAATGGAAAGCAGGAGATGCGTATGGTGTGCATTTTCATCCAGTCCTGCCAGGCCGATGATAAGTTTCAGTAACCGACTACGAAAGCGACAGAATTTGACGTAATAAAGAGTCCACCATGTTGAGGCGAACGTTCCTAAGTTGGCAATGTTTCCCACCGTGTAATCTCCCCTTTGGGGTTGCCGTCAGGATTAAGAGCATTCAACCGAGAACCTTAGCCATCTGTGGGCTTGAGCGATAGTGGGATGGGTGTGGGACATACAACACTCGGGTTGCGTCGCCGTGACTCGGTGTTCTTGCAGTGCCCTTTGCTGTTCTCGCCGGCGCGATGTTTGTCCTCTAGAGTTCGACGGATCGCCGGAACGATCAAGATGGAAGGTGGTTTCGTGTCTGGCCATTGCCGCCGCTAGCGGACTGTGCTCTTCTTCATTGGCGTGTTGCGATCTCATTGTCGTTCTCATCTTAATGCTCAGGGGGGGTGCCGATCAGGGATGCTAATGAGCCCCTCGTAGAGCCTAGAATAACGAAAAGCCATTTGCACAGCCGAGGAAGCCGACAGTCCCCCGCAAACTTCCTCAAAAGATTAGAGCCCGTGGCCTGCAAGAATGGAAGAGATGTATGCATCTTGGGCCTCCTCCCGCTTCTTCGAGACCGTGTCTCTAGACCGACAGTTCGTCTGGCGCCGCGCCAGCGCTCTGATCCGATCCATCCCGTGCTTGACACATCGGCATGTCGTCTTAGGAATTTCCACCGTAAGCACGCAAAGGCAAGTCGGCACTATTAATGCTACCTAGTCCTAACTGAGAATCGAAATGTCATGAGGTCCTGCGACGGCCTCGTCTCACACTACTGCAGGGCGAACCGGGCAGTAGCTTTGCAACGACACCCTCGCGGGCAGCTCTAACCGGACCCATTTTGCTTCCCGACTTGGCTTGACCGTGTTGCGGCAGCCTCGTTGTGCTCGGCAGTGTCGTCCCATTGTTCACAGTCACTCCAAACCTGACACCTCCCTGACATGCTTCGATGTCGAGAAGACGGAGTTGTCTGGGTTCAACCTCCTTTCCGCTTTGACTGATTAGCCCCAAACGGATCGTAAAGGCTCTTTCGCCTTCACCTTTTCAGATGTCCTAATGAAGTTTTTATGAGTGCCGAATACGGAGCAAAACTGCAAGCTGTGACTTTTGCGCAGACCTCTTAGGAGCTACTTATTATGGTGGTGTTGAGAATCCCGACTACGAACATTTGCGGAGACGCCGTCGGGCACTAACAGCCACGGAAAGGTTCTTCATCTAGCCAAAACCCCCTTGCTGGCCATGCCAGCATTTTCTTAACCCTCGTCTCTCGATGCTGTGACATTATCTGAGCATTCACTGTTTCTTCTTTACATATAGCATAGCTCTATATTCCTTTTGCCAGACTCTTTGTCCATGATTGCTCATATGGGCGCATAGTTGGGCGCCTGAGCTATTTACCTTGTCAACCCTGCCTATTGACCTAACTGCTGGGTTGCAGCAGACCTCAATTCTCACTGGCGACTATGCACTGGCCATCACCAAGGTGTGGCATGGGCCAAACGAAACTTCTGCAATTATCGACCAAGCGAGAGATCGAAGTATGGCCTCTTCCCATGGACTTTGCCCGGTTCCAGCAGCTGGGTTGGCGATAGCCGAGATACTGGCCCAAATCAAGCCAACTGGGAACTAACAGTTTGGATGTGGACGTGTTAGTAATAGCACACCCCCCGGCAAAACATAACAAAGTATAGCAAGAGGCCAAGCGGCTTGCCCTCTTTCCCAGTAATGTTTTTGTTTATCAGCATAGAAACAGCACACTGAAATAGGTACGCTATCGGTCTCGTCTCAGCAACACATGATTTCCCCAACATCTAACAGAGACGCAGTTTTCCATAGACAAGACTAGGTCGAATTAATAAACGTGTTTTCCATCGATCATGATCTTTAGAGAAAAAACGCACGCAAGACTGACGACTGCACCGCGCGGCAATGGGAGAGCAGCACAACTGCTGTTCCTTCCTTGCCTCAGTTCTAGTCTCAGAAAGCCCAAACTCTTGACCGACAAATTTTTGGCCTCTGGAGCCTTCTTTAGTGACTTCACGGTCTGACTCGGCGGCAGACGCGCTCGACAAAGCCGTCTTGCTTCCCTCTGACACCAGCAAGGACAGGCAAGAGTTGATAAAAGTTCTTGTCAACGAATCATAGAACGCGAAAGCCACTGAAACTCAAAAGGTTAATAGAAATGCGACACTGTCGCCGACTGGAAAGGCAAAGATGCTCTGGGTTGTCGGATCAACCGCAACAGGAGCACTGCAGCGGCAAGTTGCACTCTAGATTCCAGTTTGGAAAAAAGCCCTGGCAGACTGGAAGCATTTTCTAACAGATTTCAGGAGCAGTTTTTTCTCGATGACCTACAACGGTTAATAAGGAACAATAAGGAACCCCGAGACAATCTGCGCAGCCTTGTCGACTTTGAGGTGTTAAGGAAACGAAGACTTTTGGAGGTGACAGCACGTTTCTCTAGATCCTCCACGCCATTCAGAGATACTCTTTCAAATATCAATGGTTGATGGTAAGGCCGGCCCTACTCCAAAAGGTCCATCTGTGTTGTTTGGAGAAGTGTACAGAGAGACGGAATGCGGCAAGCCAAGAAATCTTGGCTTCTGTAACCGCGGCGCTAATGTTAGGAGACGGTTGCGTTTGTGTTCGACTCACAGAAGCCAAAAGATGCTAGAATCAGCCTAAGCACTAACGATTGAGGTCTCGGTCCATTTTGGTAGGGGTTGCCAGCGAAAACTATTGTCTCTGCGGATCGAAGTTGGGACCAACTCGCTCTTTGCCACAGTTCGGGTTACGGGAACCCTATACGAATGCCCTACAAGGCTCTGCGACTATCCTCTGTACAACGAGAACGAAAACCAATACAAAACGGGCCAATAACGATCCTGAAAGACTATAAAAACGAATCAGGAGCCTTACCGGCTCTCTGGATCCTAGCTGCTTGGGCCTCTCTAGCTCCCTTTCCCCGCCAGTTTGGATTCGATCGGATGGCTGACAGCGTTTCCAATCTAGAAAAGTCGTACGATGTCACATGCGGAGAATGCCTATCGAAATTTCCCTATCGCGAAATGTCTCAAAAGACGAACAAACGAAGTACAAAGCTGCCTGGGGCCTGCTGAGGGTCTGCTGATGATCCGAGCGACGCTGTCTCTGAAGGACGGACCTTCGGACTGTCCTCCGAACCGATAGAATATTCTCCAGCTGTGGCGATTTCTCACGCAATGGGCCGGCTGGAGAAACACCATTCTACAACCACATTGCGCAAATTATTGAAACGTACAAGAAACTGTAGAAAGTTGCCAAAGTCCAAGTGGTGTGTTGGCTGAGCAAGTAAATACAGTCGAGTTGACAGAGGGTTGAGTTGGATAAAAAATGGTTCTTTCCCGATTAGGTCATTACCTGCTCAAACATGCGCACGCCCGACGTTTTGTACGACGCCACATATAACCAGATAGCGAAACCTAGAAGTACTTCTTGGAGATGTTTCCCCGGATTTGTGTCGAGTTTACTACGAGACGACAGCTGTGTCTGCATGTCGAGTGTAGACGTCCCAGTGCAAATAAGGGATTGAAATCAAAAACATGCGAGGCAGAGCACAGAGCAGCTCCAGCGGCTCGAGCCGCTCGAGCACTTTGACTGCGGTACCGGGCGGAGAACAAGCGTAAGAAAACCCCAGTGCGAAAATCCTTTGAAAGAGGAGTCCATGCTGACATTCAGTCTTGCAGAAGGCATTTCATCTTTGACCGAGGTTCGTTGAGGGATGCAGCGACTGCTGGCTTGGCGCGCAATGGAGCTAACGTGAACATCCTCCAGACTGGTATCCAGACCTCCCGCTAGTGATTCAAGCGAACCAGCTAATCATCGGGCGGCTGTCGCTGGGCTACAAGATGGCGGAGCTCGTTGAGGAATCGGCGAGGAACGAGGCGGGCTGCAGTCCCGGCACGATGGCGGCCTACTTCCATCATGCAATCACGCTGGAGCTGGCTTGCTTGATGAGCAACGACTCGGTTCAAATGGCGATTGTTAAGGGCGTGAGGATATGACCGTATTGGACTGGTTTCTCTGGGTTCGGCGTCGGTTATTCGGTCATATCAGGATTGGGTTGTCGTACATTGGGATACACTGGAAGGGATCTTGCCATGCTTGCTGGGAGAGTCTGGGCGCGACAACATCTTCATTGGCGTGGGGAGTTTCTATTGGGTTCGAGGGAACTAGATCAGCGGGACGGCATCTTGGAATAGGTCACGATTGAAGCGACGCGTTTAAACATTGCGGAATTTTCACGAAACCATCATACGCTTTCGCTTTTCATTTCCCGAAGTAACAAAGTCAGTACGATCAGTGACATTCCCATTCGTGTCCCAACATCAGTCGCAGTGGGTGCAGGAAACAAGATTGAAACCTGGTGCGCTGCAAAGCCGGTGGTGATTATGCCACATTTCCGCAGATAGATAAACGACAGAAAACCCCTGCGGTCATGCGCGGCACAAGCGATATATTTTGGCTGTCCATGGCAATGCCCAAATGAAACGTACAATAAGCATAGAGTCAGAACGCCATGATGGCTTCGGAGTTGACATCCAAATTGACCTTGCGGTGGGTGGTAATGAGTTTGGCTAAGTGCAACGGCGAGAGTGCTCAGGACTCTATACCCAACACGTTTGATCGTCTGGTCTGGACATTTGCAGAGTTTTTATCCTCGCCCATAGCAGTAGATATTGCTAAGTTTGAGACAGTTTGAGACAATTGCAGGGCGCTGTCTAGACATCATGGGCCAACATGGCGGACGAATGCAAAGCTTGCTTTGTGATCGTCGAGACACATGAACACATGTCAGGGGGGTTGTTACGGCACACGTTCTCGAGGTGCCGCAGCTCAACAAGTTTGCCATTTGCTGGTGTTATCAGAGTAGATGACGATTGACGATGGCCTCTTGGGCTGCTCAGCAGCAGCGACGACTGTGCCTAAGGTAAAGCACGTAGCTGGGACAATTCGAAATAACTTATGGTTGCAATCGGGCGAGCTTCGAAGATCAGCGACGGCGGAGAGTTATATTCTTGTCGGTGGCGGGCTGTCGAGCATACGCGCCCTCCTCTGGGGTATCACCATGTCAGCGTAGACATGTTGCGGGACTCCGTGGTCTGTCGCAATTTGGAGACCGAGAATGTGCAGGGCGTGAAGGACGGGCTTCACTTGACAAGGGCACTGTGCGGTGTTAGCCCTAGTAAGAACACAGGGCGAGCCCTGTATAACTCATCTAATAGCGTGTGGCAAACATACTAGTACTGGATGCTTGCTATTAGCAAACATCACTTAGGAAGAAACAAAGTTGGCTTCCACATGAGGTCCTTGGTGCTGACAGTTAGCTAGACACTTGCGACAAACAGCATAAGACGTTTGTCGTGGGAGCCGTCCGATCCGATCAAGGGATCAAGGGGCGTGATGACAATGTCCGACTTGACATCGCGAGGAGCAACTTGTCCATCTGGGGTCGAAGAGGAGAGCTCGAGGCTGATATAGGAAAGGTAGAAGATGGTGCGGCCTCGGGCAACGTTACAGTAGCTACTGGGTGGTAAAGCCGGAGATATGCGAAGATTTTTGACGTTGGTCGCTGGAGAAAGGCAACTCAAGTTTCTTCTTGGTCGATGATATGTGAATGTTATGTCTTACAACTCGATCATGGCACCGGGCGAGAAACGGACGAGACCAGATTCTCCGGATTTCGGAGGGGCCTCCCGGAGCCGGACCGACCTGACACCCGTACGAGAAAGGCCCCGAGAACGAGGAACGCGTTTTGGATAGCTGGCGCAGGGCATTTGGGCGACATGGGCATTAGGAACAGGTGGCTGCCAGTGGAGAGCAGGGGTGGGGGTTACCTAGTCCACGTCTCGTCATCAGAAAAGGGGCGGCAGGGATGTCTCCTCATTTGAAGCGTGCAGGGCAGTACGTACTCCATGGTGTACATAGCAGCAGTGTTAGCGGTGTTAGTGCGTTCAGTCAAGCCTACTGTCACAGGGGGGAGATCTATTGGGAGTGAGTGGCCAAGAGTGGCGGTGCAGATGACATAATTCGGTGGATTCACTGCTTTTCTGGGAAACTCTTATGTAATCACTCGGCGACCTCACTCCCACGGATTCCATGGCTTCCATTCGCTAGCGAGGACGAATCCGCGTAAGCCGTTCGTGACCTCTCCGCAGCGAGCGCCCAGAGAGGACACTCGATGTCCCTCATTGGCCAGCCACAGTAAGAAAAGGGACCTCCCCGAGACCTCGACCGTGTCTGCAGTGGACTCGGGAGTTCGGGCCACACGCTAACTGCGGCTGCACTCACTGACTGGACTGGCTGACTGGCTGGATTGCCCACAGGACGCTGCCGCACGGAGAACGGCACCACTGCACCTCCATGTCCATCCTTGCCAAATCACGAACTTTCGTGTTTCGACATCATCACCAGCATTTGCCATCTTGACATCCAGCCTCCTCGTCGCCTGCAGTAATGACATTGTGGACACGCACCCTTTTCAGCTGTCCCTAATCCTATCGACCCGGTCAATGTCTGCTTGCCCAGCAGCAGCATCCATGGGCGCCCCTTCTCTTCGGTCATAGTACATTTCGACTGCGTTGCAATTGCTGCGGTTTTCCACCATTCGTTCCTTTCCAGCATCTCCGCCTGGCTCCGACCGATTCGATAACACTCGTTACTCCCCCACACTGCGACGGATGTTAATAGACCCCTTCCGCCGAATACCTGCTTGACGTTACACTTCGCCGATACCTTTCATCGGTGACGCCCGCGACGATGCCTTCGGATCACGACCAGCGGTACGAAACCGTGCCGCCCATCCCAAGTTACGATGAGGCCCTTGCCACCAACGGCCCGGCCGATCCTACCGAATGGCAAATGCCACGCTCCCCGATAGACGATCGCTCACGGAACGAGACCGAGTCGCAGTCTCTACTGAACAGAAATGGCGTTGCGACATCGTCTCGCCGGCCGAACGGCTATCGCCCACCAACAGTCGAGTCGGAAGACGAAGATAGCGCATGGGGCAGCGATGATGAAGGCGACGAGACGGCCTACGTGCGCAGAGAGATGCAGGAGCTGGAAATAGGCGATCCGGATGACAGATCACGCCCTTCAATATGGGGAAAAAGGATACCCTTCTCCCTCTCTTTGCCACGATGGCGGTCTTGGCGATGGCGGCTGCCAAGGCTACGCCCGACTATCCGGCTGCCCTCCGGCCCCAACGAAAATTCCAACGATACAAACGATGCGAATGCGACGACGACGACGACGAGACCGCGGATTACACTGCCGCAGTGGGACAAGGACAAGGCGCGGGCGGCCATCATCATCTTCGCCCGCATCTTCGCGATTGTCTTGGTCATGGGTATCCTTTACGCACTCTTCATGAGCGATCTTTTCACGAGCATGGCCAGGCGCATGAACGGTGGGTTGCGCTTCAACCCCGAAGACGTGCGCATGTATGTGCAGGGCAACGTCGAGGACCGCAGAATGAAGGCGTCCGTGGCCCATTATACCAAATACGCCCACATGGCAGGAACTGAGGGCGATTACGCTTTGGCCATGGATGTCGAGTCCATGTTCACTAGAGCCGGACTGGACTACGTCAACGTCGACGAGTACTACGTATACCTGAACTACCCGAAGGCTGGAGGACGAGCGGTGGAGATTCTGGGTGACGACGGGAAGGCGAAGTGGACTGCGAAGCTCGAAGAGGAGGAAATCGGAGGAGAAGCCGCGGGACATCAGACATTTGTGTTCCATGGCCACTCCAAGTCGGGAGATGTCAAGGGGCCCCTCATTTATGCCAACTACGGCGCGAGATCCGATTTCAAAAAGCTAGCCGACAGCGGGATCGACACCAAGGGCGCCATCGCCCTCGTTCGCTACTACGGCCCGCAGGGAAATCTTGCGCTCAAGGTCAAGGCCGCCGAGGAGGCGGGCTTTGCGGGATGCATCGTTTACAGCGACCCGGCGGATGACGGCTTCAGACTGGGCGACGTTGCGCCAAACGGCCGCTTCATGCCCGCTGACGGTGTCCAGAGAGGCTCCGTCGCATTGTCAAACTGGGTCATCGGCGACCCCTTGACCCCTGGATGGGAGAGCAAGAAGAACTTGCCGCGCATGAAGCCGGACGAGAGCAAGGGCCTGGTCAAGATTCCAAGCTTGCCCCTAGCCTGGCGCGACGCACAGATCTTGTTGCAGCACCTCAAGGGTCATGGTGAGCAGGTGCCAAAGGAGTGGGCAGGAGGGGTTCCTGACGTCGCCGAATGGTGGACTGGCAACCTGTCATCGCCAATCGTGCGCCTAAAGAACGACAACGACGTCGTCCTGGAGAAGGGCATCTGGAATGTCTACGGCAAGATCGAAGGCATCGAGCAAGACCAAAAGTCCATCATCATAGGCAACCATCGCGATGCCTGGTCTTTCGGCGCTACCGAACCCCACTCCGGCACGGCCATCATGATCGAGATGGCGCGCATCTTTGGGTCCCTTGTGGCCAAGGGCTGGCGCCCACTCCGAAGCATCGAATTTATGTCGTGGGACGCTGAGGAGTACAACATGATTGGTTCAACGGAGTTTGTGGAACGCAACGAAGAACTCCTGAGGCAAAATGCATTCGCGTACATCAACTTGGATTCTGCCGTCTCAGGCACCGAGTTCCACGCCGCTGGATCGCCCGTCTTTAGACAGTCTGTCTACCGCGTCATCGACCGCGTCTTTGACGAAAGCCTCAATGCCACACTCCGCGGTCTCTGGGACCAGCGCGAGGCTGATCTAGAGGACCTCGGCATGGGCGGTGATTATGTACCCTTCCAAAACATCGTCGGCACTAGCTCGATCGATCTTGGGTTCCGTGGCGCGCGGTTCCCGGCCCAGTCCAGCTACGATAACAACGAATGGGTCAACCGCATCGGCGACCCCGACTTCACGTACCACGTTATGATGGGCCAGGTTGTCGGCCTCCTCCTTCTCGAGCTCGCGGACAAGCCCATCCTGCCATTCGACATGATCGGATACGGCGACCGCATCGAGCGTTATATCAACGACTTATCCAACTTCTGTGAGCACAGGGGCGCGAGCGCGCAGGACAAGTTCTCGCTGGAACCTCTCAAGAAGCTCGTCGATGTGCTCAAGAACACCCTCAAGGCCTTCTCCTTGTGGGAAATGACGTGGGAGAGCACCGTCATGGCCGGCAATGGATGGGAGTCGGGCGATATGGGTGACAAGCGCATTCGGTTCAACAACCGTATGGCTGAATTTGAGACGGCATTACTCGACCTTGAACAAGGCGGTGGTGTAAGTTGGATCCCACACGTTCCCCTTCCTCGGTATCAACACAAAACACTAACACATTTATCCAGATGCCCAACCGTCCGCAGTTCAAACACGTCATCTTCGGACCCCAGGCCTGGTCCGGCAACAAGCCCGTCACTTTCGCCGGCATCCGCGACGCCGTGGAAGCCGGCGACTGGGAGCTCGCCAACAAGCTGGTCGAGAAAACGGCGGGCATCATCCAGAAGGCGACAACCATGTTGCTGGATTGGGAGAAGAAGACGGAGAGCTGAAGACAGCGAGCACCTCGACCTTTCGGCTCACTCCCTCTCTCTCTCATGTTGAGCATTTTGTTTCTTTGTTTCGACATTTGTGTTTCTATATCTCAAGACGGGGGGGTCTCCCTCCGACTGTGCATCCCCTACGTGAGCCATGGCCCCCCTCGTTACTACCACGTAAGGGGAGGGGGCACACACAACCGCGGCATATCGCCAAAAAGATTTCCTCTTGCGTCTGTTTCTTTCTTTTGTCTAAGAGGCCCTTTCGGGCCCCGAGTGCCGTGAGGGTGGCACCGCCGGGACCCTGTCTCCGTGTTTTCTGGCATTGCAAGGAGTTTGGGGGCTTTTTTTCTTCTTCTTTTTCTTCTAAACCACATGTCTCGAGTATTCGTCGTCGATAGGTGTCGGTAGTTGCAGATAAAGATGTGACTTGCCGCTGTCAACATGCATCGCCGGTCGCGAAATGTGAGAATTATGTGAGGGTCTCGTTGCCGAGTTTTCATTTGCAGTGCTGGTATCATCTAATGGACATGGCCGGCATCGAGGACGCGAAGGGGGAGGCGTTGTGGGTTGGACAGAATTATCGCACATAGTTCCAAGACTGGAGGTTTCCAAACTTTGCTGCCCCTTACTTGAGGCCAGAAGATCATTGTGCAGCGTCGTACGCACCATGTCTAGCATTCAGAGAGTCCATGACACCAGCGTGTGAGGTAAAAGTTCGATCGCTTCAATGGGAAAAGACGTACACATATGTACAACTAAAGGCTACAAGCCACATGCAAAGTGTTTTTTCCCCTTCTCATCGTCTGGCAATCATCCACTCCCCGCGTTTCCCCTGATTCGTTGCATGCGCTTATCGTATGAACACGTCTTCCTGTCCTTGTCCCCGGCGTTGTCGGTTCAAGCCCTTCGTCCCCTCAGTGCAGGCTTCAGCCGCTAATTAAGAAAAGCATCTCTTCATAGCTTTCGTTGCAATCTCTCCGTTCTCGTGCGGCATGTCATGAACTGTAGAGCGTTCGGAAACCGAGTGATTCTTGCCTTCTCATTTCGGGTAAAGAACAACGCCCTCGTACTGCCGGCCTTTGATGCTTTCAAGAATGTGGTAGAAATGGCGCTTGCTGTTCTCAACCGAGGCCGAGTCCTGCTGATTGCCGGCAAGGTTGGAGTGGATAAGCTCGATGAGACCGTTGAGGTACTTGGTCGTGACCTAGCTTGGTATTAGAACTGCTAATATTTGGGTAGATTGTGTCGTCTAAACTTACCGCCGCGTTTTGTTGATCAAAGTAGTAGACGTATCGGTCCAGGATCTCGACGAAGAGCTCAATCGACGTCGCCGTCTCCATGCAAGAGTCGGCAACGCGCAGTGCTCTCTGGAGGCATTCGAGCACTCTCTTGCCATCACGGTACAACTGTGTAACAAGTCAGTATACAGAACAGCTGTCATTTGGTGTAGGTAACTTACGCCAGTCTCGTCAGTCTCTCCGTTGACAGCCATCGGCGTTGCCCACCACAGATGACTTGCGAGGTAGACAGCGCGGCACTGGTCCGGCTTCCGCAGGAGCTTGCTGCCGTGCTGGGCGCACTTGGTGATGAGCGTGTCGTAGTTCTCCTTGCCGAAGTTCCTCGTCTGGTGCAACGCTGTTGCAATGACACAGACGGCCTGGAACTGTGCCTTCGAATCCGAAATCGCCTCTTCATAGACGGTAAATGCCTGAGCAAAGAATTCGTAGGCCACCTCCTCAAAGCCCGTCATGTCGGCTGTTTGGCCAGACGCGCAGAAGAGGCGCAAGGCCAGTTCGGCCGCGCCGGCGCCGTTGACACGGGTATACAGAGTGCTCAGGGCAGAGTGCATGAACTTGAACAGCGCGTTGCTCTGGGTCTCCCAGTTGTCCTCGTAGTGCTCGCGTGTCTTGAAGCGTCTTGCGAGCTTCATGCAAGCAGTGATGAGCGGGGGCGTTGTCGTGCGGATTCTCTCGTTGCCTTCCGAGTAGGCCTTACGAGTCATCTGCAGCAGACGGAACTGTGTATCATTATCTTCGCCATTAATGAGGTGCACAATTCTGGCCAGCCAGCCCTGTTCCTCCATCGTCTCGTCCGTCTCGACAGCACGGCGCTGCGCAACTCCAGGATAGTTGGAGGGCGCCTGAGAACCCTCCTTAATGAGCACCTTTAGCACCTCCAGGACGTTCTCCAGTTGATTAGGGGTCGAGATCCGAGTTTGGTCCCGGAGAAGAGTCCGAGCCACCTCGCCGGCAACGGCACGGCGCGTGGGGTACGACTGGGATTGGAAGAGGGGAACATAGGTAGGGAGAGAGAGCGCGGTGAAGATGGAAAGGTAGCGGTTGAGGGGTGCTTGGAGCAGAGCCAAAAGACTTTGCTGAGCGGGGGGGAATGCAGATCAGCATTGTTCGCGTTCTCTCTGACTTTGATGGTTGCGTAGTCGAGGATCTGGTTGACAAAGTCTAAACGTTCGGGGTAGATGTTGAGTGCCAGATTTGTCAACGAGCACAGCAATGCTATTGTGTCCTGGATAGGGAGATGCTGCGCCTCGACAAGGTTCTTGACTTGGCTGAAGAAAATCTCGTAGAGCTGAACGTTCTCCGGGATGCCCTTCTCTGGCGCCGCCCCATCACCATTGACAGCAGTAGCCTCGGTATCTGCGATTGAGGGGGTCGGCTCGTCTGGGGGCGGAAGGTCCTCTGCTGCGCGAGCTTCGTTCTCGCTGGGCGGGTTGGCACCGTTGGTGTTGAAATCCGCGGGTTTGCTGGGGTCGTCATGGATGCCTGGTTGTCCACCGGACGCCGATGCTTGGCTGTCGTTCTTCAAGCTGGTCTTTTCCAACAAGGCTGCCAGTGCCTCTTCCTCCAACTTGGCTCGGTCGCCCTCCGTTTCATCCTTGGACTCGCGCTCTGCGTAATCCGACAAGCGATCCATCAAGCCAATTACAATAGCTTTGACGTTCACATGCGGATTCAATCGGGAGACTGCCCCGAGGAACTGGTCCAGCGTGTGGAGATGGAAGTCGTCGGGGAACACTTGGGTAATGACTTCCAAGAGATACTCCTGAGCTAGAACATCGCGACATTGTACAACTTGTTCCAGCAAAGGCGCAAGGATGCCCGACTTGTATGTCTCCAGATCCACCAGCTGGCTAAGTCGTACAATGTTGCTTCCGACCAGAAGCTGCAGCTCCTTTCTTTCTCTCGTTCGCTGTTCGCGCTCGCGGGAGTGGCCCTGGTGCTGCAGACGTACCCAAAGCTTGTTCATTTCGACAAAGTTGGTGAGGATGAAGTTGATGGAGTCGGACAGGTTACCCTCGGGGCCGTCACCGTCGCCCGTAGGCAAGTAGTCTCTGGCCTGGCCTGACAGGTAGTATCGCAGGAACAATCCGCGGATCGGGTGCTGTACGCCCCTGCTCATGTCCATCATATCCTTCATGAGTTCTTTGACAGGCGCGTCGGGAATCGACATATAGGCAGTGCCGACGGTGATCATGAGGTATAAGCGCGGAATTATGTTGCCGGCATATTGGACAAGTTCGTAAAGGTCGGCGAGGTGGTTGACCGGGTGGTTCTCTCGGAGGTGGACGGACAGGTAGCGCAAGGCGTCAAAGACGGCCATGTAGAGCTCGTAGTACTGTTTCGGACCGAGGCTGCTCGTGCGCAATTCGGAAACCAGGGTAGAGCTACGCGCGAGGGGTCGATTGGTTAGTCTATGCCATTGAGGCTTATCGGGATCGCAGGCAAGGCTCTCTCGAAGAGGCTCCGGGGATCCGGTGGCAGATGATGACGTACCAGCACTTAAGGGCATCCATGAGCTTGCCCGGAGTGTCGAGGCATTTCCTCATAAGGGCAGTCTGCTGGCGCACTGCAACCAGCGCATCCTCCAAGAGGCGCGCCTGGTCCTCAGGCGGTACCGGAGTCGCAGACATGTCGAGGTAAAGCCGGCGGGGTAGCTATCGATCGAGGCGATGTAGGGGGTTTTAGTAGCAGCTCATGGAGGGAAGAAGAAACGACGGTTCGGTGCGGTAGAAACGGTGTCGGAGTAATCGCGCAATGAAGAAGAACACAGGATTCCGGCTTGTGTCGTTGGCGCGGGTGCAGAAAGAGGTGCGAGGCGAGGTCGGGTTGAGTGTTCTGAAAGGCTGACGACAAAGTCAGGTTAGCTGGCTCCAGGCAGGTGCTGCTGGTGCTGGTGCTGGTGAGGTAAGGTCGGGACGGCGGCTGGGCTGTGCTTGCTGTGCGATGCGAGCTCGGTGGACTGTCCGTGGCTGGAGACTGGGCCGTGGCACTGACGGCTTGGCTGGTGTGAAGGCCACTGGCTGGCACGGAGTTCTCTTTAGTGGAGACGTTTGCCAGTGGCTGGCCAGAGAATCGGGCTGCCTGGATGCGAGATTATCTAATACTTTGATTACATAAGTCGCCGAGCTCCGGCGCAGGTCGGAGCACAACGACACGTGATGCTCAAGCGGTCAGAGCGGGGCACCGTCCGGAACTCAATCCCGCTCCCCGACCCTCCTACTAGGTACAGCTCGGGAGCGGAACTTTTGCTATTCAGCATGGCCCACATCGCAGTCCAACGACGACAACATCCATGTCAGTCTCGCCTGGTATGCACTAATCATCACACGCTACAGCGACAGTTCACTCGGCGTCACAACCTGAGGGTCTCGCTCCTAAGCAAGACTTCTTCATGAGAAATTGGAAAAGTAAATAACTAGAAACATGAGGGAAGGGCAGTCATGGCGCGAGCCTAAGGAGATATTTACGACTCAATACCCCAAGCACAACGAGTTCCGAAACCCAAACTCCTTACAGCTGACCATGTTCGCTTGTCATCGACTCCAAAACGCCAACTCAATTTGTTCCCTTCTCCGCGTTACCCCCCATATCGACCCAATTGAGTATCCCCGCACTCAATGGGTTAGTTTGCCCCGATTTCCCGAGATGGCTCAAGCACTCCCCAGCTGCTAGTTCGAGCCAAGCTCATGCGCACTACTACAGTCTCTTTGCGAGGTTCCTCGAATGTTCAGCTCAGGTTGACGAAGCAGCAGTCGCCGGAAGCTGGCAGTCTATCCGCAGATACTCCACCAACGCCGTATCAATGGAAGCCGAGAATGCTGCAAACAAGAGCGTCGAAGTCGTGCCCGGTGCAGGAAGATGGCGCATGTGGGGTACAATCTCCAGATGCTCGATGCCCTCGACCTTCTGCAGCTCGGCGATCCATTCCATGCTGTCGTGCTTGATGAGAGCGAGAAGGCGAAGGTCCGACACACCCAGCCTCTGAGGACCCTCCCACGCCGCCGCTGGCTTGCCTCCCTCGACGATTATCCTCATATTGGGGATCATCTTGTCAAGCCCCCGCAGGTATTTGCACAGGTTCGCCCAGTCCAGCCGGTCGCTCTCGCAGTAGTACAACGGTCCGTCCTTGCGAATCGTGATCTCTCGAATCATGGCGCGCGACGTGGGCGTCAGCTCCCTCAAGAAAGGGACGACTGCTTCGACATCGCCGCCAAAGTCGAAGCCGTGGAGGCCGTAGAGCATGTGGCTGGTCTCGCGGTGGATCTGGCGGTTAACGGCCATAATGGCGGGGTGCATGATTGTTTTTGACGCGAGGTGGTATGTTGTTTCGAAGCATTGGCGGTGGAAGGATCTCTCGATGATTCGATACGGCGAGCGGCGATATGTTTTCAGGATACCCGTCGGCAGCTGGTGCATCGCCTTGTTGCGGACCGCGAGTCTTCTTTCTCCCCCATCATCCAGAAGATGTTCATAAACCATCATGCGGATTTCGGCGGGAATCCGCATCAGGGGCGACTTTTCTTCGTCCATATCGCGGGGTAGAGGGTGGATATTGGGGTCGAAACCTGGGGGGCGTGACGGGGGGCCGGAACCTTTCGGTCGGTCAAGCAAAACGCTCGAAGTTGGATCACCCACAACAGCGACAAGAGGACGAAACACAGGCACGACGGAAGAGTAGATGTCATGGAATGCTCTCGGGTCCACGAAGTGCGCCGTCAGCTGGTCTTATGGCATCTTTTCCCCCGGCACAACCCTTTCCGAATTGGCACATAGACGCGTTCCGAGAGGGTCCATCAAGGTGCTGACATTGGCGTTATCTCCAACTCCCACTGGTCCCCCCGAATCACCGGCGTCCCTGCATCAAAGCCACCGCCCGCAGCTGATCCGTTTGAGACAACCTCGAGGCCGGTGGAAACAGCCCACTCGGCCAGTGACTCTGCCGCTCCTTCTATGCTGCGATTTGCTCGTCAACTGTGCCACATGCACCTCCACGCACGAATCCTCGCCCTTGGCCGTCAAGGTCCCCTTGTCGGGGGTGGATCCTCCGACCTCCGACTAGGAGTTGTGTTCACTACTCCCACAAGATAGACCAACGCGCCAAGAGTTCCTAGTCATTTTCACTCGATCCAACGTGAAGAATTACGGCGGTCGTGCACGATGCGACAAGCAATCCTGCTCCGCAAACACCTTCCGCCTCTTTACTACTGCTTACCCCTTGCATGGCAAAGGAGACACACAGTAAGCAGCCGCTGACTAGGGTCCACTGCGGATACCACGCTCAGTCAGATTCTGCCGTCTTGAGGTCCAATCACCTCGGTCCTCAATCCAGTCCAGCGCTCACGGTTCGGCAGGCCACTGGGTTCCACATCATGTTAGAGGAACGGGGGCGGCCGGCCATCCGCCTCCACACTCAGCCTCCACGGGTTCGGCACCCGCGTGCCGTTTGCACATGCTGTGCGGTAGTTGGTCGGTCTATTGTTGCATTCGAGTCGGCCTCGATCAGTCTCGTTTTCAAGGAGCTAGCTATCTCACCTTATCCCACCCTGATGCTTATCTTGGGTGCCATTTACCAAAGTCGCTTGCAGCGGGGAGTTATGTGCTGATCAGCCACGAGTGACTACCTATTCTCTCACTCACAAAGTGTGCCCGCCGCCTTGATTATTTACAAATTTCCGAGGGTCTTTCACAAAGCTGCATTTCATTCTGGAGCTCGGTACTTTACCTGTCACACATTGCTACTGAGCCAAAATGTTTAACATGCGCACGATATGTTCATGCCACAGGCCTGTATCAAAATATCTCAACTACCAAAGTTCTTGCACTGATCGTGCGTTGATTTACTTCTGGGCCCATAACCCCATGATTGGCTTCCATTACCGGATGTCCAGTATATCTATACGCAGCTTTGGAACCAGCTGCACTTACACTGACGTTGGGGGAAGGGATTCTGAGAGAAATGTCCAGACAAGAACATGCTGATTGGCCGCAAGCGCGCAGTCTGTAGCCTTATCTAGCTGGCAGAACGTGCCGTATTACGATCTCTCAGCCTTAGCCATCGTCAAATATGTTGGCCTTATTGGGAAGAGCACCACCCTTCTGCGTCGGAGTTACAAACTCGATGTAAGGAATTTGAAGTTATCTGCCAATGGCCTGTAGATGACGCCGAGTAGCCAGGTGAGCAGACTACCTCAGAGAGAAGAAATGCGGAACAAAATGGATATATTCCCTTTGCTCCTCAGCTTAATCCTCGGAAGGTTCTATTAACAGAGGCACATGTATCTCAATGCTTGTTCGGTATAGGTACTGTAGAATAGTACACAATACTCCTAGACTAATATCCTCTCTGCCTCCTCATGGCCTCAGTATGGTCACTACTCGACTCTCCGCTATTCTCCCGAGTTGAAAGTTCTCAGCTGAGCATTCTATAACATTTATCTAGAGTCGAGGCATCGCGTCGGTAGCCAAATACAGCAGACAAAGGCTTTACGTTCCGTGTCGTGCCCTGATGCAAAGACGCAAAAGGCCTCTGTTAGAATGCCATTCTTCCAGAAAGGCATGCCTTTGCCTGACTACCACGTATCAGGTATGAGCGTACATAACTTCAATTGTGCAATTTGAAAATGGGAGCTATTGTTCTGTATACACTGCAAGGTTCGAGGAAGATTTATTTGCATTAGGGAGTGCTGTTGGCAATGGCCAGGACTGGAGAGACTGCGCGCTATCGACTTGAGCACTAAATTCAAGTTTTTTCCTCAGCGCCTTGTTGGCTAAGTGGTATAGCGTCTCACTAGTATTCTAGTGTCATGAGAAGATCGGCGGTTCGATTCCGCCACGAGGCAATCTTTTTGCCCTTTCACCTAGAAGGCTTTACCCAATTTTCTCCATCATTATTAAATCGAATGATAGTTCAAAGCAAACAAGTCCTGTCCCAAATACCATCCATCCGTCGTGGAATTTTGTTTGTTGGTTGATTAGCTGGTGCGGCTTCAATTGTCGCGGTAACGGTCTCTACGTCGTCATTTCTGCAGCTAGTCAGTGTTTCAACCTGATCACAAGCAAGACCTGAACACCTCCAACGAACGATCATGTTCTTCTTCGTCATGATACCGAAGTAGATATCCGTAGATACATACCTACGGGCCTGAGCAAATGTTCCCTCCTTTTCGTCTAGTAAGGCTGCCCACATGCCCTACAACGCGCGCTAATGGGCCAAGCTTGTCCTTTCGCTGCTTCATTGCCAGGACACCTCCTGCTGCGGGCTCTCTATCGAAATTGGGCCTTGAGGGTCCTGGGACGGAGCAAAATGGCGGGAGAGAGAAGACGCACGGCGGCTGTGCAAAGGATTGATTGCGCCTCCTGATGCCCAGAAAACGACCCAGGGATTGCCGCTGCGCCCCAGACCGTGTGGGCAGTCTCAAACCAACGGGCTAGGAGAACCCACCCCTATGGGACTCGCGTGGGCGTTTTTTCCTAATTGAGTCAGCAGTCCAAATGTCCAAATCCTGGGTGATCCATGTCGCGCATTTTGACTTCTTGACGAGCTGTCCCTTGCATTTCTCGAATGTGACAGAGGGTGATGGTTAGGTTGTCAAGCATCATATAGCAGTTCTCGGCATGCCTCTTTCTCAATGCACGCACTGCTGTAGTGAACGCCGCCACCCGATTTGCGATGTGCAGCATGCATGGGAGCACTCTGCCCCTCGCTCTGCAAGAGATATATATCATTGAGCCTCATAATGGCATCAAGTCGGTCGTTATGTTGTCTCGGCGTTGTGTCCAATGCAAATGCTACACGTCTCGTTCGAACTTCAACAGTGGTTTGTTGGCTGAGGCCGTTAGAGATTCATGAAAGGCCTGCAGCCTCCTCCGTGCTAGCCGAAAAGGTTTGCTGGGATGCAGGGTGCCGTGGGCGTCCTCATCTGCTAATGTTTATTAACGTTGCATTGCGTTTCACGTGCTGGCCACTTCGCAGCAAATGGGCTCGATAGTACCTAACTCTCCCGTCTCAACCTTTGCGGTGTGGCCGACATGTCGATCTGTCAGTTTACCGGATCAGACCGTTGTTCGCCCTACCACCGTAGCTTGCATAGGTCCTCGCCACTTGACGTATGGTGTAGTTCCACGGTCCACCACAGCCGCCAAGAGCGCACAATTGTCCGTTCTTGAAGCGAACAAGAGAACGGACAGCACTTCAGAGTGGGAAGAACTGTCGTATCTGCAGATCAGAGCCGCTTGCGAGCACAACAAGCAACACAAGCGCGGTCAACTACCGGCTAGCGGCAACTCGGCTCTTCAATTCGGCTAGCGGGGAGCGCAGAAAAGACGCTGGCAAAAGACTGGGAAACCAGAGCATTATTACGACATTTATGACGGCTGTGGAGCTTTCCCCTGGTTGCCCAATAATGACTCGTGGGCAGGCCGCGGTCACCGAGTACACTAGAGAAACGAGAGAGGGAGGGAGAGACACAGCGCACATAGGGACCGGCCTGAAGGCCTCCCAAGACCGCTAAAGCACCGGTCTGGGACCATTTCCCAGGTTGGTGACCCATCACGCATGTAGAATGTCCAGTGTGCCCCAGTTCGACATCCTTGGTGCCCCCGGCCATCGGACAGTTGGGAATTGGTGAATACCCCGGGACTGGACTGGTCTTTTTCATCTTTGACAGCTGGACTGTGCTCCTGCTTTATCAGTTTTCCATTGCCCATTATCTGCCAAATCCGACCATTCTCGTCTCTTTGCTCTGTCACTCGAGCTGCTCACCGTCGATCGAAATTTGCAGAACATTGGGCGGTGGAAGATCTCCCGCTTTTCCAAGACTGCATTTCCAACAGGTGGCCCACACAACAGACAACGACAAGCTCGGGTTCCCGAAAGAACCGACTCCGAATCGATCTCGGGAGATTCTAGAAAGAGGGAGACCCACGAGGTTAAGAAAAACGACAAGATTACCACCATCGTTCTGCGATCTGTAGGGCGGAAGGACCATGGTATAGAGGGAAAATCACTTTGCTCGATAGACAATCCGAGGCGTCAAACACCCCATTGAGGGGCACATCTCCTAATCGTTTCACGAAATACTTTACGCACTGCTTGGTCGCCCGCGCAAGCCCGCGGGGAGCGAGCATATAATCCAAGCATCAGCAAGAACGCCACGACCAGTAACCACCACCCCAAGCAGCAGCAGTCATGACGACGACGTCCGACCCGAACCCGTTGTCGACGCAACGAGGCGCGGCGCCCCTGACGACCGTCTTCACGACGCCCGACTTCTGCAACAGCCTGTACTGGACAAACACCATCACGCCCCCACTGTCGAGCGAGGTATGTATGCCAACGTCATGGCACCAGGTCTTCGCTTACAGCTGGGGGTTCTACTCGCCCGCCATCTGCCCGTCGGGCTACACCGAGGGCTGCGCGTTCCCGACCTCGCTGGCCACGCGCAAGAACGGCAACGTCGGCCTGGGCGGGCCAGTCATCGCCGGTGAGACCCCGAGGTTATGCTGCCCGACGGGTCACACCTGCTACACGGACTCGTGGGCGTACAGCAAGTGCATATCAACGGTGCCCACGACGACCTTTTACAACAGCGACAATCAGAAAACGTCACAACTCGCGCTCGTGTTTGCGGTGCAGGTGCGGTGGCAGGCGTCGGACCTGAGTATCCTCGAGACAGACCCCACGGTCCCGGGGTCAAAGTATTCGGCGCCGTCATCGACGGGCGGCATCAGTGCGACGGCGGCGGCGACGGCAACAGCGACGGCAACGGCAACGGCAACTGCAACGGCAACGGGAGTTGGATCGACGGCGGCGGCGGGATCGGACACCACTTCGTCCTCGGGAGGCGGCGGAGGGATTCCTGTGGCCACGACGATAGGGATCGCGGTTGGCTCGGTCGTCGGATCGCTGGCTCTGGCACTGATCGGGTTCATGCTCTGGTGGCGGCGGCGGAGGAGGCAAGAAGCGCAGCGCGTCAACGCACACAACAGCGACGCCAAGTCGGACTCCCTGGCGCCCCCGATGCTGGCGAACAAGGCGTCGTCCGGGAAAACGTCGTTCGATCTGACGTCGCCGAGCACGGCGAGGCCGGGGACAGGGACGACGGTCGTCGGGGACGCGCCGCACTCGCCGGCGGCGACGCAGCTGGACTCGACAGTGGTGATGGAGATGGAGACCATGGAGAGGCCGCAGGAGTTGCCCGAGGACAACGAGGTCTTTGAGATGGAGGGCGACATGCCCGGCCCGCCTCTGTATCGGGAGAAGGAGGGTTGGCCCCTTCGGTCATGAGGCTTTTGAGACTTCGCGGGCGGACGACCGTGCGGCGTTTACCAGCGGTGCTGGCCGCGACCGTGTCCATTAGTACATATTGTGTCTTGTATAATGCAGCGCTGGAGTTCTGTGTGTAAGGGATGGGATTACTATATGCTCGAGAACCGCTTCGGTCGGAATTCTTGGAAGAGCAATGCTCCAGAAAGTAAGAGGAGCAATTTTAGGGCATTAATCAATCAAATATAAATCTTAGCCATGTCTCACGTCTGCGCTACAATGAAACAACGCCGCTGTCACGTTGAACTTGACCCCGATGGGATTCCCTGAACCTATCCTTGAATTTGCCTGAGCCGTCAACCAGAATCCCATAGCGCGCTCAACGGGAAACCAAGAGTTAATGTCTAAAATGTCTACATCATGTAGTCTCACCAAACTCATGACAAATAGATATGACGTACTGACGTCCGAATCCGTATCACATGCTGGCAAATTGTTCTTGCTTATAGCGTCCTTTGGCGGGGGCTATTGGGATTGGATTCCGAGCAATCCACATTTGCCTCACAGTCGTCGGCTTCAACAATGACTAGACAGCCCCTCATGCCCATCCCATGAGCCCATCGATCCATTGATGTAGCTTCAGATTTCCCATCAGTAAGCCAAGCTCAATGGTCGGGTCGCAAACCGGGCTGTCTGCAAGATGTTGCTGATGACAATATTACAGGAGTATGAAACCTTCCATCCCATTCAAACTTGATGTTTATAAGACGTTTGGTCAGCGGTCGCGGCATATGTTCATGATGGATGAAGGGTTGTTCTCGGAACTCCCACTCCTTTTGTTATCGATTTCCTCCTATCTGGTGCGCTGTCCTCTATACTCGAATTCATGTCCGCAGCCTATTCTAGATATCATTGGAGTTATTCCCGTGGGCTAGAGCCATCGTACCATCCAGGCAGCGATGCCCTTTTTGTGCGTTCGGGCCCCTCATCCCAGGCTACTGAACCACTAGGATCTGACCTCACAGCGGTCCCTACTCCAATATACTTACCGTATCTGGCAGCGCTGACAGGGTCCTAGCAGGCAGACATGTCGCCATTGCATGCTCATCCGAACGTCTGGAGGCTAAGGGATATAAAATAGTCCCAACGATGCTATTGCCACGCTTTTGCTCTTGAAATCGAGTACATTCTCTTGGAAGAAAAAAGTGCCCCAGAGCGTCGAATCGCGACATGTCTTGGCGTAACCCAAAGGAGATGAACATCCCGCAGGGGGTTGACATCGTCAACCCCAATTACACCCATCCTCAACTCGTCATGACCCGTAAGTGACCATGGACCTCCAGCTTGATCTGCATCACGACGGCATCCTCATCTCATCTCCTTAGCCGACCTCCACGTCTTGCCCATCGATCTCCTCATTGGCTTCACCTGGGTTCTCATGGGCAAATGCCACCTGTTCAGCGGCAAACCATCGACACAGCTGCATCTCTCCGAGGAAGACGAGACTGCGCTCTTTATCAGGCCGTACAACGAATGGGCGCCCCCGCCCTTCAACAACTGCTCTATTCGCGTCGACTCGGCCATGAACCGCGCGACGGCTGCTGTGTCGGGCATGGGTGATTTGCTGTCCATTGTCAACACCACGAGCACAGAGTGTGACAGGGACCTTCACCACATGAAGACCCGGCTTCTACACGGCCTGCCGCCCATGTCGCTGTCGCGGTGGCGGAAAAAGGGGCTGCACGGGCCGGAGAACATGAAGCGAGCCTGTCAGTACCTATGCGCAGTGGTGGACGCTTTTGAGTATCTCAACCTCCCGCACAGCGAGTCGCGCATGCGGAAGGCGTGCAATGGGGTCTGGACAGCATGCCACGATTTCTCGAGGGCTCTAAACGCGTACCGACAGGAGAAGGGTCGCAGTCCCATCTCGGTAACGGCGGCCTGGGAGGAGTACATGGTCGACTACTTCGAGACCGTGGCGGCGAGGGCTCATGCGTGGGTGATGGAAAGGATCGACGAGCTACGGGAAATGCTCATCCTGCAGCTACGAAACACGACGGGCGACCCAAACGACCAGGTATCCTCTACGCAGATGGCGATTCTCGACTCGATCCACGATCTTGTCGAGATTACAAACAAAGCCGACACCAAGATCATGCTGCCCCTGTTCGGCTTCACACTCAAGACCTTGACCTCGGCGGCGCCGAGGCTCCGGGATGACTGGAACGGCTATGGCGGTGCCGAGCCGATGACTCAGTATTCCTACGATATGCGCGTCCGCTCGCGGGTGTATGGCATCCGGTGTAGGTACCTGAGCAGAACAGCCTCGGTCCAGCAAGCCTTCGAAGACGCGCGCAACGGCGTGCGCCGCTCGCACTCGGATCCTCAGAGCCTGGAGCGGACGTGTCGACTGCAGGTCAGAGAGTACTTACAGGCGAGGCGGGAGCTGCGCGGGCCGGAGCCGGAGATGGCGGATGAGCCGTGGATTGTGAATCTAAAGAACACCATGCGGTTGGCGGTCCGGCCCCCGTTGCGGGTCTGGGGTTTCATCGGGTACAGGATCTCGTACGAGCATTCGGACGAGGAGTGTAAGCAGTTCCTGGAGAGTTTCAAAGACAACGTGACGGGGTGGGGTGAGGGGTTGAAGGGCGCGGCGGATGTGAAGCCAGCGTGCAAGTTGAGGTGGATTGATGGACGGGAGCATGGAATCTCGGAGGGAGACATCGAGGCGGCGAGACGGTGAGTGTCTCCGGCCAGAGTGACGAAAAGATGAATGCTGACAAGCGCAGGCATTACGAGGAGTACAGCAAGTCGCCCGCCTGCGAAGGCTTCCTGACACCAGCGGCAATCTTCTTGGCTGCCGATAAGGCGGCCATCGACTCGTACCTGAAGCCGGTTCCGGACACCGCGGAGCCGATCATCCCTCGCGGTGACTTGGGCAGTTTTGTTCTGGCCGCCAAGGCGTCCGATAAGAGGGGAACGGACAACAGGCGGCGGGACCAGAGGAGACGAGATGCTGAGACGCCGAGCGAAGAGTTCGATGGTACCCTCAGGGTACTCGGGTCAATACTCTTCGACGACTTTTGGGCTTTGATGGGCCGGAGCACATTCGGCTTGAAGGAGCTAGCCAAGCTGGCTGCGATTCACCCCCAGCAGGTTTACACGGGGCCAAGCGTGCCCGTGGAAAGGCAAGGATGGCGGCATTCGGGTTGTTGGAGTTTGACAGTGTTGAAGTCATTTGAGAAATGGCAGAGTCTCTAGTTAGACATGTCCCATCTTCAAAGGACGTGGCGATGCAAGATACCCCTTCCGAAAGATTGTAATGGGAAAATGAAGAGCAAGCGAGCGTTGTTCGTGACAAGGTGTAAGTGGTGTTTGCTGGTGGCCACTCGAACAACGAAGAATGTGCCACTACGAATATGGCATGAAGCAAGCAGTGCCCAAGCAGTGCCCTCGACGACAATCGATCGTTTTGCGCTTGTCAAAGAATAAGGCAAGCTAACCTCAGTGATATGTAGTAGCAAAAGTATCAATTGTTAGCCTCACAACATCGACCTCGCTGCAACTCTATAGAATAGCTTGGCTTGTTGTGCTTGCGAAATCCGGCTTGAGTCCGGGCGGAACCTAAACCCACAACATCAAACCATTCGACGTCATCCATATCTTTAGACGTGCTTCCTTGGAGAAACACATCCAAGACTCGCCGGCCGACATAACTCCCCCAATCCTTGAACGTTGGCTCAATCATACACCCTCACAAGGCTTGAGTAGCCCGTGAATCACAATCATGGCCACCACCGAAATCCCCAAAACGATGAAGGCCGTGCAAGTCACGGCTTTCAACACGCCCTACAAACTCACCACCGTCCCCGTCCCAGCCTCTCTCGGGCCCTACGACCTCCTCGTCAAAGTAGCCGTCGCGTCTTACTGCCACACCGACGGCATGGTTTTCTCGGGCGTCTTCGGCACCGCCCTCCCCTGCACTGCCTCGCACGAGGGGTCCGGCACCGTCGTCCGCATTGGCGATTCCGTCCGCGACTTCGGGCCGGGAGACAGGGTCATGTGCGGTCTGCCGCTACACCCCTGCGGAGAGTGCCCCGACTGCACCGGGCCCGAGACGTTTCGGCAGTACTGCACCAACATCGACGGGCATGTCGGCGTGCACGTGGACGGGTGTTTTGCCGAGTTCGTCAAGGTTGACTCGAGAAGCACCGTCGCCTTGCCCGATGAGATCTCATTCCTGAGTGCGGCGCCGCTGGCGTGTGCCGGGAGGACGGTCTGGAGGGGCGTGTTGCAGGCCAGCCTCGACAAGGGGCAGTGGCTTGCCATCATTGGTTCGGGCGGCGGACTGGGGCATTTGGGAGTGCAAATGGCCAAGGCTTTGGGCCTGCGCGTCGTTGGGGTCGACGCTCGTGATCAAGGGCTAGAGTTGACGAAGAAGAGCAACGCCGATGTGGTCCTCGACGCGAGAAGGGAAAAGAAAGAAGTCGTCGAGGAAGTGCAAAAGGCAACGGGCGGGCTGGGTGCTGACGCAACGATCAACCTGTCGGATGCCAATGGCGCGGCAGGCCTAGCATGTGCCGTAACGAAGATGCACGGCACCATGATCCAGATTGCGCAGCCTGACGATGTCAAGATTCCGTTCCATGAGCTGGTGTTTCGGGATATCCGAGTGAAAGGAAGCTTGCTGTGTTCAAAGAAGGAGAGCGAGGGTCTGGTAAAGCATGTTGCGGATCATGGCATCAAACTGGAGACGAATGTGTTCCATGGGCTTGACAAGATTCATGAACTCATCGAGCTGGTGCATACTGGTGGGATGAGCGGGAAGGCCGTCATAGTTGTCGATGAGGGTCAAATGAAGCGAGAGAAGCGACTCGGGGTCAAGTTTTGATGCAGATTGAATTCAGGACCAACTTCCCAGCCATGCCCATAATGCTAATAGTACAAAACGCTATCAAATGTTCATGACTCCGTGTCGGAAACAGACGTGACGTCCTTCCTGTGCTTATCCCACGGGCTTCCCCCCTTGTTCGTCGGCGTGTCGGCGTGATGGCTCGCAATCTTCGTGTCCACAGGCGCCTGGCGCTTCTTCTCGCCATTTTGGCCTCCGCCCGTACCGAAGAAGCCTTGCAACTTGGATCCGACGCCAGAGCCGTTCGAGCTGCTGGCAGTATCGCTGCCGCCCCCGCCGCCATTGCTCTTGCCTCCACCGAGAGCTCCCGTCGCCGTCGACGATCCGGGGCTCATCGAAGGGCCATGCGTCTCAATCGCCCTCGTGTTGGAGTTGCCGCCTCCGTATCCTCCGCCAATCTGGCCTGCGTCGGATGGGAATTTCTCGGAAGGGCCCTTGGGCGTGTCCCGGTTTCCGCTCGAACCACTGCGGGTGCCGCTGCTGAGCTCGGCGCCTCCAGTATTGTTGTTCAAGCCCACGCCAGCGCCGCCCAGGCCGTTGTCGCGCTTCGCGTCGGCGGCGCGTTTCCGATCCTGCGTGGCCATCTCGTCGGAGGTCGGGCGCGGCTTGTCGGCATTGGCGATCTGTTGAGACGCATCGCCTGACGTGTTTGAGGGCTTGCGGGCGTAGTAGACGCCGCCGCCGAGCAGGGCTGCGGCGCCCATGAGGGGTACTGCGAGATTTTGACGAGACATTTTGGTGTGTATAGGAGGATAAAATGATCAGCAATAATGAAAAAGGTGATCGGATGGTCTCGTGGAGTATAAGTTGATTGAAGGGTGTCGAATTTATCACGGCTTATTAGCGTAACAGTTGAATGAATGATCAGGTGTATGGTGTGTATGAACAAGGGACGAACCCCTCTTCCTACGGCCCAGCTTCATTTTAATCGAGCCTTTGCTGAGGCTTTGCTCTGACGGGCGCATGGCATCATCCATCACCGCAAAAGAAGGGCGTTGTCCAACGCGCTCACACCTCGTCTGATGCGAGGCGCAAATCGATGACAGCTGCTCTGGTGGGCGATGACATCAGTATGTGGTGCGACCATCCGCATTTTCGGATCGCTCTGCAAAGGATCGGCAGGGACCGCCATCGATGATGAATCTATGATTCGTCAATGGGGCAATTTCAGCCCTTTTTTCTGTCTCTTTCTCCAGGTCTAGCCCAGCAGCCCCCAAGCTAACGAGACGTATCGCGTGGGGAACTAGGCATGGAGCTGGAGTTGCACTGGAGCTTGGAGCTGGAGGAATGGATGGAGCTAAGACAACTAATGTATGGTTTAGCTACAATTCCACAACTTGATATCAGATTGGATCTGGATGCAGTGGCTTCGAGTGTGCCATCGTCGGCCTGTACGGCTGGCGACCCCACGTTTGCTCCGGGTCTGGACCGGAGGAGGGGGACCATCAAGTCCAGGGATCGGGATGCTCTATTGATCGGAATCATTCTTTCTCCACATGCGCGGGATCACTGCTTCAATGTGATACCCTGCTGATCCATCCAACTTGTCCCCCGTCCGAGACGTTTCCTCAGCAAAACACAACCCACCGCCGCGAACGATGCACCAAAACACATTGCCTGCAGGACCACGAACCCCGTCCCAAACCGCGCATTCATGTTCCCGGCCTCCCGCCGTCCCAGGAAACTCTTGACAATCAGTCCGTTGAGCGTCAGCACGAACGGCGGCAGGAACGCAGCGCACGGCAGCATGCACCACGTCCACAGGCGGTACCGGTCCCAGAAGACGGTCGGGAGCACCTCGATCTCGGAGCGCGAGCCGCGCGGGCACGGGCAGAAGCGCTTGAAGCACGAGAAGTAGCACTGGCAGCGCAGCCAGCTGGGGCGCACGGCGATCAGGACCTCGGCGACGAAGATGAAGAGGACGATGACGAGGGCGTAGACGAGAGAGATGTAGGGCAGCGTTGTGGGCAGGTCAAAGTAGCCGTTGCGGAAGGCCTTGAAGTAGGGCGACGCACACGGCTCGGGACCTTGGAGGCAGGCCCAGTCGTCGGAGGGCACCGAGAGGTCCCGGCCGATGGCAGCGAGGTCGTAAGGAAGATGGGGCGTGGAGCCGACGATTCCCGCCTTCGAGGCGCTGGGGTACTCGTAGTCAAATGAGGCGGCGAAGTAATGCATCGTTACGAGGTAGGAGTCGGACTCGGGGGAGGGGACGATGCCGTCAAACTGCGGAATCTGTTAGCCATGGAGGGACCACTGCAAGATACAGCACCTGTGACTGACCTGTACGATGGCTAGGCTGGAGAGGGCCAGACGTTCGGAGCCATCACTGTGACGGACGATCCATTTGCCAGCGATGAGTGTGAGGATCTGGACGATGGAAGCGAAGACCCCAAGGATGTAGGTGAGGCCGAGCAAGATTGTGCGCATGCGCTGCCGCCGCGGGCTAAACGGCGGTGATTCCTTCGTCGAATAATCCATTTCCGTGATGGTGACAGTCGATCCTTTCCAGTAAGCTCTGTCAGGCCTGTTGGATAAACGCGGAACACGCCCAGAGCAACCGATCATGAACCTGGCCAAAGGGAAGCCTTTATCAACATCGGGCTCGGATGAATCCCTGTCTGTCGCTCCGGTGGGATACCCTGTCTTTCGTGTCGAGGGAGCACAACAAGCTTAAAAAAGGGTTAAAAGAATGCAGCCTAGAGCTGGGAGGCTGAGTGCAGCTCGGGTCCAAGGGCGGGATTCGTATTCCAAAATTGGTACTCGATCGTAAAGCGCTAAGAATTCATTGGCTCGTCGAACTAGTCATATCAGTCCGCGCCGCTCGAATGCCGTCAACTCCAAGCAGTTCAGAACCACGGCTTCGCCATCCCATATTATAAGAAGGCTTGCGACTTTGCTTGCCTTTTCTTCTTCTTCAGTACAGCTGAGAAACTCTGGAAGAATGCACTTGTGCCGTTACTTGTCAAGTTCCCTGCGTTGTCCATCGTCTTCGCATTCACTCATCACCAGTTTCCGTCGTTAGCGTCTTGTCGCTCCGGAGTTCCGCACTCGTGTCCAAGGCCCCTTTCCCCTTGTACTAATACGCGCGGTTAAATATAGTAGGACAAACGCAAACACTTAATTACACAGCATCGAGAGGGAGTGTTCTGAAGGGCAACGTCTGAATGTGCTTAATGATGCAAATGTCCCGAAGGGACCCCCAAGTCCTCCCACGACGATCATTTCCAACACAAGCCAGCTCGCAACCCCACTTGCCGATCGATCACTGAATCTCAGCTGTGGTCCAGAGCGCGCCCCACTGCAGGTACACATGCCATGATCTGATCTGAGCCGCATCTCCATCACTGCTCACCTCTCGTTCCTCGAGGCCGTGGATGCGACGACCGAGTTACAAGCGCAGTGCAGTTGCGATGGTTGTCTTCACTTCATCTTAACTCTGGTGAGATATCAACTCCGCCGCACTGCTTCACGTCCGGACCAAGTATCACATTGCCCATCAATTGGTGTCTCTGGCCTTCAATCAGAATAGCCCTGTGACGAGGACATCGGCACTGTCAAGAGAGCAATTTGGCCTCCCATCGACGAAGGTCCATAATATAAAGCTCGCATCGCACACTGCAGCTCTCCTTCAAGCCGCAAAATGACAACGGCCTTCCCATTCCTCAAACCCCTACTCTGCATCGCTGCGTCTACCTAGTCCTTCGGCCGATAGATCACCTTCTCTTTCAGTAACCGTGGCGTATCCGGATCGTGACTCGGCAAGACAACAACGTCGTGGTGCCTTGCATACTCCTTGATCTTCTTCAGGCTCTCAAACGCCGCCACCGGATCGCTGTTCGCGCCGTCCGGCTCCTCCTTCTCGAGCACACTGATCGCGTACGTCGCGTCCCCCGTGAGGAGGTACTTCGTCTTCGTCCCGTCGTCGTTGTCGCCCACCACAATCAGCGAGATGTGCCCGGGCACGTGGCCCGGCGTGTCCACCGCCACCACCGTCCCGTTCGCCGTCAGCGCGCAGGACCTCTCCCACGGCCCGACCGCGCGCTTCTCCTCAAAGTCGAGTATCCGGGGCTGGAAGTCCTTGGGCCAGCGGTCCGGCGTGCACCCCTGCATGGCCGCGTAGATCGGGTGCTTCCCGAAGGCGTCCCAGTGCTCGGAGCCGACGTAGATCGGCACCTCCGGCGCCGCGACGGCCAGCTCCTCCAGCCCGCCCGCGTGGTCGTGGTGCAAGTGGCTGATGATGATGAATTGCAGGTCCGTCGGCTTAATGCCCCGCTGGCTGAGCTGCTCGACGATGCCGTCCTCCTTTGTGACCTCGAGCTTGTTGAGGATGCCCGGGACCGGGTTCCAGCAGGGGAAGTAGCCCGGCTCCGTGCAGTGCGTCGAGACGCCCGTGTCAAACAGGATCGGGCCATTGGGGTGGTGGATGAGGAAGGCCCCGAGCGGCATGGGGCCAATCCATTCGCCCGTAAAGGAGCGGAGCAGGCGCAAGGCGATGTTACGGTTGGTGATGGGCTGGCCCTGCATCGGGTTGCGCATCCATACGTTGCCCGTGGTGATGAATTCTAGTGAGATTTTGTCGTCGGACGCCATGTTGGCGGCTGGGGATGATCGGGATGCAGCTCGATGCTCAGTTACTTGAGGAGACCGTCAATCTCTGTGGAGAGTTCAATTGTGAGGTGGGAAAGAAAATGGGCCATCGAACTGGAGATGTTCTTTCTAAAAGACATGTGGGTTGGTCTTACACGTCCAGCAGCGGCTCCATCATATGGAGGCAACCGTTTCTGGGGATATCGCAGGAACTTGGTGCCGTAACCTGGCCAATGATCTGGCCAATAATGGACATTCCAACAAGGCGCACTCCGCTTCCAACAGTAATAGATAGCACCCCTGCCAACCGAGGGCCTATGATGACAGCAGCGCATTCCTTCGGGCAGGGCGACGGCTGACATGACAGGGCTGTCTGCGGCACAAGAATAGAGCATGCGTGAGACAGCATCCCTAAAGCTGTAGCCTGCGACATGTCGAACCAAGATCCACACTATGGCTCGGCCGAAGGGCTAAAACCTACTTGATCATCGGTCCAGATGGAAAAGCAACACACACCAGACAGGGCTCCATACCGAGAGAGTCAATGGCGGTCGGCCTGAGGTGAGGGACACCCCGGACAGAAGGCAACATGGAAAACAGCGACAAGATAGAAACATTGATATGTGCATTGGTGTATTTACTCAGGGTAGGGGAGCCAGCATCAGCTCCCGGCTTACCCAGACCCCTCAAATATGTGCTTGAATCCTAGCTTATGTACTTTCGGAGAAATTATTAACAGTCAAATAAGGTTTACCGCAGCAGGGCGTGGACGGTAGAGTTGTAGTTGTCGATGCAGGGCCCGAGGTAGGTTGACGTCAGGGACGCGGTCGTGTTCTTGGCCAGCGAGGCGAGCGCGCTGGTGCCGCAGCGGAGGCCGAGGACGAAGGCCTTGTGCATGGCATCGGCGAGGAACGGCGCGGTGTGGGTGTGGTCGTTGGGGTAGTTGGCGTTGACGGTCGAGGCCCCGAGGTTCTTCATCGCCTGGGCTGCGTACTCGCCGTGCGGGACGAAGTAGTAGCCCTTGGAGGGGCCGCCGAGCTGCTCGACGGCGAGCCTGCGTCGGTCGTGTTAGCATCGTGGGCGGCGCTTTCATGAAGAACGATCGGAGGCTTACCAAGCGTAGTAGAAGAAACGGTCGTATCCCCATTTGTAGGTGCCGGTCTCCCAGACGTTGTTGGGGGTCGCAGCCGAGATAATGACTTTCGCTCCTTTGGCATTAAACTTCTTTGCAGCATTTTTGAGATAGGCCGGGTAGGTCAGAACGGTCTCGGCGACGCCGCTGGAATTCGTGTCAGTGTGTTGACATTAAAGACATGGTCACTCCTAAAACAGCTTGAAGAGAAACTCACTTGTAGGTGGTCGTGCAGGTCTGGGCACCATCACCAAAGCAGTCCGTCCGGCCGTTGTCTGTGGGCGTGAGAGAACCTCCGTCGTTGTGGCCGAACTCGATGATGACCCAGTCGCCCGACTTGACGAGGCCGGCAACGGTGTCGAAGCGACCCTCGCGGGTGTAAGAGCGAGCACTGCGTCCACCGATGGCGCGGTTGTCGACCTTGGCCTTGCTGGTCGAGAAGGAGTACTGAAGGTACGGTCCCCAACCCTCGGTGCCGCCACCGCCTCCGCCCTTGGCCGTGGTGCTGTCGCCGCAGAGATAGATGGTGGGAACAGTCTGGCGCTTGTCGACAGCTTCGGCGTCAGCCGGGAGAGCAGAGGCCAGGCCCAGGAAGCTGGCCAAGACAGCGAGGTTTGCGCGCATGGTTTCGGTGGTAGTAGAGAGTGTCTGGTGAGAAGCGAGTGACGGTCGAGTGAGCGAAGGAATATTGTGAGATTGTGAGAAGCTTCAATCAAGGAGGCTGACTCTCTCATAAAAGAGGGTTTTACCGTTCCTCAACAAGCTTCCGCATGGCCCGGGATACGTGGGAAATCCCAAAATCCAATATATTTTGCCGGCATAACCTGATCCCAGTCATTTCTGTTTCTGGCCAGTGTCTCCTCAATATCGTCAACATCGAAGAACCGACGTTTGTTTCCACTCGTCCGGGGCCCTCTCGGTTCACTCTTGGGCGAGACCGACCGATCATTGAAGCGGAACTATCGACCACGGGGCCGGCGTCGTCCTGTGCCACATAGAGTGCATACGACAAAGCTAGAGTGAACCAGCAATCAGACGAGCTGCAGCGGCACTTGGGGTCACACTAAGGTCCTTCGCGCAGACCCCACACGCAGCGTTGTTCGTTTCGAAGAAGCTTAGCGATTGCATTCCTCGAATCTCCGTCGTCACATCATGCTCATTTGGCTCGCTTGGTAGACCCTTTCAGTGTCCTACTGCGGTTGGCCCCCCTCTCCTCTCCACTTCCCAAGGTAAGACAATCTCACAATTAATCTGGATTTCCGTTTGGTTCGAGAAGGAGAGAGGGGGGGCCTGTTGTTCGCTTCGCTTGTTCAGCACGTAAATCTCCGCCAATCGTAGGCTGCTATGCCAGGTGGCCCATCCATTGACTGGAGCGTCCACGCGCATTTGGGAGAGCCTCCGCCGGGATGCCCCAGTCGCATTTGCCTCTTTCGGTGGGTGATGCAACCTGAGTGCCGCAGTCGGGTAATAAGTAAGAAGGGGAGGGGAGCGTCCCCTCTTCTGGTCCAAGTTGGAGCTCCATGGATTCGGACCCGGCGCGAATATGGCGCGAAAGAGAGGCAAACCCTCCTTAACCCCGCGCTGAAATGAAGGAGGGCTACCCCTTCAAATGGATCAGACAACTGACTGGTGAAGTAGGGCTGCGATGGGCGGAACTATCAACGCCGCGGTTGCATTGCTTGCCAGTCCCCCAGAATCCCCGAAGGCAATGGTACACTACCCAGATGGGAGGCCGGCAATCTAAAGCACGTGAAAGGCAAAGTTGTTGGGTATAAACGAGCAGATGGATTCTTCCCAAGGTTGGATCAGATGAACTGGGCCGTCTGATCCGAGGGAAAGCCTCATGTTGATTGGTGCGACTCATTCCAATGCAACGTCTCAAGGCACCTCTAAGCATTCGAGGCAAGGATCGTCCCGCTGATTAACAAACCTTAACAAGAAGGTGAGGAGACCTGCTGAGGAAGGCCTGCGACGACGGTGTTAACTGTGCACGGTCCAGTTTAAAAATATAAATATAGAAATTACGGGCTTGGGAATGTCTTACGAAGGAGAAGAAAAGCTGTGCAAGAAGCAGCAGAGACAATTGATGGGCTGCTTGACCGCTTCTATGTTACGCCAAATAAGGCTGGGTCGACTGCTTGCCGGGACGTACGTCGTGATGTCGGTGGCCGGCTAGCTAATGTCGGTAACCGGCAACCTAATATCGAAAGGCTATATGTTTGAGCAAGATTACAAGGCGAACCCCGATGCACTCTGGGAAGAGAAAAACAATCAATCCAGGATTAGAACGCTTTTGGGTAACTTTTGGTGAACCGTTGACCCAGCCCCGGGGTGGTCAACGCACGAAATTGACGCAGGCCGTTGGCTTAGACTACTGACTGCGAAAAAGGCAAGTCCCCATTGGGAATTTTGCTCCGAGAACACAGCGTGCCGAGTCAGATGTTGTGTTAACCAACCGTTTGGTCATCGGCGTGGGGGGTGTCTAGAATGTTTCTCAACCAGCTGTGACATGGACTGGACGTTTTCATAGAGGACAAAAGGGAGGGCAAAGCTGTGTGTGCCGTGGGAGCCGACACACTTGAACCTATCTCACGATAAATCGAAAGAGCTGGGGGACACTTCGCTTTAAATAGATGGTCTCGAAATGGATGGGCAGATTGGCGTCCCCAAAACTTTCCTTGGCGGACCTCGTCTCAGTGGGTTGGCAGCTTGCTATTGACTGGCAACAGTCTTGGCATGACATTGTTGACGGAAAAGATATTTCCGTCAGCCTGGGTTATTTCTTGGGCAGCTGCAAGTGTTTGGTATTCCAAACTTCCTGAGAAAACCTACCCGCCTTACCTCATTCACGAGTCACTTTTACCAGGGTCTGATTTACATACCGCCTTCGGTTGACAACAGCTCTGCTGACACTTGTACTATTGGTGGCCTTCCTTCGTACGTCGTCAAAGCCACGAATGTTGCTCAGATCCAGCTGGCTGTCAACTTTGCTCGCAACCTCAATCTTCGCTTGGTGATAGAGAATACTGGCCATGACTTCAACGATGGTTCCGGTGCTCTATCTATACGGACTCATCTCCTCAAAAGCATCAACTTCTACAAAACTTACAAGCCCAAATCGTGTTCTGGCCCCGCTATTAAGGTTGGAGCCGGTATCCAGGGCTTTGAGCTCTACAAACAGCTGAACAATATGGCGTGACCGCTGTTGGAGGTGAGGGTATGACCGTTGGCTTCGCCGGAGGTCACCTTGCTGGAGGTGGTCACTCACCACTCTCGCCCAAATGCGGCATTGCTGCTGAATCAGTGGCCATCCTTTTAACCCTTAAAGCATATAACACAGCAAGACTGACTACGTTTCTTAGGTCTTGAGCATTGATGTCATCACCCCTGACGGATGTTTTGTGACTGCTAACGAGAAGCAGAATACTGAATTGTTCTGGGTCCTCCGAGGTGGCGGTGGCAGTAAGCAAGACCCACGGCGTTTGAAAGACATTGGCTGACCAAATGATTAACACCTTCGGTGTTGCTACCTCATACATTGTCAAGGCTTACCCCAAGCTCGATATTGTCACTGTTATGACCTTCAGTTCCAGTACTAGCGAGACGGTCGGTCAAAATGCCTTCTGGGCTGGTGTCAAGGCCTATTGGGAGGGTCTTCCTACCTGGAACGCGGCCGGCAACTACGAGTACTGGAATATCTTTCAGACTGGTCCGGGCTCTCTTATCTTCACCATGCTCCCCTGGTTTGCACCCACTATGACCCGTGCGGAACTCAAGACCCTTATCGCCCCTCTTTTTGCTAGATGGACTGAGCTTGAGATCACCATTGATCTAGTCTAAGTCACCGTACCCACTTTCCGACCACCCCCCACTTCCGACCACCCAAAAACGAGGCTATCGCAACACAACCACCTATTTCAATTGACTATCGACGAGGGCCAGATGCAACTATGATACAGCTTTCTGCTTCACTAGGGCAATCAGATGCGCTGGATTCATCTGCGTCAGCTTCAGCTTTGCTAGCCTCGATCTGGGCTTTCCGTATATCGCTGATGTTAGCGAACTTGGTATTAGGGTCGATTTGAACAGCCTTCCTCTTCCTTGCTGCCGTATTACTGACTTGGGCTTGGAAAAGCTGTATCTGGTGCTGGGCAGTAGCTAGCTAGAAGGACTACTCTTAGAAGCCTTTTTTGACCTTTCTGAATAGTTGGCGTTATATAGTTACACTTTGATCCAGCTTATTGAATAAGTCTAGTTGACTGTTGAGATCCTTTATCTTCTTAGGCGTAGACTATGTAACAGCAGATATAGCAGATTCCTATCCCTTTATACCCTGGGTATCCTGGATGCCTTGGATACCTTGGATACCTTAGGTAGCCTTATTAAGTGGTGTTGTTAGTGCTATTATTTTGGGTAATAGTAAAGAGCTTATAAGAGGTCTAGTTATATTAATAGGCTATAGTCCTATACTTATTTAGCTACTTATAATGTTGTTTTTTATTAGCCTAGATAAGTGTACTTACTAATAACAGGATATAAAGTATTTCTTATTAACTATAGTTAAATTGTTCTACTTATTAAGGTTAGGCTAAAGCTTTTTGTGATAGGTTGACTTGACTGGGCTGAAGACTAATAGATCTAGTGGCTGAAGGATATGGGAGGTATGTGGCGGCAAGAATAACAAATAGACGTTATTAATATAGCATTACTACATAAATTCTGTCGTTATATAGCTCCCATGCCTATCTAGGATCAGTAGTCTGGCCTGATTAGGCTAGGGGGTAGTCTGTGGCAAGAAGACCTTTAGTAGCCACTTAACAGTAGTCTTATCAGTTGTCTATCTATTATCTGTTACTATAAACTCCTATCCATCATAAGGGGCAAGGTCTAGAGGAAACCACTGCTGCTGGACTATCTTGCCCTCATATATAATAAGAGGATATAATACCTGGCCCTCAGCTAAGATACACTCGATAATAAATACCTAGGCTCGTAATCCAGGCTGCTTTTTATGTATAGACTTAGTCTCTGCCTTGCCTAGCACTAGCCCATTTACTCCTTAGCCCTCAAGGATACCAGTCTTATCTATATTATATCTATTAGCTAGTTAAATAGCTAATATTACTAGGATCGCGAGATATTTAAACTAGTCCCTAATAACCTCAGTAGATACCCTATTAACACGTCTAGAATCAATAGATCAACTTCTTTAGACCTTAATATATAGGTTTCTTCGTATAAAGGCATTCACTTATCTTTTTCTTAGAGGCTAGGTATCGCCTATCGCATTCAGGATACGCTAGGCAAATTCTCTGACCTGCTGATGCATTGGCGCAAGCCCAAGGTCAGCCTGGATCTGCACCCAGCTAGCCAGCTTAGCTTCCTGACTAACAGAGAGCCTCTGGAAGTCAGAAAAAGCTGATGCCCTTGACTGGGTGCCAGTTATGCGGTTTTGCAAGGTAGTCTTTAGGATGCCATAGGTACAAGCTACCTGGCGCTGACTAACGCCATTGGACATAGCCTCCAGCGCCTGATTAAGCTCATGTTCAGTATACTGGACCATTAGGCTATAAATAAGGTAGCCTAGAAAGATGAGGCCATTTGGATAAGTATGGAAAAAGTTGTGATAGTTGGAAGTTGGAGGATGAGGTTGACGATGAGGGATTTTTAGGTGGTCGGAAGTGGGGGGTGGTCGGAAAGTGGGTACGGTGACTTACACCGAACACAAGAGCTTCTTGCCTGCTTGGAATTCTAGATTCCCCGAAGAGATCGTTGGTGGTACTGCCGGGAAGATTGCCTGCCGCCTCTTCCCCGCCGAAAACTCTTCAGACGCGACCAAGTTCAACGCCACCTTTGAAGCTCTCAAAGGTCTTAGCGACAGAAGTGGCCAAATCATCGGCTTCGGTATCACTGGCGGCCATGGCCCCTACCCCGACAACGCGGTCAATCCGGCCTGGTGTGGTTTTGCTATGTTTACTATCTCGGTCCTTCAGTGGGATGTTGGCACTTCCATGGAAGTTGGAGCTGAGAAGTCGAAACTCTTGACCAAAGAGTGGATGAAGCCCTGGCGGTATGTCACTCCTGGTGGTGGTGGCTATGCTAGTGAGAATGACGTGACAGAGCCCGAATTCAAACACTTTTTTTACGGCACCGAGAATTACGCTCGTCTGCTTGCCCTCAAACAGAAGATCAATCCTATGGGAGTTTTCTACACCAACTTGGGCGTTGTTAGCGAGAGCTGGTATATAACACATCAGCTGGATAGTCTGCCTACTCAGAACGGTCGTCTTTGCAAAGTCTAGCGCAGTGATGGGTAACGGGGAATAAAAGAATTACAGTGATATAACCAGGTCGAAACAATTCATAATATTCATAGCCATAATCTACCACAACAGTATTGTACCTAGGATCATATTGAATAGGATAAAAGACATCACACAAGACAACCCTATCTATAGTGTCGCAATATTGTCAATTTGCATACTATATCTGTGGGATCCGTTGAGTTCAGGTAGAGAAAGTCTTAGATACAAAGTGTTAGTCATTACTGTTCGGTATGTTTCAAATGTTCTTCGACTTCGTCCGGACTTCTATCTCAGTTGTTACGAGCAGGTCAGGGCAACCAACTGCACCACAAAGCAAAAGCTTCCATAATGATACACCTGCATCATTATCCCCTGTTCTGCACTATATAAATACCCCAGCTAGCACCCTAACTGGTTGGGCCGCAACATGATGCCATTTCTAATGTCTACTAATAGTTCCGCTAACGAGTCAAAGTGCAGGTTTAAGCGTACTGATGTCAGTATGTAGTTACTTTCACGTTTAATAATGGAGCTACTAAATAGAGAGTGGACGGTACGAGGTGTGAGAAGTCCAGATATATGCAATGTTGATTTCTACAATGACTTTGTCGTGGACCACCGACACCCTCTGTTGAACGAGCGGCGTCATTCACGGTCACTTGCAAGCAACTCTATGCAAAAAGAAGGATATATCACTTTGAAAAGTAAACATGATGTGAAAGCTGCTTAGCATTGATCAAAACCGAAATGCCACGAAATGCCTCCTTTAGCTTAGCCAGTGCAACACTGGTGATCGCAACGGACTCCCTGAAGAAGACGGTTAAAGAAAGGTTATAGATATTGCCAAAAAGTAACTTACTGCTTCAGTCGTAGTCTTAGAAGGCCCCAAAGATCGCTCGAACCCTTTGCTTTTGCAGATGTCATTCAAAGACTCGGCAATTCCATCAGCGAAACACAGGCATGCTCCCCCAGTACAGTATGTGAGAGTCTCGGAGCAAGACTGGGCTGTAACTCCGACCACCAAGAGAAGAACTGCAGAGATATACGAGATGTGCATCTTGTACGAAAGGTTTCGGATTGTGGATCAATGATGTTGAATTTCGATTACGAGGGAAGGCTCATTCGTCAAAGATTGATAGATGGATTTGATGGGTGAGGAATATCTTTCAAGAAGAGATGGGCAACTCAGAAGTCTTATAGAATATTCTCTTACATGGCTAAATGCGAGATATCTGCGTCCTTACCATTGTAGGCTCCATAAGATCCAGACGCAGATTCAGCGCAGCGGGAAGTTCACTGTTCGGCTTGTCACTCTGAAGCAGGTTGACGTGGGGCCGACTGGAGATTCGTTCCGGGAGGTATCCAAGGGCACCGCGACGTAGGGTCACCCATTCAAGCAACTAACTCCGGGGGCTGATCGTGTTCGTCCAACGTTAGCTATCTGTGCATGGAGTCCACGAGAGTCAACCAATTAAGCCCGCTTCTCTTACTGAAGTTTGAAGAGAACGACGTGTATCCGTCAAGAAACAAGGCCAATAGTGTGTTTAATAGTCACAAAAACATTAAAATGCAAGAAGACTCTGTTCTCTACTTACCGTTGTTATGGTATTTAGCCATTTCCTAACGCTTGTTCAAGCAACATCGGTTTGTATCTCAATTACTGGCCCGGTTTCAGATTCAATACTATCGGGAGCAGTCCAACATCACAGTGTAATGAGGAGCGCGAGTAAGCCTCTTCAAAAACTGAGATTGATCACAAAAATAGCTTTTTACGGAATGGAGATCTCTCGACAGCTGGGTCAAATTTAGATATTGTGGTAACTCGCTAGCTATGACTACAATTTCCGCCAGAGGCCCTAGACTCTACTGTCTCGGGAAATCTGGTACTTCTAGTTTGTCCAATCTGCGTAGCTGAGTAACTGAGTCACGAGTGACGGAGCAATCCGGGCGCCAAGGGGCGCCCAAACAACACCACAAAGTCTAAAATATGGGATAACGGGTTCAAAATGACTCCAATTCTGAGTCGTTGACGGCCTTACAACTACACCATGCTCCAAGTGAGCCAACGCCTTGAAGTAGGCTTCATGTATTGCTAGCTGGAACATTTGCTCCGCCACACCAAAGGCTGCCTGCTGCCCAGTACTTTCGTCACCTATTGATAGACCGAAACCGAAACCGAGAGCATGCACCTTTCCGAGTTCTGTTGTGTTATCGGGACGTGGATAGAGTCTGTGTCGGAGGGCTCCATTTCTGATACGTTGGCTGAACCTCTGTAGACACATTTCTAAGATGCCATCCAATCTTGGATGTTTCACATGATAACTTAAATACCGTCTTCAGAAGTTCTGGCCCAAACTGGGATAAATTCTTTCATGTCCTATTCTATGCGTCTCTACGGCTCATCAGACACTAGCACGCTCTGATTCTTATCCTGTGACGAAATTGGTACATCCAAAGCAGGGTTGCCCTGGAAGAAGTTAACTGGCTTCAGCCCAACGACCATCTTCTCGCACGGCATGACCGGCCAGTCCTCAATGCGTGGGTTGTGAGTTGAGCCAAAGGTATGCCAAACCACGATGTCTTCATTGCGCACGATAGCCAGCCCATCACTTGCGCGCTGCTTGATCCAGGATGCGATACCCTCCCCACCGGTCGACTGCATGGTGAACCTTCCAGCTGGGAAAAGCTCTTCGTTCTGGTGACGAGTCACCCAAACCGCATGTGCGGTGTACTCTGCTCGCTTACTATGCCAGGAACTGGGTTGAGCTAGGAGAAGCTGACTGTAATGTGGTAGGAGCTTAAAGCCTACTGGTGTACCCGTCGTCGAGTTAGTTACGTTTTCGTTGATAATCTTGAACGTTCGGTTGGTGTTGAAGTCTAGGTTAAGACCAGCTTCTTTGTCAATGATTTCCGACTTCGTGATGAATCCCACGCCGAAAGGATTATGTATGCCCGAGTCTCCAGTGAACGGGATTGGGTGCGTCTCTTCCACCATCAAAGAATTTCGATGTCCATCAATAGCAGGGTCTATTCTCAAGCAGAAGAGGTGCTGATGATAAGGTGCCAAAACACCAGGAGCCACAATGGTACCCCACGGAACCTTGGTGTCAAGATCGATCGGTGCTGTCGACATGATCCCCGTGGCGCGAACTTCATAGAACATGGAGCCGTCTTGTTGGAAGTAGAATAGAAAGATGTAATCATAGTTGTTGACGGTAATAATTGTCTGAAGTACGAGAACTCTCGACCTGGTGATAACAGCGTTGCCAGTTCTGAAATTGTTATGCTTCCACAAGATACCGTCGTCAATCTCGTGGCAGCAGATGGCGTTGGGCTTTTTCAGCGGCTCACCGGAAGACGTGCTCAGCCATCCGTCGAAATACTTTATGTGGCCTAGGCAATCACAGCCCAGCTTAAGGTTATTAGCGTTGATGCCAGCACCGTCGTTACCTAGATCGAAGGTCGCTTTTCGTGGATAGGGAAACCGAGGGTCGGCATATGGCACGAACATTTCTGCAAGAGACAGGCGATAGAAAAGACTCCGACCTTCAAAACGCACATTATGCAGCGTCATGCCCTCCCGATAGTTGAATCCAACTCTCATAGTCCACTTTTCCCAAGTGACGTGGTTTCCATCAATGCTGAATGAAGGGCCCTCAGGCTGGGCGATATGGTAGGGTTTCGTCGTCGTCCTACGTTCTCGAATTAAATCTGGATGATACTCGCTGTCGGAATGGATTTTTTCCCGATCGAACTCTCCCGACGTATTACTCGTCTGCTCGTGCTCCCCATAAGGCAAGCGATAGACTACAACCTCGAGAAATTTGGAGACTTCGGCACATATGTCCAGCGGGTAGGCGTAGTAGTTTGAATCCGGGTTGCCAAAGAGACGCATATAAAACCATGCCTAGATCAGTGAGCCGGGAGATTTGAAGCTATAATCGTGTTTTCGTCTCACCATGGTCCATCGGTCTTTCATATCCTTCGTACCGTCTGTGGCATATGGCCACGGTTCTACAACCACTTCAGCTCCCTCTGGCAGATTCAAGGCTTCAATTTCTCGTTGAACCATTTTATCTGCCAAACAAGCCGCAGTGACCTGGGACATGAACTCATCATCGATTTCCGAGTGTCTTCCAAAGAGAACGGTATCGGAGGTGACGACTGAAGTGTCCAAGTTCACAATGAGTTCATGTAAAGTTGTAGTAATATACGCCTGAACCCTAGCTTTCCGTGTCGGATAGACCAAGTTGATATCGCCAGAAGCTTCGTTTCCAAGGAAATCTATCAGCTCTTTTTTAGGTGGCTCTGCCAGAGAGATAGCCCTAAAGAGAATCTGCGCGTGTTCATTTGATTTACGAACTATTCTAGCAGCCTAAGTTGAATCAGAGAAGGGAAAAACCCGATGGTAATCTTTTCACATGACTATTGTCTTGCTGCAATGAAGGTTCTCAACTAACCTGCCTGATCTCACCAGGGCGGAGTGGATCGAGAGGATGCGCTTTCCGCGCGATGTCAGCATCGCTCATAGTATCAAGGCCTGCAGTTTCAGCTTGAGAAGATATCTAAAATTTCAAGTGCTTGCGGAGGGTATGGGGCACCAGTCTCGATGAGATTGTTAGTTGTGACTTGGTTGGGACTTTTAAGTTTAAAGGGAAACTGGGAGCGGCACATGTGGTCATCATTTCGGGACCATAAGCTGCTGATTTGGAAAGATGGATGTTTCCCCCGCACCGAACACCGCATGATTGTCCTCTAAATGGCAGTGAAAGACGTAAGATTTCAAGCAACCAAGCGTTAAAATGCATCCTGCATTTATTGTGGCTGGATCACTGAGCCGAAACACACCACTTCGGATGTCCGCGGCATAATTAGGCTTTAGGTATAAGAGCAGCAACCTCGCCCTGATTTTTTATCCGTGGCCTTGCCACTCACACACACCTTTCGACTGTTCCGACTGACCGATGCGATTAACTGTCGCAATCATGACGTACTAAACCAGTGGTCAGTAGTGACTGCTGTAATAGGCGCAGCGAAGGGCCCTACGATAGGCGATAGCAGCGGAGGATAGCGACAGGCGCTAATAATAGTGTATAGATAATCCCCTAGGCGTGTGAGTCATTAGTGATACTGTCGCTGTATTCATAGTGATGTTAGTGAGCTCATGCGCTATCACTTCAGGGACCCAAGTCGGTCGTTTCCTGATGGGGCTGTGGTAATAGAGCACCGGAGGAGTCTTGCAGGTAGAGAAGCTTGGTCGACACCGTTCCGCTAATATAAGAAAATGTTGAGGGCGTTGCCGGCGCTCCAATTGTCAGACCAGTCCAAGACAGAGACCGGCCCGGGCCGTACCTACCTGTACGTTCTCTTCTTCAAAGCATTGAATTCCAAGTATATGGATTTGAAAAAGCACAAAGAGGAGGTGTACGAAGATGTGTATGTATGTACGAAAAGAAGAAATAGCTAGTAAAGTAGAGTTCATCAGAGACAAGAAAGATAGGCAATAAGTGTATTGTTGATTCCTATCATACTTGTGTCCTGGGTAGGATATACCCAGGAAATCTAATTTAACACTTAACTAGCAAAGAGATCAGATCTCCTGCTATATGTATTAATCTAGATTTCTGAATGATTACAATCCTGGTTTACCATTCTAATGCCAAAGGTTTTGACACTGTGCTCTTCAGTCAAATTCTGGCCCTGAAAGTAAGCCATCCGTTCAGGAGCAAGGAACGAGCGGCGAAGTAGCAGACGCCGCCAAGGAAAAGAACGGCCAGGTAAAAGCCCGACAGTGCTGTCCCGCCCATGCTTTCAAGCATTTGCCCGCCAATAGGAACAGTCACCAACAGCGAAAAGCTAACGAAGAAATTCATCGTACCTGGCGTGAATCTGGTCAGTTGATAATATCGAAAGACCAGCATGCACTAGAAGAAAGCAGGCTTACCGAGATATCTGCCGTAGTCTTTCGGATTGCACGTCTTCCCCACGCACACTAATAGGCATGAGCCACAAATCACAGCGAAAAGTATGCTGATGTACTCACCTGGAGTGCTAGACAAGAAAGATCCGGACCCATAACCCCATAGAGCGGCAAAGGCATACAAAGCCCCGATGTGCTTCGTTCCAAACGGCACAAAGATAGCGCCCGTAAAAACAATCGTGATAAATATCATCGCAAGTAGGATGTTGAGATGCCCCAGCCTATCGCCAATTACCCCAGCCATGATGCGTCCCAAGCAGGATGTGCCGTTAAGAATTGCGATAAGGGAAAACCCAACATTGGATCCAAAGCCAGAAGCAATCGCGAATGTGGGCAGAAGACCGGTAGTACCATATAGGACGAATTCAAGGAGAAACAAGCCTACGGTCATGAAACCGAAAGGAGGGGATTTGAAAGCCGAAAAATTCAGCATCGCGCTCGCCCTCCCCATTGGCACCCCCGGGACAGGGTTAGATAGGCGGGGATATGGGAGGAAGCATACGACGCCCAGAATCATTACACCAAGGACGAGAAAGCCCATTATCCTCATCGACCATTGCCAACCTAGCCTAGGCAGAATCGAGCGCAGCATCAATGGTATCGTGACACCTGCAAACGAAGACCCAGATAGAGCGATGCCCATGGCAAGTCCTTTGCGGCGGTTGAACAACTTTCCAATGACCGCCATCGCAACGGTCGAGGTGAGAGCACTTCCGATGCCTCCTAATCCTCCGAGGCAGAGGATGAAGTGCCAGTATTCTGTGCACTCGCCCAAAATGAAGAATACTGGGACGTATAGCACCACCGAAATAGGGGCCAAAAGTTTCGTCCCATAGACATCCATGAGAGGCCCAGCTTGTATGCCGAGCAACAAACACAAAAAGGTGAAGACTCCACTGATCCATCCCAGATCACGGGGAGAGTACGCACTCAGTTCGTTTATTTGGAGATAGGACTGAACTGTTCCAATAGACTGCATGAACCCTGGCGTTTCAATAAGTATGGTATGGAATTGAACAGAGAAAGGGACCTAGACTCTACCATAAGATGGGTATAGGAACATGAACGAACCCACGACGCAAAGCCACGCTAGCGGGCTTGACTCGGGATCCCGATGACTGGAACCGGATCGAGGGCTCTGGGTTGCATCTAGCTCAAACGTTTCAGGCATAGGAGCTGATCTTGCTCGATCTTGCTCTGAGGGTTGCATCTTGGACTTGGAAGATTCGTATGAGATTTCATAAAAAAAGTCTTCTGGAGGGAGTTCAACTTGTACCGGCAATTATTTTATCAACCCCAGCTCCAAGGCGATGACTCCTTGAAAGAGTCATCCGTCCATGGAGGTTGCGCGATTCAACACTTTTGTCTAAAATGATTGCAGGTGGGGCACCACGCCCTACGCTAGACACGTTTGTCCTAGGTCTAGAACCACATCAACAAGCTCTGCAAAGTCATCAATTCCGACTGACGGAGATGGGTTGTGGTGAGTCAGGCTACCCACATTTCGTACACCCACTCATTTTATATACAGTTTACACCAGAACTTACTTACTAGTAACTAAGTACTAACAAAGTCTTACGCCAATGTTCTTAAGCTAAGATACTTAAGCAGTCATAGATCTAAGCATATGCTTAGCTTCTCTTGGACTGTTTATATCAGATCTTAATCTCTAACATTGGTTTTAATACAAAACTACTATAACACAGCTTGAACTAGTACTACTATACTGTAGCGAGATTGTCGAGATTGTCAAGTCTGTAATGTTTTTTTTTTTTGAAAAAAAAAAAACTTTGTGTTGTATTATTTAGTCTTGTATTGCTGCCAATAGAAAGGTCGTAAAAAGTGTACGTAATGAGGGGGTGTACAAAATGGGGGTGATCTGACTGGAATACTTGGCTGCATATCCTCGGGAAACCTTGCTCTTTGAGGCAGTTTTGCGCGGAGATAAACAGGACGCAGTCATGGACACGGAAGGAATTGGTCAGAAATTCACCACGTAGAGCACATAACATTCAACGTGAAACATCCGCGCTAGTTTTTCATTACAGAGTCCACGAAGATATATACATTGTCCTCCCTACTAGACATTGAATTATCTACAAGTATGAGGCCTCTACCAAAAAGCCAACGGTAAATTTGGAGTGACGGAGGACGGCAGGCCATTGAATGGTGTCGTAGCTCTACAGATACCGGTTAGAAACAACTTGAGAACTAGCAGATGGTTCGGAAAGTTACTAACGTCATTGGGGCTGTGGATGTAAGGGGTTGAAGTGTCAATAGGCTCGTCGCAGACATAGGCAGCAGCTGAAGAATCCGGTCAGCAAACATGTGAAATATGAGAAGGATGCTGCACATTGCAGGAAACTCACGGAAGCCGTTGGAGCGAGCACTGGCGTGGTCAGAGCATCCGTATCCACAGGTGTCGCTAGTCGGTGAGCTGCCAGTGTACTGGGTGGCGACAAGTCGGACGTAGTTGGTCAGAGCAGTGTCAACGTAATCGTTGTATACGGAGACTTTGCCAGAGGGCGAGTAACCGGCCATGTCTTGGTTGACAAAGCCGAGCACCTTCTTGCCTGCAGACTTGTAGTTGGAGAAGACAGCCTGCGAGCCGAGCAGGCCGCCCTCCTCGCCGGCGTAGAAGTGGAACTCGAGAGTATTCTTGGGCTTGAATCCAGCATTGGCGAGGACGCGTAGAGCCTCAAGGACTACGACAACACCGGAGCCGTTATCGTCAGCACCCGGGCCGCGGGCGGTGGAAGAACCGCCGGTGGAGTCGAAGTGAGCACCAACAATCACTGGGGAGCGTTAGTTCAAAGGTTGGTGTGTGGAAAAGAAAGGTACCTGGCTCACCCAAGTTGGAGCTGGTTCCAGGAATCTTAGCAATGATAGAAGGTTGGTTGAACGAATGGGTGAATTGCGTAACGGTGATGGCAGAGTTGGCCGCAGCAACAGACTTGACCTGGTTGAACAACCAGGTGGCAGACTGTGTACCATAGGTGGAACGATAGTAGCGGTTATAAAAGCTAGAGCAGCGTCAGAACGCAAATCGGGAAATCGAGGAGGCATTGAAGACATACTCGGTCAACGTCTTGAGCCAAGACTGAGGCTGAGTGTTGGAAACCTTGGCAATCAACGAATTGGCCTCGGTAACGTGGGTCAGCGTGGTGGGGTACGTGACGGCTTGTCTGGCCTCGATGGCAGACTCCGGTGGGGTGGACAGCACAGCAAGGACCTCATCGTCCTGTGTTTGGTTAGCCTTTGTTGATCCCACATTCGTTCAAGAAACATACGGTGATGTCGGTGATGTCAATGAAACCAACGTTTTTGTTGACGTAGTTCTCGATCTTTTCCTCTTCCGTGACCCAAGTACCGAGATCGGCTTCGGACGTCTTGATCAATCGGAGTGCAGGGTTAACATGAACCTCATCAGCTGCAGGAGCAGCCAGGACAACCTTGGAGGCCGCCAGAACGGCCAGAGCAGCGTTGAAGTGCATCTTTCAGGTTACTCTGGTTCTGATGCGTCTGGAGATGAGATGGTGCTGATGCGACGACGCAGTCAAGACCCCTTTCAGGCCAAGACACGGGAGAAGGTCCCCTTTAAATGCACTCAACATGGTCCTCGAGTCAAAACAAACCATGAAAAACCGTCCCCTCATCTCCCTCGTGTATGGAGGATCGTCCTGTACGACGGCAGGACCCGTTGCCCCGAACAGGCATCTCATTAGGCGACGGCCTCCGCCATTGTGGCACGCAGTACAAAAAAAACAACAGAAACAGGAAGCCCGTTAGCAAAGAGCCCACAAGCGGTATTGAGTCTCTCGGGGCAATGGCGAGCTTGCGGCAGGAGCATTTAAGCTTATCATGATCGCCAAGCCCGCGCGAACCTAAGGAGCTGCCAAACTGAGCTAGGCTCGGCTGTTGATTAGACCATCGATGTTACCCCGGCCAGTAGTCCTGCACATTGTGACCGAGCGTTTTAGGCATGCTATTGGATGTCGCCAGGGTCGTAATGTCCCTCACCGCGGTTTTGACTCTTGGCAAATCCCACATTACGGAGCGGGCAAGTTGTTTTTTATGCCGAGGGGTCTCCAAAATGGTTGACGCTGTCTCTATGAAGGATTGGGATCTCCTTGGAGTCATTAGTACCTGGAGAATGTTGCTGCGCTCAGACATTTTTATTTCGTTTTTTGATCTTACAAACCACAAGTTTAGCGACTGAAGCCGCCCCCGCCGTTATCTGGGGATTACGCTGCTATGTGGTGAATTGAGTAATTAAAGCAGTGCCGTAACAATGCTTTGTCGCTTGTGATCCCTATAACAACTCCGCATAGCAGTCGAAGGCTTAGTATGCTAAGCAAGCTTCCGCTTTAACAGGCTGTGGAGAAAAAATCGCTCACCGGCCTTCCAGTCACTAATGGATTCCGCCAAGAACATCTCACACCAGACATGACTAGTAATAAAAAATGTATTCCTCCTCGAATCATCCTCCATCCCACATGAAGTTAGGTAGCTGAAAGGTGCAACTAATATGTAAACTATGAGGCTGATATTAACTGTCCCTCATAGTGTTTTTGTTTGCTTCTGGTTGTACACTTGTGCTGATGGATGGCGTTGCTTGTTTAATAAAGGAACATTTCATCTTTCACTCACGAGACACGATGGGCATTGGGTAAAGCAAAGATAAGCAACGCTCATTATTCTATACTGGAAGGCAACACTAGCATGTTTCTCCTGCTCTCAAACAAATAATCTAAGAGTCATTTCTGCTGAAAGTATCCGTAAAGTCATAAAAAATCGGCACTGGGCTTAGGCCTGAAAGCTTCTTTTGAAATTTCTTCCACCATCTGCCAGCGCCGTCATATTGGGGTTTCCAAGTTTGATATACTCCTTCTCCCGGGGAAGAGCCGCAATCACATCATCTGGGAGGTTCAGAGTATCTTTAACCACCTGTTTAGGAGTGAGAGCCAACCATTGCGCGACGCTAATGTCCGAGAACTTGGGAGCCTGAAGGACCTCGAGAAAGATAACGTCTTCGGTGCCGGTGTTTTCAATGTAGTGGCTGTCACCAACCTTGATGTAGCCGACGTCCCCAGCTGTGAAGTCAAAGGTGCGGGAGGCATCTGGGGCGTCGAAGATTGTCATGCGGCCGGAACCCTGGAGAAAGTAGTTCCACTCGTCGCTGGTGGTGTGCCAATGGATCTCACGCATTGCTCCGGGTTGAACAACAACAAGAGCAGCAGAAAAGTTGCTTGCGATAGGGAATGTCTGAGGGTCGAGAATCTTGACGGAACCGCCGGGAACCTGGAATGGCTTTTGTTGCGACCAATGGTAGGTGTAGGACTCTGCGCCAACTAGGGACCCAGCTGATGAGGTTTGGTTCTGTTCCTGGATATCCTTGGGCGGGGGTGTGCCATTGAAGATCTACCATGATGTTAATCTTGATTCCTTAACAATATTCGACATATCCACTGCAATCAACTTACATAGAGCTGGTCCTTGGGGATTTTGTCAAACGCAGAAACGTCTGCCTTTAGATTCTTTGAGAGAACTGACAGCGGGTTTCGAAGAAAAAGTTCAGAAGCAAGGAATGTATTCTCCTCGCTGAATCCTCCATTATCAAAGACAAGAAGGAACTCGGTACCCTTGTCGAACGCCTGGATGCTGTGAGGAACGCCCTTGGGGAAAAACCAAACATCCTGGATGAGTCAGTGTGATGGAAACATAGCGTTGGCGATAACATAGACTTACTCCAGCAGTCAGATCATCGACGAAGCTCTTACCATCTTCGTTCATCGCGGCAATGCGGCAACTACCCTTGAGCATAAGTGCCCACTCAGCTGACGTATGCCAGTGCAGCTCGCGGTAAGCATTGGGCTGCAGCTTCATGTCGACACCAGCCATGCGCGAGGCGACGGGAAGCACGTCAGTGTTCTGTTGGCGGGCCCAGCCAGCGCCTGATTGGCTTCCAAGACGGTTGTGAGAAAGTCCTAGGGGCCACATCGCGTTCTCGAAATCGCCCTTGTCGGTGCTAGGCGGGGCGTAAATGTCGGGGTTAAGCTTCTCATAAGCATAGGTTCCTGCGGGAATTATGTTTTAGCGCCTTAGCCTCGCATCGGATCCTTCCCATCTCCGCTAGGAATGCTACGTACTTGGGCCGGGATCCGGGGAGCCTAGTTCTCCGCGGATAGGCTGGGGAACATCGACGCCATCAAAGTTGAGGTAAAGACCAAGTTTTCCGTCAGCTTGCTGACCAGGCACAAGCTGAACGTCTTTGATAATGGCGGAGTCGGAAGTATCGGGGTCGGGACGCCGGGCGTTACCCCCTAGAAGGCTAGCGTCTCCTCTGAGGTTACCTGTGGGAGCAGTCACAGAAGGAACGGGAGGGTCTACACCTCCCACGGAACCCTTGTTTTCGCCATAGTCTCCTATTCTGAGGTTCTTGTAAGTTTGAGGTACTCCGTTCACTCCTAAGTGCGATTACTTACTGCGGTGCGGGTATAGCATATCCCTTGGGCAAAGCTCCAAGTAGGCTGACGAGGAAGATGGCGTGGGTATGCATAGTAGATAATGATGAAGAAAGCAGATGGTTTGAAACACCGCGTTGAAAGAAAGTCTATTGACTATGGAACTTGCTTGATCTGAGATGAGTCAGAAACCGATGAAGAACAGACATTTGCCTGGGCATATTGGGCTTCTTATACCTACTTTCTCTAAGAGACAAACAAGCCAGCTGCTCTGAGATACGCCAAAGCTAATTGGCGACGTTCCCGGAAACACCATTACCATGCTCTAGCCATTTCTGAGCCAATAACCTCTCCGACAGTCGCCACGATGGTCATCTATCACAAAGCTAAGCTCGGCTCGACGGGACTGATTACATGTAAGCTCCAGCCTTGGCGGCTACAACGTAATATGCGGCTGACATGCGGTTGACCGCGTGGACAGCACAGTTGGTATACACAAAGTTTGAGGCGGGTGCAGTCTTAATGACGCGTTTTCGCGCTTTTAGGTCCATCGCGAAGGTTACAACGGCTAAGACGGGATAGAAAAAGACCCACGCACGGTTGGATCGGCACTGGCAGTTATATGGGCCTCGTCGGTAACTAGCTCGCCTAACCAAACAAGGGATATTCGCAGCTGTCTGAGTAAAGTTAGGACTTTAGGTCAATGAGGTCGGTTTTCTTTGTGGAGATGTCGCTAAGACTTAGGGCGTTCATCAAGCCTTTTTCTGCTCATCTGTCGTGGCGGAATGAGAGCTACTGGTTGTACCTGTCACCTTATTAACGAAAGGTTAAACAGAAGGCACGGTGATGCCAGCCACTCACAATCGACCATCTGATGGTGGAAGCATCCACGTTGTTTTTCAATCCTATTGCCAAACACGGCAGTTGCCGGTCCAGCCTCGAGATGAAGTCACAAGACGTTTAGTTGCTCATCAAGAATATCCTGTTCGCGATTCGTCTGAACTCATGCAGTCCTCGGGTGCGCTGTTTATGATTGGATTATTCATGCCACACAGAAGTAAGTCAACGTTGATGATTAAGAGTGTCAAAAACAGTATTTCGATAAACATCGGTATCTCGCAGAAAGCTCGGGATTGTAGGCTGATATCCTATAACTAAGCACGCGAAGCTCGCTTCGTTGCCTGCTAGCGTCCTAGCGCCGGCTTCTTAATCCCGGGCAACGAAATTGGTGACACTTGAGCGAACCGTCAGCCTCTAAAAGATCTACTTACCACCACCTACGGGTGCACACCACTACGGGTGTGACAACTACTTGGGCCGGTTCCTTCGGAGGCGTTCCTAACTGCAACTCGCTCAAGTCCGTCGTACTCGGTCGCGGACATAAGCAGCTTGAGCAACTAGTCTGATTGAGGTATATCATTGCATCATAAGTTCACGCCAAACCTAAATGAAAATTGCTGCCTTGGGAGAAATACTAAGCCCAAGCTTTCAAAGGAGAAAATCAGACCGTTGCAACGTTATACCGCAGGAAATCATAGTAATCAGGTAAGAGTTCTAAAAACAGCCCCATAGCGTGGCAGCTGAAAGAATCAACACCTGTTGGCAATCATCAGGGACATCCCTTGTTTAAGGTTCGTCAATTAACATTATGGTTGGTGCATGATGCGAATTAGGTTTAGGCACTGGCGGCTACGAATAAGCCGCCATCATGTCATACTGCATGTGTGTCTCATCTGGCGCGGACGACGCTCATACCATATACAAGCGGCCTTTGTGGTTCCGTGCATGCTTCCAGACCAACCTTCGCCATAGAAAATGATGTTGCTTGGGTGACATCTCTGAGCTTAACCATTGAAAATTGATCGATCACTCCCTTCACCTTTGACCAAAGTTCACTGCGGGACCTTGACTGACCATCATCGTTCTTTCCGAGCAGATTGATAAGATTTGTCTCATCTAATATCTTTTTTTTTTGTTGGAAATGTTGCGTTTTGTTTCTCACATCTCCGGTAGTATCTAATTCCACCAGTATTGACATACCGTTCAACCCTGCAGCTGAAGTTCAAGCAGATATTATCATCAAACTGCGGCCTTATTCTTGCGAGATTGTTGGCATACACTCCATAATATTATCGAAATTCTCAATTTAACCCTCTAGTAAGAAGAGACGAGCATGTTTACTATCAGAAGATTCTGGTAATGAGCCTGGTACCCTGTAGTCAATAGCGCTTGAGTCTAAGAGCAAACGTCAAAGGGGGCGTATGACACCCCGGCTTTGGAAAGGTGTGACAGCTTTCTCCTGATTGGTCGTACTCGTCCCTTTACCATTCCTTCTGGCTCAATGGGTCAAGCGGCATCACTGCTAACTCCCACCGGTGTTAGTGCTGACTTGTTCTGTCATCAGTTGCAGACACTACAGGTCCTGCGCCGCTATAGCCCACTTTAGCGACGGCCACCAGCTCAATAACTTTTTCTGTCATCGCGGTTGTTCCGTGTTCCTACCAAAAAGTAATGATATGAGATGGTTGGGGCGCCAGCGTTTGCGTCTTTGTCAACTTGCTCCAAGCATACAACTGAAGTAGAGCAACGTATCACCAGCAGATCAAGGAGGAAGACGCCGTTGCACACGTTTTGTTTAGTGAGGTCCTTTGACACCATCAAACTACCATCTCCATATGTAGAGGCAACGAGAACGGAGATTTTCTCAACAAGACGGTCTTTCCGTTAGCTATGAACCGGCCGAAGGAGTGTGTCGCGAACCACTTATCATGTGGCAAAAACGCTATCGTACCGTTTTCTGTCTAACAACTTCCTATCAATAGGCATTCTTGAAGGCAAAGCACTAATTGCGACATGTCTATCCTTCTGCTCTCTTCATCTACCATCGGTGAAGCCGACAATGTTCATTTCAAACTTCCTGAGTCGCTGAGCCTAACAACAAAATAATTGTCTTCAGCGATTGATGGGGTGTCTAAGAAACATCCTGTACGGAGACATGGAGCCTGATGAAGATTATCGAGATACGTGTGTACACTTCAAGAGTACCAGCTACGTTCTGCGAGGTGAGTTTTTCTGCTTAGGGAATACAGTTATCTTAAATCTATGTTGGCTCTTTTGAGTCGTCCGAGATGATAACAGACCAACAACAGCAAGGTACGACGCACAGCTAGTACCTATCATAATACAACATATACAACTAATGCAAACGATGGCTTCTTATGATACAGGACTCTTCGTTAGAATCCTGATTTTAATAGTACCAACGTACTTCACTTGCGGACCCTTTGAAAGAGAGCGACGCTTCTACAGGTTAGAAACCTGGATATGATGTATGTATACTGTTAGAAGAGTCTACGAGAATTCTTTGAGCATTTCTCAGGGTCGACCTGGTAATTTGCAAGACTAGCTTGACATTGGCCGTTCCCGTGTTTATCCTAGCACCCTATTTACCCATCTCCTTGTCTAAGTCCTATTCAAGTTAGCTCAAACGCCTATCACGATGGATCTCTGATACTCTTCCTTGCATGCATAATATGAGATCAGTCCTCTTCATCCAGTCCCGCAACTAGTAAGACCAATCAGGGCTTAGTCTTAAGAGACACCTCGTCTCCCCAAAAATGATAACCGCTACAGTAGCTACACTCAAGCCACTCCTTCCTCAAGACGTTCATGTAGCAAGATGCTCTCCTGTCATACCACAAGCTCAGCCAAGCTTTGTTGCGGTGTCTTTCGTTTTGAAGGTCTTTCATTCGACGTAAAAGCTTCTTCTTGAATTTCTTGGCTTTCAAAACGTTACCATTGTAGTTGACATCGAGCTTGAGGCTTCGGATATTTTTGTTGTAGTGGTCTAGGGCCTGCTGCATTTTCATATCGTATTCAGCTTCGAGGTCCCGATTATCCTCCTCTTGTTCCGGGATAAGTTGCTTCCGGTCTTTGTGTAGCTGGTATTGTTGTCTAATGGCGACGCAACGTGCACGCCCGGACCTGTCGACAGACTCTTGGTTGTCGATGCCGTGTCTTTCAATCGCGTCAAGCCCGGTATAAGTGCCCATGGGAAGGCAGACGATGGCTGCTGGGCGAGGAATGGGACCGTATTGTTAAAGATGTAACGGAACATCGTGTGCAACCGATTGACAAGTTGATATGAGAAAGGGGTTTTCAACGAATTGTGTCTGAGAATGCAGGGATTTAGAACAATTTGGTTCCAAGAACGGTTGACGATAGTTGTGCAATCTTTTATTGAGGCTAATGTCAAATCTGCCGGGTTAATTAAGTGTAAGGGCCTAGACCGATGGATGGATGTGTGAGATGGTTATGGTCGTTAGTTACTATGCGCTGTGCGGCTATCTCCCTAAAGACTTGCGTCGTGAGGTTCCATGGTCCCAGTCACAATCGGTTTTCAATCAACAATTCCTCCGATCGAGCTGCAATTAGACTTCGACCTGCCTTGTAACGTATGGGGTTCCTGGGAAATATGGTTTCCTGCTTCTGAGAGCAAGGCAATGGAAAAACACGATAATGCTTTCCAACATTCTGTCTTCTCTGAGAACATTCGCCATGCATTGATTTCATTTTGCCTAAAAGGTTTTGTAATCATTAATTAGTATAGACCTCCAGGACAAGTACGAGGAGCCGATCTCCAACCGGACAGGATAAGGAGCATGGTCAAGCTTTTCTTGCTCTAATGAATTGGATAATTGTTGTCACAGTGCAAGACTTTTACACACTCGGCCATGTCAGGCTCGAGCGCTATCGCTTCACATGATGCATCACAACTTATCCATCGGCTGAATTCTGCCATACATGACTGTCACCGCTCTCTTTCAGGTCAAGTGCAGCCCTATTGACTCCGCTCGGAGAGATATTGAGCCGCCTTGAATGAAAATTGGAGCACGCAATGACTTTGTGCACCCCGTACACACAACCTCCAACACATTCAGTTGATTCGTTCACCAACTGCAAACCAGCAATACTCCCTCAGGACCTCGTCATTAGTGCTTTTGAGCACAGACACACATGTGCACAAGTCTCGTCACTGATTGGTCGACTTCTATTTCAGCAGTTCGCTTGCGGTCAGATTGCAGAGCCATCACCCAAGTTTGGCGTCTGTGGAAGAAAAAGTCGTCAGTTTGGCACTGGCCAGAACCAAGGAAACCTCCAACTCAACCGGACAAAAACAATTCAAGGCCTGGCGTTGCCGTGGCATCATTCTCGCCTCGCCTCGCCTCCTGTCGATGACAGTTCTACAGCGCTGGCGATCCCGAGGGAGATGTTCGATGGATAACCCCCTGAGATTGGAAATTCCCCGATTTGATCCACCGTCTTGTAACCGACCCGTTCTGTCCACTTCTAGCAGATGTCTTGAACAAGCCTCATGTCGACAGGGGGCCTTGTCGCGTTGGGCTGCGATGGGAAATTGGTAAGTCTCGAACCCGACGTCATGGGTCTTGACCGCAAAGCATTTTTTTTTTCCACAAGGGTTTGAAATGACTAGTCATTTTCTTTTAGAGAGGTCTTGCCAAACGTCGAATCGTCGAAACCTCGCGATAGCTTCACTTGGACCACCAATAATACCGCAGAGGCGGTCTATCCGTGCATAGCAATCACATCTCAATACCAACACCAACCAGGGAAGGAAATGAGAGGACCCTTGTCATGTTTCCAGGTCAAAGCCAACAGTGCCTCCCTTACACATTCCCAAAGCATGATGGAAGAAAAAGTATAAACGCATCTGATATCAAGTGGGCCCAGGAGCGTGGTAAGTTGCCGCCACTCTGCGGGCGTGGGGGTCGCCTACCTATGACGGTATTGTATCCGAGTCGACCATGACGGTAGGTGACATTTGTCACCGACGAGGGCAGAGAAAACTCTAGACACCCATGTGTGAGCGATATTCTGCTTCTGCCTGCCGGCCGGCTTGACTTGTTTCGCGCCTCAACTTTGTTTACATGCTTCGTGTCTGGTCTCAGACATATCGGGCCTTCAGGACCCTATGAAACGATGGACTGGCCGATAAGGCATTAGGCTACTGAATCTCTCCGGGTTGCAGACGGCAAGCAATTAGAGACGGAGACGCGCGTCGGCGGTTAGCTTTTCTCATACATAGTAGAAGGGCTTCACATGTGAACCCATTTCACATGCAGCGCCAGGGTTGTATCGCGACTTTGCAACGATTCACGACCTACAGATTCACGTCACTGAGTTGAGTCAACCTCGCGTTATCTTGCATCAACACCGACATCTCGACAGGGTGTCTCGGCGGCAGCAGCAGCAGCAGCGGCAGGATCATTCATCACCATACAGTAGCGGGCAAACTTGCCCCCAAACACTTTTCACCTCGCCCAGCACAGCGCTCGTTTCATCCCGAACTCTGGCCTGGACAGATCGTCCAATGCCGAATGACACTTGAAAACGTGCCGTGTCCGAAAAGCTTAGCGGCCTCACCCGCCGTTGGCCTACCGGCAGCTTGCACAACCCCCGGCAAGCGTACCTTGGTTCGGACACATTATCAACTATCATGAGTCCGTAAAACAGGGTTTCTGCTTAGGAGACCGGCTGCAACTTCCGTCCTCTTCTGTGGGACGGCACGAACCACGAAATGGCCCCGATACCACCCATGTTTCGACGGACGCGACATGGGAGGAGTGGGAGACCAGACGAAAGTCTCATCTTATTTTGGTACCACCGGGTTGCTTTTCTTCCTTTGCGCCCCTTGTGTGTTCTGGAATTCCGGTGGAGTCGTTCTATGTCTTTTCAGGAAAATCTTATCGTGGGAAAAGGATAATTAGATTTGGGAAAAGGAGCCAAAAAAAAATTACTCCACAGGTGGGAGCTCTTGGACCCGGGCCCGGACATGCTTTCTCGGCTTGCCCCCCTTGCGCACATCATGGGTCAGGGCACCCCAATGAGAGCGGCACAGGGGGCGTTTTGCAAATGCCATACATGTGGATTGTGGGAGGGCTATTTGGGCTCGACCGTCGAGCAGGGCCTGTCAGCGCCGCTCGATGGATCTCGCGATCATGAGGCAGAGAAGAAATTGTATGAGCAATCACGAGCTGTTCCCAGGCCACATCTATGAGGAGACGCAATCCTCTTGGATCCGCTGCAAAGCACGAAGGCTTGGCCTTGGCGATGGATCTGGCTTACCGTATTCTGCATATCTCTTCGGCTCCCGTACCGGATCCAGCTTAAGGGGAAAAGAGGGGGTTAGGAAAGAGAGGGAGGGACGGACGGACAGAACGGAGATGCAGTGCAGAGTTGCAGTCGGGGCCCCGGGGGCGACTTTAATGTGGGATGGGGATTCAAGAAAAGGAAGGCGAGAGGGTGATGGTGCTGAAAACCCTCTGGATCGTGAGTCTTGGTGACTTGGAAAAAGAGGATATCTGAAAAATGGATCGAGGCTCGGGACTTCCGCATTGGGGAAGCCGAGAGGAGGGACGTGGGAGAGAAGAGGAGTCTACTATGTACGAGGAGCGGCAGGGGGTCCCTTTTTGTCATCACAAGGACGGGCGAGACACCAGCTGGAACGGTCGATATACCCACTCCCAGTGGAGAGGCTGGGAGTTTGCGGCGGCGTGACGGGTGCGCGGGCTGAGATACAGATGCAAAGGGCATCTCAGCGGCCCAACTCAGCACACCTTGGACCCCAGCAGCTTTGGGTGCATGCAGTCGCGGAGCTCACCTTGAGGGGCTGTGAGGGGGTTGGAGGGGTCACCCCATCTTCCTCCCGTCGCGGGTGCGTGGTCTAGAACGGAGGCCAAAACTGTTGGAGGTGGGTGGAGGGGGTGATTGTTTACTTCACGATGGTTGGCGGCGGTTACTCCTCAGGTCGACGCTTTCCCAGCTCCGGTGTCCCGGGCGGCACGGGAGGGCGGACGCACACCGCTCACCCGGCCAAAGTTTGAATGAGTAGGTTGCAATCCGCAATGCAGCGCTGGCGCGGCTTGGGTGAATGTACGGCGCGGCGCATGGGTGCTACGATAGGGGGGATAGGGGAAAATGGTGAACGGCCCTCACAGCCTCACTCAGGATAGCAACAGTAAAGGTTGACGGGCTGATGGCTGTAAGGATACGAGGACGGTTACGCGCGTTGCTGGCCGCTAAGGTTATGATATACAGAGGTAGCGATCGAAGATGAGGAGCATCCGAAAAGCCGCCCGTGACGAATCAGGATCGTCAACTCAAAGTCAGATCACAATCCCGCAGGTGATGTTCATGTGATTGTGGATACCGTTTTACATCATCGAGTAAGGGTCGTCGTTCGAGTCGGAAGATCAACGAGCCTGCTGGAAACGAACGGCAGAGCCTCTCGAACGTGCCATGGAATACTGGGTACGTAGTGATTTGGCGAACATGGTGGTGTCCTGCTGTCAAGCACGCATACCTACCGTACCTGTAACCTCCTCCCAAGATAGAAATGGCCGAGACCGCTAGCATCAAGCTCGGCTGGCTGGCTAGACCGCCGGGAGAGTGGGATAAAGGGGGGGATGGCATTGCAACCTGCGTTGGCACTACGTCATGCGGCCTTGCTGTGCTAACGGCCGCCACCGTCATCGCACCGGTGGTTCGGGAATGGACATACAGGATCGAGAGGGCTGCACATTTCTTTGCATTGGCCAGGCTTGCCAGGCTCTGCGGTTCGGATGTTTGGCCCGGGACATGGGGGCCACATTCAGTGCCACGGCGAACCCAGGCACGCCAGACAAGTGCCAGATCGGGAGGGGTCTGCGCCACCAAGGGCCGCCATGAGCCTGTGCCAGGGGACTGCCCTGATTGTTTCGCTGCTAGCCTCTTGGGGCTCTGAGGATAGCCAGGGGTGGGAGGGGGAGGACTGTGAGAGGAATTGGGCGACCTGTGTTATTTTGAAGGTGCCTCGTCTTGTACAGCGAACCTGCATTTGTGTGTGACGTGCGTCTGTGAGATGAAATGAGTCTCTGCTTGCTCAGGTGCGTCCACGGATGATCGGAAACGGGATGGCAGTGTGACACATGACAGGTTTGGTTAGCAAGATTGGCGTTCTCTGGCGTGCGTCGCGTTAGGATTTTGATGAGCCGTGTCTGAGAGTAGGTAGTTGTGGCAGTGGATGAACTCTCACCCAGGACACAACGTCCGAGGGAGGAGGGGGCTCAGGTGGGATGAGTCAAGGCGCCCGGAGAAGAAGCTCATTGTCGGGCGTGCAAAGCTTCTGAGAAAAATTCAAAAACCAAGCGGCAAAATGACGAATCCTGAATCAGGTTTGGCAAATGGCGAACGGTGACCAAAGTCCGGCTCGCTGTCTTATCTCAATCGGCCCTACGAAGCAGCGTTTCGTATGCAAGATTGGCCATCGATCACATCTGCAACAACGCTAATTACGGCAGTGGCTGCTTGTGTGCTTTTCTTAGCCGCCGGCCGGCCGCCCGTGCTGAACCACCCACACCCTCCGAGTGCCTCTTCTTTACACCCTCTCAGGGCACATCCTCGAACACCACCATGACCGCCGTGTCGACGGCACCGGCGACGGGGTCGACGGGCCTACGGTGGCACACAGCGGAACACCCAAGTTAGTCAGATGGCGCTGGAGACGTTCTGTTGGGAACGGGGACAATGGGGCCACCAGCGCGGGAAAGTTGGGATGCCAATGCCCCTTAGTGCTGGCTTAGTATTCGTTGCCCGACAGGGCTACCGCCGGAACATCGCCGGACTCGCCAAGAGATGGTGGCTCACTGGCTCATGAGAAGAGCTCTGAGTTTCCTATCGCGTTTGTAACTCGGCGAAAGCGCGGTCGTGGCGTTCACTGGGCCCTTTCCGAGGGCGAACGCGACCAAGGCTTGGTCTAGGAGCAGTTCGTGTGTGCAATTGCCAGTTACCTACTTAGTGTGCCAGCTAGCATGTTCGTCGGTCGAAATTGAATTGATGTGCGCACCTCACCTCCCTTGACGGAAAACTCGCACTCGCACTCATCTCGCGCTCAGCTCGCCTTCCCGACGGCCGTCTCAACAAGCTTGGGTGAGAAGACAGAAAGGCCGAGTCTAGCACAGTAGTAGGAGAGGGGTTATAGCGCAATCAACTACATACACACGCGCGCGCAGCAATCAACTGATAACGGCGGGCGCGAGTCCACTGCGTTGTCTTGTTGCAGACACGTGTGAGCTGGAGTGATTGAGCTAATAGCTGTGAGGATAGGCGGTCGGACTGCAGCTGTCGCGGGAAGAGGCAATGATGGGCGGCGGTGGTACGGACAGCTCAGCAGAGCTTCACCTGGTTCGACTTGGCCCAGCAGAGCTCTGCGCAGGATGTTCTGATGCCCACGGCAAGGGGCAGCAAAGAGACGGGGGTGTGAGTTGATGACGGCATGGGGGTCACCGCGGGCAGGCACGGGGGGGGGGGTTAGGGGTGAGGTGCAGACCCTACGAGAAGCAAGAGGCTACAGAAGACGCAAAGAATGGACGGCTAAGGGTTCCCTCAGCAGGGATAAGGGGAATCTTGGAGGGCTGGAGGGGTGGGAGGGGTGGAATCTTTGGAGATGTCGAGCCAGGGGGTTTCACGCCTCTCTGTACCTGTACTATGTATATGCTATGTATGACTCTCTCAACTGCTCACTTGATGGATTAATTCACCTACTTGTCCGTTCTTACTGACACTCTCACTCCCTCTCACTCCCTCGCTCATATCTACGGTCCCTCACCAAAAAGCCACATGGTACTTTGCACAAGCCACTTGAAAAGTCGATTCGTTGGACGGAAGGGGCGTTTTTTTGATAGTAATAGTAGTTTTTGCCGCTGGATCCACTCTTTCTGGCACAATGCCATTTCTAGCACAAGGGAACCCCTCGATGGCGGCTGCACCTGCTTTGGCTTTGGCTTAAGCCGCTGCGCAGCTAGGTACAGAAGGGGCAGAGGAGAGAAAGAGGAAAGAGGTACGTACCTCGGTCTCTTCCCTACGGTTCCCTCTTCCCTCCATGTTCTTGCCTCTGGCACCATTGCACCTGCAGGCAGGAGTCATACACATCACACAACTTTTTTTCATCTTTTTTTTCACCTTCTGTGTTTTTCCGTCCTTTTCTCAACGACACACACCTCGGATTGGGCACCACACCTCACAGTCACATAAACACACACGCCTCTCGACGAACTCTGCACTGCTTATCGCCGCATCCACCACGACATCGCCGGCTTCTCTCCACTTCTCTCTGACGACTGGTGTGGGCCCCATTCGTGTTTTTTCTTCCCCCTTCGAGCCCCGCCAGCCGAGCCCATCCGTCTTGCTTGGCCAGGTTTGCAAGCCCACCCACTCACTCTCTTGCCTAGGCGCAGGGTGGTGCTCGACCCAGGGTTAGTTAGCATGGCACGGCAGGGCAACCGGGCAATCGCATGGCATTGCGGGCGAGGCGTGGGATTGGGTCCATGTTCCATGGCCGTGACCGACCACAACCACCCGTGGGCGTGGATGGACTGGACTCGGTGGATGCGGACGTCAAACATGGTTCAAGGCCCATGGATTGATGGATATCCCGACCTTGACCCAGTCTTCCGTACACTAAACATCGGCCTTTCCATCCAGACGAGCCAGTGATTCGCACGAGGGCTCCGTCGCCCGTCAGTCTCGCGTGATAACGCGGATGCGCACCACACACGCCGAATCCCTAGCACTGGCCTTGTACCGATTGCATAGCACCAGCACCGGGGTTGAGAAACACCAAGCATACCCGCCGTGGACCTCCCAGTCTGCTCGTCGCTGTTCCTGCTTGTGCCTGTCGAATCGTCTCCAGTTCTTTCCATTCTCCCCTCCTCCGTCCGTCCTGTCTTTTTTGCCATTCATTACGTCCCGTCTCTCCGCTACTTCCGCCTCCTGCTTCCAACTTCCAGCTCCATTAGATCATCCCCCTCCCTCCCTCACCCTCCTCCATCCCTCCTTCATCCAACCCTTCAACTCAGTTCTCCTGTCTTCTTACACGATGGCGCCTTCTTTTCACGAGTGCTACCGCCGCGAGGTCCACTGACCACTCCCACCCGATCTCATTGTCATTACTCGCTCATGATACCTGGATACATGATCCATCCCACAAACATCACCACTAGCAGCTCTAACCCCTACATCACGTCCTCGTTGGTGTTGGCCGCTGCCTCCTACCAGTAAACACTTCGGAACAGCGAAGATAGTCCTCAAGGAAGGATAGGCAGATCGCGCACCCAAAAGAGAGACGGCGACCGCCGACCGACCGAAGACGACGATCATTTCCTAACACCGGCACAATGTCGGGTTCCCCTCAGGACCCGGGGGCAAGCTCCAACTCGAGCTCCAACGAGTCGCCCCAACCTGGCTCGTCCAGAAATCCTTTCATGAACCCGCCGCAAGACCAGCAAGTACAGCAGGGAAAGCTTCTTACTCCGCCGCTGCTTCATCCTACGTCTGTGACTCCCCAGGGAAGGAAGGAAAAGAAAAGAGTCGGCTTCCACGGTGACGGCCAGCCTCAACAAGAGACCCGACCACCAAGTATCGTCGTCGACGACGACTACTTCGCGCAGACCATGTCTCCCGAAGCTAACCCCTTCGATACACCGCGTCGGGATACAGATTCCACCCCAGCCGGTGCCCCGGACGCTGGTGAGCTGCGCCGCGCCCTTACCCAGGTGCTCATCTCGGAGAACCAAGATGGCAGCCCCTCCGAGACACCCGCCCGGCCCCGTCCCGTGCTGCGCCGGAACACCAGCTACGACGATCCGCAGGAGAGGGAAAAGGCCGACCTCGCTGAGCGGACCGCTGGCGAACGCCAGCAGCGTTCCGGACTCGAGGCTCGTCAACGTGCCAACCGATTGGCCGTCAGCGTCGAGAACTACTCGTCACCATCCCGTCGTAGCTCGCTTGATGGTGGCTACAACCCCTTCAGCGACGAGGAGGATGTGGACCAAGTCGCTGGCTTGAGCACAGCAGTGGACGGCGCCGAGGATCGCCGCAAGGTCCGGTCTCGTCCAAGAAAGAACTCACATCTGGATGCCGAGAACCTCGTCCGATCGCACACAAAACGTGCCAAGAAGGGTGGTCGAGGACCGAACGATTACTTCAAATATCAACCACCACCGGGCACCCGCTCCGGAGCCGCAACGCCCACGCTGGAGCAGTCCTACGCCCACGACTATGTTCCCCCGCCCAAACAGTATCACGGCGGTATCCTCTCCTCCCTTCTCAAGTTGTACAACGAGAATGGTAGCGGAGGCAGCAGCGGACGGAACACGCCGGGTGCAACTACTCCGGGGACGGCCACACCTAATCACTCTCCCCCCGGCTCCCTGCCGGCATCTGCACCCCCTTCGGCTCCCGGGTCCCCCCGGCCCTCGCGCCCCAACAGCGGATTGTTCAACTACCACAAGAAACAGGGCTCGCGCTCCTCCGTGGCTTTGGCAGAGCTCCTGAAGTCGTCGTCCGCCATGGCCGGTCCCGCTTCGAGTGTGTTCAGCCAGGGGTTCACAGAGAAGATCAAGCAGGAGCCCCCATCTAGGCCGAAGAAAAAGAAGTCTAGTGTCTGGGGTGGCTCGTCGCCAAGGTCTTCCAGGTCCTCCAAATCTGACGATAAGATTCGCATCACCAAGCATATCGCACAAATCTTGTCGCGGCACAAGTATCTCGTCAAGCTGTGCAGGGCGCTGATGCTGTACGGTGCTCCGACGCATAGACTCGAGGAGTACATGAAGATGTCGGCGCGTGTACTTGAGATCGAGGGCCAGTTTCTGTACATCCCCGGTTGCATGATCATCAGCTTCGACGACAGTGCAACCCATACAACCGAGGTCAAGATTGTTCGCTCGGCGCACGGTGTTGATCTAGGCAAACTGCGCGACGTGCACGACATTTATAAGCAGGTTGTTCACGATCTGATCAGTGTCGACGAGGCCACCATCATGCTTGAAAACATTACGAGTCGCAAGCTGAAGTTTGGCAACTGGATGCGTGTGCCGATTTACGGCCTTGCCAGTGCCTGCGTTGCCCCCTTCGCCTTCCAGGGACGCTTCATCGATCTACCTATTGCTTTCATCCTCGGCTGCATCCTAGGCTGGATGCAGCTCATTCTCGCACCGAGCAATGAGCTGTACGCCAACGTCTTTGAGATCACGGCTGCGATCGTTACATCCTTCCTGGCCCGCGCTTTTGGTTCAATCAACCACGGCTCGCTTTTCTGCTTTTCCGCCCTGGCACAGAGCTCTATCGCTCTCATTCTACCTGGTTACATGGTGCTCTGCAGCAGTCTGGAGTTGCAGAGTCACAACTTGGTGGCGGGAAGTGTGCGCATGGTCTACGCAATGATCTACACTCTCTTCCTCGGATACGGCACTACAATCGGCACTGCCCTCTATGGAATGATCGACAAACACGCAGAATCACGAACGACCTGCACCAACCCGCTGAACAGGAACTGGTATTTTCTGTTCGTGCCGGGCTTCACCCTCTGCCTTTGCATCATCAACCAGGCCAAGTGGAAGCAGACGCCGGTCATGATCATTATCTCACTCGCAGGATTCCTTGTGAACAGCTACTCGTCCGACTTCTTTGTGGGGAACGCACAAATCTCCAACATGCTTGGCGCACTCACGGTCGGGCTGCTAGCTAACCTCTACTCCCGCCTGGGTCGCCACGCCCACAATTATTGCCTTGACTTTCTCGACTGGTGGGATCTCCGTATGGCCCCGCGCTTCATCAGCGCGAGCCGTCGTCGTAACGAGCGCCCTCGTCCGGAGATGTATCAAATGTCCGGTCAGACCGGCGCCGGTGCCAGTGCCAGTGGTGTCCACACCCCGGGCGGAAACACACCCGAAACGGCACCTTCCTCGCCAACCACCGAAGGTTTCTCCGAGAAGGACAAGGCTGAAGGTGTCATTCCCGAGCGAAAGCGGACCGTCGGCTACGGGCTTGCGGCCGCAGCCATGCTGCCTGCGATATTCGTGCAGGTTCCTAGTGGTCTTGCGGCCGGTGGGTCGCTGCTGGCTGGTGTGACGTCCGCCGACCAGATTACGAACAACAACGGTACTGCGTCGACCAGTACTTCTACGGACCTCAACAACTCTGCTTTCGCCGTTCTCCTCAGTGTCATTCAGGTAGCCATCGGCATCACTGTCGGATTGTTCTTGAGTGCCTTGATGGTATATCCGCTGGGCAAGCGCAGGAGCGGCTTGCTCAGCTTCTAGTTTGTGCGCAGCAAAGCCTTGCCCAAGCAATTCAGTTTTAATTCCCTTTGTTATTGGACGGAAGGTGCAGAGGCACCACGGGACTTGGAGTCGGATCTCGGTATGAGACGGTTTCTGGATAAAGGGAGCATTAGAAGAGCAAGCATATAAATGGCAGTCTGGCGTCTGTATAAGGGTTCAGCGTTGGTTTAATTGGATGTGGTTTCGAGTCTTTCCAAGCATGGTATATCATATAGCAGAACAAGTATCAGAATAGGTCAAATGACAGACACCTGAGGTGGTCAAACCTCCAGTACACCATCATCATTTCTTCTCTTACGCTCTGCACCATGTGATACAATCCACTACGCATGAAGGACTGATAAATGAATTCATCCATAGCAGTACCGTTTGTAGGCGATAGAGACCTCAATATCGTCCATCCCCCTAACCCAACGTGCGGTTCACTGCGTCCTGGTGATGTTCCGTCCTTCCAGACTATGCGCAGGCCCATACCAACCATTATGGATCATCGACACCCGAAGTTTGACCACGAAATTTTGGCAAGCGTCGGCAGTAATAAGGCAACTATTAGGCAGCGTGGAACAGAACGCTCGTGTGAAGAGCGACGTAGAAAGAAGACTCACGCTGGGATAGGGGTTTCCCTGATCCATATCCTTCTTGGTTGAGTTCCGTTGCGGTCGGAGTGCTGGCCTTGGGTACATGGTACTCTGGTAGGTCTAGTCGTATCACGGATCTGATTTCCGGTTGGTTACATTCCATGCGTCCGCATAACGCATTATGGAAGTCTATGAGACGTATAACCGGCGCCTGAGCTATGAAGGTTTCAAGAAGCGGTGGGAGAAGTGCCTTGTGTTTGATGGAAGTGCTTTACCGCAAGCTATCATGGTCTGGATGGCTGGACACCGTTGCATTGGGGTTGATACCGCCCCTGTATCTTTAAATACCTAAGATAGTCTGCATGCTACTTCCATATATGGCGTATAGTGTTGAGGATATAAACCGCGGAGACACTTCCAGTCCTTTGGAATCTGGATGACAGAAACATTTACTTCCTTGGTTGCCTAAGAACCGGCCGTTTATAAGTACCAACGAGAGTACTAACATGAGTGTGCAACACACCATCCCACTCTCTGTGTCGTATGTACGTGGTGTGGGTGCCACAACTGATGGCTTGGACATGAGACTTGGCCTTCTTTCCCGCTCTTGACGAACGCGCTTATCCGAAGACTTTGAAATCATGACTGCGGTAAGAGATGTAAAAGTTTCCGAGTATACTGGAAGATCCAGATAGAATTTACACCGGCAGCTCAATGTTGTTGGTATTGTTGCTAGCAACACCCAGCAGGCTCCAGCGGTGCTAAAATTTCGAGAGAGTATCGAAGTGGGCTTACCCATCGCAGTATTGGCTTCCATAGCATTATGCCTTTGGTCCAATCTCTGGGGCTCTGGACGAATACGAAAGACTTTCAGAGAGCTGGAGAGTGAGAGAATAGGAGCCGCATCAAGTGCAACAGCCTGTCGATCTCATCGTCTCTCCTTCTGGCCTAAAGTCCACCTGGAACTTGTCATCTTGTTGGCGCCTCCCTCTGGCGATTCAACGATTACGATGTTCATAGCAGGTCGCAGCTTATGCCGATCAGACTGCCGACAGCGGAAGCATTCAAAACCTAATATGCAACGGTCTTCTTGTTGATTGAAGCCAAGACCGAAGCTTATTCTGCCGATTCAAGCGGGGAGCTGGAAGACGGAAAGAGATATGAACGGCATGTGGACTCTCATGTTCACTATCTTTTAAAACCTTTGCGGCACTATTATGCTTAAGACAACCGGCAAATCTATAACCTAACCATAGGTGCCTGCTACCATGCGATGATGGCCTCAAAGTGTCACTTCTCCAGTCACTCGTGTCGATTTTTGGACATCGGCCTGTCAGTCTGCAATACACTAGTGATTGTTACAAAGGTATATTAACTGTATACGCCTACCCACTCACCCCTTTCGACGCCCTACCTTGACAACCACACTCACAATCATTCGCCACCGCTTTCACCTTAACTTCGTTTACAACAAGCAAGGCACTAATTATGGGACTCTCATCCGAAAGACTCGACTTTGTCTATTTAATCGAGATCGGCCAGCCTTCTACGGCGGTGACCAGTCTAGTTCAGGCGCGTTGCTTCACGGCCGTCCGGCTCAACAACCATGCTGCATCGCTCCGACAGTTTGAACAGGCCATTGCCGAACTTGAATTCCGCCATCTCGCAAAGACCATTCGCTACAATGTCCTTTTTCCGAGCATCAGCGACAAGAGGCTGCAGAACAAGCTCCAGTGTGCCCAGATTCGGATGCTCCAGACTCTCTCCCAAGGTCACTGGCCACGGCCAACTTGGATCGGCCGTCGAAGCAGGTACGTGGTGTTCCGAGTCCTAAGATGTTCACGCCGCTCGTCGCTTCTTTCGCCAGAGCCGTTGCGGGGGTGGACGTGCTGCGGCGTGCCGAGATTCGCATCCACGGCGTGCTCGCGATGGTCGATGTCTATTACATCGGCTTCGGCAAGGAGGAGCGGAGCGCGTTCCTCAAATGGCCTGCCTCGACCCGCCGAGCAATGTGGGAGGGCCCGTGGAGAAGGCATCCTGGTATCTGGACGCGTCCGGAGAGGTTCCGCCGTGCAGTGGAAGATTCCGACGCAGATTCGCGCGGCTATGGAAGACGGTGTGGGCGAGGGCAACATCAAGGTGTCGATACCGGAGGGCAAGATAGGGAATGAGTAGGGCTGGTCCGAGTTGCGAGGAATATAACGCTTTCCTGTTTCAATACCTGCACATTAATAAGAGAGAGGGGCAAAAGTGACAAGAGGTACGGGAGTGAAGTCACTTTTAGTACTGATATGTTTCATTACTACAATATTGGGAGTGATCTAGTAATCGAACGTCTTCAATATATAAGAAAAATGCCAAATCATGATATCCTATAAGCCTTCCAGGCCCTTGGTGAGTCGAATGTACTTCATTTGTATGACGAATATGCGAAAGCTCGAACTGTCCGCCAAACCCCGGGAGCCTTATTTAGTACAAGGCTTTAGTAGAAGTGGCAGACTCGGCGTGAGTGCTACTGGTGCTGACCCGGGGATGGAAGCCGGAGGGAGCTTTGCCACCACGTTAACGAGCCAAGGCGGCGCACCATCCCTGTGCCTCACCTCGCTGACGCCTCCGACTCCTGGCGGTGAGGAGACGGTACACGCTGAGGCGCGGCGTCTGCTACCAAATCCAGCGGGAACGGAACCCGGCCACGGGACGACACTCGTGCATGGAATGCGCGATACAGGCATGCTAGCAAAAGAGGGCCTAGCTTCTTGGCTCCTTGGCTCCCCCAGGAGTCCTGCTCGGATGTTGTCCGGTCGTCTAGATGGCTTACAACGCCGCAGACAGGTACTTGTGCGGCACAGAAGGATTGCCATCTCGATTTCGTCCAGGGAGGTTCGGCCAATGCGTACCTTTCCCGTTCCCGAGTCCCGAGGCGGAATTGCCCCCCGATGGTCCGATGGCTCGGTGGTCTAAGACCGGCATCTACTGTCAACCAGCAGCTGTAATTTGGCTCGCCTGGAACCGAGCTGGTATAGTAACTGTATCTGGTGGATTGGGTGCCCGGTTATCATTAGCCTTGCTGGCCTTTTGTTCTGGTGATTGGTCTGACGAGGAGCTCTTGGCCCTGCCCTGTTCTATCTTTTCCCTCAACCTAGGGTTATTGGCAGGCAAATCTTGAGCCATCTGGGTCTTCGCTGTGACTCCAGTCCAACCGAACGGGCGAATGTATGGGTTGGAATAGAAGCAATGCTGATAAAAGTGCCTCTTTCCATCCAGCAGACAGAAGGGTTTCGGCCAGCGGAAGCGCTGTTGGCGTTGCCGTTGGCTAGAACCTGTGATGGCTGGCCTTTTCCACGCTGTTGCCAACTGGCGGCCGACAGGCCTCCCCGTCACGAGGCTCACTCGGCATCATGATCACTGTCGCAAGAGTGGCGCTCAACAAGGGGGGAAATGGAAGAGGAAAAGTGGACGTTGCCAAGCCCTCGGGTTCGCGATGGAGCAAGCAAAACCGCCTTTCAGTTCGGCGCTGCTAGTCGCAACGACGACGAAATGATTAAACCCCACGCTTGGACAAGCGCCGGTCTTCTCTCCGCAGCCTCTCCTCTACGTGCTGTCCGACTCCGCACCGCTCCCCCGGATCCACTAACCCCAACTTCTGACAAGTTGAAATGGTCGGTCTGGAATCAGGGTCGACTGGGACTCGGACTTCCTCCATACATAGATCAGGTTCGAAAACGGGGCAAAGAAATGGGGAGGGTCATGGGGGATAAAGAGCAAGAAAGACCCATTGAAAAAACATCTTGGAGAATAATGGGCTCCTCTCCAGTACCCACAACGGACGCCAACGAAACAGCTTTCTCGAGCGCGGGCGGCGCTTGCAAAAGCGGCCCCCCCGTCCCGCTCATCGTACGAGTGTCATCTCAGCATGGCCCCGCGGCCGCACAAAACTTTTGCGTAACTATGTGTCGTCAACCCCAGATGTCGATGGAGACCAGGCGGGGAAGGGGGGCAAGGGAAAAAGTCTGAGATCCTGGGGCAATGGAAGCCTGGGGGAGATGGGCAACGCGAGATTTGAATACTCGGATCCGGGGTCGTTTGGTAGCAGGGAAGTAAGGTGATTGTCTGTAAAGGCAACATTGCGCGTGGTTGGTGGTGTGATATTGACACGACGGTGGCCAACCGCAGCAAACTTTGGATATTGCGGGAGCCATGCAGTTCTCGAAAAGGGTGCTCGACACAATTTACGCAGACATACGGGCTTGAGTGAGAACGCCACAGCTGCGACCATGGCGCGATTTCTTTACGAAACTGAGCAACCTCGACCTTGAGAGATGCCTTGCGGTGAGTGAGTCTTGGAGACCTCTGGCAGGACGTTGGGGAGATCCGTAATGTGGGCGGCACAACCAATACTACGTGAGAACAGCGAACATGTGCTCGACAAAATGACTGGGGAAAGAAAAGAAAGAAAAGAAGCCCCAAAAAATCAAGAAGCCAAGAAAATCCAGAGGGGTTTGTACCAGAGAAAAACCCTTCATCTCGTTCCGAGGTCGCTATCTTGCCGCCTTTGCAATGTCACTCACTCACAGCAATCATTGTAGCCGACCGCCGCTTACTGGGATTCAGAGCGATCTTGGCCCCCGGTGGAGCAAAGGGGCCCGGGCAACGCTGAATCAGGGGGCGTCGAGTTTGTCCCACCGGTTCGGCCTGCATCAGGCTAGTCGCCCGCCCAGGGGCTACATGCCGATGACTAAGATGTCGTGCAAGTTGAAGACCGCCCATCCCCCTCACAAGCTTCACGCCAAGCCGCTGGGCAGGTATCGGCGCCGCTGGGCGTGAAGCTTGTCTCGGGGCAGCTGTCGTGATGTGAAACATCATGTCACACTAGGGCATTGCAGATCATCAAGGTCGCGTGAACCGTACAACAAGCAGTTGTCAAGATGGTATCTCTTTGGTATATTCATTCAATTCAATCGTGCTTCGTGCGCGCCTCAAGCGCTTCTGGTGGGGTATTGTAATAGCATCCTCAGCCTTGGGGATAATTTCCCTCCTCCTCCCGTGCATGTTTCCCCCAAAAATCCTTGACATTCCCTCCGGTAGCATATCCAAAACACAGTAGACTTGCATCATTGAGCCCGGCAACGACTGATCTACTCCTTGCGTGTGACATCCTCGACGGTGGCAGCCCTGATGCTGCCCTTCTCCTCGTCGTGGTCGTCAATCTCCTTGGTCTCGGCGACCTCACCCTGGACACCGGCGACGGCGTGCTCGAAGCTGCGGCCGCGGCGCTCGGGTCCGAACATGGTGGTGACGACGATGCCCATGGCGATGATGGCCGTCGCAATACCCATGACGGGGCCGTACGCCTCGACGCTGTGGCCCGAAGGGGCTCTGACAAACGTCTTCTCGGCGATGGCGTTGACAATCTGGGCAGACGGGGAGGAGATCATGTTACCCAGCTGGTAGGTGATACCGGGGAACGAGGAGCGGAAGGCAGGGGGCGACAGCTCGTTCAGGTGGATAGGAATGACACCCCACGCACCCTGGACGAAGAACTGCATGAAGAAGCCGCTGGCGCTCAGGGCGCGCTCGCCCTGGGGTAGGATCCAGGCGGGGATGAGGCAGGCGGACATGAGAGCCGAGGCGATGATGGCGCGGCGACGGCCGAAGAACTGGGATAGGTACCCAATGATGGTGCCGCCAACGCAGGCGCCGGCCTTCATCAGGATAGAGGCGCGGGACGCACCGGCATTGTCCATCTCCTTCTGGGCGATCATGAAGGTTGTGTACGAATCTTGCGAGGTGTGGGAGTAGTAGTTGAACCAGGTCATGAGGATGATGCAGTAGACACACATCTTCCACTCCTGGGCAAGCATCTTCTTGGTCTCTCTCCAGAAGGCGCCAGGCGAAGCAGTCTTCTTGCCGTGGGCCTTGGCCTCGAGGAACTGTTGGGATTCGGGAAGACGATACGGACGAGACCGACGGCGATGGAGATGCCGGCGGCAATCCAGAAGACCGTCTTCCAGGTATCGGTACCACCACCGACGCCAAGGTTGGCGCAAGCAGCGAGGACGTAGCCGAAGGAGTATCCCTGTTGGAGGATACCAGACATGAGGCCACGAGCGTTGGAGCTGAGCAGATGTTAGCGGGCGTTCAGAGGTCAGAGGATACAGATTACATACGGGCAGTGCTCAAGGGCCATGGCGATGGCGTTTCCGTAGACACCTCCCATGAAGAGACCGAACAAGCTGCGCACAGCCAAGAACTGCTGGAAGGTGCTACTGTAGATGGTGGCGATCTGAAGGAGACCGAGGATGATCATGTTGAGAACCATGGGCCACTTACGACCATACTTGTCACCGGCCAGACCGAAGAAGGCAGCGCCGATGGAACGGAGTAGGAGGGTCAGGGTGATGGCTGTGGAGATGTCGGTCTTTGATCGGTCGTAGTACTTGGCCAGCTTGGTGGTCTGAATGGAGAGGGCGTGGAAGTCAAAGGCATCCGCTGTCCAGGCGCAGAAACCGCAGATGAAGAAAAGCCAGTCGCGAGGACTTAGCTGGGCCATCAAGCTGATGGGGTTCTTGATGGGGTCGGGGTCCTGCCATTCTGTGTGCGTCTCGCCCGTCGGGCTTACAACGACAGTACGCTGCTTCCAGATGAAGAGGTCCTTCAAGGACTGCTTCGCCGTGGCCAGGACGCCCTTGGCAATGGGGTCGGCGGGCTGAGCGGTCGACGTCGACATGCTGGACGTTTGTGTATGGGTCCCGACTCTAGACAGGTTCCTTGAATACTGTCAGGAGGGTGGATGAGGGCAATGAAGGGAGATATATGCTTTGAGGAGATGGAGCAGATGGATGAGGCACGACTGACAGATTCCGGCAAAACGAGACGAGGTGAGGGGGACACCAGGTTCCTCATATAGTTGAGAGTAGCCTTGATGGCCCTCCCCGTTGACGAATCACCAGCCAGTCCAATGTCTCGGTGCCAAGAGTTCACCAGGCAAGGGGGTAGTGGATAGGATGGTTTCGAAGGAGGAGAGGATATGGAAACAAAGAGTAACGGTGTCGAGGGCCAGAGAGACCGGGATGGCACCAGCTCGCCCGCGACTCGAAAGCGATCATCGCCCATGATGGAACACTGCAGTGAAGCGTGGTGAGTAGTGCAGGCAGGCCGACCAATAGTGGCAAGGGTGTCACTGATGGATGCGTGGGGAGGACGGAGTTGACGATGCGGGGTCGGGGTCGGGGGAGGAGGAGAACGGTGAGGAGAAGTGTAGGGTGTATACTGGAAGATGAGGGGAGTCATGGAGCTAGAGCTTTCTAGCGGAGCGACTAGTCGGACAAGAGTACCAGGCACGAAGGGGGAACGAAGGAGAAGAGGCGGCTGCAGACAAGGGGGAGGCGAGGCTGGGGTTTCTGGTCCATGGTTGGGAGTTTGAGCTAGGAACAGCTAGGGGTCATGATGGTTACGAGGGCGTGGTCCACGTTGGAACATTGCATACAATAGCCTCCCCAGCCGAGCTAGCTAGGTTCTCAGGAGCAGCACGGTAATCCGCGTGTGTGTGGGAGACGGCCTTCACTCCGGCACATGATGGATCGACCCATGTTGAACGGGGTCAACGAGCATGGGGCATGGCAGCCACCGGCGGCAGGGACTTGTGTGACGAGGACCGGACTGGACGCTGGAGGGTACAAGTTGGTTTGTGTTTGTAATGATGGACCATACATAGATGAGGTGTCCGTCCCAGCAAGTCCAAGTGCGGCAAGGTGAGATGCGATGAGAGCCGAGGCGGGATGCAAAGCAGGTGTATGAATCCACTTGGAGTCGCCGGCCCAACACCCTCCTGAACCAAGAATAAAGCTCATGTCGCGTTGGCGGGAGTGAGAATCATGATGATGGGGCTTGTTTTGGTTGCACAACATGGCACATGCGCCTGTCCTTCGTCTGTCGAGTGTGTCTGTCGGAGACCAGAATAGGAAGCGGCGAAACGGAACACCATGTTCGCCTCCCTCGACGAAACGGCGACCTCTGCCTGCGATTCGACGTTGACCCAGGCCGTCGCGGCAGTTGTTGCGGTCGGAGCAGTGTAAGAAACAGACTGAGATGGCAGCCAAGAGCAAGCAGAGTGGAACGCTAGGAATAGCAACGGGGGGTTTGACAAGTTGGTGAGGCAGGAGCAGCAGAACCAACAAGAAAGGACCCGAAAGAAACAAGTGAAGAGAGGAATTGAGGGTCAACACCAGAAAAAGTTTGCGCCTCACACGTCTAGGAGGTCTTGGCTGTCTGTTTTGGGGACAGCGCGTGTGTGGTCTGTGGGGGGAGGAGGGGAGTGGTGTTGCATCACGACGAATCCTTCAATGGAGTGGCTTCATGACCCATGAACTGGGGCAGAAAAAGTAGGGGAGGAGGGGAGACGAGGAACGGAGAAAATGAGAGATAAAACCAAACCAACGACTGACTATAGCAGGTACGTATCTAATTTGGCCAAGTCGTACACAGCAATCTCGTCGAAGCTCTTGGGAAGGAATAATGGAGGGGAAACCCAAGGAAGGAACATAGGTACCCCACCCGGTCGGCCATGATTACGCCTGCCTTCCACGCCGACGCGGTGCTTCCAGCGTTGGCGAGGAATGGAAGGAATCCGACAGAAAGCGAGATAAGGAAGGCAGGAGGCGCTGGACCTGGACCCCGTCGTCCCTTCCAAATCCCTCGTGTCCCGTGACTATCCATCCATCTTGGCCCGTTTCGCTCCTCCCCTCGCCCTCCTCTATCGATGCTGCCTCGCGAGGCCGAGGCCAAGGCCAATCATCTCTATGTACGAATCACCACGCCGCAAATGGCACAGCAGGACTTGCACCTGCAGTGCACATCTTTCAATGTGGCCTTGCGTTGCTACCGCCTTGGTGCACTACGCGAGCAGTCAAGAAGACAGCCAGGCATCAGCAAAAGTGCGAGGAGAGGGGGGGGGGAGGGAGGGAGGGCAGAAGCAACACGCCGACAGCGCCAACGCCGCCAAGACTTCGTGGACCAGCGTAAAGTACCAGGTGCGGGCAGGGGTCGGGCTCGCCCACCAGACGTAGGCCAAGATGCAACGGCCGATGACTCTGCCAAGAAAGTGCTTGTGTCCGTCTCGGCAAGCCATCCCGTTACGCCAAGTCGCTCGGCGCTGCGAGAAAGAAGTCGCCGCATTGCTGGCAAACTGACGACGTTGACGACGACGACGACCGATGAAGTGAGGTCAAGAACCTGAGGAGGGGAACCCGACGTGGTTTCGCGCCTTCCAATCAGCCGGGACGAGAGATCAAACGAACCGCCCTTGACAAGCCTGACAGCCGCGACAGATTCAACCCCGCCGCGCCCAGATAGCCGATCCGCAATACGGGGTAACGTCTGCTCGCGGCCATTGGCACTAAAGCGCGCGTGTCCCACCATACAAGATGAAGGAGATACGGGGATACTCAATGCTGGGGAATTAAGCTTAACGGGCGTGATAGGTAGTGTGGTGCTAACAGCTAGCACCGCTCGTACCCGTGGACTCTGCTAAGCAGATGCGTGCCATGGCGAAAAAAACGTCTCTCATCTACAGCACCTCTTGGCCAATGAGACGGACGGTTCTTCCATGGAGGGACTATGAGTTGGAAACTCGCGCACTGATCCCGCCGTCCGTCCATAGTCAATGGTCCATTTCCCTCCAGACTGTCGAGCCTGGTCTCCCCAGCCCATCCATCCCCACGGATATTTCGCGCTCACCTCCCCCCAGAAGTTCCTCTGTCTAGTTCGGGTTGGGGCCACAAATTGGCCCCGTCAACAAAACGATCCAAGAACCTTGGGAACGGTAAACTCTGCTGTTGGGCAATTTCATCGGAACCCGTCCCACCCCCACTGGCACTGGTCGACGACACATTGGCTGCTTCCCTGCCGGAAAAGAAAAACGACCCGTACTTTGGCAGCCACGTCCGGGCACGACCGGGTCCTGCCGGGGTCTCCCTCTGTCGGGCGCAGCACCGGTAGCATCAGGTCCCCACTCTTTTTCCCTTGAGGCTTCGGCCATCTTCCGACTATTTTTCTCCCGCTGGCGCCTTCACCCCCGTCCTCTAGTGACCCTCCTTGACCAAAGGCAACCGTCATCCACGCGCCCTCACTCATCGTCTTGCTGCATGTTGGACGCCCACGTTCTTCGATTCTCCCCACTATCCCGTTTCCTTACCCCGGGCTCCAGTCTTCAGTCTCCAGTCTGCAGTCTGCAATCTGCAGTCTCCAAGCTCCGGTCTCCAGTCTAGCTCACTCAAAAGAGTCATCTGCCTGCGTCCGTTCTTCAACCTCATTTTGAGTCATGCCCGATCAACTTGCTTCGGTCTAGTGTTCCTTGTTGCTGCGCTGGGTATCGCAGGCCAGACCGTCCACGACGCGCCCGCAACATCGTAGCGTTTGCCAAGAAACTAGCCATGTACCCAAAACATGCCTTCGTAGCTGACTTGCTACCCGCCGGTGACCAGGCCAGTCCGAGCAATTCGGACCCTTGTTGTCGGATTCAAACTAGTGTACAGCACAGAGTAATGCCCGGCCAGCGTCGAGATGCAGATGCGACCAGCCGCGGCACTTGTTGACTTGCCAGAGCACCACTATCTACTCGCCTCAGCCAGCCGCCCGCCGTGCCGCTGTCTCTCGCCTCGACTTGCCCCTGGACGCCCGTCGTACCATAGGAGATGCCAAGCATCCGTGATTACGAATCGAAGACCGAATCCTGCTTTCCCCGTCCCCAGCTCACCCCGCCTCTCCAACAAACCCTCCACTTGGACCCCAAACCCCCCGAATCTGCCTCTGCGGAGAAGAACGGGTCCATCATCCTCGCCAAACCGGGCCCTTTTCGCGTGCTCACCATCTGGCTGGATATGCGTCTGTCTGTCTGTCTGTCTGTCTGTCTGTCTGCACTGTCGCATCGCTCCACTCCCGTCACCACCCACCCACCACTCGGCTTACCAGGCACCGGCGCGTATCCTGATCCTTACCGCAACAAGGCAAAACATCTACATAGTACAAGCGCATCCATCAGTGTTTTGAAATCCCCTTCCAGCCTCTCCCCCATCGACTCCGGCATAATGCCGCGGACTGTTACCCTGGGAGTTGTTCTTGCAGCACAGTATCCACCCGCCGTATCACCACCTGGGAAACATGTCCCGAGGGCGTTCAGATCTTTGCTGCGCAAGTCACTGGATTTGTTTCGTTGATCCTAAACGGCGGTGAGCCGCAAGACCTGTTGCGACGTTGTCCACGTGCCATCGAAGGCAACTCGCTGACCGACGGCCTCTGACTTGCATCTGGGAGCGAGAAGGACTGTATCTCCCGACCAATCGAGCCATATCACCAACCACCAGACTAGTGCATCGCCCCTCGGGTCTCGAGCCTCCCACGACCCCCAGCCGCTGTCTTAATCCCAGACCAATTCGAGTCTATTCCGGCCAGAGCTTCTAGAAAGAAGCCTAGAACTCACGACGCCCATGTGCACGTATTTTTGGAATTTTGTTTCACTAGTTTACCAGTATGGCAATGTTGCCGCGACGTCGTTGCTAGACACCACCTGATGAAGTTTCCACCCACCCGTTTAAGTCACGTTCACGTTAGAGAACGCCTGGCCTGTGAGACGCCGTCCGTGCTGTTTGCGACGCTGGGAATAGCATGCGACAAAAACGTTCCCACTCTGCGCGTTGCGGAGGATCCTAGGGTCCATCGCACAAGTAGCGCATGCAGTTACTGAGATGAGATGGCAACAGCTATGATTCCCAAAGCAGCGCAGGCATTCGCCTCAAATCAGCGGTCTTTGGGACAGGTGGTTCAAGCAACTGAAGCTCGAGTACAAGAAATGCCAAGCCCCCAAGCCCGTTTTTCTGCTTTCTTAGCCTATCCTTCGCTCGATGTCGCCAGCGTGGCGGCTGCCTCTTACTTGGCATCAGACATGTCAAGACGGCCACAATAATAGCTCAAACGCTACTATGCGCCGAATCATGAATCGCGACTCCCCAGAAGAAGGAGAAACTAGGGATGAACGAACTTGGCTTACGCACCGTCAACGCGATCTTTGAGCTTGTTCATCTAGCTTCGGCCGACTCGTCCCCGATCACACCCACCCGTACCACACACTTTGAGTAGCACGCCTACCGAACGCCTGCCGGTCGGGCGGTCTTGTGTCCGGAGCTTGTCAATTATCCCGGAATATCCTCGTGGCCCCCAACCTAAGCAAGACTTCCACTCCTTCGGTGGCGGCTTCGGATAGGCTACGTCCTCCGTCCCAACAAACACCGGCTACCTGTAATGGGCTGTACCCCATGGAACATCATGATGATCGACGGGCTTCTTTACTAAGCGATACTCTCAATCCTGCTAGTCTTCTTGTAGATCTGGGATCTGCGGGGATTGCCTTCTCATCATCAAGTAATTCCAAGCCAGTCGACAAGGAACGCACCTCACTAAACACTCAATTGGATGTCGCCCCGACTTTCTTTCCTTTTGGCAAGCGCGGAGAGAAAGCAGAACGGAGGAAATCTGACTAAGGCTTGGCTTTTGCAAGTATCGTCTTGGCATCTTACGATGTTGATAAGCCATAGCCACCGAGTGTCTGTCGGGAACAACCGCCATTCAAGAGCGCCCAGACTACATTCTTTCCATCGTCACTCTCCTTGTTCAACCAAGTGTTCTTCAGAGGTAATGTCCCGGCTGTCAGAAGGGATGTGCCTTATATGTACTGTCTCTCGGGAATGATGGACGACCGCATCAAAGACTGAGAAGACTGTAGCCATGGAGTTAGAAATCGCCTGCTATTGTGGTACGCTGCTATGCCAGCATGCAATCGAACATCTACTTGGAGCGTGTGAGGCTAGCAGGACGAGTCTCGAAAGTTGTCTGTCCACTTTCTGATCTAAGAACATTCGCCTCCGTTTACTGTGTTGTCTGGTGTTTTCACTGTGCTACTTCCAAAATTTCGATCATCAGAAGTTGAGACAATCTCATGGTTCTTTGGAAATCCATTCCGCAAGAGGATGGCTTGAAATGACTAAAGGTTATGGAATGATATAAGTCAAGAACAAATCTAATCGAGTGCGAAAGACTAATTGCCACTATTTACATATTGACTGAATAGTTCGGAATGACTTACAAAGGTGAAGAGCAGTCCTTTGTCAGGTAGCCATAAGACTACAAAAGGGACGCGCGTGCTACTTGTATATTTCAGGGGCTCTATCGTAATGCCGCAGTACACTATGGCACGCAGGGCAGTGGCTTTGATGAGGGCCTCTGAAGTTTGGCAATGCTTTAAGCTACAAATTGGGCGCTGACGATTTAGATAAGGCGGCGGGTCAAGGGTGGCAACGATCGGATGCGGGCGCTTGTACCCCGATTTTTCCCCATTTTTTTTCTATTTCAGCCTTTCGCTAATTTGATTACTGCCTACCTACGTTTAACCACAACACGTTGAGTCAAACGGCGTCCTTGGGCCGAGGCTGGACAGCGCTGTCGGCGGGAAATGTGGATCCTTCCGGGTCGGCACGGCGTCTGGGCACGGCCGGCTGAACTGGTCGAACCTGCTGCCTTACATTTTCATGTACCATGGTCTTATGTCGTGACTTCTCTAAAGAACCAACAGGCAGTCTCCGTTTACTTACATTTCCCCTGCGCCTTAGTTAGCAGCGCCGACTGTCGTTACTTCGCAAGAAACATCTTTGCGACCATTCTGGGTTCGTCAGAATTTCTCTTCGGGCAACCATCGCCGCAGATGACGACGTTGGGCGGTGCATTCTTCAAGTTGGCTATAAGTCACACTATTGAAGGAAGCTCTCTTTCCAAAACTTACCCTACAGTTCTCATTGCTGACATATCGTACATCTTTCGCGATGAAGGACGACCAGGGCCGCCGTTGGTCAGACCGACAAATCCCTATGAAATTCAACATCTTCAACTCCGGAATCGCCGAGACCGCAGATAACCCACTATTTTGCCTCAGCAACGATGATGAGCCCTCCGAAAATCACGTCGGCATCAATCTGCACGCGGGCCCCTTTGACTTGCATCCGAAAATAGCAAATCTCACGCATCGCACGGTGGTGCGGACTGGTTGGAAGACGATGAAGACGATGGAAGTTGTCCTTTTCGAGTCAACAGGAAATGAGGGGCCGGTCAAAGTTATTTTGGAACAACAAATGCCGAGTGAAGGCATTTGGGGCCTACTCAGCCAACTAATCTGGCGAAGAGCCTCAGCCGTCCAGTGGGTGTTCACTATGCGGCTCCCGCGCCGTGAAGGGCTGGTTGACGTTGACTTTGAGTGGCGACATAGTCGGGGGATCAGGATACGAAGGCTGAGGGGAACGGGGGGTGGATGCTGTGGAGGAAGCGGACGCCAGACGAAGTGAGAAAGATGGCCGACGAGCGCGACGAGCTGGTCGCCTTGGTATCGCGGGGTTCGAGGCTGGACTTGGGCACCAGATTCGAGTTCGTAAATTCGGCGGCGTACGGAGACTTGGGGGATCAGTTCTCGATGGTGGTGCTCATGTCTGGCATTGGCGTGATACTGGCAGAGAAGAAGTCACTGGGAGACTGCGTCGACGCACTGGAGATTTCTACACGTCGCCGGCCGATGCTAATAAGGGCTTCGTTGGTGGAGAAAGAGGCGCGCGATGCTAGGGACTGGCTTAACACGATGGACTTGCTAGAGGATTGTGTGGGAGAAGAGCAAAGGCGACCAAGGTCCAGCCATTCTGATCGCGTCCGGACATGGAGGGAAGAGCAGGCATCTAACAAGGCCAGATCCACCGGGACGTCACGACCTGGTCCAGCCATTGCGAGAATACAGAGAGACCTGCAACTCCCCAGCACGCCCAGATCATCCAGATCGCCTCGTCCCCTGTCAACGTCAATGCGAAATGCCACTCTGATCTCAGGACGGCGCACTGCCTCGAATCGTAGCCGCAGGTACGAACATAAGAGTGACCGTTTCGTGAGAAGCCGGGGCGGCATCCAGATTGACTAATGGGGAATGAACTGAGGTCCAGAGATGGCTGACAGCCGACAACACAGCCTAGAGTGTATCAATAGAATGCATGATTACAGTTTCATCCCTCGTGGTGGCCAGTTTCGCTTACACAAGTCAGTGCGAGGAAACCACCATGTTATCATCGCGTTCACGTTGTGATTGAGCCTAGTGATGCACTGGATACTTTTCATCTAGAACTATATGGATGAAACCCTCGACCTTTCATATTTCTTGTTGACGTGCCTGAATTTGCGTGGACTTTCAATCTCGTTGGTACACTTAGGGTTCGGCATAACCATTTGTTCCAGCACACAATCTTCTAACTGTCGAAACATCCCCGTCCAAGAGCAATGCTCCCAGAACGATACGTTAGCCAGATCAAACTTCGCGCGAATGACAACTAATGACCTCTCATTCAAACCCGCAGGCTTTCTCAAGCGCACTGGTAATAGTATGGAGGGGAGACGGCTTGGCATGTCGAGCCCGACTTTGCGTTTGTCAGCATCATGATCAACGTAAATTAGCAGGACGTTCAAAGATCACTCACGGCACAGGTAGTGCAGCCGGTGTAGCCCTCTCCGCCGCACTGCGCAAACTTGGCTACGGCGCAGCCAGGAAGGCCGCCGGTGACGGTGGCCTGCGGGACGCTCGAGGCCGTGCCGGTCGGCCCGGAGCCGGCGGTGCAGGTCGCCTCACAACCCACACATCCGGACCCCGCGCTCTTGGTGGAGCCGCCGGCATAGACAGTCGGGCCTGGGACCACGTACGTCGCCAAAGACCTGTCAACAACGCCCCATCAGCACACGTCCGCACCATGAACAGAATTCGGTTCCATCTCACCTGTGGATGTCAATGAGCAGACCCGGGTCGGAAGCCTTGTACGCCCCCGGGAACAGCACCGTGCCCGGGGAAGCGCTGCCGCCGCCGGTGATCGTGAGCTGGAAGCACGTCATGTACAGCTGCGCGCCGCCGCTCGAACCAGCGGCGTGCAGCGCGACGGACTCGGCCCGGAGCAGGTAGTCGCCCGCAGGGATGTCGGCGGGGATCTTGACCTGGACTTTGCCGCAGCACGTGTTCATGTCCTTGGAGCCCCAGTTGTCGCCGTCGCCGTTGACGCTGCCGGCCTTGGCGGACCAGCCGTCCTGGTAGATCTTGAACCAGCCCGTGGACCCGTCCGCGGTGGACGAGTCGGTCACCTTGGTGAGGTAGGCGAGGACGGGGCCGTAGTGGGCGCCGCCGATGGCCTCTACGGCGCAGGAGCGGTCGTTCGCTTGCTGGGCGGGAGGATGCGGTTAGTCGCTGTTGCTGGAGACACTTTGCTTTCCAAGTTCAAGGATCGGATTACGGGACGTACCTGGTGCATCTCAACCACGACGGTGGACCCGGCTTTGACGGCGCACTTGCGGGCCACGGGGCCGCTGTTTGCGTTGCATCGAACGTTGTTGGAGGTGACGTCTTGGACGGGCGAGTTGGAGAGCGGGAGGCGAGCGCATTGCCCGCCGAACTATAGTACGTCAGCACGGTCTGCACTTTCAACTAGGCGTGATTGTGTTGTGGTTACATCCACCCCGTCAATCCAGAGTTGCTGAAAGGTTGCATGCGCGGAAACCTGGTTGGCGGCGATCGCCAGCAGGGATAGGACGGCGGTCTTCATGACGATCAAAGCTTAGTAGAAGACGGGACAGGCGGCGTGAGTATGAGAAGACAACACATTGAGGAAAGCCGCGGGATAACCAGGTATGGCTCGTCAGATATATAGACGCATCCATCGGATCTCGGCTCTGGGTTGTCATTTGTTGCAATTTGTTGTTCGGCAATCAACCGATTGAAATGCGGTCACCATATCCAATACAACAACGGCATGACAATATTGCGTGGCATCGCTCTCCTCACCAGATATTAAGTCATGGCTATGCTCCTTGGCTAGCGGTCCTGTGCCGTCTTGTCCAGAGTGTCGTTGCGGAGTCGACGAGTGAACTTGCTTGCCATATATGAAGTCGTGACCCCGTGGACAGTGCGATGACACCCTATCACCAAGTGACCCTGGACTGATGCGGCATGGCATTACCGTGGGCATCCCCCAGGTTTTTAATGAGCGGGTGGTAAGCGGTGGTTCTGCATGTTTCGGTAATTGGTGGATTTCGGGCACGGCCATAAGATCGCGGAGGGCCAAGCCCGCGTGGTGGTGACGCCGAATGCGGAATTAACAGTGTGGCTCCGTTTGCTTCGATGGATGTGACCGGGGTTGAAAAGGTAGTTGACCGCGCAATGAGACTCCGAGAGAACTGGAGTGCCAGCTTCCATATAATAGTACTAGAAACATGAGTATTTGGGTTTTGTGACTTTTGCAACGGCTTGAAAATCTAGCTTTCAGTAACTTACTGGTGTTCGATGAAAGCCGTACCAATGCCACTGATTAGAATATAGGGTGTCCGAAAATAACACAGAGAAGACTTGATTGCTCAGTCTTTCGAGTGCCTCAGTGTCGACTCACAGAGGTCCAAGTTGCAGTCCTAAGTTCGCTTCTGAGATGGCAACCCTCGAACCAGAACAAACCTCCAGCTTCGCTATACAAACGAGGATTCCCTTGCTGCGTGTCAAATTACTGCTGATAACGCGCTCATTGCATGAGGATCTTAGATCCATTGTTGGCAAACAATCGAAGTAAGGCGCAGTGGCCAATTGTGACTGCTTTCTCGCTTGTCCAATCCCACCCTTTCCGAATAGAGGGATGCGACGTTAACAAATTGGAGATAGTAATCAGCAAACTTGCGTCTCATGTTCTGTGACTGTGGTGTAAGCGCTCTTAGTTACTGGTTTGCAGTTTAGTCCGAGCTAACACATCTCTCTGATTTTATAGTTGGAACCCCATATGGACGAACCCAAGATACGCCGAATCATATCAGATGTCACTGACACATAATAAAATTATGGGAAAATACCTTAGGTATAGTATCGTGTTACCAGTCGGATAGAACATAGGAGACTGGGAATATGGATTAAAACTAGCCTTGCACGTGAGGAATATGTGCCCTCTATCATCAACCGGACCATTCTAACTGATGTTTCCCATAGGCTAGACTCTCAAAACCTGGTTGTTTATACCACTCACTGACAGGAATCGCGTAGCAAGCAACGAAATTTCGTTGTCTTCCATATCCTCTCCCACACAAGCTCTTCATCGAGCGGACATCGTGGCTCCAAGAACAATACAGTCGTTTGCGACTACCTAAATAGCTACCTTGGCTTATGAATGAAGACTTGTTGTCCCAGTAATTGCTCGCACCGATAACCCACCGTCGGGTATGTGTCTTCAACATTAATTCCCCAAAAGTAGGTCATTCCTAACATATTGCTCAGAATAGAAGGATGGTCACTTGTGAATCACTTGTTTGTTGCAAAATGACAGACAGGGATACTGGCGGCGACCAACTGCGACCAACTGCATCCTTGAAGGCGGCCCAAGGCCTGCCGGCACTGGCGCTTAATGCTCGAGATGAGTTGGAAACGATAAGCGCTGCAATAAATCGAAACCAACCGATACATCTTTTGGCGGCCTCACAATGGCATCCTACACTGCCCCAATGGTAATACAATGCCGCAATCTCTCAACCAAACTCACAATCAGGTACAGCCATTCTGCACCGAACTATTTTAATGTTACCCACATCCCTCAGTTCTTACCGGCTCTTCGACTCAAGTTCTCACCAGCGCCGCACCGTCCCCCCTCCCAAATCTCTCATCCTCTGACCGACACCAAGATGGCGGACGAGGTCAATCTCAGCACCGTTGAAGAATAAAATACGACGGATTCTCAAAAGGAAATCTTTGACACTTTGTCAAAACATCTCCAAAACGCAAGAGACATCGGCATAGGTGCGTCGGAATTGGCCGATGCCATCCAACAACTGGGTGCCACCAAGTCATCAAGGGACAATGCATCCAGATTCCTATGGGATCTCTGGATGGTCGTAATAGACGTCGCCCATCTTGTTCCGCAGGAACACCCCTGGCAGGACATGTTGGTGGACGCTATCCAGGCCTTGCGACGAAATGGTGGACATGTTGGCGCCACTGAAGAAGTAGGCTTACCAATGATCGATAGCTTCTTTCACTGACTTTGCTCAATAGGAAGAGCCTCTTCTATGGAAAGACTTGCCGCACCTGGCGAATTACTTATTGGACAAATGGTTTGATGGGCCTACCTCTCTCTCGATGACCAATACAACATTTACTAACACTTCAGCAGATCCTACCGAGCTCGACGAATGGACTCCAAAAGACGTAGTTGCATGGAAGAACCTTAATTATTTCACCGCTAGAATCACAACAGAGGAGTTTTCTCCTTGGCTGAACTTTCCCGCTTGGCAACTCCAGAGCGCCCTCGATGAGCCGCTGGATGAGGGTCCCATCTTGGAGTCAAGGCTTTGGGTGGCGACTGAATGGGTTATACGTTGTGCCGACTTGGTATTTCAGGACGTGATTTCGCCCCAGCCACGCGGCGATACAGTTGGAAAGGCGACAGTGGAACAAGGCTGGAGTAAACTACAACTTTGGAAGAAGAGACTCTCCGAACTATTTGAAGACAAGGAACGACTAGGATTTGACACCATCCTCACGGACCGACTAGAGCGGGCAATCCAAAAGATGAAGGAGTTTGAGAACAAGAAAGAGTAACGTCTCATCTACGAAAACATTATCGGGAAAAAGAATGCTATGTACGATGGTAACCTCTACTTCCAACTGGTCCACATCTACCTCAACACTAAACCACATCCACTGCATCTCTGTGTGTCATTTCTGGTTCGTTCGAACTCCTCACACAAGGCTCATGAAGGGATGGGTCCAAAATAGACAATGATACTTAGATGCATTCTTTTAATCGTGCCTGGTTCTCCTGTTCTCTTTTTGCTCTCCCTGAATCAAGACAGTAGACGATCCTGCCGCATCTGAACGACCGAGTGGTGCCCCAGTCTGCCTGTCTCAGGGGCCCACTTCCGCATGTGTGGCCATGCAACATATTGCTTCAACTGAACCCACTAAAACAAGCCTTGTTGGCTAAGTGGTATAGCGTCTCACTAGTATTCTAGTGTCATGAGAAGATCGGCGGTTCGATTCCGCCACGAGGCATAAGTTCCATCAAGTCAGTAACGCAGACTCGTTTTTTGCATTTCGTAGTAACTGTTGTTAGTTTTACAGAAACGCGCTTTAGCTATGCGCTAGTTGATTACATTGCCGTCGGCAAGTTACAGGTACTAGATTAGCTTGCTGTGGCTGTGCACCGTTAATCCTTTTCACTTTGCCACAAGCCGCATTGGGCAAAGAGCTGGGGCTGTGTCTCGAGTCGCCGCAGAGCAACCACTCCCCCGACCCACCTTTTATCTATCCGCCTGCTGATTTTGGCCGTTGATGTACCACATCTCACTCAACCACGATCTGCTGTTCCAGTCAAGCCGTTCGAGCCAACACCAGTTTACGGCACACATAGATCACCCGTCTGGAGCTGCCCCGCAGCAAGTAACCCCGCATGACATGGGGTATCTGGACAACTACCTGGGCCTGTCGGTAGCGTGCCCGGCCATAAGAACGGCCGTCGAAAACCCCGTCTGCAGTCACGCATATCGGGACGTCCACTGTGGGCTGCGGCCTTCCACCGTATGAGAGCTCTGTCCAGACTAGCAGGGTAACGATCCTGCTTCGTTTTCCCCACTTAAAGCGGCGGCGGCAGGGGAGAAGGCTATTGCGGGGAACCACCGCCAGATGTAAGTCAGGGTACAGTTTGTTGGTGGAGAAACGTTGCCATGTGAGCGGTTCTCCAAAGAAGCCGGAGCGAGCAGGATGACTGGCCAACTTGCCGGCCGGGAGGAGACGCCCAAGGGCGGTAAAGGATTTAGTGAATGGATCGGATTTACGAATGACCATAGCTGGTTCTAGGCCGAACAGGAAGTCCATCCCGTCGGTTAGGGGTTCCTAGATCTGGATGTGTTTCTCGGCATGACCTATTTCGTCAATCATTGCATTCACTGTTGGCCCGGCCGGCCATCTGAGCTCCAGGTCTTCTAAGTTGAGAAGCTGAGACGAAAGCTGGAGATTCATTGAAGACCAATCTCAGACCCACAGTCTCCCCCGAGGCGCCGGGGCCGATCTTCACCATAACTTCTGCGGTTTACTCGCACCTAGTAGAGTAGCATCGATGACGGTGCACCCAAGGATTTAAAGTTGAAATTACACCAGGTACGATCGCCCCCAACGGTGGTCTGTCGATGTTCCCCAATTCCGTTCCCGTGTCATACCATTGGACGAACCCCAACTTTCGGACTGCCACGCTCCGCGTTCAAAATGGCATGGTGCGCCGTCCCTGCCCTTGGCATCTCCAACTTCACTCGGATCGAGCTGATGGCACGCGGTCCAACGGTCTCCGTGATTAAACGGGAAATGGCCCGGCTCACTGTCGTCGACTCGTCTGGATCATGAAGCAAGACCAATATTAATAAATATGGCGCACAATCACACGTCTTCCATTAGGAGGTTGCGCGTCTGGAGACAGGAAGAGCTAGGAAAGCTGTAGCATCCGTCCGGCAATTACCCACAATGCTACCCAAACTTTCCGGTCTGCTCTCAATTGGCCTCCTGGCCAGCGGAGCCGCCTCCGCGGCCTGCATCAGGAAGGGCTTCGTCACGGTCAAGGGCACCAAGTTCCAGCTCGACGGCGAGGACTTCAACTTTGCGGGCAGCAATGCCTACTACTTTCCCTTTGACAACGTACGCGACCCCAACTGGCTTTGGCAAAACACCTCCGAGACTGACAATAGCCTGTAGAACCAAGCAGATGTCGAGGCCGGTCTGACCGCCGCAAAGGACGCCGGGCTCAAGGTCTTCCGCACCTGGGGCTTCAACGACAAGAACGCCACCTACAACCCCGACGGGCTTCCCCAGTACGGCGGCGAGGGCGCCGGCGACACCGACATCATCTTCCAGACATGGTACGGGAACGGCACGTCCGTCATCAACATTGAGGCCTTTGACAAGGTCGTCAACGCTGCCACCAACGTCGGCATCAAGCTGATCGTCGCGCTGACCAACAACTGGGCCGACTACGGCGGCATGGACGTGTACACCGTCAACCTGGGCGGCAAGTACCACGACGATGTGCGTGTGCCCCCCACCCTCACGAGAGCTGACCCGTGACGATGCTGACTCCGCGGACGCCAGTTCTACCACGTGCCCGTGATCAAGGACGCCTTCAAGCGCTACGTCAAGGCGTTCGTCACCCGGTACAAGGACTCCCCCGCCATCATGGCCTGGGAGCTCGCCAACGAGCCCCGCTGCGGCGCCGACGGCGTGCGCAACCTCCCCCGCAGTGCCGACTGTACCCCGGAGCGGCTCGGCGCCTGGATCGAGGAGATGAGCGCGTACGTCAAGAGCCTCGACAACAAGCACCTCGTGACGTGGGGCGGCGAGGGCGGCTTCAACATTGAATCCGACGACTGGGCCTACAACGGCGCCGACGGCAGCGATTTTGACCACGAGCTGGCGCTGCCCAACATCGACTTTGGCGTCTTCCACTCGTACCCGGACTGGTGGAGCAAGACGGTCGAGTGGACGGAGCAGTGGATCCGCGACCACGCCGCGTCGGGCCGCGCGGTCGGCAAGCCGGTCGTGCACGAGGAGTACGGCTGGCTGACGCCCGACAAGCGCCTCGAGTACCTGGGCGTCGTTGACAACACCCCGCGAACCGAGGTCCTCGGCAAGTGGCAGGCCATCACGCTCGAGGAGGAGATGCCCGACCTGTACTGGCAGTTTGGCTACTCCAACTACTCGTACGGCCGCAACCACAACGACGGCTTCACAATCTACCTAGACGACGCCGAGGCGCAGCCGCTCATCTACGAGCACGCTGCCAAGGTCAACGCTTTGTAAACGAGTCTATATTGCATATCCCATAGATACAGCCGCAGAGTATTTCAAGACACATTGCTCGCCAAAAGCCAAAGAAGCACAATCATGACGTCGCCGAGCCCATCCGCTTCGTCTCTTCAATGTCTTCTCTCCATTTCGTGAATTTGGTCCACCGGTTGGTACGCCGGATTGTTCCACCCCTTCTTGGTGCGCTGCTGTATCCGCTCCTCCGCCTTCATCCGTAAGCCGAACACGATGGCTTCCATGATCTCCTTCGGGTTCCACATCTCAATTAGGGCCCACAGCCCGCCTGGGCCGCCGGTGTACGTTTGGGGCTCGTACGCCTCAAGGTCGCCCGCGAGGGGCCGGCGGATGCGGCCGCTTCCAATGACGTAGGGGCGGTAGGAGTACGCGTAGTGGAAGAACGCCGCCAGAGGAAGCATTTCGATGCAGACGAGCATAGACGGGATGCCGATGCGGAGGTCCGCGTCCGTCAGCGTCGGGGTCGGTTTCAGGGACCCGGTATCGCGGAGGATCCAGAAGATGATCTATGAAGGATGTGTTAGGTCGCCAGATACCGATTTGCAGGTATATAGCCATGACTTACAGTCTCGATAAAGGTCAGAGTAACGACCAGCTTGAATGATAGAAACTTGGCGATTGGCTGGTGATGCTTCAGCTGGGACTTCAGCTGCATGAAGAAGCGGATGACCGTCATGAGGGCGAGTGTGAGCGAGACGTTGCTTATGATGGACAGCTTCCCGCCGTTAGCACCACTCCTGGACGTCGAGTATCAAACAAGACAGATGGACTCACCCAAAGCTTGGCAAAGTGCGCCTTGCTCTCGAACTCGCAGTATGCCCCCGCAGCCTGCGTGATGGCAGTCACGATAGCCACTAGCAGACTGACGACTGGATACTGGAAGACGGCGAACCACATTTTCTGGGAGGCGTCAGAAACCGGACGATGCACACACCACAGACGCGCCGACTCACCCTGAACCACTCCAGGCCGTTCTCCTCCCCGTTGGCTGCTTTCTTGTTCTTCACCGTGAGCGCGGCGAAGAAGACGTCCCTGTGCTGCGCACTGGGCGAGACGAACTCGCACAGCAGGATGAAGAAGGTACCCAGGCAGATGGACTGGACGAACTCGAGCCACGGGTGGAGATAGACTTCGGCCGACGGAAAGCAGATGCACAGGAAGGAAATGATGGACCAAAACGGGATGATGAGCGAGATGCGCATGATTCTGCCACTGTTAGAGGTCGCTTTGCACCACGGGAACAAGGACGGCCATACTTGATCTGCTCGTTGCTCTTGCTGAGGTGCGTCGCATGGAGCAACATCAGGGTGAAGATGATGAGGCAGGACGCGGCGGTAAAGCTGCCGGACAGGATCATGTTGAACGTGTAAAAGGACATGCTGCCGAACAAGGGCTGTGAGGCATCTGGGTGGTGTGTCAGTGCTCGACGTATCGACATGGGATCCAGGAGCTGCACTGACTCTCGGCGAGGGAAATCTTGGTGCAAACATCTTTGGCCGAGTTGCTATCGGCTCTGGGTTGGAGAAACGCCTCCATTTTGTCGTGTCGAGTTGTTTGTGTGGTTGCGTTGACCGATGAGTCCAGAAACACCACATCTCGAGAGCGTGGCCATTGTATTTATCTCGTCCCTCCTCGACCTGCAAAAGCGTGGAGCCCTCCCGAATCCTTCGCAGCGTTGATCAAGCATGCAGATGAGACGGTGAATCCTTTGTCGCACTCGCTTGCATTCGCAATCCACCGACGCCCTCCCAAGCCACGGGCGAGTCGTCGACGACCGACGCGCCAACGATGCTCGCTGGCTCGGAAGCATGTCCCTCAACCCGGAAATGATCTTTTGCAATGCGCCTCGAGGGCGCCGCCCACTGCCCCGCCTGGTGGCTGAGCAGCCCATCCACTCGGAAGCCAGCAAAGACACCACTATCGCAGGGGGATGTGCGAAGCCCATCGAATGGGTTTCCCCATTCGGTAAGAGGATGGCATACATCGGCACGCAAAAGCCGTGCTGACAACAAGAACGCCCGCCTCCACTAGGGCGGGCCACAGAGGTCAACACTAACGTCGAAACAAGCTTCGCGCCCTCCGAACTGCTGGGGCGGGGCACGTTGATCTGCTTGCGGGTGCCTAACACAGCTGCACCCTTGGATCCATTCAAATGCTATCCGACCGTTGGGTCGAAGCTTGTTACCCGCGTGGGAAGATTGTCCAGTGGTGGCTTTGGGCCGACTCTGATGTCAAGGGGCGTAAGGTGGCCAACCAGGGGGGACCTGGCGCTTGAGTAACGCACAACCGCCAGATCAAATGATAGCGAAAGGTCATCCATCCCCCGTGCCATTGTAGTTCCATTTCAGAAGTTAATTCGCTGGTCTTCGCCTGTCGTGCCCTTTGGTAACCCTATTTTGAGCCACGTAGCATTCCAAAGCGGTGCATCATCACCCATCAACCAGGGCAATCATCGGGTAAACTTTGTTACATGTTCTTTGGACCACTTGTGTGACGCATTTCACGTATGCTCCGTTATACTACGGAACGTTTTGCCTCAGCTTTGGGCAAGATACGTGGCAAATATCCATCGCTTTCATCCAATTCATCGATAGGAATGCCCTTCAGCGTCTCCGGGGGAAAGTGGTAACCGCCCGCCCGCGGCGTCAAGGCCGTCAAGATGCCCTTCTCCCTCCCTATCCGCAGCAGCGCCTCTCTCGCCGCAGCCCGCAAGTGGCTGGGCGCCGTCGGCATGATGTACACGTGGCTCAGCGGCCATATCAGCCGGACGGCGTCGAAGTAGGCAGTCGGCGACTGCGGGTCCGTGTCGGGCGCCTTGCCGCCGAGTGATTTGGGTATGCTGTCGACGACGTCCCGGCTGGTCGCCGCGATGATCTGCAGGCAGAGGTCCCTGCGCGACTGCAACGCCTCGGGGTCGAAAGGGCAGTCCGGTGCGTGCTCGACGACTTTGGTGAGGAGGATCATCATGTGGTGGATCTTGATCCGGGCGCCGCGCCACGAGTTCCAGAAGTGGTCGTAGACAGGCGCGGGGTCGATCCGGTATTCGGGGGCTGCTTGCATCCATTCCGCCATGACGAGCTCTACTTGGTCGCATTCAGCCAGGAGCTGCTCGTACTCGGCGCACGCCCGCTCCGCGTCGCCGCTTCGCGTGATGGGCATCACTCTGGACAGCAGAGAACAGCCCGCGGAGATGTACCGTCCAACCTGCAGAAACAAAACCTCGACGGGTTGCAGAGTCTGCTCAATGATGTTGAACCAGCGGTCGAATTCTGGCGGGCACGGTGTGTTTGTGATGGTATGTTGGATTTGCTAGGTCCGGTGTAAGTGGAACGAATGAAAACGAGTGCGATGGGCTGGCCGACTTACAAGCATGTTGTGCATGAGCCAGAAAATCTGCCGGCCCGTCCGCGTATACAGCTGGCGGTCGCCTCTAGCGCGCATGAGGCTCATGATGCCTTTGCCATGTATGTGCCATGGGGCCTCGAGAGCGGTCCCTCGTTCCTGGCTTGTCATGAAGGACCGTCGCTCCAGACCGCCGATCACCAGCTGCCGAAAAACATCTTAGCAGTGGTCCCTGAGTGAGTGTGTGACATGAACGTATGACGGTGATTACAAGAGACTTGCCTCGTAGTTCCCGAGCAGCCAGACTGCTACGATTGTGGAATCGGCCGCGTATACCTTGGGGCTCTTGACGGCCTCCTGCACTGAGGCCAGGGCGTTACCAAGACACACTGACAGCTCTCGTTGGTCCATTCTCGGCCTAAAGCGGTTGATGACGTATGCTCTAGTGAAGACATGGCTGGCAAGGACGAGACAGTGGTCCTGTCTGACATCTTTGAACAGTTTCGGGAGGAAATCCAAACTCGAGTAGAGGCCGATCACGAGCGGTATGGACTCGGCCGTCCAGTGCTGACGAACCGACCGCGGAACAGGCAGGGGAGGCGTCCCGGCAGACTGATAACCCGGGCTACCTGACTCCTGTGACGATACGGGCGACGCCGTCGACTCGGGTGTCAATGCAATCACCTCTAAAGCCCCCGGAGAGGACGGCGGGTGGATCTGTTGTTGCCTCTTCCCTCTCCGGTGTCCAAAAGACACTGCATCGGTGTGTTGGAAGCGCAGGTCTTGGTCGTCGCGGTACCCGGGACACTGGACCCCGTATTTGACGCATCTCTGGCACTGCGGCCGGGCCAGATCGCACTTTGGGACCGGTGTTAGCTGCACGGAGACGGAAAACGGGTTTCGCCGCCGACGAGGGGGCCCGGTGGGCGTTTCCTCACCTTCACCCTCCTCTGGCGACAGAGGTGGCAGTTAGGACTTGGTTTGCCGGTATTTGGCATCGCGAGCTGGGTCTGTTGATGCAGCCAGTTTCGAACAGGGCTTTTGTTGATGGCCGCCTGGTTTCCTAGCAAAGGCGCAAGCTATGCAGGTGTGTTTGGCAAACGTCCGAAGAGGGTCCCAACGCCCGACCTTGGCGCTCCGAGTCCGTGTCGTTGCGCCGGTGGTGGAGGCCGCTGAGAAGTGATGGCATGGGACGAGGGGGCGGAGCGAGTTGTCATCTCGAATGAGCTTCCCCGAAGGATTAGGCAGCAGCGGCACCGGGAAGGTTGCACTGCTGAGAGAGTGCTTACTCGGCCCACCCGCGGCCGCTCACCCCATCCTCCCGTCTCGTATGCGAGGCGCGAGTGTTACATAAGCCATCGCTTGCGGTGATAGCTGTGCCAGGACATCATGTAGCGCGAGTTGGAGTTTGGATATGGTTCAGGTCCCGATTTCGGGTTCGGAAAGCGAGACTGTACCAACATTTCGTGACCTACATAGTACATATAGGTAGACGCTCGCGGGCGAGGTGTGATTGGACAGCAGTTTCGCTCCAATCGTCGTCGCGGTGCATGAGTAGGTAGGTGAATCGAAGATCAAGTGGAGCCACCACGTTCCCGGGCTCGAGGGACGGCGACATCCCCGACCCCGAGAGCGTATTCGGGCTGTAGCATGCAGATAGCGAATGACGGCTCCGTGTGCTGGAATGACACACCGCCGGTGAATTGAAATGAGCGCGCAACACAGCCTTCGTCTTGGCTCCTCCCATTCCCAGTTTCACTCTCAAACCAAGCGAGTCACTGGTCCTCGGCCGAGATGGCCATGTGCATGGGCCCTCGCGGCCGGCTCAACTGAAGTGCCATGTCTCTGTTCAGTGTGGTGCAGCTATCGTCGTCGACTCGCCCAGCGGCTAGGAAGCACCGTTTTCAGGACCTCCAGAAGACTGACACGCACGAGCGACGAGTGGAGGTTTACACGTCACACTGGAAAGGCGCCGGTGGGAGGTTGAGCAAATGACCACCCGGGCCACGCAGATGGGACAGACAAGCGCGGCGATCCCAAGAAAATCCAGATGGCAGAAAAGGATAACGCATGGACAAAGCTGGGATATGCCGTTGTCGGCGGGGTGGGAATTGTGGCAACCATGGGAGAAATGGTTCGACTGGCATCTCGAAATCCCGAGAGATCCGCCCCTCCCTGAGCGCTGGCGCACCATGTCGTAACTCCGTCTTCGGGATGCGCCCAGGCTCCGATTCGCCCGACGACAAGCGGAAGGAACAGTAACGAGTGGGAGGGAAGGAAAGGAAGGAATTGGAAGGAAAGCCGCTGCAGCTCAACAAGATTGCTGCTGGAGGAGGAAGGGGGGTTGGAGGGGACAAGATGGGCGATGGGCGAATCAGGGCGGCGAATCAACGGCATCAATGGGATCAATGAGCAGCATTTGAATGAAATTGGCAAATTGAATCGAGGCAGGTGCGTGCTGTATGTGTGTGTGTGTGTGTGTGTGCCACACGCGACCGATACCTGCCGCTACTGCTATGTCACTCTTGTCACTCAAGTCACTCTGTCTTGCTTGGCGCCTTCGGCACCGCCAAAGCAAACCGCACAACCACCGTGAAAGGTACGTTCAGCGGTACATCGGGACATGGATACATCGCTGCGCGTACCTTCATTTTGTACGCTACCAGCTCGCGAACCCCACCGATGCAGGGCTTCTATGGCTGTGACTGGCTGGATGATTCAGTCTGCCCCCGTCCAAATGAACAGATGAAGCTTAGCGGCGTACAATCACCCGCTTCTCCCCCTGGTTTGGTCCCTTTTTTTTTTTCTTCCAATCCAATTTTTTCCACCTTGTTACCTTGGGTTGGCACCGCCCAGCAGATCAGAGCAGGCAGGCAGGCAGGTGGTACCTTGCTCAGCACAGGGCAAACATAGTGGCCCAGCATCGGCAAAAGCAGCTTTGACTAATTTGGCATGGAACAACCAACGCCAGGGTAGAAAATGTCCTCGTCGGTTTTGCCCCTGACCTGACGTTAAACCCGACCGCCGCGAGCGCAACTTCGGTGCAACATCCTACGGATTGGAACCTCTCTTCCGCCCCAAGATAAGCTTTCCCAGCTCTCCAACTGCATCGCAAACCGCAACCGCACCCGCGACTCGACTCCCGCCTCCCATCCCCCAACTGTGCGACCTCTCCCCCCTTACCGTTCGTTGGAAGAGAGCGAGTGAGAGAGTGAGTGAGAGAAACTCGCCCATCATGGACGTCGCCCTCGAGATCCTCGATCCTCTCGTCCTGGACAAGGTCTACGCCTACTTCGTCCCCGCGCAGACCGCGGCCGCCTCCAATGCGACCGGCGCCGCCGCCTTCATCTCGTCGTCGGACTGGAACTCGTCCACGACCGCCCTGTCACCGCTCTCGTATGGCTCCGCCTGGCCGCGCGACAGCATCCTGCGCCAGTGCATCTCGCTGCTCGTCATCACCCAGATCGGCGCCTCGCTGCTCTACTGGGTCTTCAGCGCCCTCTCCTACTACCTCATCTTCGACCGCCGCCTCGAGTACCACCCGCGCTTCCTCAAGAACCAGATCCGCCAGGAGATCGTCTCTTCCATGAAGGCCGTCCCCGTCATCGACGTCCTCACCCTGCCCTTCTTCCTCGCCGAGGTCCGCGGCAAGAGCCTGCTCTACACCCGCATCGACGAGTACGGCCTGTGGTGGATGGGCGTCTCGGCCCTGCTGTTCCTGGTCTGGAACGACATCTCCATCTACTGGATTCACCGCCTCGAGCACCACCCCTCCGTCTACAAGTACATCCACAAGCCACACCACAAGTGGATCGGTAAGTCCATCACTAGCTCGACATGTTTCACGCATTTTGTTTTTTCCCGTCGTCCAATCGACTAGGTTGACTGACATGCCACGTCTCCAGTGCCCACGCCCTGGGCTGCGCTCGCCTTCCACCCCGTTGACGGGTACGTCCAGTCCCTGCCCTACCAGTGAGTACCCTTCCCCCTTTGAAGATCGCCAATTGAGCCTTAATGGGGTCGTCGCCTATCAAACTCTCATCCGTACTGACTTGCCGCCAGCGTCTTCGTCTTCTTCTGCCCCGTGCAAAAGTACCTCTACCTGTGCCTCTTCATCCTCGTCCAGATTTGGACCATCCTCATTCACGACGGTGACATGATCTCTGGTCACTGGCTCGAGAAGTACATCAACAGCCCCGCCCACCACACCCTGCACCACATGTACTTCACCGTCAACTATGGCCAGTACTTCACCTGGGCCGACAGCTACTTTGACTCCCACCGCGCGCCCCAGCCCGAGCTGGACCCCCTCCACGATGCCCTCAAGGTGATGCGCGAAAAGGGTCTGGTGGATGAGAAGGGCAACCCGATCCCCCAGGACAAGAAGAAGGACCAGTGAGGGGGAGCGGGAGCGATGTGCATTGGATTCTTTGAGCATGGGGTTTTTGCGTTGGCGGGTTTCGGCCGACGAACCATTGACCAAAAAGCATGGCGGCACGGCGAAATGTTGACGTTGAGATGAGATTTGCATTTCATTCTACGGGCGGGCTAGAAGAGCCCTCGCCTTTTCCATCCACCATAACAGTTCCTGGTGGACTCTTTTTTTTCATGTCCCCCACTCACAAAACTCATGGCGAACGAGGCATAGCATACTATCATAATCATAATTCAGCGGACTAGATCTAGGTTCTAAATCTTGGATCCTCTCAGGTTGATCTGCATCGTCCGGGTGATAAGTGCCGTCGCCATTGCAATCACTCGTGAGGTCGCACAGTTACGCAACAAAGCCAAAAAATGAGCGAGCAAGAAAACGTACTAACGTCTCATGCCCGACACTCAACACAGCATGCCATCTCACTTGGGGTCTCGACGAGAGATGAGAGTGGCCTCAGCGCCGTCTTTCGCCTCATCTTACGTATGCGACAGCCACTTTGCGGGGGGCCAATCTTTTGCTTTTTCCCCAACTCATTGGATGTCACCCGACGCAAGGTTTGGCACGTTCAGACCGTCGTCACAGTCTGTTTTCGGGAGCCTTTGGCAGGTTTATACTTTTTTCTTTGAGATCCGGACCTCGCGAGATCTCCGCGCCGCTCACACGGTCCTATTCGCCGGTCGGCGAGACGCACCGCAGCGGGGTTGTGTCTGCGCGGTCCATCGGTCGGCCCCTTGGGGACGAGGCACGCAGCGACGTGGGGTCGAATCAACCGCACCTGTCTTTGCTACCCCCTCCCCCCGGCCATGCCTTACGCGGAAACTCTATGCGATCTTATCTCTGCCGATAATCTACCCCGCAGGACCTGCCCTACGGAATGAGACAGACGCAGCCGACCATCGAAAAAGATGACGTGCCCTCGGTGTTGCTGTGTACGCTTTGGATAGATTGAGCGGAGAGCACAGAATTGAATTACGAAGTTGGTTCAAAGAAACCCCTGCCAATCGCCCATTCGAAGGCTCGGGGTTGTTCACCTCTGGTCGCACCGTTCCCATCCCCGCCGGAAACATGGCGATTCGTGTGACGGACCTTGAAGAGGCTGATATTCCTGGGGCCGTGAAAGCCATACAGTGAGTGACGCGTCCGCTTCGCGGTATCCATATAATCAAATCTCCTTTATCATGGATAACGTGCAATCTGCTCAATTGCTTACACCAATGCCACCAAAGACAGGCTTTCAGTGGAGATCCTTACAATGTCTGGGTCTATGACCAGTCCAAGGTGAGTTGCTGTCCGTCCACGCAGTCAACATGGTTTCTGCAAGGGATGATGGTCGAGGGGCTTACATGAGTCCATTCGCAGTTCAGACCTGAAAGGAACTATGCCTCCCTCGCGCTCCGCATGCGATGGGGCATGCGCAACGGCATCTTCCACGTCGCAAAGGAGGAGGGCAGCGACAAGGTGATGGGCGTAGCCATGTGGCTGCGTCCCCGGCCCGCCGATGCACCCCCGACATGGAAAGACTGGCTCGAGGGCTGGCGTCTGTGGTTCGGACAAGTCAACTACAACATTTGGTATGGAAGAGGCGGCTTGAACGTCAAGGTGCGCCTCGCTCACAACCATTCCTCCATATCCCGACGTGCTGACGACCTCCACAACAGAGGTACTATATTTGGAAAGACGCGCAAGCAAAAGCCCAGCGGGAGCTCTGGACCGACTCGCGCGGCTACTACTTCCTCAACATCATGGTCGTCCTGCCCGAGGCGCAGGGCAAGGGCGTCGGGGCCGCGATGATGAAGGCCGTGACGGACAAGGCTGATGCTGAGGGCGTAAAGTGCTATCTGGAGTCCAGCAAGGATGTGCCGAACGTGGCCATCTACGGACGATGGGGGTTCGTGTTCCAGAAGGAGATGGTTTGCGATGACGACGGGGATGCGATACGGTTGTACACTATGATCCGGGAGCCCAGAGCCATGCCTGGGGACGGCAGGCGTCGATCATGATATGCTCAGTTTGAAGGACTTTCGCATAACTGCTTTGACGACGGGGTTACACAGCCATTGCAAAATATATGGTCACTGATGCGAATTCCTTGGTTCTCATTCGTTAAGCAGTTTAATCAATTTAACCTTCGGATGGGAATGCAGGAACGTCAAAGAAGACGCCCTTCTCGACAAGCTCGGGTCTTCGGGTCGCTCTGTTCATGTCCAAGATAATGCGGGGAGTTAGCATGAGCTGGGTAAGGGTAGCAGAACTAGATAGTAGACTAAGATGGGACGAGGGGACACGCGAATTTGAAGCTGTATGCTGTGAGTAGTCTTTTGGACTTACCACCGATAATTCCGACTATTGTGGTCTTGACTGTTCATCTGCGTGTTGCGTGTACGATGGATAATATAATCTCCGCTGGCGATCTTGATACTGAACAGAAGCACCAGTGACCGGATACTGTACAAAACGCAAAGGCCGCGCGTATAGTTGTAGTCATGCAATGCTTGATGGGCCCGCAAGAAACAATCTCTCTTCTCAACTTTGGATATATGCCAGAGTCCAATGGCAAAGTACACAGGCTTTGAGTAGGATGAGATGCCCAATTAACATGCTAGTAATCAGTAATATAGCTCGAACGACCTGGGGCGATATGGAGCAAAAACAAGCCAAGGCCTACGTATCAATTATGCTTTCCACGTGAAGCCAGACGATAAGGTCAATGAGTTATACCAAGCTTCTGCACTCACGTTCAGATTGTGATCTGCTCCTACGCCTTAATTCTTGATGCTATATTTACTTTCCCAGATGTTCTATCGACAGCAGTTCAACTCGAACAATATAAAATGATGCTTCTTTTACGATTTCGACTGCCTCCACCAGCACATTGCCCAATCAGACAATCACACAATCACACAGAACAACTTTCAACTCACCACTATGCAATTTCTTTACGCAATTGTGGCCTTTGCCACACTCGCTGCTGCTGTGCCTGGCGCTCCAGCTGATGCGCCTGCTTATGTTGAGAAGAGAGACGCGGCTAGCCCATGCGAGCCTGGGAATTTGATTTGGAGTACGGTTGATGATGGAGGCGGTGGAGGATGGGGGGTATGTTCTTTCTTTCTGACAACACCTTAATCGCAATACTTATCCTCTCACGATTTTGGTGCATTGAATCCCCAGACGGAGGCTGCGCAGGATATTACTGGAAAGAAACTCCTCCATACTACAGCTTAAGTGCACAAGACACCGTCTTTCTAAACTAACATATAAGACTTGCTAACTTTCTTGATTCCCAGTGCCGCGAAAACTCATCTCGGTACCCTTTGCTGCAGACTTTCATGGACTTCTGTTCAATAGCTAGGGTCTGGGTTTATTCTGTAAAAGGTTCCTAGCAGTCTAGTTTCGCTGGGTTACTGTATTTTGAAAATGTATATACAGGGTGAACTTGGAACCTAAGTCCCTAAAATACGTAGCCGAATACATATACATAGCCATGAAAAACAAAACTTGTCTGCAAATCTTTATGAGACGTGGACTGTTGTATAAACATTGAAGTAAAAGACAAACCTCAGAAAGCGGCGGATATGTGCCTCCCGAACATCTCCCAGTTGGAAAAGATGGACCCCGCTTAAGATACCCGGACGGACCCTTGACGTCCTCCGGAACCGCGCGGTGATCGTGGAGACCAAGGGGAGGACGAGAGGGGCGGCGATGATGTAAAGCAGAGGCCCTTTCCGAATGATTTGACGGATATCTGGATCGATCCGCCCCAGACTGTAAGCCAACCATGACCATCCCACCAGTCGCTGGGTCTAGGCCTCGCTTTGCAGTTCCGCCCATTCTCTCGTTTGCCCTGTATGACATTTCGCGTGGCCTCCACGATCTTGAGACCTATGACCATATAGATAACCTTCTTGCTGAAGACCACCTTCTTCAAAAGGCCCTCGCGTTTAGGGAGCTTCTGGGTTGCCGCCTCCTGCGCACGGGCTGTGACGTATTCCGACTGATTTTCCATTCCTAGCTCAGGGAACTTTGTGTCGAGCTGGGCTACGCTCCAAGGTTGTGCGAACTCGCTTGATATGCGGGCCGACATCTCCACTGTGAGCGCAGTCATGTACTGGAAGAATATGACAATCTCAGCAGCTGCTCCCTTCGATATGTCAAATGTCTAGTCGTTCTTGAGAGACGTCAACAACGTCTACAGGGAAGGGGCCTGATGGGAGGGGCTGTGGGTCGGTAGCGAACGTGAGGGTCCTCAAATAAGCTGGCCCAGTTGGATTTGACTATCAGGCTTGTCGTCTGCGCTGCGGAGGACGAAGTAGGTCTTGCGTTCAGATTGGCGTTTGTTTGTCGGAATTTTGACAGTGCTGATGTTCGTGAGATGGCATAGAATAGGATTCTGGAGCCAGAACCGAGGGTTTTGAGCTATAGGTCCAAATGTGTGCTACTGTACGTGGTTTGGTTTGCTTACTGTCTTGCTGGTGAAAAGAGACGAGACGCAATTAGGTGGGTGGCAACTGCAAGTAAGATTGCTCGTGTCTACCCCTCAATCTTCAACGCTGCACCTCGGGTCGACTTGCCCCCGTAGCGTTCAATATTTTTCTTGGTTGCTACTGGTGCTGGTCCACGGACGAAAAGACAATGCATTGTTCAGGCATGAGTAGAAGATATTTTCCATTACAACTTAGTCGACAGTTTTGGGCGGTCACCTTTCAAACCAAGACCACCAGACGTCCCTTGAAGTCCCTGGCGATATACTTTGTAGGAAGAGAATGAGCCTCTGCCAAAGGGATTGTGGTGACGTGACTTTTGACATTGTGTTTAACGACAGTCTTCATCATAGTCTCCACTGATTGTGTATTTGCGCACAGAGACCCCTTAATCACGAGCTCTTTGAAACCCAGATCGAAGGCATTAAAAAAATAACCGTTCTCAGGCAAACCAAGTGGAATACAGATGCCTCTTGGTTGAAGTAGTTTCAAACTCCACTCAGCTGCTGCGACGTTGTCGTTGCATACGATGACTGCCTTGAGTCCAATGTTATTGGTGAAGTTGTTAATGCGTTGAAGAGCATCGTCATCATCAATTCCGACTAATAGATCTGGTTCCAGCCCAGGTCCAGTGTCAGTTAAGAGCTCCAGGGAGTCGGGATATTTGTCGACGGCGACTGTCCGCAAGCCTCGGGCCTTTGCGAATTGAACAGCGAGGATACCGAGACCTCCAATGCCAACAATGGCGACAGACTGCTCAGCTTTGAGCGAGCATTGATCAAGCGCATTCCACACCGTTGCCTGATGCTTCAATCAGCTCACGTCGGAAAATTTGTGAGCGTAGGGTTATCATTGCAACATACCCCGGCACACATCAAAGGTGCAGCTTGTTCAAAGCTCAGAACGTCAGGCAGCAACACAGTGGTCATTGCGTCTGCAACCATGTACTCGGCAAAACCTCCTTTTGCAGTGATGCCAGCCATATCTCTTCGCTTACAAAATCTGGCATCTACAGTACCATCATATGCTTGTTTATGCCACATGCATTGATTACACTCTCCGCATGCATGTCTGAAGTTGAGAACACCAACACGCTGCCCCACCTTCTATTTCGAAGCGATGGTCTTTCCCAGCGCAACAATTATACCTACAGGCTCGTGCGATGGGATAATGGGACATTTCGACTGGTAGACACCTTCATAAACCTGGAAGTCTGTGTGGCAGAAGCTTGCTGCTTTAATCCTCACGAGAAGCTCGCCGTCCCTGGCGTTTGGAACAGAAACTGTCACCAGCTTGTAGGGGGTTTTGTACTGCTAACGCACTAGTCAGGTTCTTTGAGAGCCTATGATCTACTTACCTCGACAAGCTGCAGCGCAGCGCTTTCATTTCTTGTGGATTTGGGGTTCTTCTCATCCTTGCCCATTGATTTGAAGAGATTCGTCACTTCGTTTAACTGTTGCGATGGATATTACTGATGACAACCTTGATGATTCTCACAGTAACTGTGGAAAGAACTGTGAGTGGCTCTAGTTGTTTTAATAGGTGATATGCAATATCTTATTCTGCTATAGACGTATAGTGATGCACTCGACCTACTGCATCATAGATAATTGTTGGAGTGAATATTGATACCAACCCATCTCATTTAGTTCCACATCAGAAAGAAACTAATGCCTTAACCATGATGCGCAAATGCCTTGGAAACCGGGGATACGTGACATGGGCTTCGTAACAGCCCGGCCGATGACAAATAATGAGTATACAGATGCAAATACTAGGATGCTCCACGCCATTGCTCTGACTAATCTGTATGTTAATAGCAAGCAGAATTGCACTACCTATGGCGTGGAGCTGAAAGTGGAGTACACCACCTGAGATGAGCTGGAGGCCGTGTTGGGGTAGAAATTCAGGTCCACACACCCACACCACTTTAGATTTTAGCGTGGGGGGGGTTTTGGAGATTTTATTCCATGTTCTAATATCGTCTCCAAATGCTTTGAATCCACAGCGTAAGGAAGAGCCTGGCAGTAGAGGACTATACCCATCCTTTCCGAACCACTCAATTTATCGAGCGAAGATGTTCATAACATATTTGCAGCCTACAATATACCGTTACAAGCCATCGTTTCTTCGCATACCTTGATCCAACTTCACAACAATTATAGTCCTCTAATGATCCACAACACCAAGAGAAGTAAGAGAATGGAAACTCCCCTTATCACTAACAGTCCTTTTTGGCACCGCAGCTGACTATGTAATCCACCGAAGAATCTAGTGCTTTTTAAAAAATGGCCATGAACATCAAGACCGTCCCTGTTCAGGATCACCTAGACGTCCTCACCGTTGTCGAAAACTACGTGGCCGGCCTCAAGGCTGGGGACGCAAAGCAAGTTGCAAGGTCATTTCACCCTGAAGCAACCATGTACGGGTATTCTGCCGACGGGCATTTGCTCGGTGGGACAATTAGCAACTTGTGGACATTCATAGAGAAGGAGGGTGCCGCACCAAACATTATCGCGCACAGCGACATCATATCCATTACACAGACGACAGCTGTGGTAAAGGTGGATATGGAGAATGACGCTGCCGGTAATGACTACACAGACAACCACACTTTACTAAAGCAGGACGGCAAGTGGCTTATCATTGCGAAGGTTTTCCACACGTACTCGAAGTAGGTTGCGAAAGGCAAAGGAATGTCTAGAATATTCGAGCAATGTGCTTCATCAATAACTACCTGAGACATATCACAGCCATATACACTCTTTTGTATTTTCACCACTTGTGGCTTCAATCAAGTAACCGCAAAGCCTCAGATCAATTGAAACCACCAGGAATTAGATGGGATAGACATCTCGATAACTTTTTGACAAGGCCTTGTATCATGACCAGCGTTTCCACAGATGCTGCAAAGCTTGCCTTTTGACCAACCCCCACCGGAGCGCTGGCCTACCAGACCTGGTTCTCTGCGCCGCTCTAGGCTAAGGTTTATCAGACATACTATACTGCAAAGAAAATTCCTGAGGGGACCTCCTTGACAATAACGTGTCTTTTCAACCCTTCATCGCTGTCGAAGGGCCCTATCACCTTGCCCTTCTAAGAATACGGGCCTCAGCCATTAAAATGTGCAACTTCAGTCCAATCTAGATGCTGAGGTTGGTTGGGTGTGTTGATAGGGGTTCCACACTATATTAAGCTGATAGTGCTGAAAAAGCGTTATTGCCAGGCTGGTGGACTAACCTCTAACGACAGCGCTGGTTGCTCTTGGCCCTTTAGTTGTCTCCCCTGAGATGATGTATACCTAGATTGATAAAGGACGACAACAATGAAAGCAAGAATGTCAAGCTGCCATGGCATGTATATCAGGATATTTACCATTAACCTTGAACTGCCTACCTATTAACAAGAAACACTACTTTTATGCATACGTGAGATTCAGGAAGATCTAAATTTTTGAACTGATCCATCCCATATTTGCGTCTGTTTTTCAAGTTTTTATTAATACCTGGACTAGTAGGCTGATACTACATGTTGCCTTCGTGATACTTGATAGGTGTCCGGCCTAATTGACGATTCTGACGCTAGATCCCACTATTCCATCGGGTGCGGCACGACGTCAAAATCCCATGTCTACTTGAGTCTCCATCTTTTCTCCAGACATAAGAAATTTTAGGCTCTGATTGGACACGAGTTCATCTGCAAGCCCGAACAAAACATATAATTGGCTTTACTCCACATAGGGGTTTTTTGATGATCTTGCCGCACCCGATGGAATAATCACATGCACGTACACGTGAGTCAGTGGAACCTGCCTGACAGGGGCAGCGCCAGCGGTCAAGAATAAAGTCTACAACCCCAGCTAATAATAATACCTGATTACCAGCAAAATTGTTTTTTCTCCAATTGCTTAACCCCCGCCCCTAAGCTGTTCACGTCCCCACATCCACCATGCCCCGAGGAAGGCCCCGTATTGATATCTCACCTTGTCGGTTTTGTAACGCGCAGTTTAAGCGCCTGGAACATCTGCGGAGACATGAGCGCATTCGTGGGTATCTATGCCATTGATAACCGAGACCGTATATTAACAGTGTCATGAAGATACCAACGAAAAACCATTCGCATGCGGTTGTGGACATAACTTTTCAAGACAGTACGTGTCATATGTGATTCCCGCCCTCGGTTTCGTACTCAGAAGGAGAACGTAGGGACCTACTTGTTCGTCACATTAGGATTGCACACCCGCCCAGCTTAACGAACAGTGAGGGTTCATATGATGCCAACGTCAGAGTGTCAAGCGTAACAGACCCCTACCACATGGATGGGCTTGGCCGAGATGTGCCGGATGCCGGCTTGCACACTCCTGCAGATAATGTGTCGGCATCAATCTCCAGCGAACAGTCTCATAACTTGCCGGGAATTCCTACAGTGTTGCACACAACCGTATCGGTCCCTGAAGTTAGCCAAGATGTTTCTGAACTGAACCAACTTCCAAATAGTTGTCAACAGGTTCCTTTCCATCAAGGCGCTCAAACAGATGCAACAGACTTTCCGTTCAGTAATGACAATGGCTTCGACTTGTTATGGTCTCATAGCTCAGACCCACAAGGATTTCTACCTACAGCTTTTTTCGACACCGACTACAGCCTCTCTGATCTCTGGCAGCCAGATGGAGAGCATATAATCTTGAATAGGGCTAGTGATTTCAACCATTGCGATTCCCAAAGGTCAGGGGCGCAGAATCTAGATTTTGTTTCCGGATCATCAAAGCCGTTTCGCCCACTCACTGCCCTGGAAGCAGCAGCTCATCATCCTAACGTCGAAAAGCTCCCTGCGAACAGTCTCTCCAGTGGCCAAAGCTTGGATATCAACTCAGTATGGATTTCAGGCTCTCCATGGCCAATATCTAGTTCTACCTACACGACACTGCGGGATAAGATACTCTTACACAAAAGTGTCATTCCAGCAGGGTTCGACATGCCCACCAAATACACACTCTCTCGCTATATCGGGGGATACTTTCGGGACTTCCACAAACATTTCCCTTTCCTGCACCCACCAACACTTGCACCAGAGTCACTTGCACCAGAGCTTATTCTGGCGATCGCAGCTCTAGGAGCCTTTTATCGATTTGAAAAGGCACGGGGTTATGAGCTCTATTTCGCCGCAAAAGCAATCGTTGGAGAACAAATACGGAATCGATCAAGGAGCTCGATATCAAACTTCATGGCAACATGTCCTAACCTTTCCAGATCTTCCCAATCTCAGACATCATTCCATCCTTTCCCCAGCACATCCATATCCTCCATGGGGTTTTCTCCAATGACAGCAGGACACTCCAAGCTCCATACAATGCAAGCTTTGGTACTTCTTGTGGCCATGGCTTCTTGGGCGGACGGTCCGATCGTCCAAGATGCACTGCTGATATCAAGTCAACTGGCGATGCTTGTCCGGGAAGCCGGAATTTCTTCCGATGACACAATCGCAGAAGGCACTCCTTGGCACGAGTGGATTGCGCGCGAGGTTCGTCGAAGGACTCTCTTCATTGCATACATCTTGTTCAACCTGCAGAGCATCGCTTTCGATGTCCCCCCGTTGATCATGAACCGGGATATCGGCATTTCGTTACCACACTGCGGCTCTGAATGGGAGGCAACCACAAATGAGGCATGGTCGGATTTGAGGCAAATGTACGGCCATAATGAATCCCGGTTTCAAGAGGTATTCTCGAAGCTACTGGACGGACAGGAAATCCATAAGACAGGTCCCTTCTCAGCACTTGGGAACTATGTTCTGATGAGCGGCCTACTCCAGCAGATCTTCCTCGAGAGGCACACTATTGGGTGTTTATCGGATCACAGCTCACCACTCAGCACATCTTCTGTGAGGACATTTGAAGTTGCGCTTCAAAAATGGCAGTTATCATGGGAGTCGACTCAGGAATCTTCACTCGATCCAACATCGTCTAAAGGCCCTTTAGGCTTTAACGCTGTAGCCATGTTAAGGCTTGCATACATCAGGATCAACGCCGACTTGGGCCCTCACCGCAGTCTCGCCTCACGAGATCCTCGGTATATTGCACGCATTATTGTCGACGATAACATACCTCTGTTTTCACGATCACCACATACCGACCGAGCCATCCTGCAGTGTGTACACGCACTAAGCGTTCCGGTATTTAGCGGTATCACCTATGTGGCGAATACTCAAGCACTAAACTGGAGCGTCGAGCTAGCGCTTTCAAACTTAGAGTGTGCATGCCTTATCAGCAGATGGCTGTATATGATTGCTGACATCGTTGAACGGTCGCGAACAGAGGCTTTGAGAGAAGATGAGCGGAAGCTTCTCGGCATGATCTTCAGTCTTATTAAAGAGACCCCATTTGGCAGCAAGCTGGGGGACTTTGGCAGTAGTGCTGAACGCATTCGCAGTATGGGTAGAACAGCGCTTCAACTATGGTCTGAGACTTTTAGAGGCGTGCATGTCTTCAATCTTGTAGATGCAATTGGTGACAGTCTTGCAGATGCAGCTGCAATACTGGATGCGCGAGCTCAAACGTCCAGAAGTCAAGGGTATATGTCGGAGTTCTAGCTCGTCAAATACCGTGATGTTGGGGTCCTATGATGGAAGTCCCATAGATGGTCTGTTTGAGCTAACCGAAGGCCCGGGTCAGCGGTCGGGCATGGGTAACTCAGTAGGAGAGTTCGATCGCGGGGCAGCATAAGGGATCCTTTAGACAATCAGATCAGCGATGGGAGAAGAATTTAGCATGGTCGCAAGCTGTCACCTACCTAGTTCCAAATCTGCTTTATGTGGAACCTGTCTTCAATAGTCTAGATTCTGTCTTTGAAGGAAGGAGACTGTTGCTATTATGTTACATCCTGTCAAGAAGTACTTGCAAAGGTCTATGACTGATCGACGGAACACCAAGCAACATCTTAACAAACCGAAGTTAACAGGAAGAACAGAACAAAAGTGCTATAGTCAAGCCACGGAATTAACAGCCAATCAGAATAAAAATCACCGGTAGGTGGTTTATTGCGCAGCAGGAGGATGTAAAGGCGGTGAAACCACGGGGAGACCATCTCCTGATGACGTTGGGAAATCTCTGGGAAACGTTCGGGAAAGTTTGTTCATTCATTTGGAGGATTCTTGGAGACCTAAAGGGATGACCGAGAATTCCAGGTGACTGAGGAATCATCAGGTGCGAAATTTTAATGATTTCCCAGAGAATTCTCCAAGAGGCACATTCCCCATTTTGACTTTGGTTAAAAATGTATTGTACAACTACTGAGGTTTATCGCACTGTTGTTTTGTCGCCGGGCAGAGCACATTGCAAGTGTGTGTGTGTGTGTGTGTGTGTGTGTGTTTGTGCTATAATCATTAGCAGTTGCGATTCCTGGAATTAAGACCTTATCCCAGTCGGTAGACCCATGCCTTTTTAGCCGACAAAGTTCCCTTAATGATATTCTCCCACGCGCTCTCAACTCCGTTCAAGCCTCCGACCCCACTTCCCCAAGTCAACTCAAGATCGCCCAGTGTACTATCATTCAGGAAACGCTCAAAAGCTAACGCAACTTCCCGGAAATATTGCTCTGCGCCCTCCGCGGCAATTCCGGCGTCAACAACGCTTGTTGTGTTGAGCCGGACTACGGACCATTCTTTCCATAGTTTCATTATT